TCGCCGGAGGAGTCGCGGATAGTGCAGGCGTTGTCCTTAAAGGACACGTGCAGACCACGCTTGGTGATCTGGGGCACCGAGATGAGCGTCAACGCAAGGTCGGGGACGTGTAGTGTCTTCCGAATGGTCAGCGCGCGCACACCGTTCGGCGTGTTGGAGGCAAAGCAGGCGGTGCCAATGCCTACTGCCTTGATGACGGACTCATTCCCGAGGTAGATGTTGCGCGGCGGGTCAAGGACACGGTAAGTGCTGTCGTCGAAGAGGCGCTCGTCGGGGGTCATGGTCTTTGACGCACCCGAGTCAACAATGTGCGAACCTTGGTGTCGCTGCGGTCGCTTAGGATCAGACTGGACATAGGCGGAAATCTTCTTGTAGGCGCGGCGCGAGACGGTTACATGCGTGTCGTCTACATCCGAGTCCGAGTCTGAGTCCGAATCCGAGTCCGAGTCCTTCACCTTGTTCGCCTTCGCCTTCTCCGCCGCCCGCTCCTTCCGCTTCTTCAGCGCCTTCTCCTTCTGCCCGATGATCGTCTTGCACTCCTCGGTGGAGTGCCCCTCGCCGTGGATGACGCAGGACGCCTTCGCCTTGGCCTTCTTCTTGCCCTTGTCCTTGGGCTTGCGCGGTGGGGGCGCGTGAGAAGAGGAGGCGGCGTATGCCTGCTCATCGTCCGAGTCCTCCTTGCTGGTCACCTGTGCCATCAGCTTCGCCTCGACGTAGGAGAGGGTGAGGGGCGCGGCCTTGGAGCTGCCCGCCGAGATGCCGGACGAGACAATCTTCCACTTCTCTGAGCTAGGAAGGGAGGCCAGGAGGATGAGGGGGACGAGGTTGGCGTTGAGGGGGTAGCCAAGAGTGGCGAGCTGGGTGACCGATTGCCGGACGCGGTGGATGTGCGCGCTCATCGCCTCGCGGGAGACGTCTCCATCACCGGCGTCGGCGAGCTTCGCGCGGAAGATCTTGATCAGTTCGGTGACCGCCATCTCGCTGGTGTTGGTCTGCTCGAACTTCTCAACGAGTTTCTCCCAGAGTTCGCTCGCGTGCTGGTACTCGTGGAGCTCGAGGGCGATGTCATTCGAGAGGTGCTCCCGGATGGTGGAGAGGGCGCGGGCGTTCCGCCAGGACCAGGTCTCCCTCCGTGCAACTTGGTGAGTGGTGGAGGAGGAGCCCGATCCCGTGGATGTGGTGGTGGTCGCCGGAGCGCCGGGTGACGTGGACGGGGGCGAGGACGTTGTCGGCGTCGGTGGAGTCACCGCAATCTCAGGGGGAGGGGATTTTTCCGATCCAGTCACCACGGAGGTGAGATCGTCCCTGTTGAGGGCGTCGGTGACCCGGAGGCGCCAGAGCGGCCAGTCCGCCGCATCGGTGAGCGTTGCGACCTTGCTGTCCTTGGGAGCCATGGCACAGAGTGGGATAGAGTGAGTCGCAGATCGAAGTCTTGCTCGATTTAGGCCACGGGGCTCATAACCTTTCACGAGCTAAAGAAGCGCAGGACGCGCAAGACCTCAGTCTTCCTGCTAGTGGAATAGCGACTGAGATTCATACCTAAAGAAGCGCAGGACGCGCAAGACTAAAGTACAGTCAGTAAATAGTATGAGTATAGTAAGTGAGAAACATACCCTCAGTCTTCCTGCTAGTGGAATAGCGACTGAGGGAAAAGAGATGTACAGTAAGGATAAATACGGACGCCCCCGGAGCGGCGTGGGAAAGTTCTTCCCGAATAGGAAGGCGGACCAAAAGCGTGGACGCGAGGCAAACCGTCCGCCCATGGGAGGAGGCAGACTCGTCCCTCTATACCCTACTTTTGACAAGCGTGATGCGCGTCCTGACGGATGATGGCCGCCACCATCATCGTCATTGACATGAACGCGCTCGCTCTTGCATGCATTTCGCGCGCCGGTCCTCTTTCGTCGTTCGTGGGGGTAAAAGGATAGAGAAGAATGACATTACTATCATATGATTACAAACAATGATGTATCGGGCGCCGCGACATGCTCAGCGCAAGCGCTCGGCACGTACGCAACGCCAAAGGGGAGGGGTGAGAGGGAGACGGGGGAGATGCAAAGGGGAGGGGATAGGGCACGAAGGGGAGGGGATGGGATACGAAGGGGCGGGCGGCTCTGGCGAAGCAATCGGCTTGACGGGGAGCGCTGGATGACGCCTGTGAAGGGGCGATTTGAGCTCGATAGCGAGCTGCACGCGCAGCTCGTGCACCGTGCTCACCGTGCGCAAAGTGCGCGCGATCGCACCTGAGCGAGTGGGGGAGGAGGCATGCGCGACGTAACCCGTGTACCATAGCGAGAAAACGCTCGTGCGTGCTTGGCGCTAATGTCCTGCTTGCGCGACCACGCTCCCTGCCTGAGCGCAGCTCTTAGCGCGCGCATGTCCCTCGGGACGCTCACCGATCCGCACCTCGATGAGGTGCGGAGGGTGCGGGCGCTAGCAACAGCTCGGCGCGCTAGCGCGCCCGAGCGTGGCCACGCCGGACGGGTAGCGTGCCGCTAGAACGCCCAGCAGCATCTACACGCTGCCCGCGACGCGAGGGATCGGTTTGAGGGCGATCCCGCGTGAGAGGAAGGGATGGGCGGTGGGGGAGGGGAAGCGTGTCGTACGACGTGTGTATGGGGTAGGGAGTAGCGTTGGAGCAATATGCCAGTCACCAAGGGCCCCGGGCTCTCGTACAATCGAGGGCGAGAATGGCGGAGAGGGAGCCTGATCCAGCCCCCCTTCTTGCTGTCGCGCAGTCTGCGCGTCTTTCCCCCACCCTCCGTCGGTCACGCATACATGTCAATCAGTAGGAGTCAAGGTGCGGGGCGTATTGACGCACCTGCTCTCCTCCTCCTCGCGTCCAGGGGGGCTGGTCGTTATCCAAAGGTTGGCGTTGTTTGGTGCAACGCGATCGCGGGCGGTCTCTCTCTGCCCAGCGTGTTCAATAGAGGGGGGGAGGGGGAGGGGGAGGGAAGGCGGGAGGGTTGTGGGAGGCGGCGGGAGGGTTGTGGGAGGCGGCGCGTTGGTGGTCGAGCTCAAGAAACGGGCTGATCGAGGGCGCGGGACGGCCGGTCCAGCCGGCCGATCCGGCACACTGGACCACGTGCCCCCATCGGTCTGTCACACTTCCATGTGACCAGTGGACGCGTCCGGGACGCGTCCCACAGTCACGTCACACCTGGGGTGAGAGCGCTGCGTGTCGATATATGTCTGACTGGAGTGCTAACAGACCGTTAATTGCGACTCAGTGTACATTGATTGTCATCTGGGTTGTAACATTGGTATGTTGTAGCTTGTAATTCAGGCTAGAGTATGCAAGCAGGATTTAGGCACGGCAGTACTGTCCTACGAAGCAAGGAGGGAAAAGAGCTAGGGCACCTATTATCTGCTGCACATCATGCGTAGAAGTCAGTCCAACCCTCCAAATCAGCAACCAGCAAACATTGATAACTCTAAGTCTGACACTGAGCGCCAGCCAAGAAATATTGATGGGATCACCAAGCGTCTGCCCGGAATAGCAGCGAGCGTCTGCCGGGAAAGGTAGGTGTGACGGAAGTGTGTGACTGGATCAGCAAGCGTCTGATGGGAATCACAAGCGTGTGACGGGAATGGCAGGAAACTACTGATGGGATCACAAAACGCTTCCCAGGAAGTGTGCGACCTGTGTGCGACCAATGTGCGACCGTGTGCGACCGCGTGAGCCTGGGCAGTACGCTCCCCGGCCAAATGGTGGACCATGTCGCAACTAAAGACGAGTCCTAAGAGCACACCAATCCTATAACACAAGGCCCCGTACCGAGAAAAATGTCACCCAGCATCCTATGTCTGACACCAGCCGCCACCCGAGAAATATTGATGGGATCAGCAAGCGTCTGCCCGGAATAGCAGCAAGCGTCTGCCCGGAAAGGCAGGTGTAACGCAAGCGTGTGACAGGATCAGCAAGCGTCTGATGGGAATCACACGCGTGTGACAGGAAACTACTGATGGGATCACGAAACACTTCCCAGGAAGTGTGCGACCGGTGTGCGACCACTGTGCGACCGTGTGCGACCGGGCCAAAACTCATTTTTTCGCCGCTATTGCGCTGCACACGACATGGAATGTGGTATTCCTAATTCTAACAACACTTTGGCTCTGCATACCTGCCCAAAACATCCTAGAATAGACTGGAAGGTGAGATGGCGAAGGGTCCCGGCATTTGCCGAAGCGTCTGATGGGAGGCGGTTACGAGACCTGCTTGCCAGGACTCGTCTTACATGGCCAGAATTCAGCACCATCAGACGTCCAAGCTGTTCATCAAAGTTATCTCCGAGTCTCTTTTAAGCCTTCATTTCCTGGCTTTATGCTCTTTGTTTTGCTCAGGGAAAATTAGTATGTACATTTTGAGCTGTTTATAATGATCATGCCAAGTATCAGAGGATAAGACCCTCTTGTGGACGCACAGTGGAGGGAGCTCCCCCACGTGCTGAAATGATGGGAGGCCCTTTGCACAGCCTCAATACTCGACGGCACTTGCTCCCCTCGTCACCCCCGCAGAAAATTGTACTTTTTCATGGAAATATTTAGGAGAGCTTCTATGCGGTCTACACATACACTCTGCAAATTTCGCCGTCTGAAAGTGCTGGGATGCAAAGATTTGGCGTTTCGGAGACTCCTGCGGTGCTTCGGTTCTTGGCCCGGAGGTCCTTCCTGCGTGTGCTTTATCCTCAACAACCACCATGCCGCCAGCCTTGTTCCCTCCGTTCCTCCCTGTCATCCCTCCCACATTCCCTTACCTTCTCCACACCTCGAATTAGCCGCCGTCGAGGCACACGCCTGCAAGCGCGTCTCAGAAATTGATGCGAAAATGGCAACGGCCATCGAGCCGAACGAGGGAGGGGTACACGGGTGCGTGAACGCGCCCAGCACTGTATTCTATAACTAACTACTACTTTTTACGACGTGGACGGCGGAAAGGGGAGAGGGGCACGAACAGGACATGACGGACAAGGCAGGGCGAATATCGCCCTCCTTCCTGTCATATTCGCCCTCAGACCACGTCTGAGGGCGTGAGGGCATCGCCTCTGACGCTTTACGCGTCACGAGCGAGCCCTCGACAGTCATATGGCTGTCGCGCTGCCCGCGCGCTCGTCCATTGCGACCAGCGCGGGTAGATAGCGCCGCTCACCTGCCCATGCACCTCCCCCTCCCCCTCTCCTGCGGTCGTGGAGAATCGCCTTCGCGGCGATTTTCCGCATCGCGGGAGACGCGTCTCGCGCCTCGAGGTGACTACGTCGGTGCGCTGTGCACCCAGCCCATCGCAGCTGGCGTGCGCAGCGTGCCGAGCTGTCGCCTGCCGTGCGTCCCGCGCCCCTCGCCCAAGCCCCCCCCCCCCCCCCCCCCCCCCCCCCCCGACCCGTCCTTCGACGGGAGGGCATAGGGCGCTCGGGCTACATCCTCCCGCGCCCGTGCGTGCGCCCAGACAACGCGCGGGGCAGCCGAGGAGGCAAAGTCACGCTGATGGCCAGCGAGTTCCCGCTCACCGCTGTCCTCGCAACATGTCTGCAGCGGCCTCTCACCCCCTTGTGATGCCCTCAGCCCTCTTTTTCCTGCGCTTTGAGAGCGCGAGGAGCGCCGAAAGCACACCGAACCCGTCCCCCTCCCCCTCCCCCCACCTGCTACATGCTCACCGCGGACGTGTCTGTCGTCGCGAATGGGTGCATGTAGCCTGGAGGGATATTATCCTCCCCTTCCGTACGATGCCCCTGCGCTCTCGCGTGCTGCGCGGGCCGCGGGAGCGCGTCGCGCCCAAGCAAAAATTTTCGCTCGCGCTCTTTTGCCTTTTTTGTTCTTTCCAGCCCTCCCCATTCTGATGTATAGTGTATAGTGCTTATATACATATTGTACATGCATTTTTGCGCTCACTACGATGCGCAGCGGCTGCGGCGGCAGCACGCGGCGCGTCCCCGACGCGTCCGGGGGCGCGCGCGGTCACGCCCGGGGCACATCACGGCCCCGGAGCCCTATTAGGGCATGTCCCGGCACCGACTGCGGGCTGCGCGGGCACGGGAAGCGGACCGTTGCGAGAGATTGCAATCGAAGATACATAACAGACCGTATTTGCACCAGGTTATACAGGCTTTGTGTTGACCTTAGTCTACGGCGACAAGCATTGAGAATCTGGTCCCTCTTGATTTCCGCGTCGGTCTTGGATTCCGTACGTACAAACCCTATTCGGCTCAATGCTATATTGAGCGGCTCGTACAGCAACTCTCCGAGCCTGCGAAGGAAGAGCGCTCTCAATGGATGACAGCTTTGCAGCCCATCATGCAGGACTTTCGCCGCGCATGCCTACGACCTCATTGGGCCTTTCCCGCCGCAAGAGTAGTCGTAGCGGCCTGTTTGGGCGTGCGACGATGAGGTGTAGTACCGAAGACGTATGCTGATTCAACACCGAGCTCTTCAATATTCGGGCAAATACTAATTGAGCACTGAACCAGGAGTGGAGCTGTATCGTCGATACGGAAGTGGGTATAAACCGGTGCAAATACGGTCTAACCTGTCGGGGTGGATTTAAGTTCACCTTACTGCAAAAGGTGCCCTCTGACCTGTCTTGCTTGCTAACCTCGTCAGCATCTGCTCTGAGACTTCGGTGCTCGTGCACCACAGATATATTGACTGCCATGCTGTAAACTTGGGATTTATAAGGAATTCTTCCGTATTAGGCAACTTCTATACTTGCCTTTTATGGAATTTTCGAGCCTCCCCTTCATTCCCCTTTCATGCATCAGCGTGTACGGGCTTCTATATCTGACCTGCTTTTATGGCCATGGTGGTCTGTGAGGCTGGTTTGAGTGGGGCAACCTTGGGTGCTACATAAACAGGCAGGTCTCGTAACCCGCCCCTGGGGCCACTTACCTAGTAACGTGTGGCCGGAAACCGCTGACGTCTGATGGGAATTTGCAAACGCCTGATCGGATTCCGGTGAGACGCCTGGCACTTCCTCGTCCAATATCTCTACCTTCCCGGGCTTTCTAACCCTAACAAACATGGGCGCTCCCAGGTTATCGATGTCTGCGCGTCGAATGGCACCGGTTTCAGCCTGATCGGAGAAAATTGATGGGATTGATCCAGGCGCGCGCTTGGAATCGGGCAGAAGGTTAGGGAGGGGACTTTTTGTCTTCCACATCTGTGGACGTACTCGGTCCCCCGCCCAGGGCTCACGCTGTCTCGTCCGCGCGATGCCCCGACGGCGCTCGCGCGTTCAACATCGCACGTGTCGTAACACCTGTGGCCGTAAGGACCTTTAAAAGACGTCCGACTATTATCATTCGGGTATTTCAAAAGACATCGTATGTCTTATCCACACAGCCACGGCCCCCCGGCAGGTCGCCGGGCAGGCTCCGGTCGACGCCCAATGTGGCAGGCGACCCCCCGGCCTCACCGGTCGGGGTTTTCCGCAGCACGCGTCGCGCGACGCGCGCGCTCCGCCGCCGCCGCCGTTGCCACGCGCCCTGCGGCGGGCTGATGCGCCGCCTTCGCGCGCGCGTCGCGGCTGCTTAGTCAGCGCGTCGGAGGGCGTCGCGCGCGAGCGCGCGCACCGCCGCCGTTGTTCACGTCGTGTCCTGCAGAACGCGAAGGAAAGTGGATATATTGGGTGGTAAATACATACAATGTAACTAAAAAGCGCGGGGGATGCGCAGAAAAATGCAAAAAAGCGCAGGCGAAAATTTTTCGTCGGCGCAACATGCCCTAGGCAGCGCGCAAGAGCAAATGCGCACGCTCGCGCGTGCTTGGGGCGGTATAGGAAGGGAGGAGGGAGGGAGGGGGTGGGTGGCGGGAGGAGCGGCCCTCGACCGGCATCGCCGTGGGGTACGTCGTTAGGGCGTGGCAGGGGGTGCGAGTGCAAGCGTGCGTGTAGTGGGTTGATGGGGGCGAGACGAGCCGCGCGCGGGAGAGGTGGCGCGAGTGGTGGTGGCGGTGGCGGTCGAAAGGCAGGCGCGACTGCCGTCGCACGGTCGCGCGCTAGCTAGCAAGCGCGCACCTGCACGATCGCAAGCGCGCGGGCGAGCGCTCGCAGGTCTCGACCCCTCCTAGGCCAGGATGACCCAGGAATGTCGAAATACGCGTCCCGCGCCGAGCACAGCACCGCGAATTCGCCAGTGCGGTGGGTACTCAAACGGGCCGTGCTCGACACGGGGACGCGTTTCGGCACAGAGGGAGGGGGGGAGGGGGGAGGGGGAGGTCTTGAGGAATTACCGATTAGAAAAATCGCCCCGCAGCGCTGGACGCGCCGCAGGGAGATGCACTGGGAAAAGCCAGAAATTGAGAACAAAGTATGTTAGTAAAATCCGTGTGCAGAGCGTAGTCACGCACCTTCGGGATGCATGGGCATCCTCCTCTACCCCTCCAACAGCTTTTTGAAGCTTCGGCACGTACCCACGCGTCGCGGGCAGCCCCGGGGTGTTGCTTGCCCAGCCAACATCGAGCGCGCATTGAGCACGCGTTTGGCGCGTGGGAGACGCGTAAAACGCGTGTAAGGTCGTCTTCTTAATGAGAGGAGAAGGGCGGGAGGGCGGGTGGGGCAACGATGCGGGCGGCGACGCGGGCGGGGTGGTGGTTGGGAGTGAAGGACGCGCGGCCACGACACGGCGGATGTCCGGGCCGGCGACTCGGTCCGATGTCCGGGCTTCGTCGTCGTCGTACTCGACGGCCTCGGACGCAAGCCGAGGGCAGCTAGAGGGTCAAGTAAGGGTAGATTAGCATAGAATACATGTCAGAGAATGGATGTATGAATTTTCGAAGCAGAGCGATGTCTGTGGCTCACAGAACTTGAGCTTCAGTCACGACGTGCTTTGTACAAACCGATGTATTGCTCCTCTTCACCCTTGAAAAAGGACCTTTTGGGCGATATCTCGTCTAAATCTGCACGGATTGGCGTCAAACAAGCTGTTGCGCGTGGGGAAACTCATTCTACAACTTGGAATGTACAGTTTAGAATATCCTCTAACCTAGATCAAATGCAGGAGCACAGACACCGTGTTTGGGAGGGCAAATTCAAGGAGTTTCGAAGTTTGGCACACGATTTGAAGGACGATCATAGTTTATATAGCTCATCAATTTTCTATAAAGCACCCCCCTGCACTGTATATACTTTTCACGCTCTTGAATGTCCGTCGGCGTGTTCCAGGAGCCATTGAAGTCGACGAAGACGCTCCTCGGATGTCCGGACCGGCATCCGGGCAGTCCCAAGACGGATTTGGGTGGTCCCGAACATCAAGACGAAATTGGCGCAGCTGGCTATCCCCCTCTTCGCGTTATCCGCACCGCACCCTTCGCTGCTCTCCCTTCGCAAATATTCACAGCTCATCCTCTAACATTCCCCCACCTATGCCCACCATTTTTGGCACAGTCGGCCGCTCTTCATCGCGCTCGCGCGCATCGCGATCGGCCGCCTGCCCCTTCCCTCCCACCACCACCTTGCCATGCTCGCCCACCGCCGCGCCCTCCCCTCTCATTTCCGTCACCTCAGCAACACTAAACAACCTCTCACACATGCTCTCCCCACCCCGAGGCGGCGGCATATGTCCGACTCGCGACCTCCAATCCCGCGCGCGCTTCCGCGCGCGATATCAATCCCTGCACCCCTCCCAGGCGTCGTCGCCTCTAACCCCCCCCCCTCACCCGTCTCATGACAACATCAGCAACGCCCGCTTGCGTGCCATGCACAGGGATCGTGCGGAATGTGCTCAACCTCCCCCTTCCCCATCCCCATCCCCACCCTCACCCCCTCCCCCCGCCTCGGCTAGCGGCCAGAGCCGTGATTGGCTGCGCTTATGTGGCTCGCCCACACCCTCCCCCTACCCTACTCGACGCGCACTTGCTCATGCCCTCTAACGCGGGCTGGACGACGTGTGCCGCGCCGGCGAAAATTTTCGCCAGCGCTTTTCGCGCTTTTTTGTCGTTTCCTGCGCATCCCTCGCGCATTTAGTTACATTATATCTATCTACTATGTTATGTATCCATTGATTCTCATTTTTTGCACGACACGACACGTGCAGCAACAACGGTGGCGAACGCGCGCGAGCGCGATGTCCCCCGACGCGCTGACTAAGCAGCCGCGACGCGCGCGCGAAGGCGGCGCATCAGCCCGCCGCAGGGCGCGTGGCAACGGCGGCGGCGGCGGAGCGCGCGCGTCGCGCGACGCGTGCTGCGGAAAACCCCGACCGGTGAGGCCGGGGGGTCGCCTTCCACATCGGGTGTCGACCGGAGCCTGCCCGGCTACCTGCCGGGGGGCAGTGGCTGTGTGGATAAGACAGTCGAGGTCTTTTGAAATACCTGAATGATAATAGTCGGACGTCTTTTAAAGGTCCTTACGACCACAGCTGGTCGTAATCGGTGTCATCGCCGTCAGCGACAACGTTCATGATGCCTCGCGTTACACCGCCCGCACGAGGTCATCGCACGACGTTGAGAGTGCTGCTGCTGCAGAGATCTTCTGCAAAGACTGCTGTCAGCAGCGGCGACGTTGGCGGAGCGGGACACACCGCGCGGGTGGAGGCCGGGATGAGTCCGGCAACTCAGACCACCACGACGAGTTGACAGGCGCGCGTGGCTGGCGCGTAGGCTGCACTCGCGCGAGCCTGCGATGGCGCAGGGCGCGGCGGGGCGTGCTGGTGCTCACGCACGCTTGCGTGGGCCGAGGACAACGGCGCAGTGCCGATGGGAAGGATTAGGGCGGGGCTGGGCGGCAGCGCGCAAAGGCGGCGGCGCAACGCGCAAGCACGGAGCTACGGCCCGGGAGGCGCTAGGGAGGAAGCGCGGACTTCTTCCGTCCCCAGCGGGTCGTGCGGCGCGACGATCAGAGGTTCCCGACGATGACGGGAAGGCATTTGTCGTCGCTGGCGAACCCCCTGGACGTCACGCGGTGTTTCGCGGCGGTTTCGGTCGTGACGGGGCTCAGCCGAGCACGGCGGGCATTGCGCGGGGCACAACCCCAACGCGTCGACGCGCTAGCCCGTGCCTAGCTGTCGTGGTCGCCACGTCGCGCGCCTCGAGGGTCGCGACGGTAGGTTGAAATCGTATCTGTCGTGTATAGCTGCAATATACCTGTTTTACCACCTACGAAAAGTCGGGCTCGCGAGGAAACCCAAGGTATACCCAGGTATATTCCACCTGGCTGAACATCAAGATACGGCCTATAGCTAACGTGCAGTAAACACTGGGTATATTGCAATACTCCCCCCTTTGGTTACTGGGCATAACTAATTATTCACCCAGACTATGGTGGTCTGGACAATTCATGCAGACAGCTCTTCATGCTTGAGTCTCGGCGAAGCGGTCTCTGAGAGCTCGCATTAGCCGATGGATTGTCCACGAGCCAGAGAGCAGTCACCAGAGGGGCGTACTACCGAAGGCTACCGACGCCAGAACCAGCGCGCGCAAACGCTCCACTGGGAAAGGCTTCTCTGCCTTTGCTCCGTCGGCATCCTCTGCAGTCTTCTTCGCAGCGGGGCACTCTTCTTTTTTTCGCACCTTCCTCGGTGATGAGGTCCAGCACGCCCGCGCGTATAACGGTGCTGACCATCTGAAATGAAGGTGAAGCACGATGGAAGTAGTCAAAGAACCGTGGGAAATGTATCGTCGGCAACAATGGCGGTCTTATTTGGGATGAAGTGGCGTCGTCCGTCACATCATCGTCACGCTGCCCCCTGTGCGCGTTTGGCGCGTGCGCAAACTACGACTGGGCCCAGACGGTCGTGAAGGGCTAGAGTTAGTCTCACGGTAACTCTACTGCCATACAACAGCATGGCTGAGGCTGATCGTGAAGGTCTTGCGTTTATGTGACCTGGCGCGAGATTGCGCTCGTCACGCCTCAGCTCTTGGCTCATGTTGAAGTAGAATCGAATGTACACTTGCTTCATTTTGAAATTGCTCAACCTGGAGTCTCTCAGGCTACGTTGCTGACCCACCGACCCCGGCTTGAGGATGTCTGCGCCAGACTTGACCTCATCTCGCTCTAAAGGACTTCAATGACCACGCAGCACGTTGGCAGTACATCGACCTCGCCGCGGCATGTGCTGCCTTCTGTCTCTAATGCAGTATGAGAATCATCCTTGCAGCGTGCTGGCATTGATTTGTGTGATTTTTACGGGCCCGACTCTGCTCTTCACTTCCTCCGGAACGCGCCGGGCCCCCGTCCTGAAGCCTCACCATGAAATTAGGAGAGGGGCCGCCACTGGCATCCCTTGATCGCGTACCCATGTCCTGCTGCATGATTTCCTAAACGATAACGAGCCATAGTCGTGACGCGCGACGCATCGAAACCTTCACTCTCCGCCTCCGACAATGCGCGTTTCGCATTCCACACGTAGCGCTAGTTGGGGTCGTCGTCGCGCTCTGCCCGCTCGCTCTCCCTCCCTACCGCTGAACTTGGTCGCTTCCATCATCCTTAACCCGCGCACGGAAGGTTTATGCTCAACATGAGCTCGTCGTTGTTGACGGATACTGTATTGCGATGTAGGCGAGGGCTGTATACACGAGTAGTAGTAGCGCGCCGGATGTAAACACGAGTAACAATAGAGCGTATCGAAAGTGCGTACACGGATAGAGCGACGGAAACTGCAGCAACAGACATCGGATACCCTTCATTAACTGGCTAGCAAGATGTATAAGAGAGTAGGTGCGAGTAAACGCGAGGTTTTAACGGGGTAGCAAGAGCGATGTGTGCGAAGAACAGTTATGCGAATGGTGCTGTTGGTATCTCAATCGGGCAGACGAACGGTATCTCGCGGACGAAGGCAAATGACGCTATGGGTGTTCATGAAGACGGGAGAAGGAAGCGTGCAAGAGACGTATACGACGGCAGGAAAGCGACGAACAAGAACCAAGGACTCATGCAAGGGAAAAGCAGCATGGCGGACGTACAGGTTCAGCGATGAGCGCGCCTACATCTGCTCGCGATGAGACGCAATCGCCGGAGCACGCGAGCTCAGCTGCTGCGAGTGCTTCTCGCCGATGAGACCACCGTCGAAGCCATCGCGTTCGCCCGCGAAAGTGTTGAAAAACGGAGTCGCCGGGCTGAGCGTAGCTGGCGTCCGCGACGAGTACGTGAGCGACGGGCTGACCATCGACGGCGAGTTCTGCGTCAGCGCGGGCGAGCCATCCCCATAGCGGTCGACGCTCTTCTTGAGCCCGAAGCCAAACTGACCGCGCGACGATGGCGGGATGTTGATGCTGCTGTGCTGCGCGTGGCGTTGACGACCAGCGTCAGTCGGCGGATGAGGGAGCGTCGACGACCGGATGTGTGCCTGAGAACCGTGGTTCGGACTCTCATCGTCGGAGTACGACGCGTGAGAGCCGTGGTAGCCACGATGCGCGCTGCTGGAGTGGAAGTCGTTTTCGCTCAGCGAGGGCGAGAAGTCCATCGTCAGCGCGGGCGAGCGATGCGGGAATGTCATGGTGGATGCCTGCGCACGGTAACCACGCACGCCCACGTTGAGGCCTTGCGAAGTTCCCTCCTTGCTCTCTGACTGCATGCGACTACCGGGTAGGCGACGACGGAAGGCACTGTGCTCGCGCTCGGGATACGCGTCGTTGTTAGCTTGCTGAAGCAGGTACTCCTCAGCAGGCGTATAGCCATTGCGCGCCTGAGTCGCGCGCGACTCGGGGAAGCTATGCTGGTTCGAGTAAGCAGCGGCAGCGCTTAAGAGGTCCGTGCTCGAAGAGCTCGAGCGTAGCGTCTGCGGGAATTGCTCGCGGTAATCGAACCTGCTTCCGCCTTGCGAGTGACCAGAGCTACGCAGAGAATCGAGGAGGTGCGCCATAGATCCACCTGACGCGTCGCGCTGAGGGGGCGGTAGCTGGATGTGCTGCTCCTCGGACGCCGTGCGGAATGTTGGCTGGCCCCCGCTACGGTGGTCGTACTGATGAGGGTTCGGTGATCGGCGCTGCTGGTACGGGTTGGGGGACTTGCGCTGCAGGTTGTAGTCAACGGCAAGACCGTGGTTTCCGTGCGTGAAGTTGCTCTCTTCCATCGGACCGCGAGGCTGACGACGCTGCGCCGACAGAGAGCCGTGAGAGGGAAGGGAAGACAGCGAGCCATGGGACGGGAATGACGACAGAGAGGCCTGAGACGGTGTGGTCGACATGGCTGGGCCGCGCAAGTTGAGGAGCGCCGCTTGGGCGATCGTCAACCGGGAAGAAGACTGATCGCCGTCGCGCACGTTACGCTCTTGGCGCTGCTGATCGTGTAAGTTGCGAGGCGGCAGTCTCTCGTACATGGACGTACCCTTAGCTCGCGCTGTTCTGCGGTATCCGCAAAGCGCACAGAGATGCGGCTACCGGTGTCGTTCCAGCCGCGGACCATGCGCCCATGAAGGCGCTCAATGACTTCCTCAGCACCAGCGCGAGTTTCAAGCCTGCGGGTGAGCGTAAGCGATCGTCCGGAGCCCGGTCAGAATGGTGCAAACCTGACGAAAGCGATGATGCGTGGGGGGTTGCTAAGCTTGGTCTGGAAAAAGCGACTAGACTTGATCTGATGTGGTGCAACAAGCGCAGATAGGGTCTGCGAAGCGTTAGAAGATGACATGTATGCGCTGTGATAGAAACATACGGGCTCGTCGATGCTCAAAGGAAGGCTGTAAGAGCGATTTCGATGAGCACAAGGCGAAAGAAGAGCATTCGGAAAACGTACCCTTCGATGTATAAGTTGGTGCTCGTGAAGTCGTGAAGCCTCTCCATCTTCTCCTTGAACGAAACGTCGCTGGGATCGTCGCCGAACTGCTCGTGCCCAATGCCGGCGTGAGGCGTAGGGTATGGCTTCGGAGCAGCATAAGGCGTGCCGGGAATCTTGTGCACCTGCTACAATGGTCGTCAGCGACTGTTAGATCAGACTCGAATGTCTCTCACCTTGGAGAAAGTAGGATGCAGGTTACGATAACGCCGAAGGGACTGTATGCACTTCTCGGCGGAGTCTAACTTGGCAAACCTGTGCATGAAGGTGAGATACGCCGGCTAGAGCATGACAAAGACAACATACAGAACGAAGCCGTAGCCGCTCTCGCGCTCGCCGACGTGCCGCGTAAAGCTTCGCACACTGCGAACCTCGCCGAAGGGTGCGGCGAGAGCGTATAGCTCAGTCTCCGGGAAGTGGGGAGGTAGGCCATTGATGTACACATTCGGGGGTAGGTTCGCGTCTGAATCGTCGCTCTGCGCGGACTCGGCAACATGTGGATGCTCGGAGTCGGTAGGCGTCTGCTGCTCGACAACGGTCTGAAGACGCGCGGGTCTAAACTCGGGGGTGGTTGACTTGAGGATGGAGTTGACGACGCCCGACGCAGCGTTAGAAGAGAAGTCGGACGAAGGAGCGCCAGATGCCGGCGGAGCGAGGGACGATACCACGGATGAAGCTGGGAGCTTGAAAGCAGGAGCCTGGCGCTGTGCTTGCGAATGCGAATCACCTTGCGTAGCCGGCAGAATGGGTGATACGTCAGGTCGTTGAGCCGGAAGATCATCTACAAAGGGCGAGTTAGAGTACTGCGCATCTAGACAAGCGGTATATGTGGTGCAGTTCTCGTGCGTAGTCGGGGCGTATGACGCGGGTGAAGACGGTTAACATTACAACGCACCTCCGCCGTCCTCTCCGGGGCCCGGCAAACCCATACGCCCGACAGAGTGCATCAAGATCTCCACGTCCGTGTCGCTGTCCGAAGCTTCCTCGTGCGAGCTAGCGTCGCGAGCGATCTCGCCGTCCTCGAGTTCGATAAGAGGCTGGGCGAGCTCGGCACCGGTGTCGCGGCTCTCCTCGGGCGCGGTAGTCGTCGATCCAGGCACTCGCGTCGCGCGAGGTGAGGCGGACGCAGGGCTCTTCGGCGGCGTCATCGGGACTGGATGCGATTGCTGCTGCTCTGGGGTGGCGGCGGCTGTCTGTTGGGATAGCGTCTGCGACGTGGGCGAAGTAGAGACGGTCTGAGCGACCGAGGTCGTGGCGGATGCGGGGTTCGTAGACGTCATGGTGATGGTCTAGTGGCGATAAAAATGCGGAAGGGAAGCGATAAAGGGCGGCTCGGATTGAGAAAAGCGGGAAGAAATAAGAGCGGGTGCGAGGACTGTGCGATGGAATCACAACGAGAATAGCAAGGGCGATATAGCGGCAAGCGATCGATATGCAAGTGTTGATGGATGAGAGCGGGTTGGTATGGGGCGCGTTGGTTAAGAGCTGTATGCGGGCGTATTATGGGAGCGGGTAATGTTGTCTCTGTGGGAGAGATGGGGGGCGGAAGGCAAGAAGGCGAAAGTCCATCGCGTCCCCCGCCAGTTCCTCATATAGGCGTGGATCGCCTGACGAGCTTGTTGAACGTGTTTGACGTCCCCGAGCCGAATAGCGACCCGAGAACGTCGAAGTGGCCGAAAGCGGGTGATCCGCCGGTGCGTCTCCCGGCGCGTGCTTCCCGCGAGGCGTCCTGTCCTTGAGCTGACGCGTCAGAAGATTCAGTGACTTGGTGGACGCGTAAATTTACCTCTTGGGATTGGTTCCTCATCACACGCGATGTCCTCTTCACGAAGGTCGAGGGCCTGTCGCGTTACACATGTGGCGACGGAGAAGAGCGCGACGTATTTAATACGTTTCGACGCGTCTGGCGGGACGAAGATCTGACTCGAGGACTTCAGCGTGACCGAGGCCGCCGAGGACTGCTGCTCAGGTCACTCTTCGATCGTCTGCTTGATATGTCGAGCGAATTGTCAGGCTTCACTGTCAGCAGCGAGAGGAAGATTTGAACATACCTCATTCGGGCGCAATCGGAGAGATTGATGCAATCGCTGCTTCCGCGGATGCATATCGACCGGTCGTTTCGCCGCTTGTGGTATACGGTAGCTGCAGGTGTGAGAGTTCTGTCGGAGGCATATGTTGTTTTCATCGCAAAGACGCCGTCCAGAACGTCCCTAGCTTATGCACATGGGGAATATATCGGCGATCAAGTTCCGACCGCGGACTACGGGCAGCGTATACGACTCTCGGCCCTATAATAGCGGCACTCAATGAGGATTCAAGCGCTATTGTCGAGAGAACAGTATTCATAGCACGCCTGGCTAACGCTAAGCTGAAGACCGTGGACAGGAAAGCAGGAAGCAAGCGCCGAGCTCGCGTGGCCTGCCACGTGTCATTTTCGGTCCGTGGGAGTCAACTTCCATTTTCTGAATCCCTCAGTCACACCTTCATCTCCCACCTTCGTTGGAGACGACTTTGCCATGAAGGGCTATCTGAATCAATCGTGCTCCTCTCTAACGCAGTGAGCGCGGTCTTTCTTTGGACACATACAATCCGGTTGCTTGACTCATGGATGTCAACAACGGTCTCTCGCATCTGATGTTGGGCATGCATTGTACTATATCTAAGACGTCTTCGGTTAAACCCAGCTGTGCCAACCCTCGGACGGCTGCGCACGCACTTCCCAACTCTTTCGCCAAGCCCTTCGCACCAGCGCATCCCATGATATCTTGGATGAGAACGCAGATGACACCTTCGGCACAATAACCCATTCATTCTGACCTCGGGATCACGCTCTCTGTACCTATCGTCACCCGCTGCTCAGATCCTTCTCTCCTTCTCTCCCCACGCCCGCCCCTCTCACTGTCCAATCGCATCCGCGGAATTCCACCTGCCAACGGGGCACCCCGTATTTCAGCTCGCGCGGTGAGTCGGACGAATAGCGTGCGCGACAGTGTGGTTGCTCATCTGCCTGGCAGCTTGTTCCCCGCATCTATTCTGTCGTCTCTCAGACGCGAATATATTGCCGCTTCTCCCATTTTTACCAGCGAATGCGCACGCCACCGAGCCCGCATGCACGGCGCATGGTCGGGGCCGCTTGCTCGCAGGAAGCGGGAGACGGTGGTCGATAACTGCTGGGACTCCGCAAATATAAGGAACCGGTAGTGAGCAGGGGAGATCAGTCGTCGTACGCCCTTCGTAGCTGACTATCTTCTTACTCGTCGCTACCTCTCAGCGTTGGAAGAATGCACTTCGCTACGCTCCTCGCCACAGTCTCCCTCCTTGGCCTCGTCGCCGCTCACCCAGAGCCGAAGCTCAGCCTTGAGCAGATGGCGAAGCGGGAGGTTGGTCGTTCATTCTCATACCTCGCTCTCCAGTCTTCGCCTGCCATGTCCTTCCCGCTTTTCTCTCTCGCCCTTCTGTTTATTCGCTTTACTCGAACTATGTCTTTTTCGCCGACCACACTCACCCTTTCCCTAGATCGAGTCTCGCGCCCGCAGCGTTAAGGCGCGCACCTGCGCCCCTCAGATCCGCGCCTTCGAGGACCGCCGCCGTGCTAAGCGCGGTACGCCGACGAAGCGGGAGAAGCGAGAGAAGCGCCAGACGTCGTCGACGAGCGCGAGTGGCCCGCAGGTGACGGGTATCCCGGATGACGTGAGTCGGTCGAGGAGCTCGTTGGCGTTGACACGGGCGATGAGCTCGTCGTCATGCACGTTGAGCTTGGGCTCGTAGGCTTTGATCGCGAGGCTGACGACTGCGTAGGCGATCTGCGTGACGGCGCCGGAGGTGACGGAGGGCCCGTACTACATCAACGACGAGTACGTGCGCCAGGATATCCGCGAGACGCAGGAGTATGTCGTCCTTCTCATGGGTCATCGACGGCGCTGACTGCGCACCCTGCAGAGGCGTCAACGTTCTTCTCGACGTCGGTATCCTTGACACCGAGACTTGTGAGCCAGTCAGCGACGCCTTTGTTGAGATCTGGCATGGTGAGCGCGACCTTCGTCGGAGTGAGTGTATGACGCTAAGCCGCACTCAGCCAACTCGACGGGTGTCTATGGCGGATACAGCGGCGCGGAGAATGCGATCAACACCGAGACCTTCTTGCGTGGCGGGTACTTCACGAACGACGAGGGCATTGTTGAGTTGACGACGTGAGTGCCACTTGGTCTCGGTTCGCTATAGTTGCTGATGACGCCTTCGCCATCTAGGACTTACCCGGGTGGGTCCCGTCACGCCAGGCTCTGAGAGAGGTTCAATGCTGACCATGCTTTAGGGTACTACCAAGGGCGCACGGCGCACATTCACACTGTAAGACCCTGGCGTGATTCATGATGCTCGAGACTGACACGATGCGCAGATGCAAGCTCCTTCCTCTTTCTTGCCTCTCGCAGGCTGACTAGATACGACTAGGGTCCACCTTGACTGGTCCCAGACTGAGAGCGGGTGAGCTATCTCTTCCCGCCATCGCCGTATCCTCAACGCTAACCTCGCTTCAGTCAGCTCCAGTCGTCTTCGGGCTCCCTCCTCCACATCGGTCAGTTTTACTTCGACGAGGACCTGAACGACGCCGTCTTCGCCACTGCGCCATACACGGACGACACGAACCGCCGCACGCTCAATGAAAACGACGGGATCCTGCAGGGCGCCATCCGCCAGGGCGATGACCCGTACATTGAGTTGGTGGAGAAATAAACCTCGATGTCCGCGTGCTCATCTCTTTACGCAGCGTCGAGTACCTTGGTGAGGATCTCTCGAGCGGACTCCTCGGGTATATCAGTGAGTTCCGTGGAGTTCCTCTTGCGCGTCTGACTTATCTTTTCGTAGCCCTCGGCGTGGATACCTCCGCTTCGTACTCGATCCACAACACGAACGCTCTCGGGCAGGACGAGTAAAGGCTCTCGCTGATCGTCAGGAAGGCGTGCTCGAGCTGTGTCCATCGCGCCGGGCGCGGTGGGGGCAACTCTGTGTCGCATGGAGTATTATGGGCCCTCAATGTATGATGTCTTTCCGTTGTAAAGGGCTATGGCATTGTTTTCCCTTACAAAGCTTGAGCGCAAAGGAGCTAAGAGCGATGCGACGCATGAAGCATCTGACCTGAACATCCTAATTGTCAGTCCGTCGCCGTCAATACAGCTTTTACCTTGCGCGCACCATGAGCTGAGGCGTCAGTACTCGCGCCGAGCAGAAAAGAGATGCACGCGCTACGGTCTTGATGGGGTGAGTCGATCACTGACCACTGTTCCACATGGTGCTAGAGTGTTAGAAGCTTGTGCGCCTGTATTGCTTGGAAGCACATCTTGAAGCAGACGCTGGAGGCAATAGAGGTCATGTAGGAGCTGATATCACAAATTCTGTACTCATCGGTACAGTGAAGGACGATATAAGGCACTACACGCTGTTACGCATCGTCTTCTGAGTCCGAGCGGAAAGACGAGCCATATGTATGTCCACGCCGTAATCGATATCGCGAGGGCAAACTTCCTGCAGCCAGTCTGTATGGACTTGGGCGTCCCGAACTGATGAGCTGCTGTGCTGTGGAGGTCCGACGTGGAGGCGCCCATCTCTGACCTCATGCGGAAACACCCAGGCGCTCAGATCGAGCTTAAGCAGATCTGGGCAGTTCTCCACGAGAGTAGGAAGCTCCGACAGCGGGAACTTGACGTTGAGCAGGAGATCGCGCAAAGCTACGCACAATCTCGCGTGCCCCCTCAGGCTCCAGTGGTGAAGAGGGGCAATCAGTGTCATCGAACTCACAGTAGACGTGGAGATAAGTAAGACGAGAGAAGACAAGGACGGGCTCGATGTGATGAACCTTCTGAGTGCAGGATGGGTTTCCATGAGGTGCTGGAGATGAGGCATGGAAGAGAGGATTGTATTCCGGCGAATACGCCATGAACTGAAGTACGGACGGAATCCGCGCGAAAAGATCATCAGGCTAACGCCAGTCTGCATAGGCGCCAAACGCGCGTCCGTATCCAGCGACCGACAGCAAGAATCCTGCGAGTGGCGCATCCAAGGAAGCCGCAAGAGCACAGCAAAGTGTCGAGGCTCCAATTGTGAGAAGTCCTTCCCGGCGACGTCATGGCAACCCGATTGTGCACGAAAGGAGGTAAGCAGACGCCGCCTGAGGATGAGTTGCTAGGAACTCACTCTCTTTTCCAGACAATGGACGGAGGTAGGCAAACTTCGTCCAGATGAGCTCGGTCGCGCTGGCAGCTCTCGCGGTCGCGGCTTCCTAGCGAGTTTGCTTCGCTGCTCCCCTTGCGCGGTCTCAACAGCATCGATGTGACTCCGAGTAAGTCAACCGGACGATTCAACAATCCGGACGCGCCATTCTGTTCATATCAGTAGGAGCTCGTTGATGTGCTTGAGTAGAAACACAATAGGGCCTGCTCGTATAGTCGATTCTTCTCTGCTACTGCGGCAGTCATCAGACGATGTAGGCGGAGAACGAAGGAACCCGAAGCTCGCCTCCCCGCACGATCAACGAGTACGAGGATCTCGCTAGCAGCATTTCACATGCATCTGCAGGAATAGCCTTGAGATTGGGTCAGATGAGTATGCGCTCGGCAGTCGAGATATCGTCTGTGCCCATGGACTGGCTAAGGCGTCAGTTCGCTTGAAGATGTTGAAGATCACGGAGAGCGCACCGCGAGCGCCACCATGAGCATACGAGTTGACGGTCCTTCGCAAGATACGAGGCAATGATGGTGGTCAGCGTGGCATATCCTCGCTAGAGGGGCCGTACAGGTTGCCCGAGAACGTCCGCGTCACTCGCCAGCATGTCCGTGACCCCGGCCACGATCCCGAGGCGGTCTTCGTCTTCGCGGCGCAGAGATGGCGTGGTTTGTCGATTGCACGACCTACGCTGCTAGGCGTGCATGCGGAGGGGGACTTCCGCAGTCTTAGCAGCATCGTCGTACAGTACGACACGAAGAGCGTCCACCCTTGACCGAGTACCACTCTGACGCAGGGCGTACATCCTGAAGACAGGTGTCGCAGTCGTTAACGCTGAAGAGGGGTCAGCAGCGGCCGGCTGGGAGATGTACTCGACGCACCTCGGCAGCGTAACGGAGCGCTCGCCAACACCTCCATGCAGGCAAACCGATTGAAGATCAAGCGCCGGGAAGCGGCTCTGACTACGAAGGTGGCGTCCACAATCAGACTGAAGCCACTACTGAATGTAATCGTGCAGTCGGCGAGGGCGTAGCGTACCTGCTCGTGCATCGAACAGGCGAGAGCAGCGACGGCTACTGGAGGGGTTCCAACCCGGCGTACGCATCTCTCTAAGGAAGCAGTCGCGCTTCTTGTCAAGTGGTATGCATTCACAAGGGGGTATACGAAGTACAAGTGCGAGTAAGGAGGGAGGGTGAGATCATGAGGGGATGATCGCCATGTCCCGCGCCCCTCCTCTTGGACGTGGTGTTCTGGCCGAGGAGAAGAGCAGGCGCCTACTGCGCATCAGTACATGAGCCCGCAAGTGGGCTTTGGGACGCACCTCATCTCCGATCGAAGGACAGTGTCCATGGTGATTTGAACAGCACCTTCCAGAGACTCGAGTGCTCAGTGATTGGGAAGGGACGCACGCAAAGTCGGCGTAGGCGATGACGTGCAGTATAAGTTCGTAGCTATCGAAGAAGAAGCAATTCATGATGAAGAGCGGGACAAGAGACGAAAGCCTTCAGAGACCCAAGCGCCAGTCAGATGCACGGCGGCAGGGGCGTACGCACGCGCCGCGCGGGCACCTCGGCCCGACATCCCGCTGCTTCAGGGCAGGCCATGCTTCTTCGACCTCTCCGCTGACCGCCATCGTCTTCACCGTCTCAGCTGCCCTGTCGCTCGTTCTTACATCAACCTAAATCCTGAGACAATTGCTGCTGCTCCGCAAGGCTTGACAATTCTTGTATCTACAACCGGAGCCGACTGTGACTTGCGCCGGGTGAGCGCGATACGGATCGCTGCACTGAACTTTGACGACGCGCGTTCTCATGCGGCGCAAAGCATGCTCGGAATCTGCCCCTAGAGTGCGCTCTTGATGTTGATATGTCGCAGGGATACCGCGATGTACTCTGAAGAGATGAAGGTGCGCCGATCGATGCTCCACCAGTGATCAACCTTCTTACCGTCCGCCTTCCAGAGCTTCCTTCCCTAGAGTTTCCTTCCCTGTCCATGTCTCGAGGGGTCTGAGAGATTGTATTGTGCTCGCGCTGGCGAAGCCTCCCCGTCTTGACGAGCGCACGGAGTGGACTACCGTGATCGGAAGTCTTAATGCATCATTCCCCTTGCAGAAATGCAGCGATACGGCTCTTCGACTTCTCCCCGGTACGCCCCCGAGCTTTAATATCATATATCTGTACTCATGCGACGCAGCGAAGCCGAGCTACCTTCAAACGTGACCGTCTGCTGCGTATGGCGTCGACGCCCGATTCCCGGTATCGTACACCTGTGTATTCCTTAGGAGATGCAATATATGACTTTCGCCTTTCCCTCGCCACACCGGATCGCTGTAGTTGAGTCCAATGATGCGCATTCTCACTCGTCTGCATCGGTCGTCTGACGGGATGCCCCGAAATTCGGCTTTCGCGGAGGCATACGTGGAAATTGCCTTGTGGTGTTTTTGGGGACACTGACCGCGCTTCATATGCAGAGGCTCGCGATGGATGTCGTGCGCACTCAAGAGTCTTCGGCTCAATTGCGGGCGTTCGCAAGACGCGCGGAAGCTGAATCTTTCCCCATTCAGGACAATAACGTATCCATGACGCCGCGCAAGAAGTCTTCTGACGATTACTTGTCGATGCACCACTCTGCTACAAGAAGGGGCCCATGGATACAAGGTGAGTCGGATAGGTCTGACTGGAATCTATAGGAATGTCCACCATTCAGATCGCCGCGATAGGTAAGGATTTCCTACGATCAGCTCCTCTTAAGAAGCTCATCGCTGACGCTGACCGTGCGCTCTAGCGGTCTCCCTCGTTCCTCCTCCGCGCCCAGCATGTCGCACCCTCTCAAAACGCCCGAGATCGTCACCATAATCATGGACTTTGTTATGGAGGACGGCTATGACCGCGCGATCTGGTCTGCGTGTCACGTCAACAAGCTATGGGAAGCGGTCGCTCACCCGCGACTCTGGTCGGATGTCGATCTGACAGCCGTTCTGATGCGTCTGCCCGAGGACGCGTGGCATATCTACACCGTGAGGGGAGCCTTGCCGCTTTGGATCACAACCTGATGAGATTGTATAGGACAACAGGGCCCCCGCCCGGAGGCGGGCCATTGGTACGAAATGCGACGCTTCGACGCAGACGGATGAATGGAATCACTCCTCGAAGGGCGTACCCCACCCTACATTCGTGCGTTCCCGCCCTTTCTCCTTCCGATCGATGCTCACAGAGTGTAGGCTTTCCGTCGCCCCATCGCCAATGACGAATGGATGTCCATCTTGCCCTTCACGAGGCTCGTCAGGAATCTGAGAACCATCGGGGGGCCCACGAACTCGGACACGCTCCGCTCTAGATGGGGTCACCTCGCCCTCCACGCTCGTACCGTCTACGACGTGATCGCCGACTCCATTCCCGACTTCTGTCTCTTTCCAAACCTTCGGTCTCTCGATGTCGAGGACTTTGGCACGGACGCGCTTGTCATGTTCGCTGGCCCAGAGCTTCGAAGCCTGCGCACCGGCACCGACATCGACAACATGGACGCTGCTGAATGCATCGAGGCTTTCGTGGATGAGGCGACCGACACTTGCCCGTTCGTCGAGCTGCATATCGCTAATGCCCTCGCCTTGGAATTACGGGACGAGAAAGGGTCCGCCGCCCTCGAGGATGCCCTGCTCGCGTGTAGGGCGCTCGAGCGCCTCACTATCGACCATCTGCACTCTATTCAGTGGCGCACCGTAGCAGTGCTGCCCCACCTTGTGGAGCTGCACATCAGCAATGGTCGTGAGTTTAAGCACGAAGATCAGGATGACGACGACTCCGATGACGATGACGATGCCGACCTGGGCTTTCCGTCGCCTGACGAGATTGACGGGCCCGCTTTCCCTTCCCTCCGGGCCTTGTCTTTCGTTGATTCACCGCAGCTGCTTGAGACGATGTCCATCCGTCAGCTTCGCCTCTTGCTGGAAATGAGAGAGGACAAGTGGCCACTGGAGCGTCTGGTGATTCCATCCCACACTATCTACCTTCGCTGGAAGCACCGCGTCCGCACCGTGCACGCTCTGCTCGCAAACCATATCGACGCTGAGACCTTGCAGCACCTCGTCATTGGGACTATGTATGGCCCGGTTCGCGCCGACCCGTTCCCGAACATCAAACCTTTGTTCGCATTCTACAATCTCACTGTCCTGCACCTTTTCGCTGAGTTTGACCGTGGTGATTGTGAGTCCCCGCCGCTCGACCCAGACGAGGCGGCGACCATCGCACGCCGCTTCCCGCACCTCCGTGATCTCCTTCTATGCGCCAAGTTCCCTCTCTCGAAACTGCCCGCGTTCGCGCAGTACTGCCCGGACTTGGAGAAACTCCAATTCACGCCTTGGGTTGACGAAGACGAGGTCGACAGCGGCGGATCACTTCTCTTTGACCCACCTGCCTTCACAAGCTCCAAGCTTCAGACAGTGATCCTGAACACATTCTGGGTGACAATGGCCCCGGACGGCGCATGTCGCTTCAAGCTCGAGCTCAAGAGTATATTCCGTTATGCTCGCCGTGTTTTCCCCGATGCTGCCTTGCGTGAATACGATGGCGATCCTGACGAAATGGAGGACATTGAGACGGACTTGGAGGGTTCTGAAGATGACTCGGAGGACCCAAGCGACGACTCAGAACAGGATATGGTAGAGTAGTAGCGAGTGCTATATACAGGATACGAATACAATGCCAAGTTCATTCGTTACTCATCTTTCCAATATCCCTCCTCCAAAATCGCATCGTCCGTGATACTCCAATCAGTGCGTGCGCGACGGAACACGGTCGTATAATATCTCACAACCGCCGGGTCAGCGGCATCCCCGCCGAGATTGAGAGCTCGTAGTCCGTGATAATAGTCAGCAGGCGGCTTGAGTGTCGGCTCTTCATAACGATACCAGCTTTCCTCCATATAGCCCGTCAACCTCAGCCGCACGAGATTCGGGCAGGCTAGAGCGAGGGACAGCAGCTGAGTGAGGGGGAACAGGACGTCGACATACATGTTCTGCATGTCGGGAAATGCCTTGGCAAGCTGCTTCACCTGCTCCGCGGTCAAAGGTGGATAGTAGAATTCGTTGAGAAAGCGGGACAAGAGGCAAAGTCTGGTCAACCCCCTGAAGCCGAAGATGGGCTCGATGGAAAAGAAGGGATCGTCAGTTGTCGGTTCCTCGACGACGTTGAGGGCGAGACGTTTCAGCGTCGCGGCGGATACGTGTGTTCGGACGAGGTCGTACAGCGTGTGGGACGGAACGGAGCCGCCAAGCGAGATAGGGCCGAGGAATGCGAGGCATTCAAGCTCCCAGGGTGCAGATAGCGGTCGTGTTTGCAGAATCCGCCGGAAATCGTCGAATGGGAGGCCCGAACGAATTTTGAGGGTGGTGAGAGCGCGAAAAGGAAGGGTCGTCATGGTCGTCGCTGGCTCGGGAAACATTCCAAGGGCCGGCTTTTCGGCAGAAACGAGCAAGCGCTTCAATTCAGGTAGCGCACCGATTCCGGGCCAAAGGGTGGGGACTAGCCAATGAATCTCCAAGCTCTGCAGCGCTTCGCACTCCGGGAGGGCGTTGGTCAGATCAAGTGCACCCCAGACATTCATCACGTTCTCTAGGATGATGTGCTGGAGGGGCGCGTGGCGCTCTAAGAAAGCTGTGATACAGACCGCTGCATCCGTATTCTGGATGTCATCCTCGAAGTTGAGTATGCGTAGCTTGGACCCGCCGAACAGAGCGAGGGCCTCCGGAGTGTCGCCAAAGCACGTTACGTAGAGCTCCTCGAGGTTCGGGAAAACCGGGAAATCCGACGGGATGGATCGCGCTAGGACCTCGTACGCGGAGCCGTGGACTCCGACTTGGTCGCCAGGATAGAAGTAGGTTCCAACGGTTTTGAGACTGTTGACGTGTTGGGTATACCGCATAATACTTTTCCATTCTGGCGGGGTGATCGGTCGCCGCAGAACCTGTAGGCAATCAGACTGCGGTGCTTAGAGCAAGGGAGCAACGACGCACGAGAGTGAGCGGCTGAGCGGGCTTGCATTCCTTGGCGCTCTGAACGTAGTCGCCAGTCAACGCAGCAGTCTGAGCGTCTTCCTTGTATTGAGCGGGCTGAACGGGACAACATCAGCCTCGGTGAGCTAGACAGCGCAAGTGATACACACTTTGTAGAGGAACCACGCATCATCGTCCAGCAGCTTCAGAACCGCTGGCAGCGTCACGGATCGCCACAGGAAGGGGTGGCCGATCCGGAACCAGAGACGACTCACCAAACAAGGCTGGCGCTTGATGTGGTATGCCGGGTCGTCGTAGAAATAGGAAAGAATGCTTTCGAGCAGCTCGGGCACGTCCAGGGGGCTTTGATGATTCATGAAGGTAGGCGGGGAGAAGAACAGTTCGATGCATGTGTCGAATTCGCTCGCTTATATAGGCAGCCAGCGGCGCGCCAACATTGACCATTCGGAGATACCAGACGATCGAACCAACCGCGTCGCAAGGCGTGTAGCGGACAAAGACAAGGAGCGCAGAACAAGTCACATTCATCCGGATTTGATATAAAACAAAGCGGTCCGCTTTGATGCAATAGCGCGCGACGGAGAGCAGCATAGACCATGGCGGCATGCGATGTCGAGGCAACGCTATTGTAGTCCGAAAGGAGATGCGATCTGACATGTGATTGGATATGAGCACGACTTGAGGGCCGGTCAAGTCGTGTCACCGTCACGTCAACGCAGTCATCTCCCTTTGTTTGTCCCAACCCCGTACTCGCGCTTGCTTGGGTACACTGACTAGTACAACAATGAATTGACGCGATAGCTAACATCTCGTGATGAGTACTGCTGACGACCGGGCGATCGCATGTCTCGCGGCCCTTGTCTCTCGTCCTCGTTTTGCTTTCCTCGCGGATCGCTATGTAGCGCTGGCAGAGGCGACCACGAGATTGCAGTCAGTACTGCAAAGCACAGATAAGAAGATACAAGAGTCCAAACGGGCGAGACTGCCTGTGAACGCGTCGCGTGCGGGAATAAGCCGTGGTGGCCAAGAGGTGGACGTGCAACAAGACACGGTGAGCGATGGCATATCCGGTACGTCCTCGACGTGCTCCTCCTCGCCTAATCTAACCCTTGAGGCGTCAGGTCAGCTTTCAGCTGAAGCTCGCAGGACTCGGAGCACACCTTTGCGCGGTTTGAGTCGTAAACCAAGTTTATCGTGGGGTGATGCGGACAAAGGTACGCTCGCTTTAGTCGCTCTACTACATGTTCTTAATCACCTCAGGTGACATGCTGGAGCTGCCCGCTGCTTCATTGAACGCTCAGAATCAGCTGCCACCGCCGTCCTCCCCTCAAGCGCCAGAACACCGCGTATGTAATTCATGCGCATGCCTTCCAGCGCTCGAAGCATCGCCCATGCTCAACAACGAAGGATATGTTGCGATCTCGACAGATGAAGGGCCCCTCTGTTCGGACGACTGCAGTAGGATTTCTTCACACGTTCTCGAACGAAGCTTACACCGCTTGCAGGTTCTGCTGAATCAAATGTCATGGCCGGCGAAGGAAGCGGTGTCTCCGAACCTCGGGGTACCATTGTGAATGGTACACTCAGACGGAACGAGGCCTGCGCGGAAGGTGAGTAGATTTGACCCCGCCAGCCCCGTCGTCGCGTATCTCATTGGTCGCAGCGGATGCGAACATGAACGCAATGTCGAGTCTATTCAGTGCATCTACGGCAACGAACGGGTACCAGTCGCCTACCGACGACCTCGCTTGCGCTGATTCACGCGCTTCTCTGTCTGCTGCAGTCGTCGCATTGTCCTCAACATCGCCTCAGCTACAACAGATGGAAGGCAAACTTGCAATGCAGCTCCCTCTGAGCAGCGCCCAAGATCTACGTCTCTCACCCCAGCGCTCGTCATCTCTGCCACCGTCGGTCCACCAAGTTTCTTTTCGCTCCCGCGGCGCGATATCCCCTTCTGGAGCAGAAAACTCAGCATGGAAGGATACACCACGCAAGTCAGCTCGTCTCGCCGCCCAAAGCCATTCGGCGGGAATGCACGACGCACCCTCATCGAGGCCGTCAACCGCGCTGCGTCCGCGAAAGCGGCGCAAGGCGGCACCACAGGCGACGTCGGACACGCCATGCAAGATGACACTCTTTCTCTCACCTTTCGACTTCTGAGACGGCCCTTTTAGTGGCTTCCTCGCCCGCCGCGGCTGACTTTGAGGCTGATCCCCCGAGCAAGCGTCGGCGCTCGACTCGACTCGCGAGCACGGACGATCACTCACCTTCGGCCAATGACCAGTGTAGTCCGGAGATTGACGAAGCGTTGTCCTCTCAAAGTGACGGAGATGAGTCGTACATCGACGAAGGGGATCCGCCTTCAGCTGGCGACCTCACGCGCCCCTACGCGTGTACTGCCTGCGATGTCGCCTTCACCAAAGCTTCATATCTGCAAAGGCACCTTCGCGACCGCGCACATAACTCGGAAGGAGGTGCCCACAGATGCACGCTGTGTGGCGCCCGCTTTGTGCGTGTTCACCATCTGAGGCGACACTTGAGCTCCGCTGCGCATGGCGATGAAAGAGGTGTGTCGATGCGATACCGTACTCCCTGGATACCGGTCGGCTGATGCGGTCCCAGGTTTCACTTGCTCCGTCGCGGGGTGCACGCAGGCCTTCACTCGGAGGGAGCACCTCAAGCGACATCTTCAGAATGTCCACAAGCGCTGAGCGCAAGTCTCGAAGATTATGATGCCCCTCTCATTTTTGGACATCTTCTGCGCGTATTGCTTCATGATTATTCTTTTCTTGGCTTGGTTCCCTTCGTATTCACTTCATGTCCAATTCTCTTCGCCCCCATCCATCCGGTTCTGTACACTACCAGGGCTTTCTTGTTTTATCTTGTCATCATTATCTTCTTGTCGGTACGCCCTCGATATTCACTGACCATGTTACTTTTCTGCCCTGCCGCGTCTTGCGTGCTCGATACGCTTCCAAATCCTAGTACACCGTCGCTCTGGACCACACCTGACCTTCGACTGACGTGTTCCCGACTGGAGCGACTGCGGGCGCGCCACGCGCTAGGCGTGAGATACTAGTACTTAAGCGCCGCCCAACAGCCGCACCCTCTCCTTGCTTCCCTCGTTCATGATCCCTCATCGATCCTCGTCCGAGTCGCCGTAGTGAGTCTTTTTCCCTTGCCGTCCTTATCTGCTGACAGAACCTCTTCACCAGCTGCTCGCCCCCACCCTCGTACCACACCGCGCCAAGTTCACCGAACCTTGGGCAATCGACAATGCTTCCCACGCACGCCGATGAGACGACGCCGCTTTTCATCGTCAAGCTGAAGCGCTCTTCGAAATTTGACTGGCTGAGGGCGATTAGATACCTCTGCTTCGCGGTCCCCGCCGTCATCCTCATCTGCACGAGCTGGCCGCGCAAGACGCCCGTGGAGCCCGAGGTCTACTGGGACGTCCCCCTCGTCCCCGAGACCGACTGCCTGGGCTACGGCACGCGCGCGTACTCGGCCAAGTTGAACATCTTGCCGCCCGCGCCCAAGGATTGGCACAAGATCTGTATGGGCGAGGCGCCGGAGGTCGAGGTGACGGGCAGGATCCTGGAGAAGCCGGCGTGGTGCAACATGGGGACCGTGCGTTAGTCGACGCGCTTACGGAGGGCATCGGTCGACTGACTAGCGCGCAGAACCAAACCGTCTTCGGACACTGGATCGTCGATTTTGATGAGCCCGAGTGCATCAGTAGCTGGGGTCAGTTCGACGACAAGGTGCGCTCCGAGCTGCCTCTCTCTCTTCATCTAACTGACTAGCACTCCTAGGGGTGCACGACGGAAGCGTCGGGGTTCCGCGTGAGTTATTTCTTCCGCCCTTGTTGCAAACCTACCAATATCCTATTCGACCATCGCGTTCTTCCTCTTCCTCTGTACATATTTTCTGCCTTTCGGCGCTCATCGTTATCCACTTCCGCAGACCTACGAGGCTACGCTCTTCGGCCGCCTCGACGCAGGCGCCTGGCGCGACATGTGCCGCCGCACGCCTGCCATCGTGCACGGCATCAAGTTTACAGGCGCGATGCGCTGCTATCATGAGGTCGGTTCCTCGCATCCCCCTTCTGCATGCTTTTGCTGAAAGCGCTCAGCAGGAAGGTAAACGAATCTATGGTGCGTGGGACCTTGAGGACGAGACGTGCGCGTAGTAGAGATGAAGTAGTCGACTGTATATTTGTAGATGAAATGGCTGAAAGTCGAAGTCTACTGCAATTCCACGCCGTACTTGTCTGCCAAAGCGCACTTGTTGCAGTGCGAACATAAGTTCGTGGCGGATGCGAATCCTGGGTCTGCTGAATGCGATCATAATGGAGGCATGCACTTCCATTGGCGGGCGTATGCTTGAGGTAGAAGCAACGCGTAGAACGAACGCTAGAGAAGAATGAAGCGTAGGAGATCGCTCGCGAAGAGAGGAGGTTGCGTGTCGGACAATTCGAGGCGTCGGCTACGGGAGAATTCAGCTATAAGAACATTGCGCAGAGAAAGTTGAACTTGGGCTCACAGAACGGTGTAATCGTACTTTTGCTAGTATGAATCACGAAATGTCGAGACAATTGACGGAGGCGGACAAGGAAAGGGTCCAAAAACAAAACAAATGACCACCGCAGGGGTCGAACCTGCAATCTCCTGATTACCGAATCGTAGTCAGACGCGTTGCCATTACGCCAGGCGGCCTTGCGAAGTTCAGCAAACGTCATTCAATGATCGTACAACATTAGTGCGCTGTGGACGGTCTGTCAGCGATCGGTCTTCGCTTGATCCCGACGTCCATCTTACCGTTCGCACTCATGAGGACCTCTCTCATCTCCTTCAATGCCAATCAACCATGATATGCGCCGCTGTCTCGGGCGCCAGTCTGTCAAGCACTCGCTCAGCTTCTCGCGCGTCGGGTCAGCGGTCATGAACTGACACGTCATTGTTCCTGCGGCGAGGGCAGCATTGCTTACTCTCCGGACGCCTGTATGTGTATTCAGGTGAGACTAGCTCGAAGTACGCAACGGTCGCGTCACCACCCTTATGGACGCGTCGCTCGAACGTCGTTCTCCACCCGGCAGGGGAGTCCATGCAGGCCGATCCCGAGACATGAACCTACGCCGATCGGCTCTCGGTGTCAACAAGCACCCTTCAGACCCTACGTCCAAGGATGGCCATGCAAGCAGGACTGAGGTACGTTTCACTCACATTATGCTGCTGCTGGATGCTGATGATTAGTCGAGCATGCGCTGCGACGTCGCGCCGATCCCGTCCCACGTCGACCCTTAGATTTCATCACCAAAAACCATGAACATTCCGACTCCAGCAAGCTCGCTTCCATCTTAGCTTCAAACACCTCTTCTGCGCCTGTCTTTTGTAATCCGACCTGTCACCAACCACTCCGACGGATATCCTGTAGCGCAGGAACGCCGACAGGCCAGTCGTAACTATCCGCTTGTGCACTTCGAGGTCATTATAGGCATGTTCTCCGGTGTGAAGTTCTTTCTGATGTGCTACACAGGCGCATTGTGGATTGAAATCTCGTACTGGAGGGTCGGCTTCTCCAATCTTGCCATGCTCACGTCGCCTGTTGCCTTTGACGAGAACATCACACTTCATAAATGATCTTGAAAGGTGCGTGAAGCGCAGTCACCGGCGTGTTTCCTCCACTTCTCAATGTCTTCACTAACCGACATACAGGAACCCCCGAGGAGAGATCACGTTGCCTACATACAACGACTCGAAGTACAGTATAACACAAGCATTGTACCTTCGATAGTAGCGATGCCAATCAGTATTGTGTCTCTCGACGTCATCGATCACCGCCTCAGCATCGTGAACGCCCTAAGGGCGTACACCGGCGCCTATCTGATCACTCGCAGGTCAAGCTGTATCGTGGGACATCGACGTCGGCTGGCTTCGCGCGTGCACCTTACTTCCTATAAGCGCCTACCATGGACGTCGGCACAGGCATTGCCATCGTCGACCTCACTGCGAAGATCCTCCTGGCGCTGAAGAAGTACGCGAGCTTCGTGAAGGACGCCAACACGGAACGCGCGCGCCTAGCCTCTGAGCTAGCAGAGATTGAATGCGTCCTCGCCAAGATCAAGAGCCATCTCGAGGAAAGCGAGGGGAAACCCGGCTTTGAGGTGGTCGAAGCGAACCTGCGGACGCTGCTCGGCGATGGCGGGTCGGTCGCGCTCTACGTAGCGATGCTGCGGGAGCTGCTAAGCAAGCTGGACAAGGGCTCGAAGAAGATGCGCTTGCGCGCCAAGCTGATGTGGCCGCTGCGCGAGGGGAAGATGAAGGACCTGCTGCAAAAGATCGGGCACTATCGCATCCACTTTATCATGGTGTACGAATTGATTGGGAGGTGCGTGAGCGTGTTCGGCTTGCGGCGCGTATGCTGACGACCGTGTAAGCGAGCGACTAGCACAGGTGGCGGCTACTGTGGCGTCCATCTCGGAGGAGCAGACACGCGTCCGGGAGGAGCTAAAGGGGAAGGAGAAGCGGCGAGCGCTGGAGGAGGAGCAGCGCAAGCACGGTGAGGAGCACTCTTTCTTCATTCGTAACACCGCTCACTGCCTTCTGTACCCCAGAGAAAATGCAAGAGGACATCATCAAGTGGCTCAGACCGGTCAACAACGGCTTGAAGCACGCGATAGTGGCGGAGTCGCGCCAAGAGGGGACGTGCGGCTGGCTGTTTGACCATCCTGTATACCGTCGGTGGATCGAGCAAGATTGTGGCCTGCTCTGGATGCACGGAACTCGTACGTGCGTCGCTCTCGGCCATTCGCAGTCGTTGAATCGATATTTCGCAGCCGGGTATGGGAAGACTACATTAGCGTGCGTTTCGTCCCTCTTCCTGTCCAATCTGGCATATCTCACGCGCCCGTAGGTCCTCAGTCATCGAATGTATACGCCAAGACTCGCCTCACATAATGAACTACCATTACTGCGACTTTCGAGTCCCTGACAGCATCAATCTGACGTCCATTCTGCGCACCTTGCTAGCTCGCCTCGTGCGGCGCGCGCCTCTTGGACTCGATGAGCTCCGGCAGCTTCATCGTCGGATGAAGTCTGGCGAGCCGCCCCTCGTTGTGGACGAGATGGCGCGCCTTCTTTGCACATTCTCTGGCCTCTTGGCGAGCCAGGTGGTCCTGGTAGATGCTCTCGACGAATGTCACGACATCGCCGGCCTCATAGCGCAACTGCGTCGTTTGTCCGGCATCAAGGGCGTGCATGTCTTCGTCACAAGTCGCTCCGAGCACCGTATCGCTACGCTCATGCACGACGAAGAGTTCTCTATCTGCCTCATGGAGGAGCGCAAGGCGCTCGAAGGAGATATCGAGCGCTACATTGCTAGTCGCCTGGCTTGCCGCTTTCAGCTCGCGCGTTCTTCTCCCGATCTCCTGGATAATGTCAAGTGCGAACTTCTCGCGCGAGCAAACTGCATGTGAGCCAAGCGACCTCTCGCGGAAGGACGTACTTACCAAGGATCCCTTGCAGGTTTCGGTGGGTTCAATGCCAATTGGACACGCTCGAAAAATGTCGCTTTCTGACAACACTGTTGGACGCGCTGGGTCATCTCCCGACGTCACTGTATGCGACGTACGAGCGATTACTTCAAGATATCGACGAGAGCGGCCCAGACGACCCTCTGATCGCGCGGCGGGCACTGCAATGGCTGGTCGGCTCGAAAATTCCCCTCCATATAGATCAACTCAACGACGCCTTAACGATTGAGGTTGGCGAACCGGATCTGCGCAGCTATAACGTGCTATCCTGGTCCGCGGTGCTCGACGTCTGCGGCTCTCTCGTTCTGTACGACCGGACGACGGGGTTTGCGAGTTTGTCGCACTCTACAGTCAAGGTTAGTGCATTGAGCCCACAGTGCTCGATCAACCCTGAGGATTCGTTCAGGAATTTCTTGAACAGGCGCCATGGCTCGTCGCGATCCCCGCGCTTCAGCCCAGTACCAGCATCCGCTCCGCTCTGCACAAGAGCCTGGCTATGCAATGCTTGACGTACCTTCTCCTTGACGCCTTCGAGGCCGGCCACTGCCAGGACATAGAAAGTTATCGCACCCGCTGCTACGATTACCCACTATACGAGTATGCAGCTGAGCACTGGTTCCGACATCTCGGCCTCGTCGAAGCTTACGATGAGGACCTATACCGGGCTATGATGACTCTCGTATGGGAGCGCAACGCGGAGAAGTGCAGGCAGGCTATGTGCCAGTCTCACGATGGCCGTGGTCGTTCGCGATACGCCATACCTGTCCCATGGTATTGGGCTATTATGACCAATCGGGACTGGGTTATCCGACGTATGCTGCTCGAACACCCCGACTGGATTTCCGCCGATAAACTGGATGGTTATGTGTGCGATGGTCAACCACTTGCTATGGCCGCTGCTTTCCACTGTATGCGGGCGGTCAGCACTCTCCTGGACCTTGGCGCAGATGTCGATGGAGACCGCTCCCGATCTCCAATATTCTATGCGGCAGAGTCGTTTGTGCATTGCCCTTCTCCAGTCCGCCGCGACATTATCTACCAACTTATGGAACACAATCCCGACGTAAATACCGTCGGGGGTTCGGTCTTCAATCTACTCGTCTACATGGGAGAGACTGATATTGTCCTCCGCTTCATCGACCAAGGCTTCCGCCGGGACATCGTGGAAGTTGCCGATGGTGAAACGCCGGTGCACTATGCTATCGGAGGCCGACAGCTCGATCTTCTTGGAAAGCTCATTGATCTGGGATATGACGTAGATTGCATCTCCTCAGGCGGAACGTTTCCACTGCAATATGCACTTGATTTCGAAGATTCAAAGATGGTACAATTGCTTCTCGACCGTGGCGCCGCAACGTGGACTCTGAACCCAGCCCGCATACGCCAGCAGCCCTGGGCGGTCACGAAGCCTTGGTTCCCAGTCATCATAGAACCGTTTCGGCCAAGAATCCCCCTATCCAGCGAGCGCCTCCATCATGCCTATGATATACTACGGCATCTCCATCTACCTTCCCTAATTTGCCTACGTATCATGGACCTGGCAGAATTTTGGGCTTATGCTCCAGCAACTACTCACCGGCATGACCCAATCCTTTCTAGCTTGGGCGCTGGCAGTCCATATGCAACTGCCTCAGTTCCTGTTGGTGAATTGAGGGCGGTGACCTTTGCTACGGAATTTCATGATATAGGTGCGTTCAAGGACTGATTTGAGTGATCTGTGACAGCTAACTCGCAGCGCAGGCCCGCCAGTCAAGCGGTTACGGATCCTCGTTACCCCTGTGGATCCCATTGCGCCGCACTCATACATCTGCATTGAAGCTACTGTCGCTGCTGCGAGCTTCCCCCCACTTGAGCTCTGCGTCCACTGGGAGCCACTGGAAAAGACCTCGTTTACGTATACTCTGGACTTCCGTATGCCTCACGAGAAGGTACAGCGATGGTTGCACGATTTGAGGCCAGGTCAGACAGTACAACTGGCCTTGTATCACGCAGATATTGTCTTGTTCCATTCAGTTTTTCCGCCGTTTTGAACCTATTGACGGAGTAATGACGTAGATTCACTAGCATTTATCGCGCATAGTAGCTGATAACGTATCAGGTATCGCCTTGTGACATACAAGTGGCATTACTACTAATTGGTAGTAAAGTGCGACACATACGTGCGACGTTGATAGATCCGTTCGTTGATTATGTCGTCTACAACTTACCTACGAATGCTATCCAGGTATGCGAAGCTGGTCAAGTGGTCCCTCTGATCGACGCTCCGCGAAGGACCGCGTAATTATGGAATTGTCCTGCTTCGCGTCGTCTTCGTAGAACGCTACACGACAACCGCTGCTTGAGGAAAAAACTTCATCCATCATACCCGCAACCTCCTTCCTGAAGTGTGTCAGTGTGAGCGATTCCGTACCAAGGCCTTGTGCTGAGCTCGAGTCCTCTGAGATATGATGTGATATCCCGAGCCCGACATCGAAGGCAGACAATCCGAAGGCAGGTCGCCAAGTCTTTGTCGAGCTCAGCCACATCGTTCGACAGTTGATCGAGTAGCAGTGTGAGTCGAATAACGAGACGTCCAACAGGGTCCACGTGGTGCTCGAGTATTCCCTGTGGATGGAGCTCGGTGTTCCTCGTCGCACCGCCCTCGAAGTTCCTCGATGCACCACGCCTGTAGCTCATCCTCGCACCACGAGCAGGGCTCCTCGCTGCATAGGTCTCAGACGAGTCCGGCGGCGGCGTCCAGCGAAACGTCTGTGGCCCATCGTAGGAATTCCCGTCGCCCAAAATCGACAGCCTGGGCGCGGAAGGTGCCGACGCGGTGGCGGAGTTGGGCTCGCTAGACATCGACACTTGGACAATCGACTGCCGCGTCAACGACCGCGAGACGCTTGTCGAGGATGCCAAGCATGCCCGCTACGCACACGCCGAGGACTCCGAGGCGCACGTTGAGGTCGTCGACTGCCGCGTTGACGACCCCGAGAGGCCTGTCGACAAACTCGAGAGACCCGTCGATGGTGTCGGGTCCCCCGGCGTCGAGTCCGAGTGCCGCGTCAAGTTCCGCGGCGTCGACAATCGCAGTGCAGCTGGCGTCGAGCACAAGAGCTCAGCTAGCGGCGTCGCCGAAACCGTAGGACATGCAGACGCTCCAGCGGAAGAGGACGAGAGCATGAGAGCCAACAGAAGTGAAGATGTTTGAGCGGACGGGGACGAGGAGGCTAGATCGAACGGACGCGGGAGGGGAAGGCTCGAAAGCATTCGCACCTGCAGTCAGCATGCTCGAACCTGCAATTAAGCGGCTGGCCCAACGCCGAGGGATGAGCAGCGCGCTCCTCTGAGGGATGTGTGACATGCCCCTCTGAGGTGTGTGCAGGGGGCGCCTCCGAAGGATGGTCAGCGCGCGCCACCGACCGATAGGCAGCGTCTCCCCTGCGAGGTCCGAGTGGCTCATTCCTCGCGGTACCCCTATAGTCTGATGAGCGTACGCAGGATGGATCACCAGACTAACGAGAAGCTTACTATTTATTCGCACCGATTCTTGAGCTCGCGGAGTAGACTTATGAGAAAATGGGCCAGGGAGGGCGCGGGAGTAGGAGTGAGAGTAGCGAAGCAGTCTTGCCGAGCAGAACATCCCGGGTCTTTTGAAACCCTCTTGGTGAGTTAGAGTCATTGAGAGAATCGGAGGAAGATATAGAAAGCGCGTGAGGTCTACGGTGGCGATAAAAGGGTAGGTGGAGGGGGAAGTAGATGGAGCGAGCAGACTCACCTCAAGGGTCGCGTCTATACCAGAAACTCAGACTCGCGCGTAGCGGAGCGCCGCCGGCGGTGCTGAGGCAGACTACTTTTGTAAGTAATCCGCCATCCGCGCGGGAGGACCTACAGCGTCATGTTGTCGGTGCCTTCGAGTATTCCGATCTGCAAAGCAGAAGCGCGATCTGCTCTCTGAGATCGTTTATGCGAGCACTGCCAGGCGTCTGTCCAGAATTGAGATAGCCGTAGTGTCCCAAAGCCAAGATTGCAGTTGTGCGAGTGCGGTATCAGCGGCCTGCCAATGACATGCCAGTCTCGCGCTCATAGCAGGCCTTCGAGGACCGAGAAATTGTGGGAGATCACTGACCCTCGGACGCATTCTTTGGCCAGTGTGCGCCTGAACCGTACAGTAGCGCTCATAATATCCGAGTCTTCCACGACCAGCGAACATTCGCAGAGGATTGATGAGAGTATCTGTGAGCACTGAACTGACATCGAAGGATCGCCGGAAATGGCGTCGCATGCGACGCCACATATTCGGAGGCCACGTGTACGCGGACGATCCGACTTGCCTCACACGACCATCTTGACACTCGTTCTTCGCTGACATCACTTCTCCGCCATCAACATGCCAAGGGACGAGTGAACTGACCCTACAGAGGTGTTATGCTTGCGAGAAGCTACTCACGGTTCTCAATGAGATTCTTGAACCCGACGTCTGCGTACTCTCAGAACCTTGTTTTTGCGAGCGTGCCTGCAGTCTCAATGCGCGTCGCGCGTCGTCTGGTGCACACGCGCGCGCTCTTCTGGTGCGGCGCTGCCTAGTCTCGAAACCAGCCTGCGTTCTCTCACGCGGCGCCTACACTTTAGGTAGTCGTGCGTACCGATTCGCTCCATAATCGTCGGTACCGACGCGTCCCAACTCCCCTGCTCGCTCTCCCTTCAATTCCTGCTAGCCCCACCCCATCCCTCCTCTAAGTACGCTTGATTCCCTCGCCCGCGTCTTCTTCTTCCCCTCCCCTCTTCGCCCGCCCTTCCCTTCCCTCAACCTCATCACCTTCTTTCTCTTCTCCACCTTTCTCACTCCTCGCCTTCATTGCTTGACCACTCGTCCTCCAGCGCATACAGTGCCGGCCCTCATCATGCGCATATACCCAGGGCACGTGGCGTGTCCCACACAGGCTGTTGAGCGCTCCTCGTAGAAGGATTCATGTCGCTCGGGATCGCGTGCTGGAAGCCCCCCTCCCCTCGCCCACATTCTGAACGCTGGACATCGGCCTCAACCATGGACGGTGTCTAACCAGCCCGTCCTGGTCTCTGATCAGCCCGTCGTTGGTCTCTGACCAGCCCATCCTCGGTCTCGTCCTCGAGTCTAACAACGCAATCGCGAAAGGTCCACGTATAATGTGTCTTCTCGCTTCCCCCTCTCTTTCTCACCCTTTCCCTCTCTCTTTCTCGCGCTTTCCCCCCTCTCTCGCGCGCTTGCCCCCCCTCTCTCGAGCTTCCCCCCTTCTCTCCCTTTCCCTCCCTTTCGCACCTTTCCGCCTCTCTTCCCCTTTCGCCCATCTGTGACCGTCCCCTTACCTTCGCCCTCGTCATTCACTCCCAGCGTCAGTACCTTCTCTTCCCCCCCTCCTCTTCCCCCCTCTTCCTCCCTTCCTCCCTTCCTCCCTTCCTCCCTTCCTCCCTTCCTCCCTTCCTCCCTTCCTCCCTTCCTCCCTTCCTCCCTTCCTCCCTTCCTCCCTTCCTCCCTTCCTCCCTTCCTCCCTTCCTCCCTTCCTCCGCCCTTCCGTCCTCCCTCCCTGTCTACGCGAGCTCGCCATTCCTCCCTCCCTTCCTGTCTACTCGCCGCTCTCTGCCTCCCTGATCCGTCCCTGCCCCATGACATCCCACCGGCCGCCTGGCGTAATGGCAACGCGTCTGACTACGATATCCCCCTCTGTCTCCACAGTGAGAGGCCCGTAATCAGGAGATTGCAGGTTCGACCCCTGCGGTGGTCATTGGGATACTACCGTCTTTTTTGTGGGGATTTGCGCGAAGGAAGGGAGGGGGGAGGTCGTGTTGAGCTCAAGGGAGGGGGGAGGTTGTATTGAACTCAAGATTAGTTCGAGACTTGAGATGTGCAACGCTGCTACTTAGTGTATTTCGCCCTATGCTATTTAGTGTATTTCGCCCATTCAGCGTATTCCGCCCTATGCTACTTAGTGCATTTCGCCCTATGCTATTTAGTGTACATCGCCCTATGCCACACTACGAAGAGGTCCCTAGGCCGTCGAAAAGGTGCCGAGGTGGACATACGAAGTGGATGGGCGAAGATGATCGCCATGCACCGCACGCGAAGACGATCGCCATGCACCGCACGCGAGGGAGCGCGATGCGCTTCGGGGATGCAGGGCGCTTCGTAGGATGGCAAAGGCCACTCGCAAGACGATGTACGAGCCTCGTAGGACGGTGAGCGCGCCTCGCAGGACGGTGAGCGCGCCCCTCGTAGGACGATCTTAACGCCCCTCGCAGGACGACACTACCGCGCTTCGCAGGACGATACTGACGCGCCTCGTAAGACGATACTAATGCCCCCCGCAGGACGGCGAACGGTGAACGCCTCTCGCGAGCGACACTGACGCGTCTCGCAGGACGATGAACGCGCCTCGCAAGACGATGTACGAGCCTCGGAGGACGGTGAGCGCGCTTCGTCGGACGATGCTCGAGCCTCGTAGGACGATGTACGAGCCTCGTCGGACGATCTTAACGCCCCTCGCAAGACGATGAACGCGCCCCTCGCAGGACGATGAACGCGCCCCTCGTCGGACGACCTTAACGCCCTTCGTCGGACGGCGAACGGTGAGTTCGCTTCGTCGGACGACACTACCGCGCCGCGCGGACGATACTGACGCCCCTCGCAGGACGATCCTAACGCGCCTCGCAGGACGATCTTAACGCCCCTCGTCGGACGGTGAACGGTGAACGCGCCCCTCGCAGGACGACGCACGCGCCTCGCAGGACGAGAACCGTCAGGTGCGCGATAAAAGCGAGTGCTGCGTCTGGCTCGCGATGAAAGCGAGCGCTGCGTCTGGCTCGCGCCTCACGTGCAGGAGGGAAGGCGCCATGAACACGGAAGGCGCCATCAACACGGAAGACACCATAATCACGGAAGGCGTAAGGCATCATAAACACGGAAGGCGCCACAATCACGGCGGGAGGGAGGGGAGGGACTAAGCGAATGATGAAGGGGAGGGGGATGTGAGGTAAGGGGAATGGGAGGGGGAGAAGAGGTAAGGGGAGGAACGAACGAGGGACGAGAAGGGGAATTGAAGGGGTGAGCGTGGACAGGAGGGGTAAGCGAGGACAGGAGGGGAGGGAGAGGACAGGAGGGAAGGGAGAGGGGAAAGAGGAGGGGGAGGGGGAGGAGCTTGAGCTCGTCGGTCGCCAAAGAGGAGCACACCGCCGTGTGGATGGGAGGAGGGGGGAAGGGCGCCATGATCATGGCGTGAGGGAGGGGAAGGGCGAAGCGGATGACGGGAGGGAAGGGAGTGTGAGGTGAGGGGAAGGGGGGGAGCGGAGCGGGGAAGACGGAAGGGAACGACGGAGGCGAGGACGACGGAAGCGAACGACGGAGGCGGGGACGAAGGAAGGGGGTGATGCTCTTCCTCGGCGATCCTGCGCGCTGTGAAGCAGGATCCTGCGCGCTATGAAGCAGGATTCTGCGCGTCGGGAAGCAGGGTCCGGCGCGCTATGAAGTAGGGCCCTGCGCGCTATGAAGCAGGGTCCTGCGCGCTGTGAAGCAGGGTCCTGCGCGCTGAGAAGAACAGCCTCGACTCGCCGTCGTCCGAGAGGAGACGACACGGCTCGTCGATGAAGCATCTGACGCTCGTCCATGAAGTCGTCGTCGAGAGGGGCTAGGAAAGACGGGGGCGCCGAGGTTGACGGAAAGGTAGAGGCGCCGAGGTCGAGGATGTTCAAGGCATTCGGCTGAGAGGGAGGTTTGCACCGACTGACCACTAAGGAGGCAACTCCGCATCGACTGACTGCGAAGGAGGCTCCGCCATCGACTGCTAAGCGAAGCGAAGGGAGGCTTCGCACCAACTGACTGCGAAGGAGGCGACCTCGCATCACCTCACTGCGACCAGACCAACCCGCCATCGACTGACTGATTGCGAAGGGAGGCTTCGCACCGACTGCTAAGCGAAGGAGTCGACTCCGCCGCGTCGACCTGGATGCGAAGGAGGCTTCGCACCGACTGCTAAGCGAAGGAGTCGACTCCGCCGCGTCGACCTGGATGCGAAGGAGGCTTCGCATCGACCTGCTAAAGAGGCGAATCCGCCATCGACTGCGAGTGCGAAAGAGGCAGATGCGCACCGACTGACTGCGAAGCGAAGGAGGCTCCGCGTCGACCTGCTGCGAGGTCACTTCGCATCGCCTGCTGAGAAGGAGACTCCGTACCGACTGACTGTGAAGGAGGCTTCGCATCGACCGACTGCGAAGGAGGCTTCGCATCGCCTGACTGCGAAGGAGATGACCTCGCATCGACTGACTGCGAAGGAGTCGACTCTGCCATCGCCTGTGAAGGGGCGACTCCACATCGACTAGCTGTGATGAGGCGACTCCGCATCGGCTGCTGTGAAGGAGGTCGCTTCGCACCGCCTGCGAAGGAGGCTTCGCATCGACTGAGAAGGAGGTGGCGACCCCCGCGTCGACTGACTGCGAAGGGAGGCTTCGCACCGTCTTCCTGCGAAGGGACGCTTCGCGTCGACTGCCGTGAAGGAGGCTTCGCATCGACTGACCGCTAAGGGAGGCTTCGCCATCGCCTCAACGCGAAGAGTCGAATCTGCATCGACTGCCTGCGAAGGAGGGCTCCGCATCCACCTGACTGCGAGGTTGCTTCGCATCGACTGCCTGACCGCTAAGGAGGCTTCGCATCGACTGACTGCTAAGGAGTCGAACTTCGCATCGACTGACTGACCGCGAAGGAGTCGACTCTGCATCGACTGACTGCGAAGGAGTCGACTTCGCACCGACTGACTGCTAAGCGAAGGAGGCGAACACGCATTGACTGACTGCGAAGGCGGAGGTGATTCGACCTGACTGCGAAGGGCGAGTCCGCGTCGACTGGACTGCGAATGAGGGGGCGAATCCGCATCGACTGACTGCGAAGGGAGACTCCGCATCGACTGACTGCGAAGGTGACCCCGAACCGACTGACTGCGAAGGGAGTCTTCGCATCGACCTGGGAAGGAGGCTTTGCGTCGCACCGACTGACTGCGAAGGAGGTGAATGCGCACCGACTGCTAAGCGAAGGAGGCGACCTCCGCGTCGACCTGACTGCTAAGCGAAGGAGGCAACTCCGCACCAACTGACTGCTAAGGAGTCGACCTCGCACCGTCTGACTGAGAAGGGAGGCTTCGCATCGACTGACTGCCTGCGAAGGAGGCTTCGCATCGTCTGACTGCGATGAGGCGACTTCGCGTCGACTGACTGACTGCGAAGGAGGCGACCCCGCATCGCCTCACTGTGAAGGCGACTCCGCGTCGACTGACTGCGAAGGACGCTTCGCACCGCCTGACTGCCCGCTAAGGGCGCTTCGCGTCGACTGACTGACTGCGAAGAGAGACTTCGCATCGACCTGCTAAGCGAAGGAGTCGACTTCGCATCGACTGACTGCTGCGAAGCAGTCGACTGCGCATCGCCTGACTGCTAAGGACGCTTCGCATCGACTGACTGCGAAGGAGGCTTCGCATCGACTGCAACGCGAAGGGAGGTTCGCACCGTCGACTGCTAACAAGGACGCTTCGCACCGACTGACTGCGAAGGAGTCGACTTCACACCAACCTGCGAAGAGAGGCTTCGTATCGCCCTGCTGAGGAGTCGACCCCGCACCGACTGACTGCGAAGGAGGCGGCTTCGCGTCGACTGACTGCGAGGTTGCTTCGCACCAACTGATTGACAGCGATGAGGCGACCCCGCGTCTGCCTGCGAAGGAGGAGGCTTCGCATCGACTGACAGCGAAGGAGTCTCCGCCATCGCCTGCGAAGGAGTCGAATCTGCATCGTCGCCCGCTAGGGAGTCGAATGCGCATCGCCCGCTAAGGAGTCGACTTCGCACCGACTGACTGCTGTGAAGAGTCGACTTCGCACCGACTGACTGACTGCTAAGCAGTCGACCCCCGCATCGACTCCAGAGCGAAGGCGACTCCGCATCGACTCCAGAGCGAAGGCGACCCCGCATCGACTGCTGCGAAGGCGACCCCGCACCGACTGACTGCGAAGAAGGAGTCGAATGCGCATCGTCTGACCGCTAGGGAGTCGACTCCGCCGCGTCGACCTGACTGCGAAGGGAGGCTTCGCACCGCCTGATTGCTAAGCGAAGGGAGGCTTCGCACATCGCCCGACCTGCGAAGGAGACGACCCCGCATCGACCGGCTGCCGTGAAGGGAGGCTTCGCATCCACCGTCTGACTGCGAAGGCGAAGGGAGGCTTCGCACCGACTGACCTGCGAAGGCGACACCGCACCGCCTGACTGCGAAGGGACGCTTCGCATCGACTGACTGACTGAGAAGGAGTCTTCGCGTCGACTGACTGACTGCTAAGCGAAGGGAGGTTCGCATCGACCTGGGAAGGAGAAGGTGACCCCGCCATCGACCTGATTGCGAAGGGAGGCAGATGCGCACCGACTGACTGCCGTGAAGGAGGCTTCGCACCGACTGACTGACTGCGAAGGAGCCGACCACGCACCGACTGACTGCGAAGGAGGCTTCGCATCGCCCGCTAAGGGAGGCTTCGCACCGACTGACCGCTAAGGAGTCGACTTCGCCATCGGCTGACTGACTGCTAAGGAGTCGACTTCGCATCGCCTGACTGCCTGCGAAGGGAGGCTTCGCACCAACTGACTGCTAAGGGAAGGAGGCTACTTCGCATCGACCTGACTGCGAAGGAGGCGACTCCGCCATCGTCTGACCGCTAAGGAGGCGACTCCGCTACCGACCTGCGAAGGGAGGCTTCGCATCGCCCGCTGAGAGCGACTCCGCATCGACTGACTGCGAAGCGAAGGAGTCGACTTCGCACCGACTGACTACGAAGCGAAGGGAGGCAAGTTCGCATCGACCTGCGAAGGCGACCCCGTATCGCCTGACTGCGAAGGGAGTCGAATCCGCACCGTCTGACTGTGAAGGAGTCGACTCCGCGTTGTCTGACAGCGAAGGAGGCTCCGCGTCGACCTGCTGCGAAGGACGCTTCGCACCGACTGACTGCGATGGGAGGCGACCCCGCATCGACTGACTGCGCAGGGAGGCTTCGCATCGACTGACTGCTAAAAAGGAGTCGAAGCCGCACCGACTGATTGCGAAGGGAGGCTCCGCACCGACTGACTGCGATGAGGGACCCCGCACCGTCTGACTGCGAAGGATGCTTCGCATCGACTGACTGACTGCTGCGAGGACGCTTCGCATCGACCTGACTGCGAAGAAGGTGAATGCGCATCGACTGCAAAGCGAAGGAGGCAGATGCGCACCGCCTCTGCGAAGAGAGGCGACCCCCGCATCGACTGCTAGGGGAAGGACGCTTCGCATCGACTGACTGCTGCGAAGGTGGCGACCCCGCATCGCGCGCTAGGGAGTCGATTCCGTATCGCCCGACTGCCTGAGAAGGGAGATTCGCATCGACTGACTGCGAAGGCGACGCCGCCATCGACTGCCTGGCTGCGAGGAGGTGAATACGCGTCGACTGGACTGCGAAGAGGAGGCTCCGCATCGATTGACTGCGAAAGAGGCTTCGCACCGACTGACTGCGAAGGAGGCTTCGCATCGTCTGCCTGACTGCGAAGAAGGTGACTTCGCACCGACTGACTGCTAAGGTGGCGACACGGCATCGACCTGACTGCTAGGGAGTCGACTTCGCCATCGACTGTCTGTGAAGCGAAGGAGGCTCCGCATCGACTGACTGCTGCGAAGCAGTCGACTCCGCATCGACCGCTAGGGAGGCTCCGCGTCGACTGACTGCGAAGGAGTCGACTCCGCCTCGCCTGGCTGCGAAGCAAAGGGCGGTCCGCATCGACTGCTGCGAAGGAGTCGACCCCCGCACCGACTGACTGCGAAGGAGGCGAACTCCGCATCGACTGACTGCGAAGAGGCGAATAAGTATGCATCGACTGACTGCAAAGGAGTCGACCCCGCACCGACTGACTGACTGCGAAGACTTCGCCATCGACCTGGCTGCGAAGGAGGCGACTCCGCACAGACTGCGAAGGAGGCGAATCCGCCACCGACCTGCGAAGGGAGTCGACTGCGCATCGACTGCCTGCGAAGAGAGGCTCCGCACCGACTGACTGCGAAGGTGGCGACTTCGCATCGACTGACTACGAAGCGAAGGAGGAGGTAAATGCGCACCCACTGCCTGCGAAGGAGGCGGGTGATTCCGCATCGTCAGGGAAGGGGGGGGGTGAGGAGGGAAGTGAGGGACGAAAAGGAGGCGAAGGGGGGGGGGCAGGCGAGTCGAGAGGCAAAAAGGAGGAGGGTGAGGAGGGAAGTGAGGGACGAAAAAGAGGCGGGTGAGGAGGTGAAGTGCAAAGGAGGGGGCGAGGCGAGTGGGAGAGCGAGGGGGGAGGAGGTGAAGTGCAAAGGAGGGGGCGAGGCGAGTGGGAGAGCGAGGGGGGAGGGGCGAGGGGGGAGGGAGTGAAGAAGGGGAGGGGCGAGTGGGAAAGCGAGAACATGTGCTGTGCGTCGAAGAAGAGGGCGAAGATGCAAGCGATGGATTGAGGGCGAGAGGAAGGGAAGCGAGGGGACTCCGCATCGTCACGGGGGGCGAGGAGGGGAGCAAACGTGGGGCGAGCGCCGAGCGGAGGAAGGGAGTATATAGAAGGAGCGCGAAGGGGGGAAGCGAGAGGGAGGGGAGAGCAAAGCGAAGGGGAGTGGGGCAGAAAGTGATGCGCAGAAGGGGGAGGAGAAGGAGAAGGACGAGTGGAAGAGGAAGCGAGAAGGGGGGGAGGGGGAGGAAAGCGAGGAAGGACGAAAGCGAGAGGGGGGAGGAGGAAAGCGAGAGGGTGGAAGAGGAAAGCGAGGGGGGGAAGGAGAGGAATGCGAGGGGAGGAGGCAAGCGAAAGAGGGTAGGAGGCGAGGGGGGAGGAAGGGAAGTGAGAGGCGAGGGGGGGGATGAAGAAAGGGGGGAGGAAAGGGTGAAGGAGGAAGGGGGGTGCGGGCAAAGAAGTGTAAAAAGGGGAAGGGAGAGGAGTGGAGGAAAGGACGAGAAAAAGGGAGATATATGCGCACCTGGCACACGATTTGGAGAGGCAGCCGAAGGTTGGATGAGAGCGGCTCGAAGGAGAGAGCTGTTGGCAGGCAGGACTCTTGCTCGCGCTTGCTGCGGTTAGGCGTGTTTGCAAATGAGCACAGCGACCGCGGGTGCGCAGCAAGTGGCAGGGCTTGTCCTCTTCCTTCACCATCCTCATCGCATTCACGAGTCACGTCGAGCTCGCCATGGCGCACGCCCGCGCCAAGACGATCAGCGCATTCACTCCTCACCGCCACGGACAATGAAGTCGCGTCCCCGATCAGCGTTGCAGATCCCGGGCGAGGGAGATGATCGAGGACGACGGGCGACGGGCATAGGACGAGCGAATGGGGCTAGGATGACATGAATATGCATACGACGAGCAAGCATACGCATAGGACGGACGCGAACGGACACCATCCACCCTGGACGTCGGACGCAAGCGTACAGAGGGCATCGACCGTTGGACGGCTGGCCGGGACGTCTCCCGAGGCAGCCGATCGGCCCAATCGCCGCGCTGCCCTGACCGCGCACGTGTTTCGAAGCGTGGTCCCGTGGTCGACCTAGCCTGGCCTTTTGCTCGCTTCCCGCCCGTCCACGTCAACCTCGCCGCGTTCTTCTTGCGTCTGTCGCTGAATGTGAGTGTTTGGTTCGAGGCTTTGGCTGCTTGGAGGGCGAGGAGGCGACGAAGAGTCCTTCACGCGCGCCCTTCGAGTCCTCCGTCCGCGACTTTAAGCTCACGCATCGCACAGTCAAGTTCAACGCATCCCAGTCAAGCTCAACGCACGACAAGCTCAGCACACCCGACCTCGACGTTCGACCGCCCTTCTTTCTCGACCAAGGTGCGTGCGCTGCTTCGATCGGTTTGGCGGCCTCCATTCCTTCTGTCGCACCACAGTCCTCCTTGCCTGCCCGCAACCACTCTTTCCCCCTCTCCAGCCCTCTGCCCCCTCGTCGCACGCCCTCCGCCCCCGCGTCGCACGCCCTCCACCCTCGCCTTCATCCCGCGCTAACCCCCCACCTAGATGTTCACCACGCTCAAGACCATCTCCCTCGCCGCGCTCCTCGCCAGCGTCGCCCGCGCCTCGCCCTCCGCTATCGAAGCCCGCGCCGACTCGGACTTTCGCGTCATCGTGCCCGGCGGTGATGATTTGTGGTGGGGTGAGTCCCTCTCTCCGGCCGTCTTTGCCCGCCGCGCCGCACCACGCGCTTTCTCGACGCGTGCCGTACCTCCCAACCGCTCTTCCTCCCCTCCCCCTCCCATTCCTCCCCGCAGCTCTTCCTTCCATACACGCATCTCCGCCTCTTTGACACGCTCGCTGCATCGCTCGTGCACCGCCAGTGTCCGACACGATCGGGGTACACCCGGCTCTCACACCATGCATTCTCCCTGCCCTCCCCTCTTCCTCCTCTTCCCTGTTCCTCATCCTCTTCCCTCCCCCTCTTCCCTCCCCCTCGTCCATGCCCCTCCCCCCTCGTCCATGCCCCTCCCCCCTCGTCCATCCCCCGCCCCCCTCTTCCTCTTCCCTCTCCCCCCTCTCTCCCCCCTCTTCCCTCCCACCCCCTTCTCTCACGCCCCAAGTAGCCGAACGCAACCTAACGCCCTCTCAACCCCCCTCTTTCCTTGCTTTCTCGTCCCTTACAACCTCTCCCCCCTCCCACCCTTCCTCCCCGCACGCGCAAAGTAGTCGAACGCAAGCTGACACCACCCCCCAGTCGCCTCCTCCTCGAACAACATCATCTGGACGTGCGAGGACTCGCCGTACCAGTCGTTCAGCGTTTAGTGAGTATCCTTCAGAGCTATGATAGACCGGAATCGTCCGCTTCATCTAACTGACCCCACCCCCCCCCCCAGCCTGACCAACACGGACGTGAACGTGCTATCGGGGCCGATTGGGATTATCGCGACGCAGGTGGGTATTTTCTTTGTGTTCTTTTTATCTTCTTTTGTTGCGTTCCTCTTCGTTTGCTGCGTTGTTCTTCGCGTGCTGCGTTGTTCTTCGTATGCTGCGTACCTCTCCGTGTGCTGCCTACGTTTGCGTGTGCTGCGTTCCTCTTCGTTTGCTGCGTACTTCTTCGTTTGCTGCGTTGTTCTTCGTATGCTGCGTTCCTCTTCGTGTGCTGCGTACGTCTCGGTGTGCTGCGTACCTCCCCCTCCTCCCCCTCCACCCCCTCCACCCACCCTCCTCCCCTTCCCCTCCCCCTCCCCTCCCTCCTCCCCTCCCCTCCCTCCTCCCCTCCCCTCCCCCCTTCCCTTCCCTCCTTACCCTTCACCCCCTCATCGCCTTCTCCGCCCCCTCCCCCCGTCTCCACTCCTAACCCCACCCTCCCCACGAACGACAACTGACGCCTCCCCACCCCAAACACCCTCTTACTAACCCCCTTCCACCAAATAAACTCATCACTAACCCACCTCAAACTATGATGAAACTAATCTACTAACCCACCCCCGCACAGAACAACTACGACTGCTCGAAGACGATCACGCAGCAGCAGGCGGCGCAGCCGGCGGGGAAGGGGTATAAGGTGGGTTATCGTTTCCAACCATAATCGCTAACGCTCCCCCTGCACTCCAGTGCTCGCTCCCCGTGCACTCCAATGCTCGCTCCCCTGTACCGTGCGGCTCGCTCGCTCCCTTAACCCGCTCCCCGCCCCCTACCGCTTGCTAACCCCCTACCTGTCCTTATCCCTTCTCCTGCCCCTGCCCCCTTTCGTCGTCCCCCCTACCTGTTTCGTCGTCCCCCCTATTTCTTTCGTCGTCCCGCCCCCTACCGCCCTCTTCCCTACTCACACACTCCAACCCCCCTTCCCCTCCAACACTCCAATACTCGCTCCCCCCCAACCACACTAACCCCCCTACACCCCTTCCCTACCTCCCCCCCAACCATACTGACACCACAACTCTCCCCTTACCGCTCCCTTGACCCCCTACCACTCCCCTGTACTGCTCGCTCCCCCTCCCTTCCCCCCCTACTACCGCCCCACCACCCGCTCCCCCTCCCCTACCACCGCCCTTCCCTTACCCGCTCTCTCCCCTCATCCCCTCTTAAAATAAACTGCTCCCATACCACCCTATGATAAATACTGACAAACCGTCCGTACTGCTCGCTCCCTACCTGTTTCGTCACCCCCCTACCTGTTTCGTCACCCCCCTACCCCTTTCGTCGTCCCTACCACTCGCCCGTCCGCCCTCTTCTTGGACCTGCCTTCGCCCGTCCTCCCCCCTTCTCCGAACTGCCCTCCTTCCCCCTCCTTCCCCCCTACCTCTCCCTTCGTCCACCCCTATCGCTCCCCCCCTACTGCTCCAACACTGACACCATAATCAAAAATTGACGCTCTAACCATCCACCCCGACGGCTCGCTATCCACCCCCTACACCCTTCCCTCCTCCCACCCCACAATCCCTCCCCATAATCAAACACTAACCAAACTCGCCAGATCCTCCTCACCGACCCGCTCAACATGACGAATATCTACGCCGCGAGCGAGGAGTTTGAGATCAAGCCGCTGGGCAGTACCTATCCCGATGCGAGCGCGACGCCGGGGGTGGGGGCGGGGGGGAGTGGGACGGGTGAGTGTTTGTTTCTTCTTTCTTATATTTGTTTGTTGGGCGGTGGTTGAAAAGGAGATGGGTGGGTGATTGTGGGTGGGGGGATGGATGGGGGAAAGGGAGGGGTGGGGTGAGGGGGGTGGAGTGGCAAGAGGGGTGGGGGGAGCGGGATTGGGACCGTCGCGAGAGCGACGTCCACACGCGGGCAGAGCGAAGGTGCATGGGAATGTGAACGCAACGCTAACCTTCCTCCCCCCCAGCCACCTCCTCCGGCGCCTCTGCCTCGTCGACGGCGGAGAACAACAGCAGTGACGACAAGAATGGCGCTGCCTCCGTGGGGTACTCCCTGACGGGTGTGGTGGGCGCGGTTGTGGGTGCCGTGGCTGCATTGCTTTGAGCGGTGGGTGGGCGTGGTGCCGATCGGGGCACCTTTGCAGCTTGCGGGCTGTGCGCGCCTACCTGGGAAGGAGGGGGAGCGCATCAAGAACATTCATCCTACGGCCGCGTACGGTCTCCTTCCACTCATTCATACTTGGCTCCCGTGGTGACTTCCTACCTACATATCAAACCTTTCTTCTCTTTCTTTCTGGGCATCTTTTCACTCTCTTTCGGGTCGTTGGGTCGCGTCGGTTCTTTACTTCCGCCACTGAGGTGTCGGTCCCTCGCCTTCGCCGCTGTCCCGCGTGGGGATGACTTCCTACGACGCGGCGGCAGCGACTTTCATACCTACAATTTGGGCCCCAGTTCTACCTTCATTGGGTTCCTCTCCTACCCTTTACTCTTTCCTAGCGTCGTAATGGTCATTTGGCGGGTCTTGTTTTTGATTGGTGGCTGTGGTGGGTTTTGTCTTTGACGGGTACGTGGCCCGATCTGCGCGTTTGGGGAGGGGTACGTGCCCGGTCTGCGCTATCGTCCGTGTTCGGTCGGTGCGTTTGGGGAGAGGGAGGTGCCCAGTCCAGCCATCGTCCGTGTTCATCCATCCGCTGCACCCTCGCTCGCTCACGAGCATCGGTTCTGCACCCTCTTACCCTCACGCGCATCGGTTCTGCATCCTCCTGCCTTCCTTGCGCGCTTCCCTTCATCCGCGCCCCTTCTTTCCTCACGCGCTTCCCTTCCTTCTTTCCTCACCTCACCCCAAGCCTCACGCACCCTCCCGCTCCTTCACGCTCCACCCTCCCTCTCGCTCCCACCCCACCTCTTGCCCCGTCCTCCCGCTTGCCCTCGCCTCACCCTCCCTTCTGCCTCACTCCCCGTTGGCTCGTCCAATGCACCGTGATCTATCCCCTTCCGTCGACGACGTGGTTGATTCCCTGCCACCAATACCTTGAACTTCGATGCTGCTCTTGCGCCTTGCGTCTATTCCCTGCCGCCAACAACTCCAACTCGGAATCACACTTCGCAGCGACACGCGAGGGCCCAAGTTGCGGGTGACACGCGAGGGCTCAAGTCGCGGGCGACACGCGGGGGCTCAAGTCGCGGCGGACAATCAGGAGCACGGGCCATGCCTATCCTCTCCGTACGTCGTCGAAAAGTCAGTTTCTCTGAATCGTATGTTGCCGAAGAGGCGTTCCTTCGTACATGATCAGAAGCGTCTCTCTTCGACGAGGAAGGCCTCCTCCTCTTTGACACACGTCGCCTCCTTCCGGCGCACTGCGTGCCGCTGCCCCGTTCTGACAGGACGCCGCGAAACTCTTTCTGGACTCGTCTCATTCGCTTTGAATTCGAGGGCGACGTTGGGTCCTCGCGAGGAGCGCGCGTCGAAACCTTTCTCTCCGAGTCTATGGCGTGCTGCATCCCTCCTCTTTGGTGCACTGATTCTCCTTCTTGTCGCACTGTCTCTCTCCTCTCCGGTGCACTGCGTCTCTTCTCTTCGGTGCACTGCGCCTCTCACCGTCGGCGCACTGCGTCTCTTCCCTTCGGCGCACTGCATCCCTCTCCTTCGGCACGCTGTCGCCATCCTCTGCGGCACGCTGCGTCTATTCGGCGCGCAGTGTTTTTTCCCTTCGCCTATGAACATGCGAGGATTCCCTCCTCTTCGATCTCGCGCGCGTTTCTCCCCTTTCGCCGATGAGGAGCAGAGGGCTGGTCTATCTGACGAGACGCTTCGAGTCCTCCCTCGTCAATCTCCTTCGAACTCTTCCTCCCTTCCTCCCCCATCGACCCGCCCACTGTACCCCTTTACTGCCACCCTCCTATCGGCCGCCTGGCGTAATGGCAACGCGTCTGACTACGACGCTGTAATCAGGAGATTGCAGGTTCGACCCCTGCGGTGGTCATTCAATGAAGTCATACGGGTGGCTTTTTTGGGGTTGGCGGGAAGGGATGTTGAGCAGCGAGATGGTTTTTGTTGCTTGGCGGGAAGGGATGTTCGGTTTTATGGCGGGCAATGGGATTTCAGCTGTGGCGAGAAGGGAAGAGGTTTCCTGGTGGCGAGAAGGGGGAGACGCTCAAAGACGGGCTTTTCAGTGCTGGCAGCGGGCCTTCCGTTATCGGGCCGCGCGATTTTCCAGCACCGGGCCCGCGCCCTTCTGCCGCTGCAGCGGACAAAGTCGAAGGAGGACTCTTTGTTCGACTCCTCTACAATATCTACCTATACTTCCTCATCCCGATCACCCGTCGGTCTCTAGATATCAGATGTTGCATTCCGCTTACCATCAATCTCCACGATGGGTACATCTTTGAGCCATTGTCCCACCAATGCCTTCAGCTTCTTTTTTACAAGACACGCACCGGAAGCGGGGGCGGCTTACCTCAGCGTGTCTTCGGCTCCGTCAAGACACGCACGTGACCCGGCTGATCGGGGCGCGCGGCCGGTGATAGCGGCGACATGCGGAGGTCTCCGCGCCCTCATCTGGTCCCGCCGTCGTCGGCGAGGGCGGCGGCGAGCAGCGCGCCGTCGTCACCCGACGCACCCTACGCGCGCCCCTTTTCCTCCCCCCTCTCCTCCCCCACCGTCCGCGCCCGCTGCGACTCGCTCCGCTGCTCGGCACTGCGTAGCCTTACTCTATTCACGCCTCTAATAAAGTCTATTTTTTCGTCTAATCCCTCGATCGCGTCGTCGCGCGCATCGCGTTCATCGACGCCGCCCTTGAGACGTGAACCCTACACTACACTACACGCGCTGCCTGCCCGAGCCGATTGGCAGCAGCTATAATGCATCCCTATCAGCCGGAGGGCCTTACCGGCGCGGAGCTCGCGACGGCGAACAAAGAGCAGGTTAAGCACTGGATACGATTGACGAAGAAAGCGGCGGAGGCGGACGACACGAAGATCGACCTCAAGCTCTCGGGGAAGGTTGCTGAGCTACGTGCTCGCCTTGCCGCGTTCCTCGGGTTGGACATCACCAACGTCATTATCTCGAAGACGAAGGCGAGCGCGGCTGTCAAGACGGAGACGACTATCGACGAGACGATTCGTGCGAAGCAGTGGGAGCATTGGCACGTCCTCGGTGACGAGTGGTTCAGGGCGGCTCAGAATCAGATGCCATTCCGTCTACAGCAGACTGGTCAAGGTGCGTAATTCACTAGATCGTGCACACGTCTTGTACTTACTATTACTCCTACCAGAACTTCCCATCGCACGCGACACCGTGCTCTTCAAGTCCATCTGCGATGTTATCGCGGCATTTCCCCTTCGGCCCACCGATCCCATCGCACCGCCTCAAGAACGCCTCACCAATGTCAGTCGGCAAACCGTCAACCTCTGGATCCAAGCTGTATGTGATGGTCAGGATCGGCTCGCTCTTGTATACCTCCATACGCTTCGTAACCTCCTGTACAATATGTCTGAAGGGGCTCATTTCGTAAGTTCCTTTGTTGTCAAGTATGAAGCTCAGCACTGATTGAGTGCGCTAGCTCATGACGACGTCAACAACGATGGACGATTCGCCGCCGACGCCGGGCCCGGTAACGCCTTCACATCTACCCCAACTGCCTATCTCTACATCCATCGCCTCCCCCACACCATTGACACGCACATCGTCACTCAACATCATCAACAATAACGCTTTATCGACCTTTCCGACACCTCCGCAAGTTCTGCGTACTCAGGAAGCAATGACGACGCAAGCTGATGCTGCCATCGCCAACACCTCCAGTGTGACGCTCATCACACTTCCCACCGCCGCCACGCTCCAAGATGCAATTTCTCAGTGCGAGAGCGGACTTGTTGCGCGCATCCGAGCGGCGTACGGCCCTCACGAGGGCAAGAAAGGCACGGCCGCCAACCCTGCTATATGGGCGACGTACAAGGTCAACATTACGCGGCGTGAGCGCCTCCATTCAGTCCTGCAGGAGGACTTTGATGGCGACAAGGAGCGCTTCTTTGCGTTCTTTTCCAAGCCTGACTCTCATCCCAAACGGGGGATGAAGAGAAATCGTGCGACAATGGAGGCCCAGGCTAGCGACAGCACTGCCAACCCGCGCGTGAGTTTTGCGGTGAATCAGGTGGTCGACGCCATTCCCAAGTGTAGGGCAGATGTCAAGATGGCCATGTGCGACCTCAGCGCCGTCGAGCGGTTGGATAGGTGGGGCGTAAAGAACGACTTCGAGATCTGGCGTGAGTTGGGGCTCGAGCGATATGGATCCAGGTAGTCGTTTGGACTCGTTAGTTTCTAGTATTTTAGTTTCGTATAATTGATACTCAATGTCGATCTCATGCCGCGGATGAGCTTGTGTCTGTGATTGTGCAGCGCGTTACGCAAAGTCAAAGTGAATAGAGGCCACAAGATATATTCTACCTTTATCAGAACAATACGCGAGGTACATTGGAGTCATTGCAGTCGTAATTATCAAGGCGCTCGTGGTTGTCGTTCGGTGAGTAGAAGTAACGGAACATTGTCACTGCTTCGACTTGTGACCAACCTCCCCATGCCGCAACCATATCCACGGTCCACCCCTTCACTTTGATACGATATTGACAACCACCGCGACGGAAGGAATGTGTACCATATAGATTCCATGAGATATACCCTAATTCCTGCAGGTCCCGCACGAGCGCACGCGACAGGGCGCTTGAAGTCTGAAAAGGACATGAGTTGCTAATCAATTGCGACGCTTTGCACTCACGAAAGGCTTCCTCTGATCTATAGCACCCTGCGCACGAACACGCAGGAACAATGGGCCGGACTTGGGCAAATCACGCCCATAAATATACACGAGGCGGATGATGGCGCGCACCGGACATATTGCGGGATCTGCGTCGTTGGCGTGGAGTCTCCAGTGATGCGATATCCCACTTTGCTGTGTTTTCCGGGGACCCAAACGTACATCAAAGAACCGGCCTGGAAAAAGCATCAATACATCGTATTCGACCCATCCTTGCATCTTACGCACGTTCCCCGGGTATCTTCTCGATGCTCTCGAAGGTCAGCTTCATCGCTTCTTCGATCCGGAGCACGAGGAGCCATGCGAGTAGGTATGCAGTCTACGATGTTGATCGTCAGCGGTAATAGGGATTGAAATATTTGTATGGAGACGTACGTAGCGCACGATCCCTTGACGTTGATTGGCGAGTGTGTCTGTCTTCTCACCTGGTTGCACAATGCACAGATCGAAGAGGCGATGCATGTCGTCGAGTGTAAGCGCACGCGCAGACTGTGACACCTCGCCAGCCGCGGCCTTCGTCTTCTCAAGGCCCACCATGAACTCAGACACGGTTCTTGAACGTGTCGGGAGTCCTCGCCTGAAAATCATTGTCAGTATGGCGATGGACGCGATCTCCCAAATGATAGTACCATTTTCCGGTCAACTCGTCGCAGCGCCATTCTGTGACGCTCTCATTCTCGCGACCAGGCAGATGCCGATAATAATAAGTAAGCGCCGCCCGCGTGGACACGGCGGTAGCGAACTGAGGTTTGAATCGATGGGCGAGCCGTACGAGCAAAAGCATCGGAGACGCACCTTCTTTCCCTGACCTCCTTTGTCTGGCGAACCACATTTGTAAGTGATAAATTCATTGATTCTCCCGGGAGTCGCTTCGGACACTTCCTCGGGTCTGAACGTTGGGTCCCGCGCGATATGGAAAGCAATGAAGGCCTTTGCTATCCTGAATCATGCGTGAGTATACATCTCACGGCACAGAATTGCATTCACGTACCGCACGTGAGTCGTCCGCGTCTCTTCTTTTATATACGCGCGCATTAGCTCCTCTGCATGCCGCTTTATCGGGTCTGGGAGGATTGGCTCGTCAAAGTCGTCTTCAGCCTGATTTACGAGGTCATCGGACTCTGGAATTGAGTCAACGTCTTCCAAGGTGATCTTCTCCATCTCGGCAACAACCTGGCGTGCTTTAAGCAATTGAATATGTTGTGAGCTGGGATCAGATGCACCTGCTCGGAGGAGATCCCATTTTCGCCAGAACTGTAACCAAGGGCTGCCACCTGGCTTCGAACCCAAGCAGTGTCATCGCTCATGACGCTTGCGAGGCAAGAGATGTTCAGTGCGATGCAAAGGAAGAAGAGGTGCAAGTAAGACAGGGGCCAATCAATTTTAGTGTACTCACAAATAACAACAAACATCAAGGACTTTCATTTTATTGCATTCCAAAGCGGTATACACATACTATACACCGCAGGGCAGGAGATAGGGGACCACATGATGACGCGGGTATGAGACGGCTGAGTATAGTCTGTCGATTCGAGCAAAAGAGCAAAGGAAGCGAAGTTGAAGGGAACATGAAAGGCGTACTAATTCACAACGAGCCTCGCGTTGCCTATTTACTCACCTGAACACATCGGCGTCCTCGCCCCAGATTTCCTTCGACCAATACATGCTATGGATCGGCAGCATGAACTTCTGGCCCTTGCGGGTCCTGCGCGACCCGGTCAGTCAGTGCTGTCTCCCTTCGGCCCACCCCGCCATGTCACTCACTGGATTTCCGAGCACACATTCCCATGGATGTCGATGAACGGCTTCGCCAGCGGCACCACGTCGTCCCTCACAGCCTGGCGCGTCACCCACGGCACCGGGGAGTAGAAGCGCAGCACGTCCTTCGTGAACATATCCAAGTACTGCAGCTTGTTGAGCTCGTCCATCGTAGGCTCGGCGCCGTCGAAGGCGAGGCTTTGGAGTTCTTGGCGAAGGCGCATTTGGATCCCGAGGTCAAGCGTGAGCTGGTAAATCGCCCACGTCGTCGAGGTCGCGGTCGTCTCGTGCCCAGCAAAGAAGAAGGTCGGGACCTCTGCAAAGCAAGACCCAAGTGTCAGCCGCGTATCCTCATCCCACACACACGGAGAAGAAAAAATCTACTCACGCCCCATCACCTCCTCATCCGTCAGCCTGTCCCTCTGCGACACCGCCAGATTCGCGCGCACGAGGACGGAGAGCAGATCGCGCGCCTCCGTGCCCGACTTGATCTCGTTCGCCGCCGCGTTCACTTTTGCCTCCGCGTGCAGGCCGCGCCCGATGCGCTCCATCGTCGCCCGCGCGGCGCGCTCTTAGCTCAACCTGGGCGCAGGAATCCAGCACGCAAGAGGGAAGACAAACTTCAGATCCTGCCACTTACGCCCGAAGCGCTTGGCGAGGGGCGCGGACTTGGGTGGCACGCTGAAGAACTTGGCGAATGCGCGCCCGAGCTCGGAGGACTCGGCGTCGTCGTCGAGGGCGCCGAAGTCGTAGCCAAAGCCTAAGTTGAGAGGGGGCGAGTGAGAGTGGAACGAGGATGGATAGTAGTGGGGTACGCACCACCTTCCCGATGACGTCCAGAGTCATCCGCGAGAGCTCGTTGAGGATGTTGAGTTTTGCTTCGCCTCTGTTGGCCGCGAGCGCATGGTCCCAGCGGTCTTTGAGCTGCCGTGAGGCGTCAGACTAAGGTGCACAATATGAACCAGCACGTCTCGTCCGACCGGTGCCATACGTCGTCGCGCCCCAAGAGGTGCTGCAAGGCGCGCACGTCTGTGGTTATGATGCGGTCCCTCTGATGAGCGTGTCAGACTTTCAGCGGGAGTTGCTCTGCGCAGGAGCGGATGGCGTGCGATGTGCAGGAGCCGGTGGCGAGTTCTGAGCAGGAGCAAGTGATGCGTGCTGAGTAGTCGGGATGGCGCGCACGCTCGGCCTCGGCGCGTTCGTGATCTGCTGCGTGCTCTCTTTGCGCGAGCCATGGTTGGAGAGAGCAGGTGCCCCGCCTGCGAACGGTACAGGGAGCGACTCGGCATACCAGCAGGTTCGACATGAGAGTGGAGGTCGCGACGAGGGCTGGGGGGCGCGTTCGGGTGTTCCTTGACCTCGGGCCGCGCCTCAACCGCGCACCCTTTGCCCTTGTCCGTGATTCTCTTTGGGGAGGTCACGGTGAGCTCCGAAGTAGCTGATGGCGTGCGGACTGGCACAACCGCGGAGGTCGTCCCCGGCGGGGTGCGAGAAGGGGAGGGCGCGATGTCAGCGACGTCGTCGACGATTATCATGGGAGCTGCTTCCGATGCGGTTGCGCGCGAAGCTGCCGAGTGTGCTGAGGCTGAGTAGACTGCCACCACCGAAGCTTGCAGGCTTGCGATAGCTGCTGCCATGGACGAGCGGCCGAAGGACGCATGCGCGAAGGACGACCTGATCAAGCGGATTTCGAGGACCGGGCCCACATCCTCAACTTGCTCCGCTTCTCGCGCTTCAAAGACTCAGGGTGCGCTGACTGATCCTCTGCAACGGCAGAGACATGCTAGGCAGCGGGATGGTGCACTGTCGTCCGGATTTAGTGCAGATTTGCCTGTCCCACTCCCGGGAACCGAGCCGTCGCGGCTTCATCGAGCGCGCTGGTGAACTGGTGTAAACGAGCTCATGATCGCGTAGTCTTGTTGTGTCGGAGGAGGTACGGCTTTTGCAGAGGTGGGCACGGAGGCTTCGTGTTGTTCCCTGGACTAGGGAGGTCGCGATTATTGGAGGTGGTGGTGGGGGGAGGACGCGTATCAGAGCGCAGGGTGCTCAGTCCTTGTTTTGCGGCGGAGCGCCGACTACTTCGCGTCTTGGAGTGCAGCGCCCCAGCATCTACCGTATCCATGAGTATAGAACTAAGGTGCAACACGGAATACGTACCTCAGCTTGCATCTACACGACACGCGGTCTCAGCTCCTGCAATTCCAGGCTGTCATTCTTCACCAGAGAGTGTGCTGTAAGCGGTACACGGGGTTTCTGAAATTGCAGCCTGATGATGATTGTGAAGCAAGTGGTCGAGGACGGGAAGCAGTGGATGGTGAGATCGCCTCAACGGGCTGGTTCGCGGCGACCCGTCAGCGGACTATCACGCATACATAGGAAGACTACCGTCTCACAAATCGACGAGGCGGCTCACTCCTGAAGGGCCGAACGCTAAGCGGGCGCGTATTTTTGGCCTGCGTGTCTTGCGAGGGCCTACAACTTATTTCTTTACAAGACACGCATCCCCTAGGCCACCCGCCCAGGATTTGCGTGTCTTGTGGGGCTCTAAGCGTCTGGTCCTTTTACAAGACACGCAACTCGCCCGCGGAAGTCGGCGGGGCGAGCTAGATGGCGTCGCGGCGTTCTCTGTTCGGATGCGCGCGTACCGTGGCGTTTGAGCATTGACGATGCCCGTGCGTGCGTTAGATATAGACAGCGTTGGATAGCTGCAGACCGTACGATTCCAGCGATATATAATATGACGGGGTAGGCTACGTTAGGGCGGGCACGGTGGGGGGAGGAGGACGGGGCGCGCGACCTTGATCTGGTCCCGCGCCGGGTCGCCGGCCGTCACGTTACGTCGCCCGCGTTCGGCTCTTACCGGTGCGTGTCTTGGGTCGATCTAAGTGTTGCTTCTCCTTTGCAATATGCGGTTCGCTCAGATCCACATCCCTTGCGTCTTTGAGGATGTCCATCATGATTTCGTCGTTCAGAGGCAATTTGGGCTTATCCGACGATCGCGGTGTGGAAGGCCCCGACATGCCTGTAGATGAATCGGCCCTTACTGCAGCAGGAGCACGCCCATATGGCTCACTGAAGTTGTCGAAATCCACCTTCGCAAGATTGATTCTGGGGCCTTGGTATGGTTGATCCCTCTGTGCCCATGCTTGCAGGCTCGTCTTACACCGGTGGACCGTCAGCAAGATCAGACGTCCAAGCGGTCGATCAAAACTTATCTCCGGATGTCAAACAGTCGGCCGTTCGAAATCCCCCTTCACCATCGTCCTTATCCTTCAAAAAAATTCGAGAATAGTCTTCTGTATATATCCTTTTGCTTCTTTTACTCTTAGACTCCAATCTGCTCTCACTGTGAAGCATCGGACAATGTTCATACACGTGCGGGCCCGGCAATGTCCGTGAGCACAGCCCCATCACTCGACGCACAGCCACAACATTCGACAGGCAAGTCTTCAGCTGTCCTACCTTAGTCTAAATTCCTCAAAATATTTGGGAGCGTATATCGTGTATCTTCAAGTCTTGATTTACCTTTGTGTAGCAATCGACATTGATGAAAGTGCTTGTTTGTGCACTTCGCTGGTGGAACGGCTGCTCGGGCCGATCCTACCGCTGGTCAATCCCTACTTGGTTCCGTCCTCGACGACTTCCCCTACGCCCCACCCCCGCACTTGGCTCTTGCTCTGTACTCGCCACCCAATTTCATCCCTCCATCTGCAGGGTACTCTCCCTGCCCTCTGACCTTTAAAGCGACCTTCAAGGCTCATAGCATCAGAGCATGAGTAATAGGATGATCAGCGCGAGAGGATGGGCGAGTGCGAGTGCGCGTATTCTAGGTGCGTGGCTATGCCATACTTCGCGGCGAGTACTGAAATACCATATATGACTCCTATAGCAATTGAAAGGGTTAGTGCAGCCAACGAAGCCTCAACCTTGAGGAGGAGGGGTGGGGTGATCACATCTCCCCCTCCCATCCCTTCTCTCCCCCGTCCCTCTCGCAGATGCGCGCGGCGTGGCTTGCGTGCGCGAATTCTCGCACATGTGAGATGTGCGATAACTGCGCTTCATCAGATACCCTGCGCATCTCCCTCACCGTCCCCCATTCTCCCAACCCGCCCCACTTGGTTAACCACTCCCTTCCCTCAGCGCCCTAGTGCCCGCTATACGGCACTAAGAAGTCCTTCCCACCATCATTGCTTGATCTCCGCCCCCCGCAATGCGTCCGGACGCGTCCTCGACGTGCTAGAGGCCGATCGCCCTCGTGCGCGATGCGCGTCCCGCGCGATCTGCGAGTCTCGCTGCCCTGTCCGTCATGATCTTGTCCCCTTTATCCCTTTCCCTCCTATTCTGTGCGATCTTTTGCGCACGCGAGGCATAGCGCCTTCCCTGCCCCCCACGCACCTGACTTACCCCCTACCCCGACTCCATCTTTCTCCCCCTTCCCCTCGCGGCGCGTAGAGCACGTGTACTACGCGTCAAACCCTCCTCCTCCTTCCCAGCTCGCGCGCTTCGCTCCCCTGCTTCATCTCTCGCATATTCGTGCGCTCTCCCACACGTTCTCATGAGTTTTGTTCGCAGTGCGTGTCGGGGCGAGAGATAGGTGGTTGACGCGTACTGGACACGCATTGTGCGAGGAGGGGGGCGAACGGTGGGTTGGGGTGGGGGGGTTGACCAGGCGCGGGGCCGGTAGGGAACGTGCAACGGCTCGCGCGCGCACAACAGCGCTTAGAGAGGGATGGGAAGGGAGTAAAGAGGATCGGAAAGGGCGGGCAGGGCGGCGGAGCCCGCAGATCGCACGGGATGCGCATAACGCGCGGGGGCGATCAGCCTCTCGCGCGTCAAGCACGCGTCCGGATGCGTTGCAGGGAGGAGCAAGGGTAATGGGGTGGGAATAGTCGGGAAATCAATATCTTTGCCGTGCGCGCGGTCCCTGACGCGGACGCCTGCCTTTGTCAGTGCTGTCACGGTCGCCGCCCGGTTGTTTCCATTAGGTAGGTACCATATTGGCAGGTCTCGTATATGCCGGAGGGCCACTTAACTAGTTGATTCTGGGGCCTTGGTATGGTTGATCCCTCTGTGCCCATCTCAACACTCGTGGCAAAAATTTAACAGAGTACGGATCGCTGGAGGAAGCGCAAGCAAGACCGAGTATCTTGAGATGGTATATATGCTTGGGCATCGGGAGTGTTTTTTTGAGATCAGGTAGAGGTGACTGCACATCAAATATGAGCATGAGAACACGATTAGAAGCGTGTTTGTATTCATCCAAAATGCTGAACAGGCGCGCGATAGCCTTGATATATAGTTTCTGCACGTCTTTGGGCACGCTTATCCCACTGTCGCTGATTTTGATGTAGAGGCCTAGGCTGTATTGGCGGTCCTCTGACGAATCTTCTTGCACACAAAGCCACCTGAAGGCATCGGCGACGGCTGCAAAAGTCGTGTCTCCAGTTGAGGAGTCGGATACACCTGGGATAGACCTTGATGAACTCGGCCCGGGGTCGGGCGCATAAGCAGCCGCTAGCCTCAGCGCGATCTTCACGAGCATACACGACGCCGAGGGCAGTTCGGGCGCATTGGCCAGTCTGTTCAGCGTGCCCTCAATGGCTGACAAGCCATCCGAGCTGACCGAACTGGCGGCACGCGAGTTTGCATCGCGGCGTGACTCTGATCCTGGTACAGGGGTGGGCGGCGTAATGCGGACGGTGAACGTAGGAGCGCGTTGGGGTTGATCTCCCGTCGTCGCATGAGAACCAGGGCGATCTGTCTCTGTGGATCTGCTCCTTATAGGGAAGCCTGCGGCGCGCAGGCCGTTCGGATGCGGTGAGCCTGCCCAATTTGGTGGAGGGACATAGTAATCGATCGTCTGCGAGCCGATATAGGGAGCAGGACGGCCTGGGCCGGAAGTGTGAGACGCCGCTGGGTGCGACGACCGTCTCTCCGACTGCCGCCTAGGCGAGTCTCGAGCTCGCGTTGTCGATGGAGGTTGTGACGATGATCTCGTCGGTCTCGGAGAAGTGAAAGAGGAAGGAAGGGGTGTAGAGCTGGTGGAAGAAGGAGACTCGGATGAAATAACAGCACCTGGCCAAGCGGCTGTCGATGGGGGCAATGGAAGAAGGAATTGTCTCTGCGGAAGCGGCGCTGCTATCTCAATACCACCAACCTGCCGGCGACGCGCGCTACGTCTGGGTGAGGATCGAGACATGCGGTCTTAGAGATAGTGGCGAGAGGCAACTTCGTGTCGAGGATGGGACAGGAAGAACCTCACACCAGCCGCGACGAGCAGGCACCTTATATATACTCGAGAAAATTGAGGCGCAACGATGCACAGTGTTCTGGACCAACCATGGCGCGCAATCTATCCAATGATATCAGCCACTATATTGAAAGAAGCGCCAAAAGGAAGAGAATAGCCGACAAGAAGTCCGCTGAGAGTTCTTTCGCCTTTAAAGACTGCCTAATCCGACCGACTTCGGCTTCACAAAAGACTGCCTATCGAGTCAGACTGGTAAGACAGGCCAAATCGCGTACACGAGAGGTGCTACTCGCAGCGACCTCGGGAGCGCGAACGTCGTTGCTCGAAAACCATCCTCGAGCTCGTGACCGAAGAGGTTCCAGCCGATCCTGCATCGTAAGTAAGACGAGAGCGAGGGCTTACACGTTGAAGGTACAAGGCCGAAATTGCGGCGAGGGTTCGAGGCCAAAACTGCGTCCACTCATCGCAAGACGACCGTCGCCCGGTCGATCCCACAAATACGCACAAAACATGCCACAAAAGGGAGGTTGATTGGCATTGCTATCGAAGGTATAATTGGACGATGCTCAAGGCCGAGACTGCACGTTGCCTAAGACCGAAATTGGCCGATGCTGAAGCTCGAGATGGGACGTTGTTGAAGCTCGAGATGTTCGAGTAAGCGTCGTCGTGGATGTCAATCGACGCGGCCGTGTGAACATCTTGGACGCGATCTTGTGATTGCCTTGTCGGCGGGGCCACCGAGATCTCTGGGTCTACGGTCAGGGATCGTGTGCGAGCGAGCGAACGGGGATGCTCACCAAAGACGGCCGTATAGCCCCGGCGAGACAGTCTTGTAGCCCCGGCGAGACAGGAAAGGTAGTGTAGGCGATTGTCCGATTTCGCGCGCTTCGTCAGAGTGGCGAGCGGAGTACTGTACGATTCACCGCGCAGAGACTGAGCGGGCGATGTGTACCTGATGGTGCCGGTAGAGGTGCAAGGAAAGCTGTCGAGGTGCCGGGGAGCTCAAAGCTGTCGAGGTGTCAGCTCGGAAGGCACGCCGCGTCGCCTCTTGTGAGCCTGGACGTATCCCAACCACCGAGCGCAATATTCACCTGCGTAACTTGTCAAGAAAGGCATGGGCGGGGAGGAAAAGATCTCGACGGGCAGACAAAGCAATCGTGTCGGCGTCCCTGTGCTGGGATATTCACGCATGATTGTGCCCGGAGAGGTGCGGACATGTAAGAGAGACATGAGCTGCGCGATGAGCTAGAGCACGGCGTCAAGGAGAGTAAACTTGAAGGGAGGTCGTCGATGACGCTGGCGAACGACATTGGTCGCAGTCGGCCATGGCGGCGAGGTGCGCGACCTTGGGGTCACTCAGCGTCAGTTGTCTGTCATGTTTGCAGGCTACGCACCTGAGACACAGATGTATGAAGGCTGATCCAAAAGGAGACACTGATTGACCATTGCCAGGTGATCGACCGAGTCGTGAGTCGCGGTCAGCTGACGTGCTTCATGCGAGGGACGAGGGTGGCCAGCGCTGTACAGCACTGGCAGCTACAGCCCTTGGTATTCCTTCCGGCCCGGTTGAGTACCCCAGCCAGAGCAGGTCAACGGAACCCCGAGCAGCGCACGCGCCGTTGCTTCAACATAGTCAGCAGCGAGCATCGCTTCAACGAAGTCAGTGACGAGCGAGAACCACGAAGACGAAAACGCACCCAAGACGCGGGATTGTATATCTCGCCATAACATCCATCCATCCATCCATCCATCCATCCCTTGTGGTATATCCTTGGAAGCTGGATAATCTGAGCTAGCCGCGAAATTGATGCGCGATGTGGGGGGACGACGAGATGCCGATCGCGGTTCGCGCCCGCGGACCCCGGACCAGAGGCCGACATTTAGTGGCGTCGAGCGATATTACTCTGTGCTTCTGGATCCAGTGATGACTCTCGTGTTCTGGAAGCACTGAAATCTATGTAGACGATAGCCACCGCTCACTGCTTAGCTTCATGTGCCGAAGGCCGTAGCGAGAGCCTGTTAATTTGGAAATGTTTCAAGGAACCAAGGCCGCCTGGCGTAATGGCAACGCGTCTGACTACGACTCTGTAATCAGGAGATTGCAGGTTCGACCCCTGCGGTGGTCATCTTTTTTTTTTGTCCCTGAAGCGCAGGATCGCTCGAACGCGAACGCCAGGCAACACAAAGAAGTGCGCCGAACCTCGGACGTCTTGCGATTTCAATACCTGCAGTGCATCTTTGTGGGTTGCCGCGGCTTCTCCACCCTAGAGACGGGTTCGACACCGATGGTCTTCCCGCTCAGAGGGGGCAGCTATCGACCAACGATGTCGTGCATAGTTCGAGTGTACGTAGATGACATCATTTTTGCGACTCAAAAAGAAAGAAATTGTCGTCAACATATCCATCCTCCGATACGCTCCTTCTTTTCGCATGTCTCCTACGCGCATGTCTCGTCTTCCAAATCCCAAGCGCCGTAGACTCGCTGGCCTTCCTGTTATAGACAGTGTGAGCGACAACGCAATCGGTCATGCGCAGGATAGACACTAACCTGGTGATAACAGCGCATCGCGCCCTTGAACTTGGTGCCGTGCACGATAGCGGCCGTCCGGCGGCACATGTCGCGCCAGGCGCCGCCGTCGAGATGTCCGTAGAGGGTCGCTTCGTACGTCTGTTGTTTGCGGTCGACGTCGGTGGAGTGGGGAGGGAAGAGGTCAGCAGAGTGAGAGGAAGCGAGGAAGAACACGTACGCGCAAGCCTGACGCCTCCGCCGTGCAGCCCTGCGAAGACGCTGTCAGTGGATGTAGGGGAAGACCATCGCCAAAGCACACCTTGTCGTCCATCCATCCCCAGCTGCTGATACACTCAGGCTCGTCAAAGTCGACGATCCAGTGTCCCATCACGTCCCTCGTATTCTGTACCAGCCAGCCGATCAGCAATCCGTGCTCTCAGAGACCCAACGTCACACACCTTCCTCAGATCGCACCACTTCGGCTTCTCCAAGACCTTGCCCATTACCTCCACCTCCGGCGCGTCGTGCATACAGATATTGTGCCACGCCTCGTCGAGTGGGTAGATATTGAGCTTCGCCGAGTAAACCCGCGAGCCGTAGCCCAGGCAGTCCGACTCCGGAAGCAAAGGCATATCCCAGAAGACCTCGTACTTGGGCGCCTCGGGCTCGGGCTTTGGCGCCTCGGGAGCGGGATGGACGGGCTCCGGGCTGCATCGCGGAGGGTCCGGGCGATGCGGCGCCGGCTCGTCAAGAGGGAACCGGATGCAGAGAAAGAGCGTAGTCGACGCGAACAAGAGGACGATGCTCGCGCAGAGGACCCACTGACTGCGGGATCGTCCGCCGTCAAGACGCTTGGCGCTATTGAGCGGGGACGTCTCGGTCGCGGTGGTGGGCAGCATCGGCGGCGGCGCTCGGTAGGGCGTGTGGGGCGCTCGGAGGGGCGAGTGGGGCGCTTGCAGGGGCGAGCGGGGCGCCTGGTTGGGCGAGCTCGGCGTGGTGCGATACGGCGGAGGCGGTGAGCTGGGATGCAGAGCGTCAGCGTCAACCGTCGAGACGCGAAAAGGGTAGGCGGACTCACAACAGCAATGAGGAGGGCGGCGGGGATCGATGAGGGCGGCTCATGGAGGAGGGAAGCAGGCTGGCGGCTACAACGCGGCTCCGACTGGTATGCCGCCAACGCGTGGCGTCCCTTGAGTCAGGATAACGTTATGTAGTCGAAGGTCAGCTGTGCGGCCCAGAGCGCCGGTGTACTAGGATTCAGAAGCGCGTCGGGTTGGTCGACAGAGGACCGGGAGCAGCACTCAGTAAGTTAGCAGAGGATATCGGGGCGTCATGCGCAGGAAAAAAGCATAACAGTTGCCGGCCTGTATTACTGGGTGTGCGAGTCGGACGTCTCCTGGGCGACATTCGGCCCACCAATTTGTCAGTGAACCAGCATCAGCCTTGTAGCATAATCAGGATCGTCTCTTTGTAGGTTCAGGAGGGGTTTATGAAGCGCCCGAGCGTAAGAGAAAGACAGGGCGTGCAACGGTGATGGCGGTCAGAAGAACAATGGCCAAAATCGTGACGTGACGGCGTGATGGTCCGCGTGCGCGGTCCGACCCTCCTTGATCTCGCAATACCATGCCGGCGCCTAATATGCGGCGCCCAACGACCTTCTCTATACCTTTACTTGCACAATTATGCAGAGAGGCGTGAAACGCGGTGTAGGTCTCACTTATCCGGATCGCCGTCGCAGTCGAGCCTGATCACTTGGTAGATGCCGCTCTTTGAAGAGCAGGAGATGGCAGAGGAGATGTATTGCCGTCTCAGCAACATCAGCTCAGACTGTCATTGGGTATCTCGCTATCTCGCCGGTGCCTATCCAGAGAACAGACTATGCCCACGAGGACGCGATGAACTGCTCCGTATCCACGAGTACTCGGAACTCGTAGTCGATGCGCTCGCGGCCTACTACGGAATATTGTGCACCGTCGTCAGAGCCATCCGCTCCGACCATGCAACATTTGACTCGTCCTGCGCCGACCTGATCACCCGCTACGATGCCCTACAGCGTAGCCTGGAGCAGACAATCACGTCCGGCGCGCAGCTGCTGGACACCCTGGCGGACTTCAAGCAGTACGTCGTTGGAAGGTTCTCGTATCCGCCCTTCACCCATTTTGTGGTCATGAATATCCTGGGACCGAGCTGGACGCCCCGAGAAAAGGCCTGCGCCATCGTTCCTCCGAAGGTTCAGGAGATGTTGGAAGAGGTCGAGGCGGGCGTGGCTTTAGCTGCTCGGCTCAAATTGTCAGTTTCCGGCGTACGAGAACGTTTCTCGATCGCGAAACTCAGGGAGGCCAGGGGCCTAGATGAGGACGCTCGCCATAAGCTTGCAGTGCTAGTTGACGACGCTGCATATGCCCTTTGCTCGTGTACCTCTAGCGCGCGGAATGCAGCAAGGCGCAATCGGAGATTTCGTTCCGCTGTCCACCTACGTGAGTATGATGTAGTTCTCGCTGCTGCAGTTACGAGTGCTAACTACGACAACAGTGAACCGATTCTTTAACTCCCTCTGACGCTGTATGGGCAGCGCACCCGATGTCTCTCACTGGTGATCATGTAGAGTCTGGATCTTCTTTGTACAAAGTTCAGGATCTCTATACAACAGATTCTCACGCCAGTCGTTCTCCATCACGTGGCCGTGAAACCAACAACAGCGCTAATGTGCGGCGCTTAAATCCCTCTCATCCCGTCCATCATGCCAAAAGGCGTACGGCCTGGGGTAACCGAGTCTCATGCGCTCCTCAGGGACTTCAGCGCTGATAATCCTGCAGATGCCTCTCTATATAGAGCAGGAGATCGCCGGAGAGATGTACGGCAACCTCACCCGTATCGACTTCGCCTGCCATTGGGTGGACCAATTTCTCTCTGGCGCGACTCCTGAGAACGTGCTATGCGCGCGAGGTCAGGAGGAGATGCGCCGTCTTCACGAATATGCCAATCTGATAGTTGACGCGCTTGCGGCTTTCCACGACATCTTGAGCACTGCCGTAGATGCCATCCTCTGCGAACCTGACTCGTTCGACGCCACTGGCACCAAGCTCATCACCCAATACGATGATCTGCAGAGCAACTTAGAGCGCATCATCACTTCTGGTGGGCGGCTGCTCGATTCGCTGCTGGACTTCAAGCAGTACGTCCTCGACACCTTCTGTTATTCCTCTGCCATCCGTTCCTTCGTCGCGAAAATTCTGGGCCCAACATGGACGCCAAAGGAGAAGGCCTTCTTCTACGTCCCACCCAAAATCCAGGAGATTTGGGAAGAAGTTGAGTCTATAGTGGCTCTGGCCGCTCGATTGAGGGAGTCCGTAGCAGGGCTGCGAGAGCACTTCTCGATGGCCAAGCTCAGAGAGGCGAGGGAGCTCGATGCGGAGGCCCGACATGAGCTGGGGATGCTGGTCGACGACGCTGCATTCGCCGTTTACTCGTACACCACTAGTGCACGCGAAACAGCGGCGCGTATAGGTCAATACGCGCCACCCTTTGATCCGGTATGGTTCTTCGATTGAGAATGGGAACATTACTGACGAAGCGTGCAGTGAGCGGGTTCGCTGCCATCTTATACAAGGCTCCAAACAACACGATGAGCGTGACTTTCGACGATGTCCGTACCGACGTTTCTCTTCAATCTCTACGATTCTCCGCGATGTAGACTCGACAGAAGCCACATGTCTTGTCGGGAGTCTACGCAATAGTAAACATGCGAATACGACACAGAGTCCCTAGACATCATACGAGCTCAGCCTAGAAAGGTATACGACACAGGTCCAGTCAAGCATCCAGCACGATGTTTCAACTCCTTTCCGCGAAGGTGCCGTCACTCGATAGGTAAGGCGGGGGCCGGATGCAGGACTGGGTCCACGACGCGATCGATGGTAGTACGCGTGAGAGCTCTGCCAACCATTGACTGCGCAGGTCGACGGGTTATAACTCATGGGTGCCACGTGACCGTGGATGCGACAACGTTGCTGCTGTGCGGCGCTTGATTTCCTTCACTCTTGACCATCATGCTCAAAGGCGTGAACCCCGGGGTAAGGCTCTCTCACTCGGTACGTTGTGTCATGAGCTCTGATCCCTTCCCAGATGCCGCTTTACGAGGAGCAGGAAATGGCCGAGGAGATATATCGCCGCATCAGCCGTCTTAGCTCAGACTGTCATTGGGTAGTGCGCTATCTCGCTGGCGCCTATCCGGAACACAAACTATGCCCACGAGGACTGGAAGAAATGCGTCGCCTGCACGTGTACTCCAAACTCGTAGGCGATGTGCTAGCAGCTTACTACGAAGTCGTGTGCACCGTCGTAGACGCCATCCGCTGTGAACCAACATTATTCAACTCGACCAGCGCTAAATTGATCGCCCGCTACAATGTTCTACAACTGAGCTTGGACGACATCATCACTTCCGGTGGGGAACTGCTGGACTCGCTGGCGGACTTCAAGCGATACGTTTTCGACAAGTTTGCCTATCCTCCCATCATCCATTTTCTCGTCATGAGCATTCTGGGCCCGAGCTGGACGCCTAGGGAGACAGCCTTCTCCGTCGTCCCTCCTAAGATCCAGGAGATATCGGAAGAAGTCGAGTCAGGCGTGGCTTTGGCTGCTCGGTTGAAGGCATCCGTAGCAGGGCTACGTGAGCGCTTTTCGGTGGCGAAGCTCATGGAGGCGCGGGAGCTTGATGACGAGGCTCGAAATAACCTGGCTATGCTAATCGCCGATGCCACATTTGCGCTCTGCTCGTTGACTTCTAGCGAGAACCACAGTAGATCGCGTAGGGAGCTTCGCGTTGCCCCGTACAATCATCCCTGTAGGGTGTCCACCTCGCTGCATAGACAAACGCTGATCACGACTGTAGTGAACGAAATCGTCAACTAACTTGACTGGTTGAAATTATATCCTTATTCAATGTGGTGCGAGCGCCTTGCCTTCCAGTATTCTCGTTTACGAACCATTTGTGGCTACGCCAAGCCAGCTTCATAACAATACTGCTTGTTAGGCATTTGTATATCGTTCGCATTGAGTCCACACGGAAGCGGACATACAAACAAGACATAGATATCCTGGACATACGTGTCGACCTCGGGATAGTGCACGCCCAGCCCTCCGTCGAGCGCCTCAGCATACTGCGAGAACTTCTTCCTCCAACGCGCCAGAAGCACCGCGGTGAGACGCAGTCGTAGGGCGACAACAGCAGGGTGGTGGTATGCAGGTACCTGCGCTGCTTCATCGGACTGACCAGCATCGGCATCGGTGAGGACAGGGGATACTTTCCACCGAGATGTAGGCGAGCCCGCCGTCCGACAGGGTAGACAAGCCACGACCGGGTTGAAAGGCGACCCGCCTTCGTCAGCAAGCCCACCATACGGAAGGCGCGCCCGTAAACCGACCGGCCGGCTTGAATGGCACGGGCAGAGAATGCTACGACGAACGCCAAGCTCGCTCGCGTTCTAGATGGACACGTTGGTCGTCTCGCATGGCGGATGTGTGGCGTGGTCGGTGCATGTTCGACGATCTGGTTATGCACGCGGCAGAAGCTGTTCCTCGCCCTGTCAACCCCGCCATTCCGCGCCCTCCCCCAACTCATCCTGCCAGCCCGCTACTCGAGTATGGGCAGGGATCAGGCCTCGCACCTATTGTCGACCATCGCGTCGAGCTTGCCGTCCGCGTCGGTGCGATCAACTTCCTCGTCGCATGCCCCGACCTCAAAAGCGTCTAGACATGACCGACACGCCCGACGTCGCTCGTGGATAGCATCTGTAGATGCATCCGCGAGGAAACAATTGATTAGACGCCCTACGAAGACATTTGACGAGAACCCCAAGCAGTCAAGCCCTGAAGAGTTCTCAGGCGGTCGAACTACGCCGCGTCGAGGTAGCATGCGACACCAACGACGGACGAGGATCGTGCGGCTAGGGCAAGCCACGGCGCCAGGCGCTTAGGATACTGCACGAGCAGCTTAGGCGCGGCCAGGACGTCAAAAGTTGAGACGTGGATGATGGTGCAGATCCCGGTCAAGGCGTCGGAGAGGTGCCGGGTGCGACGAGATGAGAGACGGCGACATGATGGACGATGACGCGCTCCCGGTGGTCTGCCCGCCGATGCTTGACGCGGCGGTGCAGAAGCCCGAGCAGCGCGATGGTAGCCAGCCGTACGGGTACTCGCGAAGCATGGGCGGGCTACTGAGTAAGAGCGCGAACAATGGTAGCGAGAGCGACTGCGTATGCTTTGGCGACTGCTCTCGCTTGAATGTACGTCAGCTTAGAGTCAAAAGGGGAGGAAAGAAGAGCGCACAATGGACGCAACGATGCCGTCGTCATTTGTCTGGAGCTCCGGAACATGTAGCCGCACCAACGATGGCGGAAGAGCGTAGCACTACACCAACCGCGGGCAGGAAAAGCCGAGCGCGCGACGACGTACGTCCAGCTCCAAGCTCGCAAGGTCAAACCGGTCCAAAGACGGTGACTACATGCGCGACGACGACGGACAGACGCCCCTTGAGCTTGCTCTCGCGGGCGGGTTGAGGGTTGAGGGTTGTGCAGCATCTGTGCGCTCTGTGAGGGTTTCGGGCGGCTGCGTCTGGGAGGGTACGTACCTAATCCTCCTTCGCACGCCGACATCCCATCTTTGATATTGCATGAAGTTGTCGGGCATTGTGGAACTCAGCGGGGAGTTGGACTGGAGACTGGAGAGAGCTTCGGTTATCGAACGCGCATGGTCGCGCCCCCGCGTCAAGCCTGTCGAGGAAGGCGAAGGGACGGGTGCCCGAGTATGAAGTGCCGAGAGGGTAGGAGCCTTGATCAACGTTGCGTGCATGGTGATGTACCTCATCATGAGCAGTAGGAGCCCCCGAAGTAAGCGCTAGAGGTCGTGTCAGGTGGTTGGGAAGGATGAACGATTGACGACGCACGACTGGCAGGGCCTGGCGCTGTAGGTCTTCTCCTCCTGCCCCAATTGTCAAGCTCCCATGCGAGTCGTAGAAGCTCTTTTCATGGAGCTGCGTGTGCGTGCCCAGTACGTTGGCGAGCATCCATTTCTAGGGAATATAACCTTGGAATGTCGCTGCGGGGGAGTCGATCAGCATCGGCGGGGGACGCGGACGACGGAGAGTGCATCCACGCACGTGTAACTCATTTCGATCTTCATGACGGGAGTCCGTGCAGTCAAAGCTTCTTCAAGAGGTTCAAGGAGAGGAGTCATAGCGACCGACTTAGGCATTATGATGGACGTCGGAGACGAGGCCTGAGCGTCGACGACACGGTCCGGCCACGGCCCGGAGTCGGAGGCGCATGCCACGACTTGGACCTAACCACCATCTCAACTAGGCCTCGCAGGCTCGTCCGATGTTCTATGACACTCAAGCCAAATAGAATGCTCTTATGAACGTTCTAATCATCGCTCGTCATCTGTTGTCGAGTGCGATTCGGTGGCAGGCTTCTCGACCTACGTAGACCAGCGATGTCAATACCTACCCAAATCGACGCACCCCTCTTCTCTGGTTTCTCGTCCATCAAGGATACTAAGCCTCGGGATGCAATCTCTGCCGCTCCGGGCACCAGCGCCAGCTACGCGGACGTCCACCGCTCTGGGGGCTTGCTCTTAGCAATGAGCACAGCGCTTGTTCTCTTTGGTCAGTCTGAGCGCCTACCGGTACCGACTTGCTATACACCTCATCAAGCATGTGCGTCAGAAATTTTGAGTCTCCGTGCGTCTTTGCTTTCATCAGAACCGACTCGATACTTCGACTCTGACTGGTTAAGCAGCGGCTGTGGCTCAGATGCCATGCCACTGCCATGCCACTGAACTCACAAGCCCCTGACATGCGGTACATCAGCGCTTCAGCTCGTATCTGTCTTCACGGTCGCGCACACGTCAGCTTCGGCGGCGCCTCGGAAAACCATCGCTTGGTGTGCATGCCCATACGCAAGTTGATCCCCCAACATGCATATACAATCACCCAGAACTGACGAAGATCTCTGCAATACTTGCTACTCCATTGACGAAAGATATTCTCGACATGTGCTTTGAGTGACGCCCCATCACCCTCCCATCTCACTACCTGGATCGGCTGTTTCGCTACGCTAAGCGGCGTCTCGTCAACTGTACCGCAAGGACAGATCTTCCAAGGTGTCGCACATATATGTCGGGTACTGACTCACCTGCGCTGTCATCCACCTCATGATATCCAACCCTTTACTAGATTTTTACAGTCGGATATACCGCGAGCATACCAATTTCATCATGATGCTCTCGGCTTTCTATGGTACGCGGCGCCATTACGCCTGTATTCGACGCGGAAGATGATAAACATACTACAGGCATCCATGTTGCGGTCTATCTGGCAGCCATCTCTACGCTTGCGTGAGTAGAAGACTTGCACGCAAATTCTCCCTAACCTTCTTGTAGACGTCGAACCTCGAACGGCTACTTCCTCCTGATAATCATCACGCTGCTTTTCGTCGTCTCGACTGTATGGTTCATGGTCAACTTCCATCTCGAAATCGCCGTAGCGCTAGCGGCGTTTCGGCCGGATGTCTACGATATCCTTCGCCACGTCGCCGCTCCCTTGCTGGTAATCGTGAGGATTAACGTGAGCTCCGATCTACATGAAGATAGTTGCGCGGCTTACGCCTTCCTTGTGTAGCATGTTCTGTCGGACGTCGTTGTCGTCTGGAGGGCGTGGATCCTGTGGCCGCGAAGCAATCGGGTCCGCACGGTACTCGTCGGCGCCATAGTATGCACGGCGTGTAAGCCAAGATACGCTCCTGCGTGCCGACAGGGCATTCACTCATACCCCCTCCCAGCCGGAAGTATCGCCGAACTCGCATATTCGTACACGAAGTTTGGCTGGATGGCTTATGCTGCGAATCTTCCTGAGCAAAGTGCCAACTACTCGCGCGCCTTCCTCACCATTCTTCCTGTCATCCTCACAAACGTTCTCTCGACTGCTTTGGTGGGCTACAAGGTCTGGTGCGTATGCGCGCCCCTGGGAAGCGTCATACTCTCACATTTTGCCGTCTCAGGGAGTACCGGCGCAACGTCAAATCCTCGCTCGGCGGTGTAGCCCAAACACGAGTGGAGAAAATCCTCCTTTTGCTAGTCGAGTCGGGCGTAATCTACAGCGCTATCTGGGTGCGCGAGCCTGCAATTCGCGACGTGGCATGAGTGCTAATGCGCTTTCTCAGATAATCTACTTAGCAGTCGTTCTCGCCGACATCAACGGCGCCTTCGACAGCGACCTTACACATATGGGACCAGCGGCGATGATGGGGCCTGTGATGCCGGCCATAGCGGTGAGCGTTCGCGTAGAAAACTCGCAGGCACACTTACAGATTATCACTCAGGGGATATACCCCACCGTCGTCGTCATCATCTCTGCGGCACAAAGCTCGCCAACACATTATATTCCAACTGTTCATATCGGCGAGACGATCCGTACCGGCATGACAAGCACACGACGCGAATCGGCCTGGGGTGGTCGACGTGCTTCTCTACTCGGCGTCGGACGCGACGACAGCTCGACTTCGGAAACCTTGATGCTGGCCTCCCTGAGTAGGAAGAGCACAGCGACTTCGTCAGCGAAGGACAACCTCGGGACTTCATCTTCCTGTTGGATAGACGACTGATGGTATGAACTCGCCATGCTTGGCAAAGGCGCTTCCTGTTGCGCCGCAGCCCGATTCCCGCCTTTAGTAGTTTGCGATCCGCTCAACTTGAAGCGCTGGGTGAACTACCTTTCTTTCGCGCAACACGTGCGTACTCAGTGCAGGGCTGCACCAACTCGTCCACTAAAGCAGTCCTCGGAGGTGAACGCGCGTGCTTCGAGTCCGGCCAGCACGTCCTTCTCCTCTTTCTACTCACCTCCATCGTGAAGCCGGTGGTCGACTTTTGGTCTCCAAGCCGACCGGCTGAATGTGACACCCCTGCCGTCAGGGGAAGCCGGACGTCATGAAAGTTAATGAACTGTCTAGCAGTTCGCACCCGAAGACGGGTCCAGACATGCGTCGCGCGGAGCGCGGAACTGTCTAAGTGCAACCCCTATAGCACTCATATAGGCTGGCGATCGTTTTGCTTCTTCCCTTCGCCCGCCCCCTCGAAGACTATGGGGTTATCCCCCCAGGAGCTTCACGCTCAGGGCCTGTAAGCACCTTCATCTCTGCGAATCTCGGGCATCCACTAATGTATTGCGTAGCTTCGTGAATAGGGCATTGGACTTGGTTGGCATGTGTGAGTACGCTCGCCCCCTGGTCCTCGTCCTGCTTATGATGTCATCCTATCTGTAGCGCTTCTCCTATACGACTATGCCATCACTATAGGCGAGTGTATCTTCCTCAGCCTGTACTTCCGGAGCCCGATGCAGCATCTAACGTGCGCCTCCATTGCGTAGGCCCGGAAATCAAACTTCTCTGGCATCACGTCAAACGCCGCAGGCTGTACATCTTCTTTGCTTTCCGCTATTCAACGCTTTCGCTCGTCGTCGCAACGACTGCCCTCAACTTCTTCGATCTACCATCCTTAGTATGCTTTGCAGTCAATCGACCGATTGACCGCCCTCGGCTAATTCACATCCCAGGTGTATGTGAATGACCTGCTCGTCAAGAAGACACATTTTTGACGATGACCATACGCTCAGGACATGTCAAAAAATCAACTACATCGATTCGGCCTGTGTTGCTGCCATTCAGGTGGCCGTCTCCGGTAAGCATGCCGCGTTGACTCGCGCGAAGGTGCTCACCAAGCGGTACATACAGCACTCATGATCAGGCGTGTTTATGCAATATATGGGCACAATAAGCGTCTGTTGATCGCCCTCTTGGGATACCTAGTAGCTGGGATCGCCGTGTCTGGGGTCAGTCCGTCGTCATTCCATTATCATCGTTCTAATCCGCGCGTAGTGGGCTGTCGCCAACCAAGACGGAGACTTCGACTTACGAAAACTCAAGAATGGGAGCGGAATGAGCTGTCTCGTCCTATACGTACCCGACTCGAGGTGCGTGCGCAGGGTACTCCGAGGCATAGACCAACTGATCAATGCGAGCGCAGCGTGCACTGTAAGTCTTGCTTTCGAACTTCATCGTCAGCCGACTTAGGTTCTCGCAGGGATGTCCGCGGTGTGGATTATCTTAATGGTCTTCGACCTCATTGTGTTCGTGCTGACGGCGTTCAAAACCATGGAAGCCGTGCGTGAGCCGAAGATGGCGCTTTCGCGCGTCCTGTTACGAGACGGTGCGCTAACTCTTCACGGCTGATCAAGACTATACTCATCGCGATCCAGCATGCCTATATTTTGGGTGCGCCAAGATCAGGCTACCCATCTCCTCCGTTCCGAAGCTGATTTCATTCAGGTTTATGGGTCTATTGAATGCTGCGAACGTTATTACCTACTATGTGAGCGCCAGATCATCTCCGCCTTCACGAGACTCACCATTTCCCCCAGGTTGCTACGGTAAGGTCACATACATGTGCGTTGTATGCGCAACTGACTCAAGCATCGCTAGCCATATCTCCGAGGCTGCCTCGGAACATTGGCCAACAGGTGCGCGCTCGGTCGCGACCGCAATTATTCATCCCGCTCACTCGATCCCAAGTCTCTCTATCACGCTCCTATCTCGCATGATGATTAACCTCTATCAAGAGGCCCATCCACGGACAGAATCGAACATACCATTGACCACCATTGTAATCGCCCCCGCATCCGAGACGCTCCACGATAGTATCACATCCACCGGGATAGACTTTCGTACCACATCACTAGTATCATTACCACCATAGCAATGCGGAATTGTACAGTATATTCGTTGCGTAGGAATGCCTGGACGGCGGAGGAAGAGTGACGAAGGGACAAGTGCTTACGCCACATAATGATCGTGCCGACCTTCGGCTCGGACGATCCCGAGGACTCCAGTGTCGCTCGTCTGCACCTTCCTCCCGACCGTCATCGTAACCAGAGTGAGGATAGCGCCCGTACCTTTCGTTTGAGATACAAATTACAACGCGGCATGGGACATCGAGAGGAGCGCTAGGACGTTGGCCGACTTCCATGTAGCGCCCGCCTGCAGGCGCCGAGCATGCGACTATCGCGCGGATGCCATGGTCATGATGTATGAGATGGAATCGCATGCAGCGCGCACGTCCCCTCATAAATGACTTCCAGGAATTGCTGTCGAAGTTCTTCACGCTTCACTGAATACGACTCGTCCCTGAATACCGGCTTCTTCGACACGCCCAATTCATCGATTATACACCGCTCTCCTTGACAGGCCAATATCGTCTTAGCGCTCCTGGGAAACTAGATGCATCTATCTCCACTGCTCGAGTGCACAGCCATATGGCCTATATCACACTTCATTCGCTCTTGAAGATCACCCGCTGCCGTCTCTTCACTCTTCCTCCACCTCTTCGCTCGACCCCCGACGACGCGAGCGCAGAACTCCGCCAGAGATGGCCACGGGACTAGAAGCGCAAATGAAGCTCGCGGCGCTCGCCGTGCAGTCCGTGCTCTTTGGGATCTACATCGCTCTCGTTCTGGCGATGATCTATCTCTTGACCCTTCGCCCGCATTCGGAGACGGTGCGCCGCACCGGCAGACTGGGCGAGCGGCTTCTCTTTGCTGGCTTGATCATGCTATCAGCGATGATCACCGGCGTAAGTCTATTGTTCTCAATGGGCACAAACTACTCACTGAATCTGTGTAGCAATGGATCTGCATCGTCATCCGCGCCTTTCAAGCGTTCATAGTTTGGGAAGGCGGACAGCACGCGGATTACTTCTACGCCAACATCACGGGCCCGAGCGAAGTCTTAAGATCCGCTTTCCACAGCGCCACAGTGACCATTGCAGATCTATTTGTGGTGGGTGCAGATTATCGCAATCGAGGGTCGTGGTCTACACTTCTTTCTCGTTCATGGTTTCATCTTCAGGATGATCTCTGACTGCTGTCTCATCAGGTTGCACGCGTATATGTGATCTGGAATCACAAGAAGAGCGTGATCATACTTCCAATCACCGCTCTCCTTCTCCTTCTCGGTATGGGCGTATTCGGATGAGGACTGATTCGACCTAAATCGCCCCCCTCAGTTTCTGCGGTCGGAGTGACATACGCATACGGCGCAGTAAGTCATATCCTCGTTCGGCCTTCGTTACATCCTCTGACAACGCACCGTAGTACGAGATGATGGATCCCGCCACGCTGACTTCACTCCATCGGTGGAGGATGGCTCAGTCCGTCCTGACAATTTGGTATGCCCATCTCTACTCTGCCTCTCGCCCACGCTTTGACGAATCCGCTCATAGTATCAATGTCTATTGTACAGGTGCGCGCGCATGCTGTTGAACGTCTTTACTTGCCTCTAATTGGCGGTTGCGCTCGTCAGCCATGATTATCTACGAAGTCGGCCGTGTCCAGCGACAAGCTGCGCAGTTCAGCGGTAGCAGATCAGTTAGGGTAAGCTGATTCGTAACCCGTTCATGTCTCCTTCCTTAAACTAACGCTTTCTCAGTCCGTAGTTACCATTATGGCCGAAAGCGCCGCCTTCTACACGTGCGTATACCCCTCTCACGTCCTTCGTCCCTCATTCCTCCTCCTTCGCCGTCTTCCAACCCCACCCTTCTCCTGTCCCCTCCCCACCCTTCAACCTCCGCTCACACCGCGCCCCAGCTTCATCGTCCTCATCGCCCAGATCACCTACGGCACCAACCACGTCTCGAACTACTTCTTCAACGACTGCATCCCGCCCGCGGCCGCGCTCGCCGCCGTCCTCGTGCACGTGCGTGCGGTGTTGGGAAGGGGAGGAGGGCAGGAGGGAGATGCGGAAATGGCGCCGGTGGAGGGGAGGAGAGTAAGTCGGGGCTCGAGTTGGGGAGATCGGGGCTCGAGCTGGGGAGGAAGGGATGGACGCGCGGAGGCGTGGGGTGGACGGGCCGAAGCGTGGGGTGGAAGGAACTCGGCATGGCGAGAGCGAGCAGAACGCAGCCCGTCCACGCCTACCTTCAGCAACAGGGAAGAGCGACGAAGCTCGAGTATTGAAGGACGACGAAGCTCAAGTACGGAAGGACGTCGCAGCACGGTGAAGCGCTGCAGTCCGATTCAGATCCATGTCGAGCAGGTATCGCAGTCGTGCGTGGATCTGAGGGACGTGCCGAAGGCGGTTATTCGCTGATGATACTAGTATCAATCTGTATCGTCCTGTTGTACCTTTGATGTGAATACTGATATGATGAACAGGCTAATATGACGCGTGATTTGGAGCAGCGAACAACCCAGAGGCTTCCAGGGCATGGCAATACACCGTCGTCACCCAAGTTCAACATGTCATGTGATCAGAATGCGGCATTTGCCGACGCCGGCACCGTTTGGTTCGACTTCCCATGTCCGACATCCCACCGCAATCATCCACGCCGAGCCGTCCTCTTCAGCATACAAGATACAGTGGCTTTCCCCCTCTCCTTTCGCATCTAACAGATTGGTGCATTGGGAATAACGGCATACACTAGAGGTGAAGCACTGCCAAACAGCTCAGGGCGAAAGGTACCGGATTGCGGGCATCACCAAGCACCGATACTAGGCCTATGGCGCCGTATGCTAGGACGACACCGGTCCTGCTGTTTCGCCTGCACTCAGTTGCCTTCCCTGCGACCGTTCTGCCATTCGACGCACGCGTTCCTCTACCCGTATTGACCGAGAGGCTCGAAGATGCGCTCTGCATCTGGTCCTTTCCGAAGACGATCGCGGAAGCGCCAGATATAGGCAACGTCCGCTCGACGAGCGCAAGCCACGTTCGTCGCCGCGGTCTCGAGCGTGCTGCTGTGTCCGGGCGATCAGATTCGCCGCCAGCCTGAAGAGGGCAAGCAGGCGCCCAAAGCTCGCACCGCTTCGAGATGACGTCGAGGGTTACGACGCGGTCGACGGACTCAAAAGCCGCAATGACACCCAGAGCTCGCGATGCGATGCAATGACTACGAGAGCAAATTGCGAGGCCGATGACATCGAGGGCGTCTTGTCTATGGGGTGGGTCGACGAGCCCCGAGGCTTGAGGCTGATGGTGAGCCGGTGCCAACTCCCACAGGTACACGCGCGCGAGGACACAGCTGATGTTCGACACGTAGATGCGAGGCGAGCGCAATGGGCTGAGCGATTAGGAAGGACGGAGGGTGCAATGCGCACGGTCTGACATCAGCGCAGCGGCGGTCCGCGCGGACCCACCAACGACACAGCCACCACTCCGCTTGGACACTCCACCGGCGATCGCCGGGCGCCCTTATAAGCCGGACGTCGTGCCATCGCCCCAGATCTCCACGCATCTTTTCGCCTGCAGTCACCATGTCCAACGTATACGTGAGTCTGGTTGCTTTTTTCTCGTTCTTGCGAATCTGTGGACGCGTGCGATGCGGGGCGATGGGAGGGGAAAAGATAATAGGCGGAGTGGGATCGCCAAGATCGCGACGGGATGCAATGCGTAGGGGTTCCTGCCAACCCGATAGTTGAGAAGATGGGCGCATACATCGACTCCCCTCATCGTTCTCGCAGGCGTTGAGGATGTCAGTGCGCGGGAAAGTGTCGGGCTGGGTCGGATGCGGCGCGATGGCGGACGCGCACCTGCGGGGCAGATGACGCGACTGCGTCACCACCGACTATATGCGGGGTTTTTGTACATTCAGCATCCCGCCAACGCACCCTCCCCATCGCCTGGAGCGCGTCATTCGCGTAACAACACTCCGATCTGCGTTCATGACCTCCCTCCATCCCCGATCACTCCCTCGCCCCCTCCACCTTGCTCGTCACCCCTTCCGATCTCCCCGCGCCCATGATCCGTTTCTTTGAACATTGTACTTACCCGTCCTCTTCAGTTCGACATCACGAAAGACGGCGCGCCCCTCGGCCGCATCGTCTTCAAGCTCTTCGACGACGTCGTCCCCAAGACGGCGAAGAACTTCCGCGAGCTCGCGACCGGCGAGCACGGCTTCGGCTACGAGGGCTCCTCCTTCCACCGCATCATCCCCAACTTCATGCTCCAGGGCGGTGACTTCACGCGCGGGAACGGCACCGGCGGCAAGTCCATCTACGGCGAGAAGTTCGCTGGTGCGTCGCTTTACTATGTCAGGAGAGAACCGGAAAGCTGACTGTATGCGCTTCCCGAACAGACGAGAACTTCCAGCTCAAGCACACCAAGCCGGGCATCCTCTCCATGGCTAACGCTGGCAAGAACACGAACGGCTCCCAGTTCTTCATCACCACCGTCGTGACCGGCTGGCTCGACGGCGCGCACGTTGTCTTCGGTGCGTCCTTCCTTCCTCCCTCTAGTTTCTCTTCGCTTACGTTCCGCGCAGGCGAGGTCGTCGAGGGCATGGACATCGTCAAGCAGATCGAGGCGCTCGGCACCGCGTCCGGCACCCCCAAGTCGCAGGTCAAGATCGCCAAGTCGGGCACCGTCTAAGTGCTCCGGCTCGCCCATCGTACCCTGACACATCGGGGTATGCGCACCGGCGTCTGGAGAGCGAGTGTGTGGTGTCGAGGGCCGCTGCTTGCGGGAAGGACGCGGGACTTGTAGTCGTTAAAGTTGAAAAGAAAAGCAGCAGATTGTAAATTTTGTGATATTATATTCGGGTAGCTGGAGCTTTCTGTGTGGGCCTGTGTGATGTCCGTGGCCTCCCGACGAAACGAAATGAGACCGCGCAATGCAGCGATTAGGTCTTGCCTCATAGGCCTGTTCACGCCGGAGGGGAGTCGGTCTCTGGCATCAGCACTAGTGCTATGCTCATGAGCTCGCGAATCGCCGGAGGAAGCCGTTCGCCGCGACCTCGTCTGGCATAAAGAGCGCACATGTGGTCGCTGTGGATTGACATCGTCCAAACAAGTGCTTCTGGCCTATCTACTAGATTCCGCTCCAGCGCGCTCTGCAGGCCGAAGCTATTGAGTATGAGAAGGGAGCAGTTGGAACGAAGAGGGGGCAGTTAAAGTAGGATCGAGCAATAGACTTCTACTAGCCGGATAGCCCGTGCACCACGGGCAGGCTTGAATGGCTAGGGTGCCACGCTAGCGTGGCCCCGTGGGCGCGCTCCCGGCTTGACTTGAAGTTGATGCGTGACGTTTGACTGTGACCGTTTGACTTTTGATTTGACTCCCTGCTGACTAATTACTCTCCTTTATTATAAGGATCATAGGACCACGTAAGCCGGACGGAAGAGATGAGTTGGAGAGCGCAAAAAGAGTGCTATCCTTCTTAAAAGAGAATTGACCACCGCAGGGGTCGAACCTGCAATCTCCTGATTACCGAATCGTAGTCAGACGCGTTGCCATTACGCCAGGCGGCCGTTAGAAGGAAGAGGGACCGCCCTTCCTCAATCTGCGCTGCGGAAGAAGCGTGTGCACCAACAAGTAAGGGAAGCGCAATGTCAATAAGGATGCCGTGCCGAAGCTCAAGCCAAAGATGATCCGGAGGCAGCCTCTATCTATCGGTTGCCGGAATGCATACTAGAAGGTGAATAGCATATTACAGGGGTGAGACGTAGGGTAAATCTATAGGGAAGATTGAACGCTGAGTACAGTGGACATTTTGAGACGATGAGAGTAAAGGAACGAGACCAGAGCGTCGAGCTCAACAACCTCAAAGTACGCTGACCAACCCCCGGAGCAGGGCGCTCACCACCCCCGGGTCAGAGCGCTCGGCACGCGCGAGATCTCCGCGATTTCGGCCGTTGGCTCCTGCGGTCCCCCGACGCGGATCTGCAGAGGGCTGTAGCGGCCGCTCTCCTCGACTCCCTCCACATCGACTGCAGTGTCGACGCTGATGCTATCGCACCCTCGCCACCTCCCCGCAGGCGTCACGGCCGCGCGCGTGTGCACGACCCTCTCCTTCCCGTCGTCGACGACGCGGCCCTTCACGAGGATGGCGCGCGCGTGCACGAGCACGGCGGAGAGGGCGGCGACGAAGGGGACCGTGTCGGTAAAGAAGTAGTTGGAGATGTGCCCGGTGGTGTAGGCGATCTGGGAGATGAGGACGGAGCAGCTGTGGGGTGCGAGATGAGTGAGAGGAGACGATGCGGCAGGCGAGGACGTACGTGTAGAAGGCCGCGCTCTCGGCGATGAGGATAGCCGCAGACTACGCAATGGAGTCTGATCAGCGATGCTTTAAGCCATTCATCGTAGGGTGCGTACCATGACCGATGGGCTGGACGCGTACTCGGCTCGCTGGTAGCGGACGTGTGCCGCGCGCCAGACTACCATGACTGGCAAACTCGTCAAAAGACGACTCTAGTTCGAAGCGACACGCGTACACACCTGTACAATAGATGTTCACGCTGAGGAAAACGTGAGCACTCTGGGCAAGCGAGGATACATCTATCGCCAACACATACCATAAGGTAGAGACGCAGACCGCTACTCTCCACTGGTGCATGGATACGAGCGTGAAGTAAAAGGCGGAGTCGTACTGTGCGGAGCGAGTTTAGTACATCAGTAGCAGCATTGAAGGCACGGCTTTCGCCGTTCCCTATCATGCGGTCAACTCACTACGGAATATGAATGCGCAAGCCCAGAGACTGAGACTGAGAAGACGTAAGCTTTGGTATGGACGCGAAGTAATTGGCGACATACTCAGCTGGCCGAGGAGGGCGACCGACGGAAAGACGACGACCCACTTGCGATATTCCCAGATGACATACATCCGAGCTATCTGAGAGGCGTGTAAGTGGCGTGGATGGAGATGAAGGGGGTGCAGAGTTTGAGGAAGCTCGGACAGACTCACAACGAACATGTCCGCGACGACAGCGGTCGCACCATGGAAGGCGGACCTTGCGACAGTAACTGCCGTCGACGTCTCCGCGTAGTAAATATCCGCGTGTTGACCGTCTTCCCAAAAGATGAAGGCCTCGAAGGCGCGGATGACCAAGCAAACCCAATGCTGTCGTCGCAATCAATCATCTCGTGAAAGTATGTAGTGCGATTCTTTGCTTACCCCGGTAGCGACCACGGTCAGGATCACCAGACCAGCCACAAGTTGCCGATCTGAGGACTTTCCTGACCTCCCCCTCGTCATCGGGGTGACGCGGCGAGAAAGAAGATAGAACATAGCCAGGACGAGCGCAAAGTAGACTCCCTGAAGAAACGACATGATAGCAAGGCCAGCAAGCTTCATTTGCGCCGGCATGCCCATCGGCGCCTCAGAGAGCTGCGAAGACTCGGTTTGCGTTCCAGACATCGATGGTGGCGTTCCTGGGGGTGATGACTAGGGGTGAGGCCGACTAGCGAGCGTGTCTTGGGGCGAGGTCGCGAGCATTATAGACGATGGGCGCATCCACCGAAGCAGTTGAAGTGCTGTACGCATTAGACACGAGCGGGTTCCCATACCGAATATCAGCGGAGAGATGGCGACATGGGGCTGTGCACGACCGGCCCGGCGCGACGACATATGCCCCAGATGAAGGCAAAGACGCACCGGTGACTGGAGCGCCGGCGGACAGATGGCGAAGAAAAGGACAAATTGGGTACTGCAAGCGTCAAGGAGGTGTTTTGCGCAGTCACATTCGTAGAGGACTTCAGGTAACAGGCTGACATTGTACTAATCGCTCGTACTCGAAGAGTTCGCCAGGGAAAAGGTTCCACGCGGCGGAGGCGCCTTCTCGCTCGGAGGGATGGCCGACGAGGATGGCGCGGAAGCGGAATTCCCGCTCATCAAAGGGACGAGGGCGATGCTGTGAGCGTTCGCATTGTGCAGGGGAAGAATGGGCCCCGACGCCTTCCAGGGGTATAGCTTGGAGTCCTCGAAGGTAGCTGCTAGCTTGTAGACGGATACTAGATGAATCTTGAGTAAGATGGCGGTCGGCAGAGCGACTTCAACTCACCAGAGATAAGTATCCCGAGGAGGAAATAGAGGATGTTGTGCCATACCTCCTGCGACGTAGCCATACTGCGGTATGAGTGCAAGCGCTCAAAGACTGAATGAGGGGCTAACGAGGGGAAGGAGCGAGAGGATGAGACAGGCGAGTACTGATGTCTCGGTTCGGCTGCCAACGCGACTCGGACGACAGATGCGCTCGTCCATCCTAGCTCACCCCGAGGTTCAAAGCTTCGGATTGCATAGTTGTCAGGTATCTGGAGTTTCCATCGAACAGAGTAAGGAGCAGCCTGTATATCCAATCCAATGCGCGAGGCCGTGCTGAGTTTAGGTTGATGGTTCGGAATGAGACGCGGTTGGAGGCGCCACAATATCCCGTTTTCAGTACGCACGCGACAGCCTTCCCACGCTTAAGCTAGGGGCTATCTGGCGGCCTTGCTGGCTTTCCTGGCTGTGCGGAAGGATTGCAGCTTTAGGTATTCATCCGAAGTCGTAAATATGCTGTTCCACGGTACTTGTACAATTTGGCATAGTTGTGTAGTCGAATTACAGCTGGTGGCAGTGACGCTATCAGGAGTGGATGTTCGCAAGCAGAGTAAATAGTGAAGTGATTGTCAGGCTTTGATACGCAGAAAATCCTCTGCAGTCATAGGATCAATGCGCTGTTCCGCCATGTACGCTGGCGCTGGGACAGTGAGAGGAGCACCTTGATGCGAGACTAGGGTATTGCTCGAGCCGGAGCTTCCTCCCCCTCTGGAGCGCTTCTCCAAGCGAGCTAGTCTCTTTCTCTCCTTCTTCTCCTTCTTCTCGTAATGACGGTCAATGCAACAACCGGTCAGATAGTACAGCGCCGTCAGTACGAAGGACGCAGCCACTGACGAAGTCTCGTCAGTACACGCAGATAAGTAAATTGGTTGGGAGTACGTACCAGCAAGTATCACCCAGCCCACGTCGCGGAGGATCACTATGCCCACCGATTCCATCGTGTTAGCCATTTGATAAGGTGGTTGACGCTTTCCCGTGCGAGATTTGATAGTTGGTCGACTTCAGCCTTGATGTGCTGCTCGACGCAGGGATCAACGCCCAGTGGATCGAAGGGTAGAGCGGAGGGTGCGCTGACTGGTAGTCGAGACCGCTAGAAGGACCGCCTGCTTTATACCATGGGCACTATCCCTGATCTGTTTCTAAGGGAAGGTGAGCAAGACATTGAGACGAGATGCAGTGCTGTCTGTAACCATGGACAGTCTCAGGAAGGTCGCAATCGCGTCTTGCGAGACAATCGGCAAACACCGAGCGGAAGCAGGCCAGAGTCACGTGGGGATCACGCGGTTGATCTTCTCCCTCGTGTCTTTTAGCGCCGCTCAAGCGTCTGCCGCGGAAGAATCAGCTCAGAGCGCACGATCTGGAGAGAATATCAACATTGGGCAACAGTATGGGAGTAGCTGAACGGTTCCAGAGACAATTGACAAGTGTGAGTCGTGTCCGAGTCACCGCGACCACGCAAGGCCGAACAGTTCGGACAAACCTGCACTCGTCTCCATTAATGAAGAATGGACGGTGGGGAGGAGCTGAGGATTCAAAATGCGGCAGGTAGAATACATGGTATCCAGGATATGACTTCAAGAGATGGTACTCACCGTTGGAAGGCGGCAAGCGTCATAAGTGTCGCAGCCACGGCGGGAGAATGGCGTATGGCAAAGACGTGTGAGCTCTGAAGGCGCCTTGTCGATAGAAGTAGGCAAGTGCAACGCGGAGCACTGACCAGTCAAGTCCGGACTTGAGGGCCGGTTCGGCAACTCAACAACGCTCGCCTCGTCGACCCCCACTACGCCGCCAGCGCTCACCGGAAGACCTTTCTCAGTCGTCAGTCGTGTTCAGCGACAATGTCTCCGCGCATCTCGAGTCGCAGTGACCTAATCTCGTTGCCAAGTACGCATTCCTTCCCCGTTATACAAAGGAGTATCGATGGCGTCGCTCCCACCGCGCGTCGCCATGCTACTGCACTGTCGCCAGCACACCTAACCCTTTGGCCGCCGTAGCGCTACACTGAAGAAGCCAGATCAGAGCTTGGGAGGTCTTCGCGCCCGCTTGAGCCTTACCGGAAGCACGATATCGGCGTGGCACCCCTTCGAGGGATTCGGATTCGATTCTCTCCACCTCTGCATGCGCATCGTATATTGGTAAAGCGATGGCTAGTGTGGTAAGCTGGATGGATGATGGATCCGCTGTAGAGTGCGCTTCATGGTGAAGGTTGAGCATCATGCGCGATGCAAGGGCGACACAGATACTAGAACTCAATTCAAACAAGAGTAGGATGGTGAGGGAGGACGCCTACCTGTTGACAAGCGCCCCGAACATGCCTCGGAAGTAGGCCTACACGCCAAGTCAGCGCAATCAATGATCTGGATGAGACGCTTTACCCATGTCGTCTGGGGGAAGGCATGAGGATATGCGGTCGACATAGACGGACAGGAACTCACATAGTAGGTCAACACGTTCGCGACATTGACTAGGGACATTATTCTGCGAGAAGACGCGCTGAGAGCTCATCTCAGCACCCCTTCGAGCCGCACATACCCAAAATACATCGAGGCTGTCAGTAGATCTCAACTGGTATTCGCCGTTGAAGGAGCTACATGACTCACCATCTCTTATCAGAAGCCGCGTAAGCGGCATGCCGCGCTGCCATACGCCTGAGACTGTCTTGTACGCCGTCAAGGCGAAGATCAAGAGGTCGAAGGCCATCGCGGTTATCCAAACTACCGATAGATCTGTGTATAGGTTAAGAGATATCGAGGGAGAGACCGTCTGTGTACAGACCGCTGGTGAACGTCAGTCAGCGGAGACCCATGAACGAGCCCCTTCGTACCTATTCCTCGAGGCGTATAATATGCAGCTTTTGCTATCTACTTCCTCCTGCGCTTCATGGCTATCTTCATGCTCACGGCCGAAGATAAACCACTACGTCGTGTGAGTACGGAACTTCTCGCTGAGGACAGGAAAAGAACTGACAGCCGCAATAGCGATTTCAATAGCCACGAGCGTCGTAAGTCCATACAGAACAGATTTACGGCGCTCGTATATCGCATATACACGCTTGATCATCAGTACTACGGCGAGGCAGTCAGATGGCGCTATTGGTAGGCATATCCGTCGCACGTACCTCCGACAACTATCTGTATGGCAACAATGAATATTTGATGGAAGTATATCACAGCAAGGCATTGCCTTGGCGAAGGAGCTGTCAGAGATTAGACGCGCGAAACGCTGAGAAGGGCTCACTTCTGAATGTCATCGTCAAACTAAAGGAAGGGTGCAGAGAGTAGCGAGTACCTGATCAAGCGTCGTGGAGACCTTGAAGGTCGCGAAGCTCATGGCGCCGAAGGCGAGGATGAGTATGAACGTTAAGTAGCGGCAGGCAAAGAACAGCAAAAAGCCGCGGCTTCGTTGGCGCCAAAAATGCTCGATTTCTAGCTCTAGTAACACGCGGTCAGTATCTGCCGCGCTATCGAAGCTCGTATGCGCACCGAGAGTGATGGAATATTCATATACAAGTAGGGCTTTATGAACGTGCACGTTAGTACCTGCAGGACAGCTCGAAGCGGAAGATCTACAGATGGAGGCAAAGTTCACGGCGTTGAAAATGAAGCTAGAAAATGCGAAGTTATCAGCCTATTCGACCTTTAGTAGATGATCAGTATACACACAGGCCCTGAGATAAAACTTCCGGCGACGCCGGGTCGCCCATCAGGACGGGAGGCAAAGGAACTGGAACAGCAAGACGCGCGTCACGCTTCGGAGGTTTAAGACCACCACTCTCGAGCTCCGTCCTTTTCGCGCCGGCGCCGATTATGTGCACAGGTCTTCATTGCTTCGCCGATTGCTTCATGAGTCATCTGTTCGCGTTCGGGATAGCCATCATGAACGGCTGGTCCGTACTGTACCTGGCCTATTCCGCACAGAGACGGACCCCAAGAGATATCACTTGGGCTACGAGAAGAGAACGACCTGCATGTATGACGAATAGCAATATCGCTTCGATGTCTTGAGGCGGCGCTTCCATACGGCGAGAGTTCGCAATCATGGCTCGAATCGACTCGTTCGGAGGATCTCAGGCCACGTATCCGAAGAACTGTTGTCTTGCATCTGATGCGTGCGACGAGTCTTCCGACATGACGGTCGAGGGCAGGACAGCTCCGCGATGGCCGGGCCGAAACTATCGGGGGAAACGGCAAATGCCGAAAGGTCATGTGATATGTTCAACTTTGACCGCAACGAAGTTCTCGTGGCTCGCAAACAAGACAGCTCGTATACCTCTTCCCAGAGACCGCTCAAAATGAATTCAACTAACAGGGAAGCTGTCGTGCGATCCTCAAGAGGCTATAGTTTGAGAGCGCAATTACAGCATTCGCCAACACCCACAATGTGATACTTCTCGTGAATTCCCGCGTCGCTCTCACGCTTCCGGTCCATGAATAAGGCCCTCAAGTTGTGCTTTATAGAGCCTAAGGTCGATATTCATCAGGCGAGCTTCGTGCTTCCTGAGAAACAAAGGCCAGTGTGTCCAAGTGGAGCGACGGAAGCTCAAGGGTCGCATGGGCTTCCGTGTGCAAATTGAGCATCATCCGCGAGATGAGAGCAACAGAGACGCTGCTCAAGGTAGTCAGCTATCAGGGTGTGACACGATCGGACAGAATATACGTACCTATTGACCACCGGCCCAAGGACGCCTCGAAGGTATGGCTGCTTCGTTCTCAGTCCTCGATCTGAGTTCGACCCGGTGAAGCAAAAATGCGGCTCGCACCTCGGCTATCTGAGTAAGGTAAGCGTCTCATAGCTTTGACCATAAGTGAGCCTGACGCACATAATATGTGGCAACATCGGCAGCGTTCAGTACGACCATGATTCTGATACGCCAGCTCAATTGTTGCCGATCGCCGGAGAGTGTGACCATGACGCGTACCCAAAGTAAAGCGCGGCTGATATCTCCTTGTTAGTTGTCGCAAGATAAGCCGGACGTTGGGACGAACCATCCCGAACCAAAAGGTGGCTGAGAGGCATATCCGGACGTCGCACCGCATCGAAGGTCTTGTACGCCGTCAATGCGAAGATGACGAGGTCAAAGACCATTGACACAATCCATGCCGAGGAAAGCGCTACACCTACGTCAACACCAAGCAGAAGACTATAATGAGAGTGCCCACGTCGAGCGCTAGCGATGCATCAGTCGAAAGTCGCGTTGCATAGAGTCAGGCCATACCTATACGCAGACACGTAGATCAGGCAGCTTCCGCTAGCTACGAGATCTAACCCTGTGCCGCTGCCTTCCTGCGCCTTCATCCTCGCCATCAGATACTGGGAATCCTGTCTTGATTGAAAGTCTTTCGGGCGGGAGACGCGCATGACTCACGCCGGTGAGGATGGCGCCGAGACCCAGGTAGGCTATCAAGCCCCAGAGGATAAGCTTGCTCTTCGCGTAGATAGCATACACGCGCTGCGTCATGAGAGCTATAGCGGTCAGTAGATTAGCAATTGTTGCGGGGCTGTTAAAGTGTACGAGCGCACCAGAAACAGCAATCTGTATGGCAGGGGTGCACAGCAGATGGAAGTAATTCACTGCGCGACATTGCCTGATCGTAGGCAGTTAGGTGCGCTAGAATGGCGACTCAGCGAGGCTCACGAACAGCTGAGCTTGCGGTTAGAATGGATGACAGGCTGAATACTCAAGACGTACTTTGGTAGGCATAGTCCTAGGATTAAGGACCCACATGTCGATTGAGGCTGTCGCTGTCAGGGCGGCCAGAGTCGAGTATCGAAAGAGGAAGAACATGTACGAGCCGCGTCTCTTCGGATGACACCATAAGTGCTCAATCTCCGTCGCTTAGAGCCGCGTGAGACAGGATCCTATAGGAACAAGTCCACTCACTCAGCGTCATCGCGTAGTCGTATAGCAGAATAGCTTCAGGATGTCAGGACAAACGATCTCGCTTCGCGGCGGTACGCACATATGCTCGCAAGCCCAATGGCGTCGTTGACGAGTCTACGGATCTCGATAAGCCCAGAAGAGTTGTATAACGTTAGAGATGCCGCAAGACTTACAGCCCTTCTGCAAGAAAATAACCCCCGCTTTGGCTTGCCATTTCTACCGGCCAGGAAGGGTACAGGAGCCGGGCTATAAGAACAACAGGCGCAGGTCCGCCCTATCCGCACTTGTCACCTCCGAGCTTCAGACACGCATGCAACTGTCGAACACGCGGTGCTACAGTGCTCGGTCTCATCACGCTAGCACCGGCGAGGTGCTATCATCCGCCCAAGAGTCGCCAGAGCATGATCCCAAACGTCGTACTAGTCCGGGACTGGCCGTCGTTGCACTGATAGCTCCTTCGCCTTGGCGAGCTTTGAAGGGACCGTATTGACGCGGGATAAAAACAAGAGTGGTTTCAGGAGGGGTAGTACGAGCGCGGAGAATGACCACGCATGATGGTCGGAAGCAAGAAGAGAATTACTGAGCGCGTCGGCCGATTTATGGTTGTAGATCTTGGACAAAATTCGTGAGTCCTGACTCACGTTGAGACCCACGATTGCGTGAGGACCGTGACACCGTATCACCCATCTTCACGCACCCCGAGGTTCACGATGGTGACGCTCATCATACGGCAACGGATCAAGGCCGCTTATCTCTGAGCGGGACTTGCCGGTCGGGAACTTGGGGGTGTCCTGTGTAGCCGTGTAGTACAGAGAGCGCCGAAAAAAGCTCACATGTGTATGTATTTGAGATGGAATGCCCCTCTCGTGTCTTTTTCAGCTTGAATACAGCGGAAAGCATGAGTGGATGGTAACAGACAATCGACGCGGCTACGCACGTGCGGCGATAAGATCAGCGGCAAGCCTCGGCACGGAGATAGCGAGACTCACTTGAGTGACGCATGGGTGACACCCTCACGCACATCGCGACCCACGTTTCGTCACGCCGACTCGCGTTGCATGATGCTCACGCACCGAGTGAGTCTGGGGTCATCGTGAGGTGCGTGAGCTTTCACGCAAAAAACGTCCTTTTTCAAGGTTCGTCACGCGAAAACGTAACAAAATCGTGACTCTTCACGCGATTTTGTGCGTGAGGAGGGCACGCCCGTGAATTTTGTCCAAGATCTACAGTGATAGCCGATTCCTGTGGCAAATGCCGCAAGTCAGGTGATTCAAGTTGAACTTCGGATCCAAGGCAACGACTTGTACCTACGAGCCTCTGATGGTCCTCTGGCAAGCATGATAAAGTAGTGCAGCATGAACTACGGCTCAGAGCTATGACGGACAGACCGCCCTAGACATGGGCATTGAGTCCCTGACATCTATTCGCGACAGCGACGACTGCTCCACCCGAATTTGCAGTGGCCGACCTCCTCCGCGGACGATGTCCGCACAGCGAGCCGCTGATCTCCCTCGCTTTCGATCTGAGTCCGATTCCGCAAGGTGCGAGTCGCCGCCCTGCGCAGCTCCTGTTTGATCTGCCAATCCTTTGGAGATAATTGCGCGCGCATGTACGAGCACGGCAGCCAGCGCAGCGGTAGGAGGTATACAGTCCTGAATCAAGTAGCTCGAGGCGTTCTTCATGCCGTAGGAGACTTGCCAAGCGAGGACGAGAGAGCTTAATGAGCGCGCGAGATGTCAGTGACCGAGATTGAAAGATTGAGAAGGCTTACATACGTGTAGACGGCAGCGCTCTCCGCCATCAGGGCAACGAAGGCCTGGTAGACGAGGTCAGCAAAATTCAAATTCGGGTCGCATCCATCAGGGTCTACACTCACGACAATGGATCTGCTGAGGGCGAAGTCCGCTGTCCGTCGATGTAAGCGAGCTATGCGCCAGATTATCATCCCTGCGGGAGCGAGTGTAAGCGACTAGGCAGGGGTAGGCATACTGGGATGCGCACCTGTACAATACAAGTTGGTACTGCGTGTGGCGAGGGCATCAGCGAGTACTCCATTAGTCAAGGAATGGCCGTACCCTATTGTCAGGACCATATGCGCCATTTTCCAAAGGTGAAGGACCCTATGCGTGGCGGGTACTGATGTATCGTACTAGCAGCTACAGGTAAGTCGACTTTACGCCAAGCGAAGAGTGGTCAAACTCACCGCGGCGTACGCATACGCTGTCCCTGCGCCCGACACTGAGGTTGGCGATGAGGTGAATCCTGAGTAGTAGCGGCGCAGCTTACCGCAAAGTCCAAACAAGGAGAGGGCTGGCGCGATGGTGACTCTCTTTCTGTAGTTCCAAACGACCCAAAGTCGCGATATCTGTCGGAAGGCGTTAACGATACCGAACCTCAGGCATAATCGTTGCCAACACTCACTACGAACAGATCTGCGGTTATGATGGTCGCGCTATGGAAGGCGGACCTTGTCACCTCGCTCGAGCCCGTATCCAGGAAGTAAAACCAGTAAGGACGGGTGCCGCCTTGCCAGAATATAAAAGCTTTGAAGGCCCGGATGAGGAGGCAAATCCATTGCTAAATAGGTGCTTCGTAAGCCTCAAAAAACGACGAGGAATGAGATTCACTCACACCTAGGGCCGCGGTGGAGAGAACGACCATGCCTATGATAAGCAGGCGCTGAGCTCGTCGATTCGCCGCTCGCTTGGTACTGGAAGTTGGGTTGCAGGATAGGAGGTAGACCATGGCCACGACGAGCGTGATATAGAGCCCCATCAGGACGGATTGCACGGCCAGTCCCGCGAGCTTCATCTCTGCCGTGAATCGGGAGGGCATCGCTGTCCAGTTGTGCTTCGACGCTGTCGTAGACGAAGAGGCCCCAGAAGCGAAGGTCGAAGAGCACGGGGGGACGACGTGTCTGCAGCGAGTACCAGCGTGTTATAACATAGTCGTAGATACACTCGAGCGGTAGATATTAATGAAGATGTGGGATCCCGCGGCTTCAATACCGAATCAGCCTGCATAGCCCGATGGCAGAATAACAAGCCGACTCACCTGCAGGAGGAGTTGATGTAGGTGGCATTGAGCAGGACCCTGAGCTCTGTGAGAACCATCTCTTCGAACTTCATATGTACGCGTGATACTTTCGGGACTGGACGGCTACCGATATAGTGAGAGCACAAAGAGGTAGACCACGATCGCCGACCAGGGCGAGCTCACAGAGTTGTGGAGTTCGATTCGTGGCGCTTATGGCGAAGAGGCACTGACGAGAACTTGAAAGGGACAAGCTGTTCGACGTCTTTCATGACGTTATCGCCGAAGCGTGTGTAGTGAGCGATGTGTGGTAACGCGGGCTGCATCTTGCGAAGCCTAGTGCAGAGTCGCAATCGAAGCGTTCGAGTCATTAGCATGCAATGAAACCAGGCCAGGGACTAATGGAACGCGAGCGAGACGAAGGCAGTGAATCCGAGCCCGTCGGCACGCACGTCGCGGATAGTGGGAATTGAGGGAAGCTTAGGCCCGGTGACGCGCCTGCTGTAAGTGGAGAACAGGGACCTGGACAATGCACGGAGGAGGCATCCCTCGAACGCTCGTGAGTACATCGTGGTCGAAGGTCAAGTCGCTTCAGAGATTGGCTCGACTCGTTTTGGGTAATTGTGGCGTCGTCGCGGCGAGACTTGAAAGCCAGCTTGCTTGCCACCACCTCTTCCCTGCTACCACAAGCTCTGCTCTCTGATCCGATCCTTGATATGTTCCTGCACCTTCTCGTGAGCTTGTGAGTTGCCTTTATAGATGCTGAGTGCCTCGGCCGCCACGATCGAGCTTCGTTGTGTGATTTGACAAGACACAATTAAAATATGTGGTGCGATTAGGAGGGGTGCTGATCAGACAGCAGTCGTCGACTGTGCTAATCCCTCCCCCACTTCGAACGAGGCCAAGGACGGCGTCAAACTCGTTCGCAGACGACCGGCGCGCTCCGCTCAACCCGCACCATCAGTCTCGAGCGCACGATTCCATGCCAACCCTGCGTTCATTCGCGCTCGCGGACTCCGATGCCCCGCCACCGAGTCGATCTTCACGACCTTACCGAGTACTGCACGTGCGTGCACAAGGACTGCGGCGAGCGCGGACACGGAAGGGATGCAGTCAGTAAAGAAGTAGTTCGAGACGTGACCGGTGGCGTAGGTGATTTGCGAGATAACGACGATCGCCCTGTGGTTAGGATCGAGTGAGATGAGCCGGATACTCGATGGAAATGGAACTCACGTATAGCAAGAAGCGCTCTCGATCATAAGGAGAGCGACGGACTACACGATTCACAGCGTCAGCATATGGTTGGCGGTGGTCTTAGCCGACCAGCGCACCATGATTGACGAGCCAGCTCTAGATCCCGTGGTCTACTTGGCCGTCTCGCGATGCGTACGCCAGATGCGCCAGAAGGTCAGGGCTATGGGCGAGAAATTGGTCAATTGGGTTCGACCAGATCGTCGGGCTTGACGCGGCGCACATGTACAGTAGATGTTGATGCTGAGGGCGAAAGGGCATCAGAATAGAAGAGACGTCTTACATTGAAGACTGCACCTCAGCGTGAAGGAAGTCTGGGCGATGTGCCATTGGGAAAGTGCCGCGACGGAGGAAGGGTTCGATGTGTCGTACTACCAAAGAAGTTTAGTGGCAGACCCGACGTCCAGGGAAATCAGGATACTCACCGCACCAAAAGCGTATGTCGCCCCGATGGAGGACACTAGGAAAATTGAGCCGGCGGGAAGCAAGCGCCTGCGCGCGTGCGTACCGATTGTTCCAATGAGAGAGAGTACAGGGCCTGCGGCGATAATTTTGGAGCGATTCCAAACAGCATGAAGACGAGAAATCTGCGTCGTGCAAGCCGAATGAGCCATCGATCTCATAATCCTCGCAAAGTCATGGCACTTACAACGAATGCGTCCGAGACGATGATCGTCGCCTTGTGGAACGCCTCCCTTGCGACGCTGCTTGGGCCCGTCGAGTCTTCATAGAACACGGATGCCTGTAGTCCGCCACGCCAGATTACAAAGGCCTCAAAGGCGCGTATGACGATGCAGATCCAGTACTAAGAACCGTCAGTATCGCGGGTCGGCGTGGCGAGGGTTCAGTCACTCACCCCAGTGATCATGGCGGAAAGCAATACAAGGCCTGCAAGAAGCGCACGATTCTTCCTCCGCTCCGCCCCCTTGGCGTTAAGGAGGAGATAGCTCATGGCGACGACGAGCGATGCATATAGCCCAAGGAGAACGGACTGGACTGCAAGTCCGGCGAGCTTCATCTGCGCTTGCAATCCTTCGTGCGAGTCAGTGGTCGTCGAGCACGGCAAGCCGACCATTGGAGAAAAAGATCGATCATTGGGGATACTTGCTGGTGAGCGCACTTCTGAAGCGTTAGAAACGGGTTTTATGCAGAAAAGGCGAGGAACGTATCCCAGCAGTTGAAGCTCAGTGTGGATATTCGGAACCACCCTCCGAAATCGTAGCATCCCATTGATCTCGACTGTATGGACACGCATAACTGACCGGCGCTTAGCCGTCGTCGAGACTAGTACACGGCCTAAGATTTTGTTTGTACTTTGTAAGGGCACACATTCGTGGGGCGGGTAGTCACGAGAGGTCAAGAGCGACGCACATAAGCTTCGGATATGAGATTCGTAGGTCAAGTATAGGGCGGGAGACCCGTCTGCCTCATTGCAACAGTTCTTCAGGCCTGATATACACGGCAAGCTCGCGGGATCGCGGTGCTGACTACTCCGCTTCTACTTGTCAGTCTGCGAGGGGCATCTTATGCGTTTGAAGTGATGCCAGAGACAAGCAGGTTCGTATATAGGGAGATGGAGACAAGCGCCAGACGACATGGTGGTGGAGGACAAGCCGCGCGGCGGATCGACCTAGTTCCGGAAGCCACTCGGCAAGTGCCGATGTCCGACTTCGTAACCTTGGTCGACTCTCCTGTGGGCCTGCGCTGACATTCAAGAGAACATATCGCGGATCGCGAAGGTGTATAGAATCCGAACAACGCAGCATGGATCATTACAGAATTATCGCGTACATGCACCCCGAGGTACGCCACCTACGTCTCCAAAACCGACTCGCCACTGGACGAGCACTCGGCCTGATTCTGCACTGAAAGATTGCCATAGATGTCAAGATCCTCACCCCACGCCGCTCTCCTTTCCCTGACTTCAATCTGATTCGGCTCGGTCACTTCACTGCTCCACACGTCCTCAGACGCCTCCTCGTATCGCCTTGTCAGTATTGCGCGCGCGTGGACGAGCACGGCAGCGAGTGCGGCGGACGGTGGTATACAGTCTTGAATGATGTAGCCTGATACGTGGTTCATGCCGTAGGAAACTTGGTAAGCGAGGACAACAGAGCTGAGGGTGGCGTGGCTTCAGCAACGGCACATCTGGAGTTCGAGAAATCCGCGTACGTGTAGAGAGCAGCGCTCTCAGCCATGAGAGTGACGGCAGACTGTTCAATGATGTTAGTACGGCATCGGACATAGGCAGCAATTACAAGGGAGCATGGCCGCTCAACGAAAAAAGCACTCGCCATGATGGATATACCGAAGGAGAACTCCGATGTCCTGCGGTGTGCGCGTCCGATACGCCAGATTATCATTCCTGCTTTTAGTAAGAGAGGCCTAGTTCAAGCGAAGAGCGCTGTCTTACCCGTGCAGTAGATATTTGTACTGTCAATGGTCAGGACATCAGCCAAGAGCGAACAAAGCCAGACAGAAGAGACCTAACCTGATCGTCAAGATATTGTGAATCATCTTCCAAATGTGAAGGATCTGGAGCGTTTGGGGCCTCTTTTCATCATACTGGAAGGTGATTTTAGTCAGGGACGAGGAGAAGCAAAGGACGGACTCACTTTGGCATAAGCGTATGCCGTTCCCACAGCCGAGACTACGCAGAATGACGAAATTGGACCTAACCAGATGGCGCGCGACTTACCTAGCAGCCCCGCCGAGGAGAGGGAAGGCGCGACAATGACCCTCTTTCTGTATTCATAGACAACCCAGAGTCTCAATATCTATGCGCTTGGATAAGTGGGCCGGAAATACGTACAGTAGTGCGTGGGACTCACCACGAACAGATCAGCGACCACGATGGTCGCACTGTGAAAGGCAGACCTCGTCACCTCGCTCGCTCCTGTATTCGAGTAGTAAAACCACGATGCGTGCGTCCCGCCTTTCCAAAATACGAAAGCCTTGAAGCTGCGGATGACAATACACATCCATTGCTGCATACGGCGGATCAGCGTAACATATGCGACGATCATCCATGAATACTCACCCCAAGGGCTGCCATGGACAGGATACTCATGCCTAGAATAAGCCAGCGTCGAGCATGCTGGTTCGTACGCCGTGCAGTCTGAGGGGTCGGGCGACGAGATAGCAGATAGATCATGGCTACGACGAGGGTGGCAAAGATTCCCATCAACATCGACTGAACGGCCAGTCCCGCGAGCTTCATCTGCGCCGATAAGCCTACGGGCATCGTCTTCTCGTTTCGCACCGAGGTTGGCGACGCTGCCGAGGAGATTGGGGAGGCGCGGATCGAGAACCACAACAGTATGCCAGTTTCGGAGCAAGACCTTGCACGTTATAGCCCAGTCGGGATACACTCAAGCGGTGCAAATTAATGAAGTGTGCGAGACCTGGCGGCGCCAATACCGAATGAGTTTGTATAGCTGGCAGAGATGATAGACCCGACTCACCTGCTCGAGGAGTTCAGGTAGGGGTGGAAGACAGGACACAGACGTCGGTGAGCGTTGCCCCTCCGTGGACCGTATGCAGGGAGATGAACTCGTAATACCGGTCGCTTTGGGTGAGCACCGCTGTAGTGAGCGAGGGACAGGCGGAAATCACGCTCACCGATAAGTCCAGCGCGCGAAGTAGAGCGCGGCCTCTTCATCAGCAGAAAAGCCCTCGATGTCGTTCAAGCTCGTCAGCACTCTCTAGATCTTCAGCGGAGCGGGAGAATACCGTGCTTGAGGAAAAACATAACGTTCGGGAGAGCATCGTATAGCGGGGAGAATCTTTCGCCCATAGCCGTTGAGTACGCGCTGCATAGGTTGTGGAGCACGGTCCATAGAAAGGCGTTGCCTCCGAGCCCGTCGGTGCGCACGTCGGTGACGGTGAGAGCCCCTCAATAATGGTTAGCCGGTCGACGAGCACGTAAAGGTAGGACCATTTACAAGTCAACGAATCCTTCGCTCGACGAAAGCGCGGGCGCGAATCGACGAGAAACCCCTAGCGTCAACCAACCGATGAGAGTTCGTGTCAGAAAGCCAGCTCACCCGGAGTTTGCCGATGGGTAAAACTGTTGCAGCGTATAGCCGCTGAGGAGCGCATCGTGACCCAGGAGAAGAGAGCATTCATTGACGGATGCCATGAATGAGCCAAAAATGCGAGGGCGGGCGAAGAAAGATGAAAAAGCGGAAGCGGCTAATTGACCACCGCAGGGGTCGAACCTGCAATCTCCTGATTACCAAATCGTAGTCAGACGCGTTGCCATTACGCCAGGCGGCCGATGCAAGTCACCTCTGCGCGCACATGCCATGATTGCATGCGCGACAAGCTGATAGCGAAACACGACAGAGGGCGCGGAGTCGAGTTCTGAGATGCCATGACGAAGGGTGGGTGGTAGATGAGCAATGAGACGCAAAGTCGCTTCCCGCGCGATAGAGATACATGAGTTGCCATCTATCAGCTAATGGGTGATCAGGTTTCAGACCGTCGCCGACTTGTTGAGCCTCACCTACAGTCTCACCGGGGATCCATAGGATCCTCGTTCCGCAAGCTTCCTTCCCAGAGCGAGCCCACCCCATCGATGCCCATCCCAGTCGTCCCATACGGGTCCATCCTGCTCGTCGCCACGCCCGCCGTCCACGCCACCGTCGTAAACCGCGTCATCTCGTCGACGGTGCTGAATATACCAACCACCGCCTCTCCATGCAGGTTGAGCATCATGCGCGAGAGGAGCGTGATGGAGAGGCTGCTGACGGCGGTCGCGAGCGTGCCTTTGAGGTAGGGCTGGAGAGGAGGTCAGCATCGTGTGCTCTCGCGTGCGCGGCAAGACTGGATTGGTGGTAGTAAGAGAAGCGAGGGCAGAAGGAGGTACGCACGCCAGCCATCTGCGATGGTTTGGTCAGCGGAAGGATGGCGAGGATGATCAATTCGAGGCGACGCACGTAGTATGTCAACACATTTGCCACATTCGATATCAAGAGGACGCTATGAATCGCCTCAGCGAGAGCAGCATAGAGGAGGGCCGGTCAACGTACCCAAAGTACAGCGCGCCTGGAGCAGTGATGAGCGGAAGGAATATTGGGAGACAAACTCGAAGGCATACCGTCTCGCAGAAGGATTGAAATCAAGGGCGGCGCTCTTGGCTGTCGGACCGCGCGCGCCGTCTTCCCTGCCGTTAGCACGAAGACGATGAGATCGTAGGCGAGCATGGTGAGCCAGATGACGGAGAGACCTTCGAATTGAGACGGTAAAAGAGTATCGAGACCGACTGATGACGGACATACGATAAGCGCTGTGGATGATCAGCTCGAAATTGGCGCGGCATTATTAGCGAAAGAGACGTACTCTGCTTCCGGCGTATACACCAAGCACTTGACGACAGCAGGTTCAGCCGTGGAGGTCTGCCCGAAAAGGGCCCATCCCGCCAACGCCACGCCGACGGCTGCATAGGAAAGCAAGCCCACGAGTATCCGGCGATCGCGGGAAAAGACAGCGTAGACTCGAATGAGCATGAGCACTGAGAACGGTGTGAGCATTGATGCGCCTCGTTGGGATGGGATGCGTGGAGTGGCCGCGAAGAAGACAAAGTCACTTACTGCTCACGATAATCTGCGTCACGACGATGTATATCTCGCGGAAGAGGTTGACGGACTGACATCTGCAGTCGTCGTTGGTGGATGACAAGAAGTGACGAGGAACCCGTCAGCATGCAGGCACGCTCTGAGCACAAACCTACTCACGTCTCCCTCGGCATCGCGCAGAAGTTGAGCACTGTGACGGTGACTCCGCCGAAGAAGCCGAAGTACCTATTGAGGAGAAAGAGGTACGAGCCGCGGGTCTTGGGACGACACCAAATGCGAGTGATCTCGGGCACTGAGGTGCGAAGGTCAGCAACGACGCTCATTGGTGGAATGAGGAGACGAGGTGGTAGGCATCGGACAAGAGACGACGAAGGGAAAGCAGTGAGCGGGAAAATGCACGCGTGAGAAGGCAGAGGTGGCTCAGCAAAAGAAAGACACGCACCAAATGTGATAGCGTGGTCGTAAAAGAGGACTGTGACGCCGAGTAGGTGGCAAACATCGGCCAGAAAGCTGAAATAGGTCGCATAGCGATCAGACAGTGCTGAACCTTGCTGTAGATCACTTACTTACGCAGAGTCTGCGATTAAGCGCTCGTCATGCATGTGACCCTGCTCGAGGTTCGTCAGGGTGTCGTCGGGCGATGGACACCCTGCGAAAAGGACGTCGGGGAAGAGGACAAGTCGTGTCCGCCGTCGAACCACCTGCGCCCGCCGTGGGCATCAGAGTCCTCGACGATGGCTCCGCATATTTGCGCGGCTCATCAGGAGAAGCAGGTGTTGACAAGGATCTGCCTTCAGACGGCGTAACGGGGAACAAGCGGAGGACTGATGTGATGGGGCGGCGCGTGGGACGATCATACATCCACGCGAGGGGATGGGCCGGAAGCGGGTTGCGCCTTGACTCTCACTGTCACGGTCCAGTTAGTTGCACAACGACAGGCGGCCCAGCAAGGTATCTAGTAAGTAGCTGTCATGATACTCCACTGTAGGGCGAGCCCAATCGTGCAAGATCCAAATCCGTTTATTGCTCGATATAAGTAAGGTCCTCGTGTCCGTCGGCGAGGATTGTCTTCCGTGATCGTTGACTCCAATGAATATATTGCCCCTCCGATGCGTGCGGTTCTCAAGATCACCATCTACTGCTCAAAGGACATTTCGCCATGCAAAGCTCTTATCGCGTACAACTGTTGATAGCTACGGCGGCATCTCTCCGAAGGCTGACCTTCACATTCGGTGGAAAGCGGTGTGTTTCCCTTCCTTTCGTGCTAATCCCCGTGCTGACCGCCAATTTCTGAATTCCTTATCTGATTCTCCAGCTCCCTGACACTGTGCCCGCATCGCCACTCCTACGACAGCTGCCTTCATGATGGATAGGAGCGTCTCCGTGGCGTGTTACTCGCTGGAAGAGGTGTTCATCCCTCGCCTATAAAGCCTCGCGCGGAATCGCTGACCCTGCAATGCATGAACCAACCGCAATGCCGACGCGTGAAGATGTTGGTATGTATTCTGAGATATGGCCCGACGGTAGAAAGCCCCTCATGAAGCTCGCGGGGCTCGCCGTACAATCAGTTCTCTACGGAATCTTCATCGCTATGGCCTTTGCGATGTTGTACTTGCTATGCCGTCGCCCACAACCGCGGCAGAGTGCGCACGACCGCCCTGTCAACTCATGGCTTATATCTGGCCTGGCGATCCTCACCGTCACCGCCATAACCGTAAGTAAATGGATATCCCTTTCCTGTCTATCCACTAGCCGACCATAACTCTACAGCACTGGATAGCTATCGTTGTCAGAGCCTTCGAGGCATTTGTGTTCTGGCGCGGTGGCCATATGGCCTTGGCGTATTACGCAGGATCGACAAGGTCTGGCATGGTCAAGTTCGCTTTCCATGGCGCGACGAGCGTCATTGCGGATATATTTGTAGTCAGTTTCTCTCCTCTCGCATCCTCGAGTCCCTATACTTACCCGAACATGCAGATCGCTCGACTTTATATCATCTGGAACTACCGCAAGTCAGTAGTCATCGCGCCGCTCTTGTTCCTCCTTGGCTTCGCCAGTGAGTCGTCGTCGACTACGGCTAAGCACCTAAGTCACGACGCGACGCATATGCAGCCTCCTGTATCGGCTGTACATACGCATATGGCGTGGTTCGTACACTAACATTGGAGGGAAGTGCGAAACTTACTGATCACACGGGCACAGTATGACAAATCGAAGCCAGAGACGCTCATAGCGCTGCACCGATGGAGACTGTCGTTCTCGGTCTGCACCATCTGGTCAGTCAAAGCTCGCTTATCGAAACGCTTCTCGTTGTCTGATATCAATGTCTAGTACCACTGTCTACTGCACCAGTGAGTAAGCGACTGCTTGCGCCGTGCTCTTCCGAACTGATGTAATCTCGCTTGCAGCCATGATTGTCTGGTATATCTGGCGGCTTCGCTATCAGAACCCGGAGCGTACGGTAAACAGAACCATAAAGGTTCGTACAAACTTTTCGCATGGGAACACGTACGGATCAGCTAATGCCATGCCCTCACCATGCGCTCGTCCCCCCTCTTTTATCCTCACGCTTCGTACTTGCATTCAATGTTCTCAGTCAGTCATCGTCATCATCATCGAGAGCGCCGCACTCTACACGTTGGTCCCTCTCCCACTCGATTCTCCATCTATCTCACAAATTGTTGCATCTTTAGCTCAGTCGTGATCCTATCCCGTATCACCTACGAAGTCGGCCACATATCGAAACACTTCTTCGTCGACTGCACTCCACCGGTCGCCGCTATCACCGCTGTACTCGTGCATGCGCGTGCAGTCTTGCTGAAGGTTCGCCAAGGCGGTTAGAGAGCCGACGAGGGACTTCTCGAGCTCGGTCGCGCTGGGGCGCGATGCTTCGGATGGCCGTGTTGTAGGTGCTTCGATTGTGCTAGATGCGTCCTATGTCGATGTCATTCGACCACCTCCCACTCCACGAAACCCCCTTGATAAGCTACTTGACGAGAATAACTATGAGAATATTTATGACCAGGAGCCCCTTCCCAACTGATCGTCGTCTAGTAAGTACTCTGCCGTAGAGGACAGTCCAACTATCTGTGGCCAGCTGTCCGTATGCGCGGTGTTCATCGATGTCAGGTGAACTTCTCCGTAGCCCGAGCGCATGTACGTCTCCTCGTGGAGGTGCAGCATCATGCGCGACGCCAAGGCGGCGGAGATGCTATACCACGACACCAAGGTACCAACATAAGAACCGCCCGCAACGGAAGATATATGGATCTCGTACCTGACGCCGATGTTGACTGTGGATGCCGCAAAGTAAGGCTAGGAGACGATGTTATATTCAACGACGTGGATGGAAGAGTTGCCGCATACCCCGACTTTCTGCCAGAGCAATGGTTCAGCGGACAGTAACACGCGGTGAGCCTCAACTCACATAGAAGAACAGTACATTCGCGAAGTTGAGCATAGATGCGGTTCTTTGCAGCGGTCAGAATGCGAGGTAGGGCAACGTGACAGTTTGCGATAGCCACTGCTCACCCAAAGTATAAGGCACCTGTATTTCAAGTTCGACAATCAGTCAGTCCACTGCACCAGGATCAGAAAGCCAACTTCGCTTACCGTCTCGTAGCAAGAGATGGGTGAGCGGCATACAAGGCTTGCGAAGCGCGTTGACGGTCTTGCATATTGTCAACGAAAAAATGATGAGGTCGTACACCATCACAATTATCCAGATGACAGCGATCCCTGTGAGTGTCAACGGGTCAACAGCGCTCATGGGACGAGGTCACTACCCACGTCGCGCTCTATAGGTGCATCAGAGACTGCTTCATTGCCAAGGCAGGCATGAGAACATACATTATCTTTGGTACCGGCAACGGACAGGGAGGTATCTCGTCGATCCAGTGCGCGCCTGCTTCGTTGGCTACGATGACCGAGCCATGCGCGATCCACTGCTGACTGCGTGAAGTACACTCTTGAGAGAGAACCGCGGCCTTACCAAGGAATACCCCAGGCCAGCGGCGACGTAGACGACTAATACCCATAGTATACGCCGGTCGCGTCCGAATATGGCGTACACGCGGAGCGACATTAGCACTATAGTGTGAGGAGTCGTGAGATAAGTCGCGGTACGCTGGCATGCAGCACTCACCACTGACTACAATCACGATTACCGTCATGGCGAGGTACTCAAAGAGCCAGGCATGCACACATCTAGCAGGGATACGAGATCAAGATTCAGCGCAGTGGCTCTGGGAAGTTTGCTACTACTCACGCCTATCACGACATATGAGTGCGTTACAGCGTCAGGTGGGCAGTGCGCACCTCGTAGGGGGCTTCCCATAGTTCAAGCGGCACAAGCGTCAAGTCCAGCATGAGAGAGATATAGCGGAAGAGGAAGAAGACGTATGAGGCCCGGTGTTTGGGACGCCGCCACACATACTCGATCTCAGAAGCTGTGCGGTGGAAGTAGGGCTTAGCACAAAAGGACACCGCGCCAGCGGGAAACACCTACGCAGGGTGTCTATGTGGTCGTGGACGAGGATCGCTGATGGGTTGTTTTAGATAGTAAGCCGCGCAGTTCAAGGGCAGGACTCACACGCAGCTATTATGTGCACGGCGCCATGGACAAAGCTACGAGGAGAGCCGGTGAGCTTGAGTAAGAGATCATCGAGAAGCTTGAGCCACGGACCGTGCCTGACCGAAGACGTTGAGTGCGACTGAGTCGGCCATGGAAGAGGCTGGTATGCGCGTTAATGACAACCTAAACGCGCTCGGCTGGCTTCAAGATCCAGTTCCCCCGCCTATCGCGGACATATATACGCATTTCGTCTTCGATTCTGAACGCCCGAGGTTCGCCATCTGAGGCGGTTCACCTTCTTGCGATGGTGAGAGGTCGAACATGATCTGAAGCTCGGGCGAAGGGACTCGACTTCCGACCAGAGATGATATTAACGGGAGAAGAGGAAGCCGCAAGAGCGCATGTTCCGGTTTTCAGCTTGAGCGCGAGAGCCGGTGCAGATGCGGGGTCGATGTGATAGGGAAACGACATCGTATAAGAGGCATCATACTATTACCAAGGACGTGATGCGTAGCGCGTACTCGAAGTAGGTATTGGGCAGTCGCGGATGATCTCGAAGATGAGAACGGGGATGATGATATACTTCGAGGCTCGACCAATCTGTCTCGATGATCATGTCGAGGTCGATATCGCGAAGTCCGCATTGAGGGCTCTATGATCCGGGATGGACAGAAGGTGCTGAGGCGGCAGGAATCAAGAAGTGATATTCTCGATGCGTCGGTCGACGACTCGTGGCGTGATGAGAGAGCAAAGATCAGCGACAGCATGTTGCGGGCGGGGAACACGGCGACGCCGAAGGTCGCAGTGAGGCTCGCATGCTGCGCGGCGCCGTTCGACAATCGTTGAGAAGATTGGCGGTCATGTCTATGCCTCGGTCGGACCGCTAATCCGGACGACGGCGGCGGCGAGGCGGTTGAGGAACGGCGAGGCAGTCGAGAATCGTCGCTGCCTTTCTGGCGAGCGGCATGCGAGGGGCAGGACGGCCAGATGCGCCAGCGTCGAAGTGCGCGGTGTTGAGGGCATGCGCGAGGGTCTCAGGCCAGGTCCTAGGCCACATCTCGACAACGGCTTGCATCCCCCGGAGGGTCGGAAGGCATCGATACGGCGCGCGCACGGCGAGCTTTCCGTTAATCCTTGAGGTGTGCGCTGGCCGGCTAGCGCGGCACCTCGGGTCCGAGAAGATGGCAAAGACCTCCTCGTTGAAGATAGGACTACCGAGATCGGAGGCGGCGAAGACCTTGATCCTGAGGGGGGTAGAAGAGCGAGGCGTCGAACGCGTCGTTCGCCGAGGTTGGTAGCATGCACATGCGGGAGTTGTTGAGGCTGGGGCAGTACGGTCGAAGGCTTGCAAGCTGCGTCCGTCTTCAACGCGAGCACTCGAGCGATCGCCTCGGACTAGAGGAGACTACGCTCGGGTGAGGATGCTGGCGTCGACAGGATGGTCGATCGTGCTAAGTCGTCGTCGCGCTCGAGTAGCTGGTATGCAAGTCGGGGCCGGGTCGGGCGGGCAGGAGGGAGAGAGCGTCCGGCGCGACGGTTGGCGCATCGTCGATGGGCGGTTCGAAGGTCGCTACTTCCGACTCTCGGTCGGCCTGCTGCGTCGCGCAGGCTTGTGGGGCGAGTGTACGTTCTGGCAAGTTTGACGCTCAGGGTCCCCAAAGTTCGGACACCTCGCGAAGGCCTTCCGGTTGTCTAAAGTGTCGTGGGGGTGTCCATGGCCTCTGCCAATCGCGGGCGGTCGCATGGATGATTGACGGCCTCTCCAGGGGCGCGCTGACCGCTGGCAGGAGATAGTCAGCAAAGATACAGACGATGTCAGAGGCATCACGCACGTTTGTCCATCCATCCCTCGCTCGCTTCCAGCTTCATGGCACCCTCATCATCGTCTCGCAGGACACTCGGCATGACTCCCATTCACGCCTCTCCCCACTTCGCGAGAGGAGCTTCCCAGTCGTTCTCAGTCGTCAGCACATCGTTGCAGAGGCGAATGTGAGATAGATAGGAGTGTTGATTGAGAAAAGAGATGCTGAGGTACAGGGGAGGAGGAAGATCGCGAAGGCGGTGATCGTGGTGAGGGAAGAAGGCAGGCGGCGAGCCGCGGGCCGCCGTGAAGCCCGTTCATCAAGCCGCCATGACTCGCTTTCATCCGCTACGCTTCAGACCCTTCACGACCTGCGGCCATATTACAAGTGTATCTCGACCTGGTTCTACGAATCGAGCGCGTTCCCTGAAATCGATTTTCTCCTTCAACAAGCTTCTGACTTGCTCGAACACTTGTGGGAAGTGTAAACGCGGGAGATGCATCAAGAACAAGAGATGGCTTACCTGCTAGAATCATCCAAGAGATGGCTCGCTGTCGCGCATGAACAGAACGAGGACTGATATCATGTCGCTCATCGACCTTGGAGATCAGGAACGCTCGTACCAACAACTTCTTTTGGTCGACCTGCTCGATAACATAGAGCGAAGGTTACCTTGACCCTTCCATCTCGCCTTGCTGCTCACCAAGTCATCTCGTATATGATCGCGGTATGTGTCTCAGGGTACTCATCGCAAGCCCCCAGCATACGCGGTACGTACATAAGGTGCAGCGCTGCCAGCCTTTCGCAGGTCTCGTCGAACGCCAGCCATGGAGAACCCAACACTCGCAATCTACATCCGTATATGGCATGATCATCTTGTCAATGCCATGCTGTTGGCGCTCTTCTATGGTAAAGCTCTCTCTTGACTGTCAGCTCGGTACTGACCTTGCGCAAGGCATACATTTTGCGCTGTACGTCGCCGCCGTCTCTGCGATTTCGTGAGTCTCCCGTGCACAGTAGAGGAATTTGCGCCTCACCCCATCACGCAGACGACGCAACAACGTCGGTCGCTACTTCGTCGGCGGCATGACTACCCTTCTCTTCGCCACATCCACGGTCTGGTTCACTGTCAACACAAGAGTCGAAGTCTTGAGCGCCCTCGCACCATTTCGAACCAACGCCATTACCGACCTCCTCCGCCACATTGCTGCTCCATTGCTTGTCCTGGCGCGGATCAATGTAAGTGCATGGAAAACATAGCAATGCTCATGTTGATCATCATACGGCAGCACATATCCTCAGACATCATAGTCGTCTGGCGCGCGTGGGTCCTCTGGCCGGACAGCAAAGCTGTTCGACTATCCCTCACTCTGGCTATACTCGGCACTATAGGTAACTCTTCTGATTCAATCGATCGATACGTTCTAACCATGCTGTTCAATAGCGGGGAGCGTCGTCGATTTCGCCTACTCATACTCGAGGTACGGCGTCGCCGCATACTCGTGGAACCTCCCTGACAGAAGCGCCAACTACCTACGCGCCTTCACCTCCATCGTACCCGTACTCCTCACGAACGTACTCGTGACGGCGCTCGTCGGCGTCAAAGTATGGTCCGTGCGCTCTCGGGCTCTTCCACCACCCGACGCCCACTGACACCGTCCAGGACCTACCGGCGTAGCATCAAGCCCGCCCTCGGCCGCGCATCGCAGACGCGCGTGGAGAAGATCATGGTCCTTCTCGTCGAGTCTGGCGGCGTATATAGCTGCATATGGGTACGTGTATCGCTCTCGGGCTCGAGTCGGCCGGTCTGACGCTCCTCCAGCTCGCCTATCTCGTCATAACCCTCGCGGACGTCGCCGGCATCTTCCACTCCAACCTCACGTACATGGGACCGGCAGGCATGCTGGGCACGCTCATGCCGGCAATAGCGGTGCGTTCGGTTGGCTATCTCGTCGTACCAAATCATGGGGTCGACTGACTTTACCCGACAAGGGGGTGTACCCCACGTTAGTGGTGCTACTATCGACCACCCAAAGCTCGCCAACACTATACGTCTCTACCAACTTGGTCTCCGATGTGTCCGGTCCCAACGGTGCTTCGGGCGCGGGCGTTTCTTTGTCTAAGAACGGAATCTCCCTGGCGAGGCAGAATTCCACCTACGAAGTACCTCTGCACAGCACCTCGCTATCAATGAAGTAGCTTCGCCGCGCTTGTAGCGGGGCGATTCCAGTGGACATGAAGTATTCGAGTAAGTGGGGGTGCGAGCGCTGCAATCGTCAGCTAACGACGACTCCACAGATAGAAGTCTGTACCGTACGTAGAGGGGCAATACACCTTTATCGTGCATTATCTCTCAGTATCCCTCATGTGCGTTACGTTTCGAGACCTGGTCCAATTGCATATGCGGCGTCCTTGTGAGTAGTCGATATAAGACCCATTGAGATGCATGACGCTGTCTCGTCGTCTTCAACCGCCTCTTACGCATACCATGACGCTCGCAGCGCTCTCTGCTATGGCCGCAACCTTCGCCTGCGTGGCGTGTGCCATCCGCCGCCGCCACCATCGTGCCCCCCTTCCTCCAGGACCTAAAGGGTGGCCAGTTATCGGCAACTTGCTCGATATTCCCTCCAATTACGAGTGGGACAAGTATATGCAATGGGCGAGAGAACTTCGTGAGCTCTGATCAGTTCACTGTTAGCCGTCAGTACTGAGCGCATGCAGGGACGGATTTACTTCATCTAGATGCGGCTGGTACATCGGTGATTATCTTGGACTCCTACGAAGCGTGCTGTGACTTGCTGGCGCAGCGCGCCCGGTACTACTCCGACCGGTAAGCGTAAGTTTTGCGGTGTCGCTTTGGTCGCCGCCCCCGCATGACATCGCTCTGACGGAAGATAACAGTAGACCCGCATTTCCTATGACAATCGACCTTATGGGTATGGAGTTCAGCTTCGCCCTCATTTCGTACGGTAAAGTGGACCCCGTCCTCAATGAACCGTGGTCCTAACGACCGTGTCCTCGCCATAGGAGAAGGATGGCAAGAAGCTTCATACACTCGTACATGCCAGTCTGGCTCACATATCCGCAGGCGCGCTCGGCAGCGTATCGCCCGCGAATCAATGCACGGGAAAGCCGCCATCCGAGCTCAAGTCCGCGCACACCTTCCTCCGCAACTTGAACATGCTCGACGCTGGCGAAGACGACCTGGAAGCAGAGATGGGAACCCGGAGAAGCCATCTTTTGTCTTCTGCTCTCTCAAGCAGGGCGGCGACGATCAGGCCGTTCGCGACGCGGCGGCTACGATGTACAATTGAGGCACGGACACGGTAAGTTCGCCGCTTCTTCGGTCGTGATACTCCGGGACCTCGGCTTCGAACTGACGCCCGCCTACAGACCGTGGTCACGATTCTCAACTTCGTGCTGGCCGTGCTCGACACCCCATTCATGCAATGTCGCTCGCAGCGCGATCTAGACGCCTTACTAGGCCCTTTGCAAGGAGCGGACGGCGAACTTGGACAACTGCCGGTGTTCGACGATGAAGAGCGGCTCCCTTGCATCACAGCCCTCGTGCGCGAAAACTCTCGCTCCCGACCTGTCCTACCGATGGTGCGCCCCTTGTTCTCAATGTACTTCCATCGCTGACCTCTCATTATAAGTCCATCTCACACGCCTACAACGGCGTGGAGCCTGACATATACAAAGGCTACGCTGTACCCTGCGGCTCGATCGTCAACCCAACGTCTGGTCCGTTTAGGTAATTTCCGCAGCTACTTCCTCCGCTCATGGCCTCGTAGGTCTATGACGCATGACGAGAAGGCCTACCCCGACCCCTATGCCTTCAAGCCCAAGCGTTACCTCGATGCGGACGGCAAGCTGGACCCGAACGTCCGCCCAAGGGACGATCATATGGCAACTATTTTGTCCAAAAACCCTTTTTAGGGGTTTTGTGGGACACTTTGCGTGGACGGTGTATTATCGTCAGCGAGTTCTGCGGTACATTACCATCGGCGGGACATTGCACGGTCGGGAGGTCCCTCGCGGCACTCTCGAGACACTAGGACGCTTAAAGGGGTCATTCATTGGCTCTCCTATACGTGCTTAGAATGCTTAAGGCAGTAATTCAGAAAATGATTCATGCAGTGTATCTTCTGCCTTTGACGGTGTGCTGCTTGCAGTCGTCTTCGGGTACTGAAAAATGGTCTGCTGCGCAAAATTTGTTTCAAGTCAGTGAATATCTCGTTTATAGGGCTACTTGCATCGAAGCCTAGCAAACTTGACGCCGGCGTGATTGAGAAACAGATATACGCTTGATTGAGTGAGTCGTACTTGGAGGCTGGCCTGCTCCGCATCTTCCGATGCCCGGTATTGCGGCGCTTGCGATCTGTGTCGGCCAGCTTGACATAGATACAAAGAGATGAGGAGAACAAGTGTCCGGCTACCTTGATTCTCGTCGCATGGAATCATTGGTATGGGCACAGAGTAAGCCGAAGTTATGAAGCTCGCAAGTCGAACCGTCTCGCGGAAATTGCCGTAAGGTCCCCGGGCCGCCAGCAAGGACGGCAAATCCCGAAAGGCGCGCTGCTACCTGCCTCGCCGTGGATTCTGCCTTCAGGGCACCCCGCACACGTCCCATCCGTGGATGCTGCAGTGTCACACGAGTGCTCACCATGCAGAGTGCTCTCATGAGCCAAATCTCGCGAGTGCCCTCAGATCGATGTACTGCAGAAGCATACTGACCACACTGTTCTTCTCGTTGACGACTGTCCCGTGAGACGGAAATCCACCGAGAAATGCCAGAGTGCAGGACCCGAAATAGTGTAATGTACCGCTATAGGCCGAAATATAAGTGGCAATGCAAAGCACAAGTGTCCTATGGCCCGTTCGAATGTCCTGCCTTAATTTTTGGACAAAATAGTTGCCATACGATCATTTTCGGGTGAGCACTCTTCTCCTCGTACGAGGCTGAACTGCATCGGGTGCCGCGTAGCATACTCCACGCTGTGGATTACCATTGCATCTATCTTACGCGTGTACAACATTGAGAAGGTGTGTCGCTCTTTTAGTGGCGCATGATGTGGCCCTGTTGGCTGACGTCTCGCTGTAGGCGAAGCGCTCGGACGGATCCATCACTGAGCTTCGCCGTGAATGGGTCTCAGCCCTCATACAGTACGTGATTTTCAATGTCTCCCAATAGATTCCGCGCTAACATCTGGCATCGTATTGCATCGCAAAGATCCGAAGCACTTCAAGTGCGTCTTTACGCCTCGCAACGCGGATGCGGTCTCAGTTCTTCGAGCTACTAAGGTAGCTCGCGAAGTCGTCTGATTAAGACAGATCTGCCATCCATTGGCGGAGTAGGTGGCGTACGGTTTGTCCAAAGGTCCGTAGCCATATATTGGACTACATCTGTAGTCGTGTATCTGTATGAATTGTAAATAAAGCCGACAAGCCAATCTCGACTACTACTTTCCCAGGATCATCTTCAGAAGGGATACCCCAGGCCTACCCTCTGCGCCTTGGGAAATAAAACACGAGCGTATGCGACGCATCTATCCATCCGCTGACGTTCGCGATCGTCTTCCCGCATGTTCAGCTCCAAGCAGGCAAGTTCGGCTGCTGAACTCGGGAGGGTATTCCAAGTCTCTTCTCCTGGTATGTCGTCCACGTCCGTCACCAATACTCTGATGTCTTGAGGCGGAGAGGGAAGCTTCGCCAAGACCTGCAAGCCCTGCACTGGGATGTAGCATCCTTCCAGCGAGAGGTAATCCAGTTTAGGCAAGTCTTCCATGATGCGAGCGAGTCGGTCGGACTCAATTCGAAGGTGTGCTGAATCGAGGGCGAGACAAAGTTTCCCCAGGGCATTGAACTTGAGAAGCGGGACAATAGTGCTATCAAAGGACATGCTCCGAAGATCAGATCCGGTGCAGGATTCCGAGAATGCGACGTCGAGGCTTCTGAGGATGTGCTTATCCAAGTGGTGGGAGCATAACGAGCAGACGTAGGATGGGAGAGCGATGCCATGCTCGTTGAAGAGGTCGGGAGGCTCAAAAATATAGATCCTGAGCGAGGATAATCTTGTGCAGGCACTACTCAAGACAGCCCTGAGCGCGCGCACGTTGTAGCCGCCTTTAAAAGATACGCTGAGTCTCGTGAGCTTGGGGAAAAGGGCAGCTCTTTCCGCAGGCTGGTCAGATGAGAATGGGTGGTCGATTGTCGTGATCAGATTCGTGAGGTGCGGAAGCGTCGAGAGGATGTCCCACACCGCTTCATCCGCGTGGCAAATAGTGGCGTCCTGCAAGTTGGCGAAGGTAACTAGCGTCGCAGGGGATACGGTGTTTATGCGGAGCAGCCGAAGTGAATCCATCATCGCAGATGCTCTGGATGTCAATATATCAAGTGTATCGCAATGATTGCGATCCATCCTGAGCCTCTTCAGTCTGCCGCTTGCAAACGCTTCCCAGATCCCCCACTGGTACGCCATGCTTGAGTCGATACAGAGCTCATCAAGCGCAGGGAAGAGCGTAAATTTCGATGGCACGAGCGTCTCCTGTAGTTGGCGACATACGTTGCCGGCCATCATGGTCGGCCCGCATGAGGTGCCGGCGTGGTCATGTCCCTCACGAGCAAGACGCGACACTGTGTCCGAGCTTCGCTTCTCCCAATAAAGCGCATTGTAGACCCCAAAAATGCGAATTTTGCGCGTGTACGGTAGGAGGCGCTCTCATTCCGATACTTTGATGAAACGACGGAAAATCTTGCAGAAGGTAATTTCAGCATTGTGTGGCCACAGCGAGGACGAATAGCACAGAGCTCTCACGCACGAAAACAGGTTCGCAAAGCTCCGACGGATTATGGGAATGAACTTTGAGATCCAGACACGCATAATCTGGCGCGTGGTAGTCGTCGTTCTTGTCGTCCTTGTTGCAGTGCTGCAAAGCGTCAGATCACGTCAAAAAGCTACGTCAGAAGGTAAGGTCTAGGACTCGCCTCGACAAAATGCCATGCATCGCGGGGAAGGAGGCGTAGAACGTGCAGCAAATAGCTTTCTTGCCACAAATATTGGTGGCGAGCTCGTGCCAGATACGACAGACACGCGCTGCACAGGCAAGAGTGGTATTATTGGAGTCCCTTGGAAGAGAACTCTGGTTGCCTGGGCCTTTGACGCAGCTCATGATAAGGTCGAGAATCTCGATTGGGAGGAGAGTCATGGCCGGCGAAGCGGACAAGTTGGTGGGCATATCCACGTGGCAGGGGAAAGGAAAGGGGCGAGGAAGAAAGACCGATTCGAACAAGCTTTATATGGCCCAGCGCGGTGACTCATGACCAGGTCTGTGCACCCGGTCCCGTTCATCGTTCTTGTTGTTAGCGCCAGATTGAGTCACAAGCGGCCAGAGCGTCGGAGAATGAAGGGCGTCACGATCAGATCAGGGAGGGGGCAATGAATGGCATGAAGGTTGGACAGATCGAGAGAGGCCGCATCCATCAGGATATGGCTTCAGTCTTGGAGGCAGCGAAGAAAGCCGCCGAACTTTGGCGACCGAGCGGTGAGGGTCGGCAAAAGCCGAAACATTGTGTGGCGCATGTTCAGGTTTCGATCCTCGGCCTTTGTACTGCGATATCGACGACAGAGATAGACCATGTCAGCGTCTATATTGTTCAATATTACCCAGAGCCACAGTTGATATCGGTCACGCATTCTCCCTCGACACGCGCACGCACGCGACGTCTGTTTACAGACAATGGCAAGTCCATCAAACCTGTAAGGGATGTGCGTTCACTCAAGCATTATCTGAATCATAATCTACCACTTCGGCACGCCACCTTGCGGCACGGTGACGGTCCTCCATCATCTCGCTCTCCAGACCATGACTTCTCCACTCGCATCCGCTATAGACATCGCGAGCCTTTGTGAGCACGGCGCGGGCGTGGACCAGGACGGCGGTGAGCGCAGCAATGGTCGGGATACTGTCGACCAAGAAGTAGCTTGCAATATGGTCGATTTCGTAGGCGACCTGGGCGATGAGCACGGCGGAGCTAATTGTGGATGATTTCGCTAAGAACGGCGTCGACGCAAGGAGTACGCACGTGTAGAGCACCGCGCTCTCAGTTATGACGATGACAACGGACTGGGCGAAGGCGTATATGATACGGAGGGAGAAGTGTGCGTTAGTGAAGCCTTGTGAGATGTAGCGGCTTGAACGCACGATTATAGGCGTACTGATCTTGCAGCCGGTGCCCCGATGGTACCGTCTGATGCGCCAAGCGATCATAGCTGTCGAAGACATGTAAAAATTCATCGCAAACATGAGAAGTTGCGCACGCACCCGTACAATAGACATTGGTCCTGTGATAAATTGATGAGAAGGCAAGTCGCAAGAACCAACGTACTTACAGAATAGTAAAAATCGAGCGCGCGAGCCTCCAGCGATGAAGATAGACAAGCGTGCTGGGAATCAGGGCGTTGTACTGAGTGAGGGCGAGCCAAATGAGATCTCTCGAAGGTCCACTATCGTGATGTATGTGCTGACCGCGCTGTAAGCATATGTAGTGCCGGCGGAGGATACTGTTCGGGAGGAGTTGGCATGCAATTGTCCGCGATAGCCTCATAGGACTCACCGACTAGCCCAGCCAGACATAGGAGCGGGGCGACGACCACTGACTTGCAGTAGTCGCATATAACGTAGAGGCGGCCAATCTAGGAAAGCCGAGCGTCAGCAATATTTCGAGTTCAGCTTAGCCAACACACACAACAAAGAGGTCCGCGACAACGATTGTCGCCCCATGGAAGGCGAACCTTGCTGAACCAGCTGGATCGTTTACTTCCGCGAAATAGATAGCCGGATGCTCGCCGTTGGTCCGCCACACGAAGCCCTGGAAGGCGCGGATGACGAGGCAGATCCAATGCTACAATCTTCTGTTGATATACGGTGTTGCAAAGCGCTGCTCCGACTTACGCCTGTGACCATGAGGGCGAGGATAATGAAGCTAGCGAGGAGGCGCCGCCGGTCTGGAGGTTGTTGGAGGTTGCTTGGGTCCTGCGGGGTGGCGTGACGGCAGAGGAGGCAGACCATCGCGAAGACGAGGGCGGAAAAGATTCCCATCATGAGCGACTGTACCGCAAGCCCTGCCAGCTTCATGTGCGGCTCCATGCCCTGGGGCTCCGAGGTGAAATCGAGAGACGGAGGCATTCTGAGTGAGGTCGGGACTTTTTCATGCGCGATTAGCCAGCATGGACCTGTATATCAGGTCGGTCGATACAGAGAGCAGGCCGATACAATTCTACTGCAGCGATGGCCCCTAGCGGTCGTTGAGCGGGTGTTTACTCCATGAAGGACGAGGCTGTATCGTGATTAGATCACAGACGGTGAGAAGGACGTCGGGCGCACATTTGAGATGCGTGCTACGTTGGAGCAAAGCTCCCAAGCATCGCGTCAAGCGCGGGCATGAAGACAAACAGCGATGGCAAGCAGTAGACGTGCGGCTGCAGAAGATCAGTGACAGCAATCTTCCAGACCGTCGACATCGGAGGTTCAGGGGGGCAGGAGTGTCGGGCGTACAATTTTCGGCTACAGTCGCTGCTGAGCATTGAATCTGAGAGGGCTTGCTCGACGACGAGATGCTTGCTCGTTGCTTCGCCCGGGACGCCGGGTCGCGCACGAAGCATCAGAGTGAAGTCGATCTATGGGGTTGACGAGCTAGCATTTGAGCATACACAGCATAGGCGGGTCAGCATTGAGCTGGGCGGCGACCCTCATTGAAGTCCGGCGGCGTTCACCCTTCCAGCATGAGCGTTCAATCCAAAGCACGCGTTGGCGATCTTCACACGCTTGCCATCATGTCGCTCTGTTGAAGCGTGACCTCGATGCTGATCAGTCATCTAGTTGACGGGCTTTCTGCCTTGCTCACCTAGCCCGGAAGTGCTTTCGAAATCGCAGCCGGATATATACATTGCTTTTATACTCCATGGTATTGCTAGTAGTGCGTGTTGTATCGGCCGCCTGGCGTAATGGCAACGCGTCTGACTACGATTGGGTAATCAGGAGATTGCAGGTTCGACCCCTGCGGTGGTCATTTTTGTGGCATAACCCTCTCTTTTTGTCCCTCCTGACGATGCGGAAGGGCAGTTGGTCCCTACTTTTATTACATCGTCTGTCTAGCTTCTTCAAGTGTGTCACATACAGGCTCATATACGCCCGGACCAAGCATCTACCAGGCATGCGCCGCCCGATGTTTGCCATTCTTTTCGACTTTGGATCCTCACTCTATTTAGTACGCAATTCTCTCACTTCAACCTCGCTTATCACTTCATTCGATCTCAATCCTCTCAATACAGCTCCAATCTTCACTCGCTCCCAATCCTCCCGTTCATACCCTGAAGGGAGCTGAACACGACGCGCGCCGCTCGCTCGACGTCTTCGGTGTCTTCCTGGGCGACACGCCTGAGCACGGCGACGAGCTTGTCCGGATGCCAGCGGAGGAGTCCGCGGCGAACGCGGTCGCGGAGGGCGTGTTTGTCGGTCGGTGAGGATTGGCCTGAGCCAGACTGAGTGGGGTGTCTCTGACTGGAGCACCCAGTATCCGTCGGATTCGAGTACCCGGCCGCGGTACGCATGAACTTCTCGACCGCGGCCTCCGTCACGTCCTCGGGTCGAATCGCGCGTCCACCCCATCCCTCCGCTTCCCCGCTGCTCCGCGCACCAAACAGACCAGGCATGACGGGAGCGCTACCGCCCTCGCCATCGTCGTCCTCCTCATCTTCCTCTCCCTCCTCCTCCACCCCGAACACCGGCCACGGCACGTCCGCAAACCGCACCACGCCCACCGGCATGCGCGCTACTACCCCCCATTGCGCCTCATACGCCGCCCACCGACCCCGCTTCACCCGCTCGCGCTCCTCCATGCGTATCCTGCGCAGCGCCTGCCGTCGCACGGCCGCAGTGCGCGCGGGGTCGCGCCTACCATGCGCGTCACGGAGGGTGCCGCCGGCGAGGACCCATTCCTCCTCGCCACGCGCCGCTTCAGAGGCCTCGCGCTCCCGGAGAGCGGCGACCTGGGGCGAGAGTGGAGGTGGGGAGGGTGTCGAGGGAGGAAATTTGGCGGCCTGAGCCTGCACGTGCGGAAAGCGTTTCTCGCTCGGGAACTGGCGCGGAAGGCCGCGTGTTGGCCGCGCGCCGAAGTCGAGGTAAGTGTCGAGTGGATTGGAGAAAGAGGTCGAGTCCGAGGGAGGTTCAATGGTAGGCAGAGCATCCGCGAGTTCTGCGAGGTAGCCGAGGCCAGTTCGTGGCGCGCGAGGAAAAGACGGTTTGGGAGCTTTGGGTTGGGGTTCGAAGATTGACGGGCCTGGGTTCCGGGGTGCAAAAGATGCGCCCTTTTCATGTGTCTTGCTATTGCGACTTGGAGACGAAGATGAGGGAGATTCAAATGAGCGCGGCGGCGAAGTCTCGAAGTCGTAAAGCGACGCGTCTAATGCGCCTGGAAGGCCGCGGTAACGGGAGGGCGTCTGCATGTTGAGGACCCTATCTCTGTGGCTGCGTACAATGCACCCAGAAAGCGGTCGAGGGGTTCGCACGACTGTGGAAGGAGCAACAGAGCCGACGCGGTGATGGTGGTTGAAGTTCAGGTTGAACTTCGGCACGCGTGACACGTGGCATGTGACCGTAACGAAGGATGATGGCAAGCAAGGAATAACAGTTAGTTCCTTGTCTCGACGACCATCTCTCCCCGTGAATGCCTATCCGGACACCAATAGCGCTTACTAATCATATGAGGCCTCAAGATGTCGAACTATAGCACTCTATAGAATCATTTCTCACGTTCTCGCTATGACCCCCGCCTCTGAAGCGCGCGCAGAATCAGCTCTGGCTTGCCTTCGGGGTACATCGTATGCGAAGAAGATGAGACAGACCTAGGGCGCAGAGGCCCTCTGTGACTTACTTGAATGGCATTGGGACTTCGCTCGGGATGCCGTCAGAATCCCAAGACTAATCTCAGTTCAGGTTATCTGGCGATCTTTGCGAACTGGCTGGCGAAGCAATCCGTTCCACCTCTATCGGACTGTCCGAGGGAGCATGAGGGCACGCAGAGTATCTGAACACCTTCATAAGAAAGTATGATTGACATGTACTCGTGCGTCGGAGCTCTCCTTGGGCTTTGCTTGTTCGCTCAAAAGGCGCGTGCTCGTCAAGAGTGATCATGGGACCTATCATTGACCAGCATCTCATAGCCCGTACAGCATCGAGAGATAATCGCTGCTCGACGCTACGTACTGTGGAAGGATGCGGGGGTCAATGTCTTCGTAGCCCTCGTTCTCGAAGGCGGTAATCAACTTCCGGGACATCAATTTATTTCTCGTTATCAACCTCAAGTGAAGACTTCGCTGACCTTTGAGCTCCTCATCCACGGTGCGCTACCTTCAAGATAGCTACTGACGATTCACGGTGAACTGTCCCCAGGGGTGCCAAGGCATGGTCACCGGACGCGTCCAATTCACGAAGGTCACGACCAATGCACTGTGCGGGATTCCTTGCAACGTATCCCACGCCGCGCTTTGAATAGGAACTCCTGAGCCTTTCCTTCGATGAATAAATCTACAAGGTCGTATATAAGGCATCCATACGCGTGAGTCCTCACCCAGCGCTTTCCCGCTTCTTCTTCCAATCTCACAATGTCGTTCGCCAACTCCAGCTTTGCGCCCCTTGCCGTCCTGGTCGGCATCGTAGCTTACCTCTACTCTCGCCGCCGCCGCGATGCGCTCCCCCTTCCCCCAGGCCCTAGGAAGCTACCGCTCGTTGGCAACCTCTTCGACATGCCCAAACGCTTCGAATGGGAGAAGTACATGGATTGGGCGAAGGAGTTCGGTTCGTATCTACTTTCGCTTCCCTCGCTGTGATGTCGGTGCCGACGTCGTCTTTACCCGCAGACACCGACATCCTCCACCTTGACGTCGCCGAGAAGTCCATCGTGGTGCTTGACTCCTATGAGGCGGCCGTCGAGCTGCTGGAGAAGCGCTCGAAGATGTATTCTGACCGGTATGTTGGCCGACAGTTGCTGCGGAATACAGGGACGGTGGCTAATCTGCGCCGTAGACCACCATTCCCGATGACCATCGACCTCATGGGCATGGACTTCAACTTCGCCTTCGTGCCGTACGGTAAGCGGGATCCTATTGTGAGCTATCCCTCCTATTGACGTAGATACCACCTTTGTGACTTTCAGGTGATAAATGGTCTGCACTGTTCCCCTTTTCCACTGTTCAGCTGAACTGACGATGTATCAGGCGCGCCAGACGCCGCCTGCTGCACGGTTTCCTACATGCTACCGCGTCCGTGGACTATCAGCCTCTCGAACTCAAGGGCGCGCATGCTTTCCTTCGCGCCATGCTCAACGCGGGAGAAGACGACCTCGAAGCTGAGCTCAGACAGTACGTAGTCGTCTTCATCCAGTCCCCTGATCCAGCTGTCCACCACTGACCACGCACTCCAGTATGACCGGCCGTCTCATCCTCCGCATCGTATACGGCCTCGACATCCAGAAGAAGGACGACCCGCACGTCACCAACGCGGAGGCCCTTCTGCGCATGCTAACCACTTCGTCGATCCAAGGCTCCTACCTCGTCAATAGCGTGCCTGCACTGAAATGTATGCCGGAGTGGGTACCGGGTGAGTGGTTCGAGTGAGGGGTTGGGAACAAGAGAGTTGGCGCTGCGTGGAAAGAGCTGACGCGCCCGGCATAGGAGCTGACTTCAAGCGCGTGGCGCGGCTGTGGCGCAGGCTGGGGAACGAGATCGTGGATCGGCCCTTTCACGAGGTCCAAGAGAGTATGGTACGCTTCTCGCCGTAGGACCTGTACGATATGCGACTCACGACGTGGATCTAGACTAGCGGAGCCTCTCCGACTCCGTCTTTCGCGCTCAACTCCATCGAGAAGGGCGCGGACGAATCAGTAATCCGAGACGCGGCGGCGACGATGTATAACGGTGGTACCGATACGGTAAGCGGGTCTGCCTCTGGAATATGCCCCGGTGTACTGACCCTCCCAGACCGTCGTCACGCTCCTCAACTTCACCCTCGCCATGCTCGACCATCCCGAGATGCAGCGCCGCGCGCAGGCCGAGCTCGACACCGTCCTCGGACCGCTGCAGACTTCAGAGGGAGCGCCGGGCCAGATGCCAGCCCTTGAACACGAGTCGCGCCTTCCCTACATCACCGCGCTCGTGCGTGAGAGCTCGAGGTACAAGCCAGTCACGCCGGTGGTGAGCTTCAACCTCGCGACTCTACCCTTCGCTCATGGAGTTCAGTCCATCACTCACGCCTACTCCGGCGCTGAGGTGGACATCTACAACGGGTACGCGATCCCAAGCGGGTCTATCATCATACCGAATGTGTGGTAGGTCCTTTACATCCCTTTTCTTCGACTGTAGCACTCATACATCTCCAGGTCCATGATGCACAACGAGATCACCTATCCGGACCCATACGCCTTCAAACCCGAGCGATTTCTGTCCGCCGACGGCAAGCTCGACCCACAGGTCCGCGACCCGGGAACCATGGCCTTCGGCGTGCGCTAACCTTCGCTTCCGGGCCCTCAGCTTTACTGACCGTCAGTCTCCCCTGGATAGTTTGGTCGCCGCGTCTGCCTAGGACGTCACTTGGCTTACAACTCGGTTTGGATCATGATCGCGTCTATCTTGCGCGTGTATAATATTGAGAAGGTACGCGTTCGTGGATCAGACGCCTCTGCGCGCGGCTTACCCACGCGCGCAGGCAAAGGACGCAGATGGGAAACCTATCGAGCCTCACCGGGAGTGGGCTTCTGCGTTGGTCCAGTGAGTACGCAGGCACTTCGTTTGAGACCAGCTGATGCGCGGCCAGGAACCCTGAGCACCTCAAGTGTGTTCTTTCCCCGCGCAACGCAGGAGCGGCCGAGATGATTCGCGCCACGGAGGGCATGGAATACTGAGCGCGACGAGGGAACTGATGGTCTTATTTCTCCCTTCATCGAATTGACCATGACTTGCTGTACTAGGATTGGATCGCCGAATTGTACGGGATTCGATGTGACGGTCCCCCGTTCTCGGTCTGTACCGCTGGAAGGTGGCTAAGGACTATTTCCAGCTTTGTGCTCACGACAGGGTGCTCTCGCGCTATGAATACGTGAGGCATTGACGTAAGCTACTATCCTGCCGAGGGTCGCACAGGTTGGAGACAACCTATTTAGGTGTGTATGTCACCTTGCAGCCAGCACTCCTGTGACGTTGATAAGGCCTTCTTTCACCGCAGCTAGAAGTTGTTCCGCTCTCTTCGTAGGTAATCTTCCGCGTTATCGTCTATGACCGCCAATGTGGCTCTGGATAGGCTGCTCCAATGTCAGCGCGTCAACGCCGCCGAAGCGATTAGCTTGCAGGCAAGCACGTACTTGGTGAGTAGGCTATATAAGAGACTCGTCGTCATCAACGGCCTTCCTAATCATCCCCCTTCCTCATCAACATCGTAGACGGGATGTCGCTCCTCCTCATCTCGCCTATCCTTCTCGCCATGGTCATGATCGCTGTGGGTCTTCGTAGGCGGAAGCGTTACTTACCCCTCCCACCTGGGCCGCAGGGGCTGCCACTCATAGGCAACTTCTTTGACATGCCGAGCATGTACGAGTGGGAGAAGTACATGGAGTGGGCAAAACAGTATGGTACGTGGGGGATCCGACCGACTGTTGTGCAACGTAACTAACCTAGTATCCGTCGCAGACACAGACATCCTTCATCTCAATGTAGCGGGAAAGAGCATCGTTATTCTGGACACGTACGAGGCATGCAATGAACTGCTGGAAAAGCGATCCAGATATTACTCCAGCCGGTTCGTCTGACTTCCGTCAGCTGCTGACACTCATGTCTGACTATCACGACAGACCACCCTTCCCCATGGCAATCGACCTCATGGGAATGGATTTCAACTTCTCTTTTATCCCCTACGGTAAGGTGTTCACTACCGAAAGTATTTTCGATGACTCATTGCCATCTCTTGTACGGTTTCTAGGCGATAAGTGGTAAGCCGACGACATCCCCGCGCGCCTATCTTGTCGCTGACGAAGCACCAGGCGCGCCAGACGCCGGCTATTCCACAGCGTCTTCCACGAGTCGGCTTCGGTGCGCTTCCGTCCTCTAGAGAAGAAGGTTGTGCATCGCTTCCTCCGCTCCATGCTCAGCGCAAGAGAGGACGACCTCGAGGTCATGGCCCGACAGTGAGGCCATCACTTCTTCCTACCACCCTCAGTGTTGACCGTGCACTTCAGCATGGCCGGCGCACTGGTCCTCGGCATAGCCTATGGTGTCGACATCCAAAGCGACGAAGACCAGCGCGTGATCGATGCGCGAGAGCTCATGCATATGCTGGCAGGATCCACGATTCAAGGCTCGTACCTCGTCAACAACATCCCAGCCCTCAAATACGTGCCGAATTGGATGCCAGGTGCGCAGCGGCGCCATTGAGTGAACTCTTCGTGCTTACTAAAAATCTATCTCTCATCTGCAGGCGCCGACTTCAAGCGCGTAGCGCGCGAGTGGCGCCCTCGAGCCCAAGGAATTGTGGATAAACCATTTGAGGAAGTAAAAAAGAGTTTGGTATGTCCGCATCAAAGTTCATTAGTAGTCACATTACTTAGCGTCCACATAGACCGATGGCTCATTCCCTGCACAATCCTTCGTGCGAACCACCCTCGAGAAGGGTGGCGACGAGCGCGCGATTCGCGACGCGGCAGCGACGATGTATAACGCGGCAACAGATACAGTGGGTGATGACCTTGGTTCATGAGGAGTTTTCGTACTCATATAATTAAGACGGTCACCAACATCCTCAACTTCGTACTCGCCATGCTGGACCATTCCGACATACAGCGACGTGCGCAGGCTGAGCTCGACTCTGTCCTCGGGCCACTTCAGACTGCCGAGGGCGCGCCAGGTCAGTTCCCCACTTTTGAGCACGCATCACAGCTGCCGTATACCACCGCAATCGTGCGGGAGAGCGCGCGGTATAGACCAGTCGTTCCCGCGGTGAGCTTCTGCATCTCGTGCAAGGGTCCCTTGGCTCACAAGGCGTCCCGTAGGGCGTCTCGCATGCCTACAATGGCGATCAACCTGACGTCTACAATGGATACGCGATCCCCTGCGACTCCATCATTATCCCGAATATCTGGTGAGCGCGTGGAGATGAGAGTCCCATCGGAGCAGTATCTGACCAGCTTCAGGTCCATGGCGCATAACGAGGACATCTACCCCGACTCCTACGCCTTTAAGCCCGAGCGGTTTCTAGCTGCAGACGGCAGCCTCGACCCCAAGGTACCTGACCCGGCGAAGATAGTCTTTGGCGTACGTGGACCCTCCCTCTCTCGATCTCTCACGTCTTCCTGACTCATTGTCCTGCAGTTTGGCCGTCGTGCATGCCCAGGTCGCCACATGGCCTACGACTCAGTCTGGTTGATGATTGCATCTATCCTGCGCGTCTACAATATCGAGAAGGTGATCTCCAGCGCTCAACTGTTCGGTTATATGGCACTCACACGTGATACCAGGCAAAGCGGCCGGACGGGACGACCGTCAAGCCGCGGCGGGAATGGATCTCGTCTTTGGTTCAGTGAGTTGGTCGAGTGGATGCCAGCGAAGAGCATTGTTGATGGGGCTACAGGCTTCCGAAGCCCTTCAAGTCTGCGTTCGTGCCGCGTAGCTCAGCGGCGGAGGCAATGATACGTTCAACGGAAGGGGTGGAATATTAGAAGAGCGCTCGGGATACGCTGCGAATACAACTCAATCTCTTCATCACTATGCTGACGAGCGTGAAGCGGCATAGCCTGCTTAAAGCACGCCGCAATCCCCAACCCAAACCGGCACACTCGGCTTCCCATCCCCCACCGCCAGCCCATCCACCTTCTCCAATACCCTCCGCGCCGTCGTACCCTCCTCTCCGTCCAACCTCACCTTCCCGAAGACCACGTACTTCCCCGTGAGCTTCGCCAGCTTTGACGGGTCTTCCGTCGTGACGATGAAGAACTGCGACGAGTTGCTGTTCTTGCCCGAGTTCGCCATCGCGAGACTGCCGTATTCGGCTCTGTTCTTGAGGCCGAGTTTCTCGTCGGCGAACTTAGCGCCATAGATGGACTAGACGAATGAAAGGTCAGTTTGAGGTTGCGGGACGTTGGGAGGCTATCGAAGAGACGCAGGCCGGCACACACCTCCCCTCCGCTTCCATCCCCACGCGACACATCCCCGCCCTGCATCACGAAGCCCTTCGCGACGCGGTGTATCGGGCACCCCTTGTAATGCAGCTTCTTGTTGGGCGCATTCTTACAGTTCCCTTTCTCCCCCGTACATAGCGCGAGGAAGTTCGTCCGCGTCTTAGACAGGCCGGGCGACGTGTCGAGATCGATGATCAGCCTGCCGAGGGAGAGCGGCTCGGGATGATGAAAGCGCATGATGAGCGAGCGCTTTTAATGAGGGTCAGACAGAAGTGAAGCAGCGGAGAGCGCGTGTACGACTTATACATCAAGGTCTTTCAGGATATCTTGCTGCTCCTCGGAGAGATCCTCGGGCTTCGAGGGCAAGCCGTAGCTTTCGGCTTTCCGAGAGAGTAGATCCAGCGTATCTTGATACTGTTTGGTATGTAAAGCGTGCTCCTCCTCGTTGCCGGCGAAGATATCGAAGAAGGCGGCGGACATGGTGGTTGGAGTTAAGAGCGATGTTATACGGCGAATGCCGAAGCGGAAGCGGATGGCGGTTGATCACGTGGAGAAGGTTGAACTTTGTCCTCCTTGAACTACTGGTTGCCTGTATGGTTCATATGCGGAAGAAATAATGGGATAGCGCTGACAGATAAAGTGACGAGTCATACTGCTCAAGAATACCTCTCGCCCTTTGTCGAAAGGACTATGGGTACCTATGTACCTTTATTTACTTGGCGCTTTTGCCAAGCAGCGACATACATGGACGCCAACGTTCCCTTTGTGCCATCCGACCGTCTGACAGCGACGTCCACTGCCTTCCTCGACGCGCACCACTTTGGCAGCTCGGGCTTTGCGTGCGTGTCGCTCTTTATCTCTACATCTTCAGGCGCTCACAGGATCGGCTGGAAGCCATACACAGCGGCCTTCATGATGCGCGTGCCACAAGAGCTCGTGGACGAGATCGTCTCCTACATGGCCTCTGAGACCGACTTGGAGATATTCGTGCGCCTCCTTGAGGCCTCTTACTCCCTATTTGCGCCGCAGATATCCAAACTCCTTCCCCAGCTGCCTGTCGTCTTACAGCGTAAACGCCACTATCACGCCTTGCAAGATATCCATGAGCTCTTCCCCGAAGCCACGGATCCCTCTGTCCGTCACGTCGTAGTCCAGCTTCTAAAGCCACTTTCGACCCACAACTGCGAAGACGTGCTGCTGCCTTCCGTCCTTGAAGCGTGCATCGATCTTCGCAGCCTAGCCTTCGATCTCAACGGTATGCTTTGGTCGGAGGCCACCGTATCTGCTGCATACAGGCTCTTTGATGTCATACAGTACTCGGCACTGGAAAGCCTCTCCCTGAGCCGCGTCAGATTCAAAAAGTCGGATATCGACGTCTTCAGCGCCTTGGTTCTTCCCGCTACCTTGCACGATTTGAGGTTGCACCAAGTCGAGGTGTCTAGCTCCCTCTATAGAGCACACCTCGGTGCTATGATTCCAGACGCAGATCTCCAAAAGCCGTCGCTCGTTAACCTTACCCTTGACGGGCCTTCCCTCTGTTTTGCCCGCATGTTCACCGACGCAGTGTTCCCATGCACGTCTGAGGACCTGAGATCCCTGGACTATACTCCGATGTCCTGGATCGATCATATACAGCTCCGGGATCTTCTGCGCGCGAGCCCGCATCTGCAGCATCTGACGCTCAGAAAAGGTGCGCTCTTTCGAGTTCTTGATGGAAATCGTACATGCTGAACGACTCAGCAGGTGACGATGAAAACTATTCGTCAGACCACAATCTCTTTGGATGTGCAGCTCTATGCTCGCTGTGCATATGTTTTGCGACGCCTGCAGGACATCGCACTGTCCCTAGTGTCCTACGCACGATTGAGACTATTCCCGAGACGGCGCCCTTCGAACTGCTCACCTTCGCGATCCCTGCCACTGGCACTATCAAAAAGGGAGGGTGGGACGCTCTTGAGGATGCTCTTCTGCGGCGGCAGTCTATGCGTATCATGGAGATGGTTTTCACTCCATACAAGGATATCGCGCTGTCGGAGGGTAAGAAACGCGGGTATGTCAAGGTTATGAACGGCCTAATGCCGCGGCTGCACTGTCAAGGCAAACTCAGAGTCATCGTGGGTGAAGGTGAGCCTCAATCCCGCGTTTTAGGATTTTCAGACGCTAATTTCAGTACCAGATATCTGAGAGTCGCCTAGTAGGAGCGGTGGATGCGGTGGCCTTGCGGTGGCCAGGATCAGGACGAACGCTGCGGTTGAAGTTAAGGCGGATGTGACACGGGGAATGCCGAAGCGGAAGCAGACGATCACGCCGATATCACGTGTGCAAAGTTGAACTTGATGTGCTCATCACATTTTCGTTCACCGGGCCATAACGGCCCCGTCGAGCCTCATAGTCATCATCTGAGGCTTTGCGCGGATGTTTCCCAGAGTCAGTGTATGTAGAAGATCAACTCGACGACGAAACGGGCTGTCATGGATTCATAGATTGGCGGCGATAGCAGGGACATCCGCCCTCGGGTGACCATCCTTACTGGGAACAATGGCATGATGCGGGTTGTCTAGGCGCCCACCGGAGCCTCGTGAGAAGTCGCGTTGACCATGCAGGGCCGTGCTCCGAGGGTAAACATTGTACGCTTCTCCACGTACAAAAGACGTTGTTCTTCCCCACGTGCAGCCGAAAAGTACAGAGCACGACTGAAAACTCAATATTTGGGGCGGGGGTATGTGGCTGCTGAGCCTGCTTGGATCACAGCGAGGCGGTTGTCGTCGACGGCGGGAGATAGAATCCCGACATGCGGCGCCGCTGTACGATATTCCCGCCCAATCGTCCACTGCTTCTCGCTGAGCTGTCAGGCGGCCCTCGAGCGGGCGCCACCGTTGCTGTTGCGCGAGGCACCGATGATGAGCAGAGCGGGGCCGCGCCACCGATGTTTTCTGTCAAGCGCGATGCTTCTGACGCACGCATGAAATACCGCCGCGCTTCTTCGCCCCCTCATGCGCGCTATCCCCATATGTGCACAAAGGAGTATTCTCGTGGGAAGGGCACGAGGCGCCGAGCGTGGAAGGAATGAAGGCGAGGAACGTGGGGAGGCTGATGCGGGCGGCACATGGGCGGCGCGCGTGGGTTGCAGCGTGCCCGGAGCTCGGAGGGGGCTATCCACTTTGGGGAGCGCGGCGGGTTCCCTCCGACCAATCGATGTGCGGGCGGCGCGGTCAGCGCCAGTCATCGCGGCGGCAGCCAGCATGGCATCCTGTGCGAGGGCGACAGCGAGTCACATCCCGTGCGCGCTAATGGCGCTGCGAGGGACCGACGATCGCGACACCGCCGAACGATGACTCGAGCGTCGGGCCCTGGATGACGAGGCTGAAGATGTTCGAGTTCGACTGGCGAGGGATGGGGGGCGCTCTTCGCGCGCCTTCGCGACAATCTTCGACGTGGATCAGGAGCCCTGGCGACGCGAAACAGACACGGGGCGCGCGAAGCCCGCATCAGCTGCCAGGAGGGGGAGGACAAAGGTCTTTCCTTTTTGGACGGATCCTTTGTACCGCCTGCCTTTCTCGGACTCATGTCCGGATGGGCAGGCGGGCGCTTGGGTATATATACGCACGGCGGTGCGGGGAGATGTACAACACCTTCCCTCCTCAGGCAGCGCCCGACCCGCATTCGCATTCGCACCAGCATACCCGGCTCGCACATACATCCCATTCCGTCTCATACCCATCCATCGCATCGGTCAGCATGTTCCAAGTCGCGTCGCACCCCTCTTCCTTCGCCACACACGGCCATGGGCACCACCACTCGCACCACTCGTCCTCGCATCACTCGTCTGCGCATGGCTCGCACGGCGTCAACTTGCCTCGGACCCTTCAGCGCCCTCAATTCTACGATATCCCCTCCCGTAATATCACGGCGGTCGCGCCAGACCTTGCCGGTGTTCCTATCGAATACGTTCGCCGCGGACTGTACCCCCGAGCCAGAGAGTGCGTGCCATCCGATCACTGCACTATCCCGCGTACTAACTCGTACCCAGGATGATCGGCGGTATCTCCACCCTCAACGTCCCCTCTACCATGCCCGCGAACCACCTCCCAAAGCACCTCAACGTCGGCTGCCGCGCGACCCCCGGTGTCTCCTACCCCACCCACCTCCTCGCCGTCTGCGCCAGCAAGTCCGGCGATGCGCACGCCAAGCTCGTCCCCACCCACGCACTCGTCCTCGCCGCGCACTGCGCGCACGTCGAGCCCCTCGACGCCGCCGCGCCGCAGCCCGGCGGGAGCGTGCTCCCCCTCCGCATCGTCCGCATGGCCGTCCCCTCGCCCGCCGCGTTCCCCATTCTGCACGCGTACATGTACAACCACCGCGCGGACGCGGTCGCGCAGGCGCTCTTCCCCGCGCTCCCGGCCGGCGCCGCGCGCGCGTTCGCGACGCACCAGGGCATCACCGTCGCGCTCGGCTCGGGGCAGGCGAAGCACCAGCTCGCGGCGCAGCTCATGCAGGCGGAGGGCGGCAACCTCAGCCGGCTCACCGCGGACGCGGCGCATGTAAAGGAGGCGTGGCAGGACATGGTCTCGCTCGGGATGTACGACGCGCAGCTCTGGGATACCATCGACCTCTGCTGGGAGGTCGTCCTCGCGGCGCTCAACCTCGCCGCTGCTCAGCAGTAGATGTGTGCTACGGCCCGGCAGTTAATAGCTGCCAGAAGAGGAAGCCGAGGGCGTTGGCGCTGGCACACAACGCCCTCATCTCACCTCGAACACTCACGCGTCTCCGAATCCCGCGAACGCTAAAACACCCCGTATCTTCGTCTTTCCACGACGCTCCTACGTCTTACATGACGCCTCTTCCTTCGTCTTCTCTGACAATCTCACCATCTGGACCTCGCATATACCCTTACTTACACCCCCTAGTTCGCGTTCGCTTACAGCCTACACTTAACACCTCGCTTCGTTTCGTTTCGTCTGCCTTTCCGTCTCTTCCCTTCGCAAGCTACCCTACCCCCTACTAATACTGTCCCGTCTTCTCATCTCATCTCAAAATTGTAGCTTTAGCCGCGTTAAGTACTTTGAATTGGCATTATTGGTGGTTTTATCGTGAACTCCAGCTGCGCATGCTGAGTAGATTTCGGAGTGTATAGGTAGTGGCGCTGGCGCCTTGACAACCCGCATCATGCCATTGTTCCCAATAAGGACAGTCGCCCGATGTCGGTCGACCGTGCTATCGCCATCAATTTATGGATCCTAGTAACGCACTCTGGTTGACGATGGAATCCCATGATTGCCTACGTGGAGTATGGGCTGGTTGTCCCGATGACGATGTCCCTTGAGACTCGATGCAAACTAAATTCATCATTCGAGGGATTGGCGATTACCTATGCGGATCTTGTGGACAAGTTTGCTGCGAGGTCTGACGTACTAGACATAGCACAGGTTCCATTTCGAAGTGCCATTGTACACCTCGACCGACAACACCTACGCATCACAAGTCGTCAGTAAGCGCGAGCCAGCACAATATTCACATTGAACGCTTGGCGGCTCTGAAGGCCATAACATCAATACGACTCCAAGGTGACCTTGAGTATGCCCCGCTTATCTACGTTCGGCATATACTGAGCCATCCTCCTATGATAATTGGCCTCCGTCTCCTCCGAACTAACGAGCTCGCCATGTCGGGCCAGTCGGATGATGACCGCGCGCACCGGCAACCGTCTCCCCAGAAGCGCGTTCTCTAGCGCGCGCCAATGTTGCTCGTACGGGTCGATCTTGCTGCTCTGCGCGGGCAGGGAGAGCGAGAACGTCGCGAGGGGTGCGGACTCGGGGAGCGTGTTGACGATGGCGGCGATGTTGCGGACGGACACCTGGTTGAAGTTCATGGGCTTCGTGAAGGATATGCACAGCATGCTCAGGGATGCGCAGGCCGATAGATCGTATTCGGCCATCTGGGAGAGGTCTGGGGTCTGGTCAGCGTACTTAAGCCGCGGGGGCGTCTATCAGAGTGCACGTACCGGTACGGAGAAACAGCTTGTCCAGGCGCGGGTTCGCGCGGGTCAGCTCGCCCATCATGTCGCGATCGTCGTCCCAGAAGGTTGAGCTGTAGTCGATGATCTGCAGGCCGCCAAACGGGTACGACCCGGACGCGAAGCGCAGCATCCGGACGAATTCGAGCGAGCTCTGATCGAAGCTGATGAAGAACAAGGGCGACTCGCGAGGATCCCCCTGCTGCACCTCGGTGCCTTCAGAAGCCTGGATTGCGTCCAGCTGGCATCCAGAGAACCGCACTATGCGAAGGGAGGCAGACAGAGCCAGCGCGCGGAATGCGTCGATGTCCGCCTCTCGGAGGTACAGCCAGCTCATGAAGAGAAATTCCAGCGTCGGGCGCTGCATGGCCCTATAGATTGCCTGCCTCTGTTCCTCGGATCCTATCGCCTTCGACCACGCGATGATATTCGTCGTGATGCTGAGGCTCCGAAGGGCGTTACACGCGTCGAGTAATGGGGCCAGAAGCTCCTCCTCAGGATCCCGCGTTGGGATCTGCTTCGAGCGCTCAATTTTGACACTCTGGACTGAGCGCATGATCTCGGGGCAGAGCTTGGCGATGGCCGATAGCGCGAGGTAGTGGTCCTTTCTTTTGAGAGTGACGAGTCCTCTGCGCAGATTCGTGGAGATCTGAGGGGAGAACACGGGGACAGATGCTTCGAGCAGGTTTACGAGTACTCCAAGATCCTCGGCATGCTCGACGTGGAAGATGATTTCGTTGACGAGCTCTTGCGGTAGGTGCATGTCGACGTCGATGAGAGAAGCTAGCGTGCTGCGGGTCCGGCTTCAAGTCTCGATAGATAGCGCTCAAGTATACATACTCACGGTAAAAAGGCGAAGAAGATATGATGGCAGTCGAGGACATACGCGCTCTGCACTTGACTGAATCGAACAGGCGCCCAGCGCCTGCGGCTCGTGTATGATGTCATTTGGCCGCAACGTGGCAAAACAAGAGCATACGAGGACCCATATGGGATCCAGAGGTAGATACACCATTCCGGTGCAGGGATCGCATAGGCCTGCAGGGTCGCGTCTCCCTATAGCATACCCTTTTGACATGATTTATGCGCGAGGCGCTGACTCCCAGCAGCGCAATGGTCGTGAAGTCATTCGACACCTGTCGCCGCAGATAGAGCCGTCTTGTACATGTACACCTTCCCGCGCAATTCTAATGACTCATGCCCTGCACGAAGGCTTGGCGAGCCTCTGCGACAACAATGAGTCTCCACCGACGCAAAGCCAAGGATGAATACGCACCAAGGGATCACATCGAGTATCCCCCGCTCGTTCAGCCTCGATAGGAAACGCTGAATCGTCTTCTGAAAATGCACCTGATCCTCCGCGGAAACGCATTCTGTATAATTACGCTGTCGGACATTGACGAGGCGAGGCGCGCGACCGTCTGGCCCCAGGAGAGCGTCCTCCAGAGCAATCCACTGCGGTAGATCTACTACATTTCTCTCGCCGTTGAAAGAAATCATCAGCGTGAAGGTATCGAGGGATCCGACGTCACGAATCGTCCTGATGGTCGAAGCAACGTTCTCGATGGCGCTCCCATGCACGCGCGTCTCGAGAATGGTGGTCAACGAGCGCACTGCTCGGATGTGCGACAAGTCATACTTGGGAAATCGCGAGAAGGGCCCCGAGACTATTGATGGGGGTCAGCGTATGCATGACGAGAGGCATGGGGAAGCAGCGTACCGGTCCCTAGTGTCAGATGTTGTAAATGCGCGTTCGCGCGCAAGAGCTGTGCGGTGAGATGGTCATCGTGTATGTTGCCATCCGCACAGTATTCCATCGTGCTCAGCGAGCAGCACGACGCAAGCCCCATCATGCACACGAAGTTGACGCAGCAATCATCGAAAGCCAGCTCTCGCAGCTCTGGAAATGGCGTCGGCACCTCCGAGTCTACCTCCGCCGCGTACGCCTCGAACGTCACAATCATGCGGAGCCTAACGGAACGCAGGCCCACCGGAATCCTCAATGCCCGAAATCGCGCCTCATCCTCCTCCCCGAGACGCGTGTGAGATAGGGAGAACCTTTGGAGAGTCGGACGCTGCATAGCAAGATAGATAGCTTCTTTCTGTTCCGCGTATGGCAGCCCCTCCTGCCACCCTTGCATGTTCAAATCGATTGCGAGGCTGCGAAGACAGGAGCAGGCGTCGAGCAGGCGGGCCAGCCCTGTTTCCTCCTCGTGATACTTTTCCTCCTGGGGTGCCATTTCCTCTCGGTGATACGCCTCCTCTTGATGATACGTCTCCTCCCGGTGATGCGTGTGGGCTTGGTTCCGTTCTCTCTCGATAGTAACATGCCAAACGGAGTCCATCGCTTCAGGACAGATCGCAGAGATAGTCGACAATGAGCGGAAATTGTCGACGCTGAAGTCCACAGGCTGCTCGCGCAAGTTCGCGCAGATCTGCGCAGAGAAGACGGGCGCGGACGCTTCCAGCAGGCGTACGAGATGCGCCATATCCGAGTCACGCCATTCGACGCGAGAGATGATCTCATCCACGAGCTCTTGAGGTACGCGCATGGCGGGGGGACGAAGACCCGAACTCTGACCCGCTTAGGACTCAACGGTCAGACTATCTACGTGCACAATACTCGCGTTTTGACACGTACCAGGCCAATACTCAAGAGGATGGTAGTCGGAGAGAGAAAGCAAAGGCGTGGCAGGCGGGAGGCACTGTATGCCCCTGTTTGGCTGCGGATGCGAGTCAACAAAGGTACATACAACGACCCCCTCCCTCTCCTGGCTTTGGACGAGAAACTGTGTTCGTGCATGCAGTTTACAACTCCCTACCCGTGCTCTTGTGAAGCATGATTCCACACCTCGCCACCGAGGCCTCCGAACGAGATGAACACGGTCCCCTTCGGCGAGGATCAGAACGTACAAGCGCTGCAGCAAGGAGTAAGCGCACCTCTAGGTCAAGCACTAACATGTAGATCCTCAAGTAACAACTTCAAGGATCCCGCGCTCGTCCAACCGCGGAAGAAGATCCCTGACCGTGCAACAAAAGTGCTCCTTGGTAAGCGAGGAGACCCTGCGGTCCGTGTACTTCCATATACACAGCTTAACCACGCGCGGCGCTTGGCCCCCCGCGCACAAAAGGGCATCCTCCAGTGCCGTGAATCCTGCATCCCAATTTCGCCCCGCTCGGGCGGGAAGCACAACGTGAATGTCTCGAGGGCCACCGTCTCGGGAATAGAGCAAAGTGCCCGGGCGATATTCTCTATGACCAACGGTGCGCTCCTCTGGATGAGCACAATGACTGAGCGCAACGCGGGGTTATGCGACAAGTCATACACCGGAAACTGTGCGCGATAGTCTGTAAGCTTCTCGTGAGTGCACTTTATTATGGCATAGCAACAGCCTGGCAGGAATGGCGTACCGTTTCTCAGTATCAGATACTGCAACTGCGCGTTTGCCCGCAGAAGTTGCGCGACAACGTGGTTATCGTCAACATGCTTGTCGGCCGAAGTGAAATCAAGCCTCGTCAGGCTCCGGCACGATGCAAGATTCATCAAGCGCACAAAACCTAGAGAGCGCTCGTCGGCGATCAACGAGTCCAAGGAGGGAGCTGGAGTAGCTGGTGCTGCAGGACCTGCAGCTTCGTTGGGATGTATGCCGAACACGCTAACGCCACACAGCTTGACAACGCGCAGGCTCGCCGGCAAGGCCAGAGACCGAAAAGCAACTTCGTCTTCCTCCTGTAGGCGTACTCGAAAAAGAGCGAGGTATTCCAGGGTAGGACGCTGCATGGCCCTGAGAATGGCTTGTCTTTGTTCTTCGTACAAAAGGCCCTCCGTCCAGCCCTGGATGCACAGGTTGATCGAGAGGCCACGGACACTGGTGCAAGCGTCGAGTAAGCGTGCCAGCTCCAGCTCTTCCTCGCGGTATGTGCGCGTACGAGGCTTGTTTCTCTCGATATTTACATGCCAGATCGAATCCTTGATCGCGGGACAAAGCGCAAACATTGTCGCCAAGTAGTGGTGATTGTCGACCCTGAAGTCCACATATTTCTTGCGGAAGTTGGCACAGATTTGAGGCGAGAATACGGGAACGGACGCTTCGAGGATGGAAACAATGTGTCTCATACGAAATGCGGGCCATTCGACGTGGGAGATGATCTCATTCACGACCTCTTGAGGTACGCGCATGGCGTTGAATACCAAGAGAACTGCTGGGAATTCTAGGATCAGACTTCACGTACGCACAGGAGTCAGAGTATGGCACGTACCTCCACGAGACTCTAGACGATGGTGGTCGAAGACGAAGACGCGTGCCCGGCAGGAGGCGCATGTATGCCTCTGTTTGGCTGCAGGATAGTGTCAACAGACGTATACAACCCGCGCCACCTCCTCTCTCGACCTTGCACGAAAATAGTCCATGTTACAACAAAAAATACATTACAGAGCATCGCAGGTATATAGCACTATTATCGGACGCATACGGTAAACGGCACTGTACTATAGTATGGATACACGGTTGATTCGGATTCGAAGCGATCCTCCTACCGGTGTCTGTCTGCGCCTGCCATTATTCTCGTTTGACTGCTAGCTCGGTTATTCGACATCTCCGTCATCTTCAACATTCTCGTCCTCAACCTCAACCTCAACCTCATCCTCGTCAACATCATCGCGATCCTCCTCAATCGCTTCGTATCAGCTCTATCTCTCCACCACTCGCGCGCTCACACCACACCGGGAAAAGGAGGCGCACAGCGCAAATAAATAGACGCATGTCGTAGGGTAGCTGGTGAGAGGGATATGGTGAAAAAATGGAGTCATGGGGAAAGTGGGACCGTGGTTCGTTCAAGCTTGCATTAGGCCCGCCTGAGCAGCCGCGAAAGGCGCGCTCCCCGGTGCAGGGCTGTTCTCGACGCTCGAGTACGGCGACGCGTTGGATGACGAGACTTCCTACGATACCACCGTCAGCTTTGTGCTCCGGTGAATATAGTACGGAACGATGGGACTTGCCCTTAGGAAAGGATCATCGCCCTCCTCGATCGTGTTCCGCTTCTTCACCAACTCGGGCTCGAGCGTCGACGACGCGAGACGCTTGAAGCTCGGGCGAAGCATGTTCTCGCCGCCGCCGCTGCCGCCTTGCGACGGGAATGGCTGCGTCCCCTGATGCATCGGCGCGAAGGAGACATGGCCGGTATGCGGACTTGGGCTCGCACTGGAGTAGGGCGATTGGTTGGCGGATGAGGCGACGCCGTGCATGTCCTGAAGTAAGATGAGCACGCCTTCAAAGCTTGTTTCATACTTAGACATACCTTCGGGCTCGCCTTCTCCTTGCTTGAGTTCGTGCCTCGCCTGATCCGTGGTACCAGATTCAGGTTCACAGGCGCCTTCCTCGCCAGGACCGCCGCTTCATACGAGCGCAAATCCTCTGCCGCTCCATGCAACGTCCTTTGCTTCGCATCTATTCACCCATTAGCATCCTCCCAACGCAACTCAACCATCAAGTGAACCACTCACCATTCCCCACTCCACCCGCCCCCTCCGCCGTCGGCGTCTTCACGCTCGGCAAGCTCGACACGCGCGTCCTCCTATACCCCGTCGGCGACGTCGCCACATCTGCCAAGCGAGCCCATGAGCTTCGACTTTGCAAGCATAAGACCCCACTCACTATTCAGATCAAACCCGCCGTTCATGCCCGCAGACCGGCCGCCCGAGCCGCCGGGCGTCTGGATGTATGCCTTCCAAAAGTCCTTCAGCTCCTGCGTCTCCTCTGCGCGAGACGGACTCGCCAGGCCTGAAAGGGGTGTATCACGTCAGTATCGCGCTTCAACACTCGCTCGCGCAGGAAGCCCACTCACCCAACTTGCTCGGACTCCCCAGCCCCAACCCGCCTGTCCTCGGCATCGGCGTCAAGTCGTCGACCGACATGAAGCCCACGCCCCTCGGGCGCCCGTTCTGCTGCGGCACCGTGCCCGGCGCGCCCGACGTCGCTTCCGCGCTGAAGAACTCCGCGCCGTCGGTCGCCAGGCCTGCAAGGACGGCAGGGTCGTCGAGGCTCATCAGCCCAAACGCGGACGAGAAGCCGCCCTCCTGCTGGTCGGACGCGCCTGATGACGAGTACGGCCGCCCATCGTTGGAACCGTAGCTTGGGTGTCTGCCCGCGGCGACAGCGTGGCGGTCCGAGGTCGACGGGTGACGCGACACGGACACAGACGACCGACTCGATAACGACGAGTGTCTCGAGAGCGACGATGAGGGCGTTGGCGAGGACGAGTGCGAGCCCGCCTGCAGGTCACAAGTCAGCCGACCGTTCACCATAACCACCACCGCCCAAAACTCACCTCCCCGCCACGATGCATCCCCATCTGCGCATCCCAGCCATTCACGCCCGGAATCTTGCGCACCTCCGCCAGCCGGTTCTCCACCAGCTGCTGCTGGCGCTGATCGGCCATATGCTGTTCTACCAACTGCTGCTGCCGCAACCCGTCCATCGGCTGCCCGCGGATGCCCTCCATCGACTGCCCCGGCATCGACGCTTGTCCCTGCCCCGGCATCGGCGCCTGCCCGGGCATTGTCGACGCCATTGGCTGGCGCATACCCTCCATCGGCGCCCCCCACTCCCCCTGCGGCTGATACGGCGACGAGTGCTGACTGCCAAAGCTGCCCTCCCCAACATACGGCGACCCCTGGTGCGACCCCGGCTGCGCGTACTGCGGGAAGCCCGCAGGCTGCGCGAACGGCGGGCTGTGCGAGAACGGCCCACCGGCCTGGTACGGCGAGCCCTGCTGGGAGGGGTGCGGCGCATCCTGGAAGGGGCTGCCCTGTTGCGGGAATTGCGGAGAGCCCTGCTGCCCGTGCAGCGGCTGTTGCGCGCGGCGGTCGGCCATGAGCTGTGCGTGGCGGTCGGGCCATTCCGCGGGGATGCTCGCTCGGCGTTGTTGCACGGGATTACCTACCGTGGCCTCGAAGCTGAAGACTTCGCGTAAGTTTCGTGCAAACAGGCCAAGACTCCCAATACGACTTACCGGCCTCTCTGCGGCAACTCGTCCAACAAGGCGTATCGGGCGGATGGTAAGCTGGCGGGCGTGCCCGCCAAGGCAGCCGATGACGTTCCAGGGAAACTCGTCGACGACGCCGTCGGCCACCAGTTGCCAGCGCCTCCAGACGCTACCTGACTACCGCCAGTGTAGCTGCTGCTAGTCCCAGGGTCTACGGCCACAGGTCAGTCTATAGTATAAATAACGAACCATGAATGCAACTTACTGCCGTTGCCCATCTGCCTCAACAGCTCAGCCTGTTGGCGGTACTTCGCCGCAAAGTCCTCGTTCTGGGCGACGGCTCCATACTTGGAATTCGTACCTGTAGATAATCAGCACTGATTCTGCGATCCATGGTTGATATGGCGTACCACCGCCAGCAGGACCTCCAATGTCCAAATCGAACACGGGGTTGAAGCTATAGTCGGCGGGCATCGAGCTCGTCGAGCCCAACGACGACGAAATAGAGGAAGTGCCGCTGGAGCCTACAGATCCGCACATTAGCATCCCTCTCCCACACAAACTATAACCAATCAAGCTCACCACCCAGCGCATCATACCCCATCCCAATAGGCAACCCCAGCGCCGCCGCAGACATACCGCCGATTCCCAGACCTAGTAAGCGTAAGCCGCCGTACGACCGCTCCGCCCATTGTAGAGCTTACCCAAAGGATCAGACTTCACGCCGTATCCCGCTGTCGTGTGCGGGTGCGTATGCCCGGGTCCGCTCGGGGCTGTCTGGCGGTGGAACTTGACGAAGGTACAGCGGCACTAGAGGGGAGGATGAGAGAGGAAACAACGATGGAAGGATGATGGGAAGGAAGGGTGCGATGCGCTGGGTATACAAGCGTGAAACCGTCGAACAAGCTTACCTTGCGCTGCACGCACTTCGCGCAGGGGTTGCAACCATCGCAGGGCAGGCTGTTCTGGACGCACTGGTCGCAGGCCTGCTTGCTGGTGGTCGCCCTGCTGGCTGATATCCCTTTGCGTCGGCCTGAAGCTGCGATGAGACACGGGTAGGGGCAGCGATGGATGCCACGTACTGGTAGATGACGCTTGTTGTGCATTTCCTCCTCCTGTATCTCCTTCCTTATGTTCGGGGTGACATTTATTGACGTGGCTTGGTAGCGTTGAGTGTCGTGGATGATACGAGGACGCAAGACAAACTTACCGACTCAAAAGATCGCTTCGTGCGAACTGGTCGCCGCATTGCGGACATTTGTAAGGTCTGTCCCCAGTGTCTGTGGAGGATGGTTAGCGTCCGCACATACGGTATGCCGTGTACGCGTATGAATGGACGGAGAAGAGTAAGGTTTGAAGGGGAGGGAGGGTCTGCGCGCGGCCGAACATGTGCACGATGGTTGCGACGAGGAGGACTGCGGCCTGCTGTAACATGACGTGGGGGATGACGGTAGGCGCGGCGACCAGCGGGCAATGGGAGCGTCCTCGAAGGCGCTCGACGCGACCGGCCTCCGTGCGATGACTGAAGGGCGGACCGTGGCTGGTGGCGCGCCGGTGCGAATACTGATGGCTGGTGGAGTTGCGCGTCTCGGCCAGTGGGGCGGTGGTGCACCCCAAATCCAGCGCTTTATATTCCTGGGCGGTGCACCGCGCATTCTTGACTCTTGTCCTTTCCCTTGTCCGTTGTGTGTCCCGTGGGCTTGCGCCCTGCGTCGCCGCTGTCGTCCCATCCTCGCCCGTCCTACGCCACGATCGTGCACCACCCCATGGCCTGCCGCGGTCCTCGTACCACCGTCATCGCCGTATCGAGTTCAGGAAGCCGCGCATAATCAAGGATGGGGAAGAGGGTGCGGGGATGGAGGAAAGGGCGGAAAAGCGAAGAGGGAGGGAGGACTCACGGGAACGCATATGCCGCGCGACATGCTGCGGCCTCGTAAACGTCGCCTGGCAGACCGAGCACTTGTGGTCTCCTCCCATCGTGATCTCCTTCTCCTTGTATGCTATACGGTGCTTGGTGCGATACCCCTGCCCCAGATGCGCTTGGTCGATCCCTCCGCAGCCCGACGGAACGCAGGTATTCTCTGAGTGCCGATCTGGTGGATGTTCTGGGTGCTCTCCTCGCTGCGACGCGCGATGAAGTTTCGGGATGATGAGCGCAGAAGGCAAAAGCGTTGACGCCGTGTATATGTCAGGGAGGAAGCGATGTGTTCGTCGAGGACGTCCGTCAGAGGGGTTCAAAGCTACACAATGTAACCTGACGTCATTTGTTTGGTTAACCCTAATTTTTTGCTAACTGCTTACAATGCATATTCAGTTTTTATTCCCAGGCGTGTGTCGCGTTGTTCTCGACCGCCATAAATATCCGACAAATAGCTTTGCTCATGTCCAGACCACCGACCGCCCCTCGGAGGCGTCCCGACACGTTTTACGACGCCCGCGAATATTTCGTCCAACCCCAAGAAATTCGCTGCTTTTCAACGGATCCGATGCCATCATCGGCGCCGGACGACGTCATCGACATCTGCTCAATGAATCACAATGGCATCCACTCCTTCTCCGGGCCGCGGCGGTCGGCCTCTGAACAACACACTGCTCCGGCCTCACAACACCGTTGTATTCGCGAGCGTTTTCAAGGACATGTCCAGCACAAGAACGAGACCTCGCTATGGGCATCACCCAAACAAACCCCTCGAGTCTAAAATACCGCTTCGTGAGACAGGAAGACAAGGCGAGGCGCGCGTGTCGAAAGAAGATGCGTGTCCGGGGAAGATGCGTGTCCAGGGAATTCAGGCGGCTTGTGTGTCTTCGCACGGCTCGTGTCAAGGGAACCCGGCGACTATCTCCCTTGATCGCAGCAGCGCGAGGTGGCTGGATCGCAGCAGCGCGTGATGGGAGGAAGCGCATCTCTCAACAGATCCCAAGATTCGTGCGGCGGGCTCGACGACGGCCAGCGTGGTCAGATGGGCGGTCGACGTGTTCCAAAAGGACGGTCGACGTGTTCCAACGGAGGGTCGACGCGTCGAGGTGCTGCGCATACCGGCGAAACATAGCGTCGTCCGAAGAGAGCGTACGTGGGCGACGAGGTCTCGACGGAGAATTTGTACTCAATTTCCCCTCACGAGGCGAACTAGATACGGTCAACGACTGCGCTTCGGAGGACATCGAACGATAGCTACTTTCATGGCGAGGATCGTCCAATGCAAGACCCCGAAGTCTGAAGTCTTGCCCTTCCAATCGTCGCAGTCCATGTCGAGCCTTTCAATCGAGCGAACAGACTCTGTGCTCTTGTAGCCATGCTTAGCGACGGGACCAAGATTCTATGCCTCGGCGACCGCAGATCTTGAACGTAGCATCGTCCGCACGCCGAAAACGTAGCTAACTTCGTCCACGAGACCATCCCTGCTACGCGAGACCAGAGACTTGCTACGCGAAAGTCGAAAGCTAGGCTAGACAGCAGCGCATAGCCGAGTCGCATAGTGATTGAACTCTGAACCTTGAACCTTATAGCGTGTTTCGTTGACGACCTCGAGTACACGTTCGATGATGACTTGTGTTTGACGGAGACGCGGCGCAGAGCAACCCATCGACACCTACACCGCCAAAGAAAACTGACCTGAACGGGATCTCAGTGCATGGGCTGAGCGGACATGAGGTACTTACACGAGCGTAGCAGTGATTTTATATCAGCCTGATGAGTTTTCGCAAAATAATCTGAGCTAAGATTGAGTGCGGATGTCAAATTCAGCAAAGCGGATGCTGACGGTGAGTTGACCTCTCGCCATTGCATTCCGTTCATATAGCGACTTGGATGAATCTCATGTAATGATAGGGTCAATGAGATGTCTTGAGCTGGATGAGTCCAGCCACACCGCTACGTATGATTCACGCCAACTTGTCCCAAACAGCAGGGTCAACACCAGTCGTGGTTCACAGTTCTTCATTGTCACTCAGATGGCAGGCAATAACGAGATCCAGACATTCCTTATGTTGTATTGTTACAGCCGTTACTGATTGTAGCAAATCTACGTATATTCAACGTTCAATCACGCTTGCGCTTCTTCGCGCAGACCGACTCCTTCGCCAGATCAAAGATCTGCTGGATCCACCTCGGGATCGAGGACGGCTCAACAGCGCGCACCGACGACCTGATGGGATGCTTCGCGTTCGTGGGGTCATGGGGGCTGCCGACATCGTCCTGGTAATGCCGGTTGAAAGTGCTGTATGGCGCTGAGCATCCTGCACTCAATTGACCTCTGAAACACTTACACTTCGAGCTCTGGCTGCGAGAGCGTGCGCTTGTACTCGAGCAGCGTGTCGTCCACAGCCTGCCACCAATCAGAATGGTCGGCATAATTCTCGGCATGCCAGCGCTGGTGGAATGAATAAGGACCTTCCGAGAGAGCGAGGGCGAAGCAAACGTACCAAGAATGCGAAGCGCATGAACATCTGCACCGTTGGGCGAGCAGCATTCTCCGACTGGATGATCGATGCAGTCAAGTCCGCGACATTATGGTATGCGCAGCTGTGGTCCAAGGAGTGAAAGACCTGGTAGTACATCATCTACACAACGAGGCACCGGAGGTAGAGCAAGGCTTACCTTTGCCTTGATCTGGCTTCGAAACGTCGTCAACTCTCCTCTAATGAACGACGCCAAAAGATCGTCATCGTGCCCGGAAGGATCGGGCATATCGGGGACGTTGTTCGCTCGCATTGCTCTCTGAAAAGCATTGTTCAGTGGCAAGACGAGGGCGACGAGAAGAACGTGCTTACAATGACAAGCTCAGCCGCGTTGTTTCCACGATACGCGGTGATCCGGGGGGAGAAGAGAAAGAGTTTTGCATAGCGACGCGCGGTATTCTACGAAACGATGAGTCATTGAGCAGAAGAGACATCAAAGGTCCAACGCACCTCGAGCTCAGCCGTCATTTGGAAACGCGGGCGAAGGGCAGGGCCCCGTTCGAGTACTTGCTGCAGCTTCGCAACAGCACACGCGATGATGTAAGCCGCTTCCAAAACCGAGTCGGTCTGTCCGAAGCAGTGATCAGTGGCTTGAAGCGACACGGTCGGCTTGGCACGCACCCGACGGTATTCCTCCAAGCCGCGCTCCGATCCGGTCAGCTCGAAGAGGCCGTGAACGCGCTGCACAAACTCCCGACAAGCAGGGTCTTCCAGCGATGTGATGACTCGAAGTTGGGAGGCAAGGGATGAGCCAAAGGTGTTGTCCGACGCGTCCTGATCGCCACTGGTGATCTGGAGTTGCTCCTGGTTTGATTGCTCGGCAGGCGGGAATATCGCATCTGGAGATGAAGTGGCGGTGGCGTCGGAATCCCTCTCGGTGAAGAGTGTCTGCAGGTACCGCGCCCGGGGGTCGTGCGGCGGAGAAGACGCGGGGGAGCCTTGGTGAGAGCCGTCGTTGTTGGGGGGCTGGGTGGCCATTGTGAGAGAGAGAAGAAGGGGATGAGGGAAACTTGAGGGCAGAGGTGCGGGTATATATATGGATGTGGGACATAAACACATCGTGCATCATCAATATGGAGAGACATGGATGTTGTTGAGAGCAAACCCGCGTGTAACGAGTGTGTGATCTTTGTGACATATGTGACATTCGTGCTCGCTCGTGTCACACGCTCTCGCGCCGGCGACCGACTGTCCCTCTCACCCTCGTACTGCCATCCTTCGATTGCCCTCGAGGGGACTGTGTGGACAGGTATATACAGACATGAATTATACAGCTTGAAATGACTTTACAACTGAATTGAAAATGCACAACTTGTGCGCGCGACTCGGACTTTCAACAACACGACGTGCAAAGACCGCTTTCGTATCAGAGGCCCAAGCACACACAGCTCGAATCTTTCAATCCTTCTCTCATCTCGTCGAGTCGCTATCCGCACATGCCTCGCCCAAAGAAAAAGGTCCTTGATCCTTGTAAGTAAACATCCCTTGAGCGATGTACTTAGACTTATCAGACGCACAGCGTTTGAGAGCATCAGTCCCGAGGATGTTCGGTGCACCATATGCGATCAGGTGGCACCAACGCGCTCTACTCTCAAGCTCAAGAGTGCGGGCAAGCACTTGGAGACGCAGTTTCATATAAGCAATGTCGGCATTGTGGACCAAAGGCGTAAAGACGAGCAGGAGCGCCTTGCTCGCCGTGCTGCCATATACGCCCCTCGGGCCATGCCAAACCCTGCTTACAACCCACCGCCCGTATTACCTCGGCCATCTATGTTTGATCATGTGCCATTTGACGCGCCCGATCCCTCGACTCTGATCCCCACGGACATGCAAGTCGATGAGCCTCTTGATGTCGAAGCAGAGCGTCGGCGCCTACAGTCGCTTGTTGACCTTCTTCTTGATCAAGCATATCACGAGGAAGAGTATGGAGCAGAGGATGACGGTGAAGAAGCGGTCAACCCTATCAACCTCTCGGGTGATGGTACGCTCTGCTATGCTTATTATACTGTTTTTCACTGACCTCTTGGACAGACGTAGACATTGACCTTGACTTTGATGAAGTCAACGAAGCCACGGACGGGGTATACAACGGGAGGTTCAAACCCTATCCGAACAAGATCGTGTGTGATTTGGCCTGGTATACTGAAAGGATCGGAAGCCCTAACACGCCTGTCCAGTCGATGCTGCTTGATGTTATTGACAACCTCCCCCGGATGCGGCTCTCAAGCGCCCACCTACGCATTATCATGTGGCTGCTGAAGGAATGCGGTGTACGAAATGTCCCTTCGTACGATAGATTTCGCAAGACCCAGCGAGATCTTGGCGCATTGTGCGGAGTCGAGACGGTACCACACAAGTCGATGTTCGGCAACAAGTTCTTCGTCAACGATGTGGCACAGTCTATCGCACTTGTGAGTCGCTTATATCCTTCGCTTGCTATAGCCTTTACCCACCCGACGCAGGACTTCGCCAATCCGCATGTTGCGCCCCTGCTACACTTTTATCCAGAAGAGGTGTCCGGGCCAATATCTGAGGTCTGGCAGGCGGATCGGTGGAAGGAATACAAGGCCGAAGACCTGACGCCAATGTATTCCCGCGAGAACAAGCGGTTTTTTATCGAGGAATTATGCCAGCTCGACGACGGAACATATGTGATACCGCATGACTGGGTCATCCGCAACGGTTCATTGACAGCACGCTGCACGGTGGTGCAGCCAACGCCAGTGAGTCGCTTACATGCCTTGCTTGCGCTGCGTCTGCTTATGAGATTCAGGCGGGCCTGTGGATGATATCTGCAGAGGAGCGGATTGCGCTGGCTACATCCTTTGCATACACTTACGAGGAAGTGGTTGCACGTATTGGGAAGCCTCCTGAGTGGGACTCTGGTGCGTACATGGAGCGCGTGCTAGTGTTCATGCTTACCTTATATAAAGGCTGTGAGAAAGCACCGCACACAATGCCCAATCCACTGCGAGATCTAGCACCTGACTGCGATATCTTCGTCGTCATGGTCCCCCTCTGGGTAGACGATGTTTCGGGGAATCGAAGCAAGCAATATAACAAGCACATCAACATGTATATGGCGAATTCAAACCTTCCTGGCCGCCTTCTTCAACAAGAGTTCTTCGTTCGCTTCGTCTCGACATCACCTCACGCCAGTTCGCCCGAGCAGTTTGCCGCCGTTCGTGACCAAATCAAGTGCGTACATTCTCTTGCTCCTGAAGATCATTTTATTCATGATACGCTCAGCGCGACACAGTCCAAACCCGTGAGATGCTACAACGCTGCATCGGGTAGGGAATGCGCTATCATCTTGCGTGTTCCTGGTCTTCCTGCCGACAACCCCCAACAATCGGAGGAAGCCTCGCATATTGGCGGTAATGGTAATTATCCCTGTCGCAAGTGCGAGCTTGGCGGCACACAGGCCTTCAAGGAAACATGTGATGGCTATCACGCCTACCATTACGTGAGTCTTGACCGCCCTTCTATAATCCCAACGCTTACCAGATTATAGGCTGGAATCGCCCGTGATGCAAGCAATATCCGGCAAGAACTTCAACGTCAACTCGACGTTGCCATGCTTGGCGTAGCGAATAACGTGAAGCAGATGCAAACCGCTACCGGCACGAAGGACAAGGTCACGCAATTTTGGATCGAGAAGCTGCTCGCAAAAGCGCAGGAGGAAAAGAAGAAGAACTCGAGTCGAAGCGCGCAGGACATTGCCGCTGAGTTGCGGATATGGCTGGACCAACAGCCTGGCGACAAGATGAATCCCCTTCTGGATATCGCCGGTAAGTCACTCTTACAACTTTCCCGACCATTTGGAACTGACTTCGCCGTTAGGATTGGACCCATCACAAGATACGCCAGTCGAGATCCTCCACACTGTCTTGTTGGGTGTGGTGAAGTATGCCTGGTATATGATGCATACTTCGTGGAAGGAAGATGAGCGCAACCTCTTCGTTGCTCGCCTTCAATCTACAGACCTTGGTGGCCTCTCGATCCCGTCGATCCGGGCTGGATATATGATGCAATATCGCAACAATCTTATCGGCAAGGATTTCAAGACGATCATGCAAACGGCGCCGTTTCATGTCCATGGAATCTCTGAGGCGACGTCAAAACACGCAGACCGCTTCCCGATGCTCAAGGCTATAGGCGAACTAGGGGCGCTACTCTGGGCACATACGATCGACGACATGGACCAGTTCTTAGTAGGTCTCCTCACCGCAGCCAAGAATTACAACTCACAAGTGACAGGGCGATATCGAGATCCTCACCGCCAATGTACTCGACTCGTTCGACATGGTTGACTGCAAGAAGATCACGACGAAGATCAAGCTGCACCTCCTCCCGCACCTCGTTCAAGATATCCGACGCTTTGGCCCGGCAATCCGTAACTCGACCGAGGTCTTCGAGTGCTTCAATGCCGTCTTTCGACAGTGCTCCATTCTCAGCAATCACCATGCGCCCAGTCGGGATATTGCAATCAAGCTGTCGTCGTTTGATCGTGTCAAACACTTGCTCAGCGGAGGCTTCTGGAAGGAGAACGGTTCATGGGTTCAGGCCAGTGAAGCGGTGCAGGATGTTCTTATGCGCCAGCCAATTATTCAGCGTCATCTGGGCTGGGTCCCCGCAGGTCAAGATCGTGCGGGATCAGTGACGGCGGAGGGAAAAAAGATTCCTCCCTGTCGCTGGTCAAAGACGCATGCGGGGGCTGCATCTGGCACATCAAACATACCAGTGCACGACCCCGACTCGCTATGGCGTATGGGCAAGTCAGCCATCGCCCGTTCAGGCGATCCTTGCCATCCTGGCTCCTGGATTTTTGCCGAGGTCGAGACAGAGGTACGGTGCTCTGCTTATATTACTTTGACTTCTTATTGACCCGACTCTCCCACTCTCCAGCCCGCACAAAAGTCCACAGTTATCGGGCGCGTCAAAGAGATCTTACTACAATCTTCTGACGCTCGCGCGCATCCTCAAGCATCGGATGCAATCATCCTCTTGGAGGTCTTCGAGCTTGGGCAAAACCGCCACCCTGATTTCAATGCGCCGGTCCTCAGTCGTCCAGTTGACTCAGGCAGACGTTTACGCTTGTTGAGGCCAGAGGTATGGACTTCTGCGATATACAATGCTCAACATAGATTCAATCTTTTCAGGATCTGTGTTTTGCCTTCTCCGCGCAGCACGACTGCCGAACGTTCGAATGCGATACATTCGCAGAAGTCACCGAGATCCAGGAGCACGAGAAAACCGACCGCAAGCGTAAGATCCTCTTGCACAATGATGATGACCACTTTGTGGTCAACATCTATGCTATACACAACGCCGTCGAGCTGCGGCGAGCGGTGGATCGTGAACTCATCAAACCCATACCACTTTTCTCAGATCGTCGTGCGCACCATGACACGTGTGCCAAGCAGCTGCATATAACGCAAAAAAGTCGCCGAGAAATGCTTGCCCTTCGACGACGCCAGAAGAAGACGCAGCTCGAGGAGGCAGAGGCGCAAGCCCAGCAGGAAGATGACGAGAATGATGATGAGGAAGAGGGGTCAGAGGATGATAGTGAGTCAGACAGCGAGGTTGAAGAGGATGCAGAGATGGATGGGGATGAAGAGGAAAACGAGCTTGAAGAGCAGCGAGGGGTGGACGAAGGAACTGCACACAGACGGAAGCGGAAGCGTAGGAGACGCGGTTGAATTCATTCAGTTATTGATTTGCTGTACTTGCTCTTGCCCCACTTGTGCTTCGGAAGCTGGTTGACAGTGGCAGTGAATCTAAGGCTATATGAAGCGAACGGGAGTCAGCTACGAAGGTGAGCGTTCGGTGATCAGTCATGCGCGCGGCAGTGCCACAAGCAGCCGGCAGTTGCCGCGTGGTCCGGGACCTCGGTCAGATGTTCGAATCTGGCCCGAATGAGACGAGCACATACGGGCCAACTTGTATTTTGACTGTTACTTGACCCAGTAATCAAGCGAGTCATATTAGTGGCTATATACATGTCAATAGTGTACTTTCCTTCCAAGTTCCGCCCCTGAAGACCCAATATGCGGGGGGAGAAGACAACATAACGAGTAGTCACAAATGTGACTTCTGTCACAAGTGCGAGCTCCTCGTCGTGGTGGGTACACCTTAAGCTTAAGCAGGTATTCTCAGACTCAGAGTCTGCTCAATCCACCACCAAGATACTGCCATTACTCTCAGATACACACCAGCTGTCTCCCAACAAAAATGACACCTCGATTATCCTCAACAGGGGCGTGGGAACGGAAACATCCGGCGCGGCGCGGACGCCAGGGGAATGCTACCCGGACCTTGGATGCTGAAGCTCTGTCAATGTTACCATGATCCAACATACCTTGGCTATGTCTAGCTAGTGTCTCTCTCATCCAAACTTCACCTCCCACTGACCTTCAACTGCCATAAGTGCACAAAGACGAGATTTACAACGAGTTTGTCTTGAATTCATGCGTCACGACTTGCCTTATATGAAGAGGAACCCGGGGTCTCTAATAGACCTCACGCTACGTTGGCGGTGTAAGTAGGACATGCAAGCCCGGCCAAAGTCAAGCCGAGGCGGTTGTTAGCGACTGACGCGGTGGTAGGCCAGCGACGCGATAGACCAACAAGGTGACAGACCAGCGGCTAGTTCAATATCCCGATAAGGTGATGTTTGAACCTGCCAAATAAGGCCCTTCAAGGCGATGGGCGGATAAATGACATCACTCACTTCGAGAAAGAGATACCGCGCGGAGAAGGCTGAGATGCTGCCTGGTACACCGCGAAACCTGGACGGAGCTGGCGCCGCTGGACGCGTCCCATTCACCGTACCTATACAATCCCCTACATCAGATAAGGCAAGGAGGAGCAGAATTCGACGTACGTACCGCCCGGAAAGCGCGACCTCAACGAGGACAATACAAGCCTACAATGAGGCTTTGGACGGGCAATTCAAACCTTGGACAAGACAAAGCCGCCTACGTCACAGGGCCGCCTATACTGCAGACGGACGGACGACTGGCAGCAGGATCGCTCCAATCTACCGGTCAGGAAGATGGCGCGGGCCGGACGTCGTGAATGAGCGCGGCAAGCGCGAAGATGGGCTTGAGAGCGCGGAGATGGTCGAAGTGCGCGGAGATGGCTGAAGAGATGGATGACGTCGGCGCGGCCCGTCATGTCTATAGCTACAGCTATCGCTGCCGTACTTGCCTTAGCAAGGAGGCCAAGTCAGAAGGTACGGTGATGTTGCTCACCATCTGGATAACGAAAGTATGGTCCGAAGCCTTTCCTCTGCCCCGAAAGAGCGGCCGGACGTGGATATCAGTGTACCTAAGTCCAGCCCGCCGAGGGTCACTATCACTATTACTCTTAGCTGCCTTCTGATAAGCGGGTCAGCGTCTCAGGCCTGGCAGTAAATGTGGATGAGGGCTTGACTCGTTTCTTGACTTGGTCCGAAGTCGGAAACTCCACAAGCGTCAGTAGACAGATCAGAAATATCATACCAGAGCAACACATTGAAAGGACGTTATGCCTGCTAAAAAGTTAGTCATTCGACCTCTGCGACAGTGAATTGGAGGGGCCAATCAGGCAGCAAAGCAATGAGCGATTTTGATGGTCGAAGCCAACATGGCAATTATTTGTGGCGCAATGCTGCACACACTAGTACACAAGGAACAAATAGCGGTCCACACGAGAACCCTTGTTCCCTCCGTCCCTCACATTTGCCTGCAGGTTTTACGATTGCATACCCGCCACGCCATCCGTACTGATACACATTGGGATATCTCTTCGCTGAATGTTACGCCACCATCTGGCACTGAGTTTTGCAGCACCTCTGAATCGATGCGTCTTCCCCAGGAGCTCGTAGATGCCATTGTAGCACACGTCAAGCGCGGCATAGACCTGATCACTCTGCTCTGCGCCTCCCGGACCGTCTTCTTCTTTCAAGTCTCCCGCAGTCTTCGCCATGTTTTCGTTCACCTCGCAACAGACGACTCGTATCGCCTTCTCATGGATCTTCTCAAAGACCATCCGTCTGCTCCCTCGGAGATACGCCTGCTTGAGATCTCTTTAGAGTCGTACAGGGAGTCTAATCCGGATTGGTCTGCCCTTCCAGCGCTCCTCGACGCCTGTACCGGCATCCGCGTTCTCCGCATCTGCGTGGGACACTACGGAGAGTGGATGCAGCAGTTCCCTCCAACACACAGGCACGCGCTCTACCTCCGCATGCAGCTCCCCACGCTCGAAGAACTCCACTTTGACTGGACGTCCTTCGACGCGGGGGCCATCAACGAGCTTCGCGCGCTCTCCCGGCCGCCCGCGCTGCGGCACATATCCGCGCGCAGGCTGCGGGCCGCGCCCGCCGCGCGCGACTCGCTGGGCTTGGTGGTGTTCTTCGAGCGGCTGCTGGGGCGTGACAATGCGCTTGCGGTCGAATCGCTCAAGTGCGATCGCGAGAGCGTCGCGGCGGGGATGCTGCTGTTCCGCGCGCGGGAGGGGCGGCAGATGCGCGTCCTGGACCTTACCGTCGACACCTCGCCCGCCGACGAGGGCACACCCGGTGACGTCAAGCCCCAGACGCTTCTCATGGCGAACCCGCAGCTGGAGCACTTCGTGCTGAGGATTGGTGCGTAGAGTTTTGCTGGTGGGGCGTATGCCATTTTGCTGAACGTGCGCAGAGCATTGGTCGCTCCCTACGATGGTCGATCTGTCGGGTAATAAGGCACTGCGTACCCTGACAATCGACTTCCCGCGATGGCGCGAGTCGCGCGAGGCCGGATATGTCGTCGGCGTCCTCGACTCCATCTCTGAGGCTGGCCGGCGCAACCTTGAGCGCTTCGAATTCATAGGCGCGGGACGTGCGGCGAACGAGCCCGACCATGGTTACTTCTGGTGCACTATAGACGCTGCCTTGTCGCGCCTTGAAGGACTGAAGGCGGTCAATGTGCGCTTGACTCCTCCGCCGCGAGAGAAGGGGTTGGCATATGATGAAGAGTGGGAGAAAGCCCAGGTTACTGCTGCGGTGGAGAGCTCGATGCGGGAGACGTATGGAAGGGGGATACTGGAGGTCACGTCCGAGTAGAGATTCAGCGCGCAAACCGGCGTAAGCTCTGGCTATGCAAGACGCTCGGCGTCAAACCCCTGTAAATGTCGAAGAGTCACGCGCCGCCAGATTATGTGGCGTTGTGTATATCTAGCGCTGTAATAAATATAGGCATACAAACCAATCCCACGTCCTACCATCAGAGATAACTTCGCCGGAGTGACCATTTGACTTGAAGCAAACACGAGCAGCGCAAGTTCGTACCGAATCCAGTTTCCAATCCTACCACGCACCTTGCATTGCCCATCGCTTCGACGCGCAATGCGTATCGCTCAAGAGCTCATCGATGCCATCGTCTCCCATCTTGAGCTTGGGGACGATCTCATCACCGCCTACTACCTCTTCCAGGCATCTTTATCGGTTTTCTCTCGCCAGATCTGCCTGAATCTGCATGATGATATCGTCTGTCTCTCCACGGACAATTCTGGGTACACGACCCTCGCTGCCATCTTCCGCCTCTGTCCCACAATATACCAGCATGTCTATCAGCTCCAGATTGAGCGCAGCCCGACCTCGGAGCTCCACCCTGAGGAGTACGCTCTGCCGGCTGTCCTTGACGCATGCACAGGCCTCCGTGCCCTTCACATCCACTCGGTCCACCACAACGACAGCTGGAAGACGCGTTTCCCGGACGCGCATAGGCGTGCGATATACCGAGCCATACAGCGCCCCTCTCTGGAGACGCTCGGCCTGCAGGGCTTCTCCTTCCAACCCAATGCGATCTTGGAGCTCGGGGCACTGAACATTCCGCCCGAGCTCAAGACCATCCGCCTTGCAGCATGCTCGCTCAGGAGCGCCAACTCCTTCATGACACAGCTGTCGTTCGCGGACGGAGCTGAGGGGGGCGCGCCATCGGTCAGGAACTTCGTGTGCGACCAATACAGCCTGCAGTTCGCGCGCCTGCTGTTTCGTAAACAGCGAAGGTATCCATTTGGCGAGCTTCGTGCGCTGGATTTCACCTTCATGACTGCCGGAGACCACGACAGGGATCACGAGCGCCTGAGACAGCTCCTTCGCGCGAACCAGCATCTGGAAGATCTTACATTGCGAACAGGTCAGCCGGCAACAAAGCGCGCGGTGAAGATGATACTAAAACCTTTACGCAGCGCCGTCCTTGCTCCCCATCCGCGACATATACGAAGCGGCGGCTCTGCGCAGCCTGACCCTCGACTACACCCCACGACTCCCGGGCTGCGACCCCAGACGCATCGCAGATATCTTGAACTCCATTCGCACTCAAAGCGAGCACACCCTCGAGGAATTTCGGCTCGTGGGCGTCACGAAGGTGCAGGGTGTGACGGCAAGTAGCATACCCGACGTGTGGCACCCCCTCAACGCGACGGCGAGGAGCGTACCCGACGAGTGGCCTTACATCGACGCGGCGTTGTGCCGCTTTCCCGCGCTAAAGCGGGTGGGAGTAGTGAAACCGGGAAGGCCTCCGGTGACAAAGGACTTGACTTCTGCTATGCAGGTTAAAGAGCACGCGGAAGCTGCCATCCGAGCCAGCATGGGCAAGCGGCTACCGAGCACGCAAGCGAGGGGGATACTGGACATCACTGTCGACTATTCCAGCTCATAGGGTGTCATCCATTGCCTAAGCAGACGTCTTTCCGTCCATTGAAGAGGTCACATCCATTTTTAAATCATTCGAGCCCTTCCTCAAGTTGACTGCTACTTATGTATGAGCAGAGCTATAGAATTTGCGATTACTTAGTAGTAGCTACAACCTCGTCTTCCATGTTCGCTTCGAGCGACGAGGGTTAGCAGCCACTGCGTTCTCCTGCGCCTTGCGTTCCTTCGTTGCGATCTTGCTTTCATTGGCGCGAGTCTCGATCTCCTTCGCTTTGGGTGCGACTTTTGCCACAGCTTTCGATGCGACTTTTTCCACAGCTTTCGGCGCGCCCTTTGCAACTGGCTTTATGTCCCGATGCGCGTAAATCTTGACGCTTCTCAGGGTGAACCCGCAGCTGGAGCACTTCGTGTTGAGGATTGGTGCGTAGTTTTGCTGGTGGGGTGTATGCCATTATGCTGAACGTGCGCAGAGCACTGGCCGTTCCCCGCGCGATGCGATCTATCTGGCAACAAAGCGCTGAGCACGCTGACTATCAACTTCACGCGATGGCGCGAGTCGCGGGAAGCCAGGTACGTCGGCGGCGTCCTCGACTCCATCTTTCTTTGAGGCTGGCCGGCGCAATCTCGAGCGCTTCGAGCTCATTGGCGCGGGACGTGCGGCGAATGAGCCCGAGCATGGTAAATTTTGGTCCAGCATCGACGACGCCCTGTCGCGCTTTGAAGGACTGAAGGTGGTCAGCGTGCGCTTGACTCGTCCAGCGAATAAGGAGCGGCGCGCCGTCGCGGAAGAGTGGGAGAAGCCCATGTCATAGCCGGGGTGGAAAGCTGGATGAGGGAGACATATGAAAGGGGAATACTCAGGGTTACATTCGAGTAAAGATGCATCCGGAAACACTCAATCAAGCTGCGAGTAGGTGACGCAGAGCAATTGCGGTAGACCCACTTCCTGGGACTCCTGGTATCTGAACCCGTAATGAGTACTGGTCAATTATCGCCAGGCTATGTGGCGCTTTGTGGACTGTGTGCCAAGTCACGGTGACGTGACAGATAGCAGCATACAGAAACCTCTCTCGCTCCGCGGTGACGGAGGTCTTTGCCGTTTTCCTCCCTACTTCTCATTCTCATGAGGGTAGCGCAGAGCTGAGCCTCTCGTACCTCGCGTCACGCATTGGCGGTCGAAATTTCGCTGCACGATGCGTCTCCCTCAAGAGTTGGTCGACGCAATCACCTCCAACCTCCAGCTCGGGGATGATCTCATCACTGCTTACTACCTCCTCCAAGCATCTCCCTTGATCTTCTCGCCTCAGATCAGTCTAAATCTACATCACGATCTCGTCCATCTCTCCGCAGGCAGCTCTCGCTATACGACCCTCTCCGCCGTCTTCCGCCTCTGCCCCTCGATATGTTCACATGTCTATCAGCTCCAGATCGAGCGCAGCCCAACCTCGGAGCTTCATCCCGAGGAGTACGCTCTGCCGGCTCTGCTCGACGCATGCGTCAGCCTCCGCAGCGTCCACATCTACTCGGTCCACCTCAGCGACAGCTGGGACACGCGCTTCCCGGACGCTCATAGGCGCGCGATCTACCGAGCCATACAGCGCCCCTCGCTGGAGACGCTGGGCCTGCAGGGCTTCTCCTTCGGACCTAGCGCAATCATAGAGTTGGGGGCTCTGCACATGCCGCCCGAGCTCAAGACCATCCGCCTCGCAGAATGCTCGCTTAGAAGCGGCAACTACTTCATGGCTCAGGCATCGACCGCGGCCGGAGCTGAGGGGGCCGCGCCATCGGTCAGGGAGCTCGCATGCGACCAGTACAGCCTGCAATTCGCGCGCTTGCTATTCCGCGCGCCGCGGAGGTATCCATTCGGTGATCTTCGCACGCTGAAGCTCACTTTCATGACTGGCGGAGACCATGACAGCGACCACGAGCGCCTGAGACAGCTCCTCCGCGCGAATCCGCGCCTGGAGGACCTCACGCTGCGAACTGGTAAGAAGGAATCGAAGAGCTGGGCAATGATCCTACTAAAACCTTTACAAAGCGCCGTCCCTGCTGCCCATCCGCGACATATCCGGCGCGGTGACCTTGCGCAGCCTGAAAATCGACTACACCCCGCGACTCTCAGGCTGCAATCCCAGGTGCATCGCAGACGTGTTGAACTCCATCTCCCCGTCCAGCGTGCCTACCCTCGAGCAATTTCACCTCGTCGGCGTCACGAACGCGCAGGGTGTATTGGCGGGGGCTGTACGCGACGTGTGGCCTCAAATCGATGCAGCGCTATGCCGGTTTCCTGCGCTGAAGATGGTAGGAGTGGCAGTGCAGGTCACGAAGCACGAGGAAGCAGTTCTCCGACTCAGCACTGCAAACCTGCTGCCCAGCACTCGAGCGAGGGGGATACTAGACCTCACTTTTGACTATTTCACCTTAGATCGTCGATAGATCATTGCTGATACGTCCGTTCTTCCATCGGAAAGGTCGCCCAACGTCGAGCCATTCTCAATTCGGCCGATTAAAGTATTTGCGCACATTTGAGCAATGCAATGGATCCGGAACTTGCGATGAGTAGCTACGATGTGGTCTTCCGTGACCGCTTCGAGCGACGACGATTAGCCGCTGCGTTCTCAGGCGCTTCGCGCTTCTTCGCCGCCGACTTGCCTTTGTTGGCGCGCGCCTCGACCTCCTTCGCTTTGGGTGCGACTTTTGCCACAGCTTTCGGCGCGCCCTTTGCAACGGGCTTTATGTCCCGATGCGCGTAGATCTTACCGTTAGTCCGGTCGATATGCCTGATGCTGACCAGCGGTCCCTGTCCTTCCTCGGCAGCGTAGTAATCCGAGATCTCGCGGAAGGCCCGCCGAAAGACGTTGTATATCCCCGCGTGCGCATTGAAAGCACTCGCCGGAAGGCGCGTTCCAGCGCTGCTGAGCCTGCCCTCCACGGCGGTATACGTGTCTCGCAACGTAGAGAAGATGTCGGGCAGCCGAGAGAGGGGCGAGTCTTCACCGTATACTTGCTGTAGCATCTTCGTGAGCCCTTTTCCGGATTCGGGTTCGACGAGAAGGTTGACGCGGTCTGTCCAGCTGCCGACCTTGTTGGGGAAGAGCGCGCAGTGCCGTTGCCACATGTGTCAGAAGAGGCTGTAGGTCCTGCCACGCTTCAGAGAGGAGCCTTCGGCGCGGTACGTGAATCGTAGCGAAGTCCAAGGCGATCCAAGCAAGCGACTCGAGATCATGCAGGAAGTTGCGGTGAAAGTTGATGTTGGATCTGCGGTTGTCTGGCGACTTCGGCGCGAACTTGTACGTTCGCTCCGCTACTTCGATAGCAAGGAAGTCGCATGTGCCCTAAGGTGCGCATGAGCATGGTCAGGAAAGGATAGTCAACATATGCGAACGAACCACGAGACCATCGCCGGGTGACGTCCAGGAGTACTCGAGGGCGTACTCGAGATCGTGCAGCTTGAGCTGGTAGCGCTCGCACAAGGGCCCGGCGCTTGGGTCATCCGAAACGATGCGGCGCAGCAAAAGATTTCCAGTACTGACATCGCGATGCAGCCAGCCAATACGGCGCAGCCAGAAGAGCACTAAGGTAAGACGGATCAGAATGCGTCTATACACGACGACGGGTGCGACGGCGAGGACGTACCGAAGGTGGCCTGATCAAGGGCGAAGAAGAATACGGCAGGGTCGTGTTCTCTGGTAAGATCGGTACAAACCTGTGCATGATGCGTCCGACAGCGTCTGCGCGCCGTAGAGTACTGAAGCCTTGGCGTGAAGGCCAATATATTGTGCAAGTGCTCGTCCGATACTTCAACCGATGCACGAGGGACTTCATGATCATCGTGAGTGATAGGCTCGGCGGCGGCTGCAGACGCGGGCATGCAACGACGCATATCCTTCCACTGCACGACACCGTCGGCCAGTATTTCCATGAAATGCTGCCATACCTCGCGAAGCTCGACCTCTGAGCACGTGTTGCGCTTCAGCGCCCAGTGCAACTTGCGTTGCACCCCGGTTTCAGCTCTTCTCTGTTCGCAATCCGCGCGCCAGTAATCTTGCAGCGCGTAACTGTTCGTGTCCACCTTGGAGAACGAATCGCCATTGCCCTTTTCGGCGATGCGTCGGACCTCGAAGACCCGCATAGCTCGGTCGTAGGGCGACGTGTGGCACCTCTCGAGCAACGCCTTGACGGTCTGATATGTTCGGACCATCTTATCCTTGTGAAGGACGTCGAACTGGTATTGCCATTGACCGCTATTGTCCAGAACGCGGGTCACAGTCGGGTCGAATCCGAGCTCACAATCGCTTGCGAACGACGTGAATAAGATCCACTGGATGAATTCGTCCTTGTTCTGTTGACTACATATTAGCCCGGCTCGCACGGCTGATTCAGGACCCACGTACTTTGTTGATGTCGATGGGCAGGCTGACAGCGGCGCCAGAGCGAGAATGATGCCATAGCCGCGCAGTAGTAGCCTCGAGAGTGATCGAGTGATGACATGTTCGGCGCATGTCTGCAAATAAATAGTGTCTTGCTGCCTCGACGGATCGTTCCTTGAGCTACGACACCGTGTCAGTAAGTCGCACATACAGCGTAGGTGGCACTCACACTGCCATACGTGTTGTTGGCCGGGCTAGATTTGAGCGGGATTTGCCACGACGCAGTGATGTCGGCGGTGTTTATATTGCACTTGCTTTCGGTTGAGCGCGTCGTGGTATAATGCGCGCCGCCGCGCTTGCTATCCTCCACGCATGAGGACGCCGCCCGGTGGTTAATCGCGTCGACGTGGTAGATGGCACCTTGAACCTCGGATAGCTTCTCTTCGCTGTCGCGACCTTCGAAGAGGCACCGTCTATCCTTCTCGCAGAATCGATCGCGTAGAGTCTCAGAAGCAGCAGCGATAACGGCCTCGACAATGTTTGCCACTTGCGCTTGCCTGAGTTTGTACTTTTGGAGTGGGGACGCATTCGCGTTTCTCTGAGCGAGTACCTTCCACCGACCAGCTCTGGGCATGAGGTGACCATCTTTCTTGAGCCTCTGGACGATGGCGGCCATATTTTCCGAGGGAATGCGATTGTAGCCATTGGGCGCGATGCATTCAGCCCAGAAGGTGTCAATGAAGCATACACGGAATTTCCGGGAGTCCATGGCGTGAGAACTTGCTGAGACCGCGAGGGTATGATGTAGCAAGAGTGACGATAGGTGAGCGTGGAGAACAAGCGCAACGACCCACGCGCCAACGAGTGCTTTGACCATGCATAAATTCCCACGGTCCAGGTAATATCACGCATTGCCTTTTCGAGAACAATGGTGTAACGTGACTGTTACTTGTCACGTTCTTCGACTATATAAGGCAGGCCTTACGGCCTATTCTATATACTCACTGTCGTACGCTACCCCCATCTGCTATACACCCACGGCCGTCATCTGTCACTTCGTCCGAGCTCCCGGCTTTTAGTGTAGGAAGGCTAGCGCCCCCTTACATATGGCACCCGCTTCCGTCTATTTGTGGCGCAACGCCACACGCCATCATACACGTGTAGCAGATGCGGACAGACGCAATGCGCCTCTTGTCGGTGACGGTGACGAGTGGGCTCTTTTCTTCCTCCCTGAAAGCCACATTCCTGCTCGGTAAGGTAGATCATACATGACCTCGCACATCTATACTCATGAAATCACTTTTCCAGCCCCAAAACACGCACGCATCGATGCGCCTTCCCCAGGAGCTCGTCGACGCCGTCGTCGCCTATGTCCAGCATGAGACGGGGAATGAGATTGTGCTGAACCTTCTGCAAGCCTCCACAACTGTCTTCTTGCCTCAGATCTGTTTCAATCTTCAGCACGAAGCCATCTGTCTCGATTCATACCATTCCTATCGTCACCTCTTCGAAATCACCAAGCTCTGCCCCGCCGTCCTTCCCTGCATCTGGCATCTCAGGGTGAACGCTGATGCGAGGCTACTTGATGGATTCCTATCGGCCCTACCGGCGGTGCTTCTGAACGATTGTACTTGCCTTCGGTCCCTCCACGTCAGTGTGACAGGAAGGTCCATCGAGTGGACAATGCTCCCCATCAGCTACAGAGCTGCGCTATACAAGTGCATGCAGCTACCGACACTCGAGAAGCTACAGCTACAGTCTATCACCGTCACCCCAGCTGCCGTGGAAGAGTTCACTGCTCCGAGCCTCCCTCCTCATCTGAAGACAATCAGCATCTCCAGGATTTGGATGGTCAGTGGAACCTACTTCTCTACGCAGCCCACAATGGCACGGCTTGGATGCACATCAGCAACTACGACCTTCTCGTGCGACCATCAGAGCCTTCCGTTCGCGCGCTTGCTGTACAATCCGAGGCCATATCCCTTTGGCGACCTTCATGAACTCGAGCTCGCCTCGGATGATGCGGGGGTGGACAGCGCAGCTCAGCAGATACTCGCAGAAAACCCGCGCCTTGCTCATCTCACATGTCAATGCAGTGAGTCACTGTGTCCTACTTCAAGCCCCACCGAACTGACGAGGCGCTCCCGACGCAGGCTCCTCCTTTCTTCCAGCGTACAATCTACGCGAGAACATCGCACTGCGCACGCTCACTCTCCGCTTTCGCATACCGGTCGAGACCTGGGCGCCGGTGGGCTTTCCCGAAGTCCTGAAATCCATTCCTGGGTCGGGCACGCGCACTCTGGAGAGCTTCAGTCTCTTCGTTTCGACGGAGGAGACCGCAATTGACTACTGGCGCGCGGTAGATGAAGCACTTTGCCGTTTTGAGATGCTAAAGACCGTCGAGCTGCATCTGAAGAACCCCTTTGCAGGACGAGATGCTACCTCCATACCTGTTCAACAAGAGGAGACGGCGAGTGGTAGATTTCCGGGACTGTGGGATGCGATGGGGAGAACACACGAGAGGGGAATCCTGAAGATCATTACTGGATGGTGATGCGCCATGAGAAGTTGTATCTCTTGTCAAGCTCGAGATAGGGTGTCTTTGCAGACCAACACCATGGTATGTTGGCACGCAGCCATCTATCTACCTGACGGCCCTGAGTGACGGAGTCGTTGGTAAAAAGTAAGTTATCAGTGTCATTGTATTTTGTGGCGTTATATACGCCTGGTCAATTACCAAACAATTCGAACACTCGTCTTGCCACGACGGCAATTTCTTCAGTATACTCTTCCCGGTCCTTGAATCAACAGCAGGGACTTCAAATTACACTCTTGTAGCGCCGGTGTCATAGCTTCTCATCCAAAATCGCCACACCCCTTCAGCTCAACGATCGGCCACGAACACCCCCCGTGCCATGGCCCAGCTCCCCGAGCCACCGACACCCGCGACGCTTGACGAGGCGCGACATCTGGCAAAGCAGCATGCGATCGACATTGAGCGCACTCAAGGGGACATCGAGGTCGCCGAGGCGCAGCTCGCCGACCTGATCGCGTGCACCCGCCGCGCCATCGACGCCATGGTCCAGCGGAAGACCGCACTCGAGGAGAAGCTGCTGCAAACGAAGGCGTACCTCAGCCCCATGCGACGGCTGCCGGCGGAGATGCTGCGCGAGATATTCTTCTGGGTGTTCGAGGAGGACTCGAGGGTGGCGTGGGATCTGAGCGCGGTGTGCCAGTCGTGGCGCGCTATAGCACTCGGGATGCCGAGGTTGTGGTCCAAGGTGCGTGCTTGAGGCTTCGGAGTGGAGGGGGATGCTCAATCCTGCGCAGATCCACTTCTCTACCACCCAGCTTGCGTCCGCGGATATCGTGCGATTGTGGCTCGAGCGCGCCAGAAACCGCCCCCTCGACATCGAGATTTACATCGACTCTTCCTCAACGCAACCACCTCCCCCCACCCCCAACATCTGGGTCCCCTTCCACGGCGGCTGGGTAGCCGCGCAACCCGCGCCCGCCCCTTCAAGCCACCCGGCAAGCATCCACTGGGCGCACGTCGTCACGCACTACCTTGTGCAGAGCATGGCGCGCTGGCGGCGCTTCGTGCTCCGCTTCGACCGCCATTTCCCCTCTATGGACGCTCTCCAGAGCATCTCTGGTGAGTGTCCCCCTCGCTGTCGCCCGCCGCGCTACACGTGCTCAAGGGCCCGCGCCGCGCAGGGGACGCACCGCTGCTCGAGGAGTTCGAGGTCTGCACCGCGGACACGGCGTACTTTCCCGAGTGGCGCTCCTTTTTGCCGTGCACCCAGCGCGTAGTCAATCTGCCGAGGTTGCGCTCGGTGACGCTGCACCACATCTCGTTCGGGCTGATGGGTCCGTTGCTCGTGAAGCCACCGGCATCGGACGCACCAGGGGCGCTGAGCTCCCTCACGAACATCACACTGCGCGCGCTGCCCGGGATGGTCATTCCCCTCAATCAGGTGCTCGCGCTCGTCATCGCGAACCCCATGCTCGAGGCGCTCGTACTCTACTTCCCCGCCATACAACCCCCTGTCCTTCCGCTCTCCTCCTACCCGCTCATCACGCTCCCGCACCTCCGCACCCTCGCCCTCGGCGGCCGCCCCATCCTCACGCACCTCGTTGACAAGCTCGCGACGCCCGCCCTGCGCTCCTTCGCCTGGGACATCGACGCGCGCGGCCCCGAGCGCGTCTCCCTCCGCCACGTCCTCCAGCGCCTCCTCAAGCGCTCCGGCCCCGAGTCCGGGTCTTCAATCGAGGAGCTCGCAATCAACTGGGGCTTCCCTTACCCTGTCGGCCACCCCTTCCGCCCGCCGCCCTCCGCTGCCCCCGAGGACCTCGCGCTCAGCCCGTACGCCAGCCCGCCCCTCATTGGGGGGCTGCGCCGCCTCCTGCGCCTCGTGCCCAACCTGCGAACCCTCAGCCTCGCCGAAGTCCCCCTCGACCTCGTCTTCGGCGTCCTCGGCGGCTTCGGCGACGCCGATATGGACGCCAACGCCAACGCCAATGACTCAGACGACGACGAGGACGCGGCGATGGTCGCGACCAGCTTCACGGGCTGGACGTCGCCGGCGTGGGCCGCGCCCGCGAGCGACGACGGCGCGGGGGTGAATGGGCTGGGGGGCGCGGGCCCGCAGGTGGGCGGGGTGTACGTGTGCCCGCGGCTGGCGAGGCTGGCGCTGCGGTGCTGCTCTAGCGTCCATGTGCAAGAGGCGCTCCGGCGGATGGTCGGGTTCGTGCAGGGGCGGAATCCGGCGCGGGGCGGGGGTGCGGGTGCGTGGATGGGAGCGCACGGTGCTACGTCTGGCGGCCACACCGCAGGTGCTGGGGCGCATAGTTCGGGTATTGGACACTCTTCCTGGGTCGGCCATGGCCAGGGCGCCGCGCAAGTGTCCTTCCTAACCGGCAAGCCCGTACGTTTGGAGGAGCTCGAGATGGTCGGGTGCACCAGGATCGAGCCGGATATCGGGCACTGGCTAGAGAGCAAGATCCCCAATATAGTGTGTCAGTCGAGCGAGCCGTGAGTATATTATCTGGCGAAGTTCGAGAAATCGCAGCTGACCATTGATTGACATACAGGCAATCCAGGGAAGGGACGCCTTTTTCGCCGTCGTCGCCTTGAGGTGTCTGTAGCTGACACCCTCCAAGTATCTGTACCTTCATTTTCACCTCGCTTTGTTCACCTTTGCCGTCTCGCTGATCTCTCGTACGCAAACACTGGTTCTCATTGTCCATGCTCGTTGATTCTCCTCGTTTAGCTATCTAGTGCCCCAGATGTATTGTATCCATCGTCTCGCCATGCTTGTTCTCTGTCCCAAGTGTATAGTATCCATAGGAAGGACCGACCGTGATTCTCGATATATCGTCGAAATAAGTTCTGCTTCATGTCTTCTTCGAAAGTGAGGAGTACTGTAGCATCGACGATAAGTTGGAGGAGATAGCAAGATCTGGCTCGCACAAAGAGGATGATGGTCGAGAGCCATCCAGACTTGTCGAGGCTTGTGGAGATGATGAGAGCCCACTAACACGGGGGAACCGCTTGCGACCCTGTTCGTCCCGCGGGGGTGGCTATGAAGGTGCGGGGAGCGGGGGAGATGGAAGTAGAGCGCGGAGAGGGACACGAGGCTGGGGATCGCGGCGACCTCCATGGGGTATGTGGCGCGCGGGGAGCCGTCAAGGGTGAGTGAGTATACCTGGGCATTAGCGTGCGTAAGAGGAGGGGAGAGTCGGGATGGGACTCGGGAGGAGTAGGAGAGCAGTTAGAACTTAGAAGTGCCGCTGCGCATTCGGAGCAGACTGAAGGGCAGAGTCGGAGAGCAGAACGGCGCATCTCGCGAGTGTGAGGCAGAGGTCGCAAGACTTGACTGTGATACGGCCGGAGCATACGACAACGTCGGATACATATGGCGGCCCAGCTACTCAAAGGATCAGACGAATATTTCGCGCGAGACATACGACGAATGCGAAGATAGATGGCTCGGCGCGAGCGACTGGGGCAGAGGGCGAATATGCGAGGACGTTGGGGGCAGAGATCGCAGGGACGGGAAAGACGAGCAGAACTTGACAGCGAGATCGACTGCACTTGCACCTTCATTGACATCTAGCCCAAGATCAACTATGAACGTAGCAGACGATGAACGTAGCAGACGGTGATACTGTAGCAGACGATGACGTTGTGGACACTGGAGACAGGCGGGCGGATGGAGAGTTGGGACGTCCTGGATGAATAGCGCTACACATAGATAGCAGTTGACACAGATGAGGTCTGCGGACGGGGAGCCGCGTCTCCTGATACGCGATGCGCGCCACCCATGACTGAAGGTTTCACGCCCGATGGCGTTTAATGGCTTGTGACGCGCATGTCACAGTTCGACTTCAGGTCGCAGGTCACGGTCACCCCGACTTCAGGTCACAGGTCACAGTTCGACTTCAGGTCAAACGTCGGGCTCATATGTAGCATCAAGTTCCGCTACGCGGCACCCGTTGTGCCAAGCGAGTCGCAAACAGCCGGACGAACAAGCAAACGAACAAGCTTTGGGCGTGAGGAGACGTGAGGTGATAGCGTACGCGCCAAGAGCAGCTGGAGACGGATGAGGTGATCCAAGGAGGCGAGCGCGGTGACGACTGAGTACGGACGGGCTGGTGACGACGATGCACCAATGGGCTGCCAGGACGGACAAGGTGACTGAAGACGGACAAGGTGACGACGGGGCGCGGACGTAAGTCGTCGCGGCGCAACGACGGTGATATCGCGCTGTCCGCCCGCGCGCCAAGCGCCTGTTGTTCTGGGAAAGGTATAGCGGTGATTGAACGGGGGAACGAGCGCAGCATGAGCTTCGGCGAGCGCCAAGGATGGAAGCACGATAGAAAGCAGGATAGAAGGCTAAACCACGGGCTTCGCTCGCAGGCACTTTCGGCAGCGGCTAGCGCCTTGGCGTGAGTATAGTCGATGTCTGGGGAGCATGAACGACGTCGGGGAGAAGGAGGACCGGGATAAGGACTCGTGGGCCGGGGATGAGAGATCGGGAGCGTCATGAACGTTGAGTAGGCGCCCGGCTAGCGCTGCCAAGCCCCCAGTACCATGATCGTTGCAGCAGAGCTCTTCAGTTCGAGTCGCAAGCGAGGCCGCGAGGGCGCCAAGGGCGGCCGCCGTGGTTCTCCGCAGGCAGGAAGGGATGGAAGATTCGGAGATGGGAGACGCGTGCGGGGGAAGCGGCGACGGTCGAGTGGGCGTCCGCGATCTGGGATCAGGGTCCTGACGGGGCTGTTCGCGGGGCTTGCTGGTCGGAAATACGCAGGAGGGCAGATGACGGGACGATACGGGGGGTGAAGTACAGCTCGGGTAGCCGAAAGACTTAGACTAGACCGGGCGTGTATATAAGGACTATCGCAGGCTGCGCTCCCCCTTTTCGCCTTCCCCGTCGACGAAGGAACTGAAGTTGGTGACTGCGACCCCGCCCAGTTGCCCCGCCGCTGCGCCGAACAAGTCAAAATCGATTACACACCGGCGCTTAGCAATATGATCGCCCTGTACGTCGCGCCAGCCTCCATCTTGTCCTCCTACTTATCGCGCCCCGCAGCCCGCCGCCGCTCCCCGCCCACCACTGGGCCCCGCCGCCGCCGTTCACGAGCTTCTTACCGTCCTGCCTCGAGGCCGCGGTGCACAACACGCTCGCAGCCGAGCCGCGCGCGCCGCCGCTCCCGCCCGCCATGAACCGCAACCACCTCAACCTGAACCTCACCGAGGAGCTCAGGCGCCTCCCGACCAAATCCCAGCGCGAGGAGGAGCCGTACGATACCGTCGAGAGCCCGCCCCCGGTCGATGGCGGGGAGGACGGCCCGCTGGAGTGGGACTGGGACATTGAACACGAAGACCGCAAGCGCGAGGCCGCCGCGGACGCGACCTTCCTCGACGCGTCGCCCTTTCAGGTGGATAGGCGGGTGCTGAAGGATGTTGTGCGCGAACAGATGTCTGTGGATGTGGGGCGGATACAGTTCCTCAGCGCTGGTGAGTGGCGCGCATCTCTCGCGGGCGATGCATGGGCTGACCTCGCGCGCAGGCACGTTTCACAAGGTTAGTGCGTGTCCCACATCCTTCTACCATCCATCGGTGCACCCCTCCGTACCACCCTCTGCCCTGCTGATGACGCTGGGTCCTTGGAGTCACCGCTCGGATCCTGGGTCGCGTCTTGACCGAGTCGGGCGTAGATCACAATCATGACTCCCCCCGCTCTCGACCGCGCCCTCGACCGACCTCCTACCCCTCTGCCCTATGCTTCATACCCCCTCGCCGTCCTCACTAAATCCTATACCCAACGTCGCGAACCTTATCCCTATCCGACTGGTCTGGTCATCGGGCATTCTGTCTCTAGCGGAGGCCGGGCGCGTTCCAATCACATGCCATAACTCTATTCTCCCTTCCTTCTCTCTCGCACCACATCTATCGGGTTTCATAGGGCTACTCGCTTCGCGCAGTGGGCGGCGTCCGTGGTGTGACCATAGATGCCCGCCTGCTTTGCGCTGGGGCGCGTGAAGCGGGCCAACGGCATGTCCTATACTTGCGACCATCCACTCAATCCATATCTCCATCCACTCATCCACTCAATCCTATCTCCCCCTCCCCGCTCAAAGAGTCTATCTCCCCCGCGCGAAGTCCTTCTTTCATCTTCAATAATCCCTTCGGACCTTCTCCCTCTATCGTGCCTCTTGCATCGTGATTGCCTATTCTTGCGACCAGTGTTGATTGTGTTCGTCATGCGACTGACGCCACATTCATCTTGCTACCTATTCCCAATGCATCCGTCTGGCGTTCTTACCCACCCACCGAATCTACCTTGTGCCCAATGCTGATCACACCCACCCACAGGCCTACCTGGTGACCCTCCAGAACCGCCGTCAAATAATCGCACGCGTAGCACGACGATTCATGCCGCGACTCAAGACCGAGTCTGAGGTCGCGACGATGGACTATCTGCGCACCTTCACCAACATCCCCGTTCCCGACGTCTTCTACTACGACTCGAACCCGTATAACCGACTTGGAGGGGAGTACATCCTGATGTCGAAGGCGAAGGGCATCCCGCTCTCCCGAGTGTACCATGGGCTGAGCTACAAGGAGCTCGTGGGCCTGCTACGCAATATGGCGCACCTACTACTTCCACTATTCGCCCACCGCTTCCCAAAGCTGGGATCCTTGTACTTCGGGCCGGATCCCATGGCGTCTACCTCCTCGGCCACGGCCACGGACAACGCCAACGCCAACGCCAATCCGCCCTCCGCGAAACCGCGCTCCTCCGCGCACCGGCACTACGCCGGCGTGCCCTTCTCGCCGACGCTCACGCCGCGCTTCAACTCGCCCGAGTTCCACGTCGGGCCGATCATCTCGTGGCCCTTCTTCGGCTCGAACCGCGGTGACCTGGCGCACCCGCACGAGCTCGACCGCGGCCCGTGGGCGTCGACGCGCGCGTACCTCGCCGCGTGCGTCGCGCGCGAGATCAGCGCCGTCGTGCGCGAGAACGAGGGGAAGAGCGCGCCGCATCGGCTGCACCTCGACCCGGACGAGATCCGGAGCTCGCGGCACCACCATCTAAGGGCGGTGCCCGGGGACGAGAGCGACGACTCGGACGAGTGGGACGCGCAGGAGAGCGAGGACGAGTGGGAGGGGCCGGGGGATGCGATGTATAGGGATTATAGAAGGATGCAGCGGAGCACGTTTTTGATCGCGCATCTGAACCGGCGGGTGGAGGAGGTGAGGAGGGAGATGGAGCGGTGGATGCGGGTGATGGAGGGGCTGCTTGGGCGGCTGTATGGCGGGGAGGGGCAGCCAGAGGGTGTGGAAGGGGAGGGGGAGGAGTTCGGCCTGGATTGCCATGATTTGAGTTTGGAGAATGTATTTGTGGATGAGGTGGATCATACGAAGATTGTGCGTTTACCTCCTCCCATGGCAACCATGTCCGCCGCTCACCTATTTCTCAGACCTGCATCATCGACTGGGAGAGCACGACGACGCGGCCGTTATGGGCGTGCACGCACATGCCGGCGTTCCTCCAGGCGAGCCCCTTCACGGCGAACCTGTTCCGCGAGATCGTGCGCAAAATCGCGCTCGCCGTGCCACCTACCCCGCGCTCCGTCCTCCAGCCCCGCGCGCGCCCACTATCCCGCCAATCCTCACAGGCGAACGGGCAGATGCTGCAGCCCTCGATCTCGCGCGCCAACACCTTCCCGCCTCCGCCGCTCGCGATGACGCCTACTTCGGCCACCGCTTCTACCTTCAACACCGACCACCCCTCCGAAAGCCAATACCCCCGCTTCCGCCTGCCTGTGTCAGAAGCTGATCTCGCTGCCCTCGCGCGCGAGTGGATCGCGTTCGAGCAGGCTGGGGCGCGGCTGCGTCTTGCGCACCGCTGCGTCGAGTGGGACGGGTGGGAGGAGGGGCTGGTGGATACGATCCTGGGCCCGGAGGACGCGGAGGAGGAGTGGTATAAGGACACGGAGGGCGAGGGGGAGGGGAGGGATGGGAGCACGACGGCGGTGTTCAGCCCGGCGCCGGAGGTGGGGCAGGGGTATGGGCAGCTCCATGCGCCAGCGAGCGAGCCGCCGTTGCCTCTGCTCCCTCGACAAGGCGACTCGCAACCAGCGCCCGTCGCGAGCACCGCGCCGGTCCTCCAGCGGCGGAAGCCGTCGGCGAAGCTGCCGTTCAAGCAGGAGAAGGAGAAGGAGCAGATGCTGGATATGACCGGCGATATCTGCGGCGGGCGGGGCGGGGAGCTGGGCCGGCGGCTGGAGGCGTGGCTGACGGTGAATGGGAACGGGGACGGGCAGGTGGAGGTGGGGAGGAAGTGGCGGGGAGGGGAGGAGGAGGAGGCATAGTAGGGGGGCGGGCGTCTTGGTGTGCCTCTGCTTCGGACATGCTACCCATACCCCTAACGCGCTCTCAACGGACCGGGCGTCCGGCTCCCTGGACCTCGCGCCGCCGACTCGAAGTATAGAAATCAGTGTACAATCCCGCCATCGTTTCTTTCTTTCCACCCGCACGCACATTGCACACGCATCTACAGTTGTACTTATTTACTCTTACATGGTTCCCGAGATAGACGTACGAAGTGGTAATGCTTGTAGGATAGGCTCCAATGCACGAATGCATCTTTCCAAATTGGTCGCGTCCGTTTGAGAACTTGGAAGGCCAGGTTCCGGAGGCCACGTTGGTGCTATTGTTGTAGAAAAGGCAATAGGTATGCGTGATGTCACACCCCGTGGGAATATTATGAGGGTCAAAGCACGCGGCTGCTGGCATTGCTCTTGTTCCCATCGCTCACTCATCTTCTAACCTGCTGCAGATAAATCACGTCAACTTTCCGCCATGGACGATGATTACTTCCATGAACTAACCCTCAGCGAATTCTGGGGCACATGCGTCGAGCCCAATGGCTATAAACGTGTATCATTGTACGAAGTGGCATGGATCATCAGCAGCCTCAAGACAGAAGGCCACATCATGCCTAAAGCAGGCCGCTGGAAGCAACTGGTCAATAGCAAGACTCCTCTCTCCAAGCGATTTGGTTCCAGGCAGGCGCAAGTGGCAAACATCGTTGAGGCTGTCGTCGCTGCTGCTGCCGCGAACATGGGCGGTAATTTCATCGGAAACCCGCGACAGTGTCTCTACCAGGGCCGACACAGCGCCGAGCTGCTATCGGAAATTCCATCCGACATCTACCACTTCGACGCGATCAGCTACAAGGCCGAGTCGTCCTGCATGCATGGTACGCGCTCCGGCTGCGCCCGCCATACCACGGTACTGTCGACGAGGGACGTCCGCGCGATCAGCACCGCCGACGTGCTTGCGTCGTGGCATATCATGCTCGAGCCTAGCCCGTGTCCCGAATTATACGGTTGCGTGAGTGCTGCTTACTTGCGTTGGGTCCCCGCTCTGCTCACGCACAACCGCAGCCCAAGGAAAAGACATTCAGGGTCGCAAGACATCTCTTATCTGCCGATCTCCGTCGAACATGCCACTACTCGATCACGCTCGAAGGCACGACCGCGCGGCTCTGGCGCTACTGCCACTCGTGGGCGATCTACAGCGAGCCCTTCGACATCAACAAGGTGCGTGGGCAATAAAATCGCTGCGCGCGCCGGACTGACGACATGTAGAACAAGGAAGAATTCATCCAGTGGATTCTGTTCACCTCGTACGCAAGCGACACTCAACTTGGGCTCGACCCAACGGTGACCCGCGTTGTGGACAAGGACGGCCAGTGGCAATACCAATTCGACGTCCTCACAGAGGACAATATGGTCCGTACCTATCAAACCATCAGGACGCTCTCACCCAAGAGGTACGCCGACTCTCCCTTCGACCGCGCCATGCACGTCTTCGAGGTGCGGCGTGTCACGACAAAGGGACACGGCGACTCGTTCTCGACGGTCGACACGAGCACGTATGCGCTGCAAGACTACTGGCGCTCCGATGTAGAGAGCCGCAATTCCGAGACGCGCTCGCAGCGCGAGCTGTACGCTGCGCTGAAGGCGCACACGAGCTCTGCGGACGAGTTGCGCGAGGTGTGGGGGCATTTCATGGAATTCTTGGCCGACGGTGTTGTCAAATGGGAGGACATGGACGCCTGCGCCCCAGCGCCTGACACACCAGCTGTGCCCTTCAATTATGAGGAAGACAATTTCCCCAGTGAGTCCGAGGAAGCCGACAGTGACAGCGACTCCGATCAAGGGGAGGCCTCTGGAGACTCAGCCAAAATTTCGACCAGCGAATCTTGCGAAGAAGGCTCCGAGTCTGATCAAGTGGACAACGGTTCTGTCGAGCGCCTGCGCCACCGGACGCTTCATGCGCACGTCTGTGTCGATCTATATCACGTCGACGAGCCGGCGGTGTTCTTCTTTGCCCTCGACAAGGCTGTTTTCGGTACGTCGTCTATGGTCCTCGGCCGTGAATCTTCATCTTCTTGTCCCCGTACTGGACTCCTCTGCCTCATCACGCAGGCGTTCCTTCCGTTCCGTTCACCCTTCTCACATGTATCCTGACAGTGCTCTCTTGGCTGCGTCGAGTCGGGTGGCTGCACCGCGACATCAGTTCGGGGAATCTCATGCTGCGTCGCCTTCTCACTACGTCCACCGACGCGCCCTTGCACGAGAGGTATCAACTGAAGCTTCACGATCTCGAGTTCAGTCTGGAGTACTCCAAGACTCCACAACCCGACGACGGCGTGGTATGTCCCTCTTGCTTTCCTCCGTTTGCTAGACCACCTCACGCGCTTTTCCAGGGAACGAACGACTTTGTGGCGGTCGAGTTGGCCACGCAGAAGTATATGTTCGCACGCACCGCTGAGCCATCCGCACGCCCGAAGACTTGTGCATCAACAAGACCATCAGATCCGCTCGCCCTCAACATCACTTTCCATCGCAACTTTTTCCACGATCTCGAGTCCACAGCCTGGATGGCTATGGAGTTCGCCCTGAGCTTCGTACCCCGCCGAAGAATGCAATCGGACGATTGGCCGTCTCTCTGGCATTACTTGATCCGCTCGATGTTTGATTTGCGCGGCGCGCTCTTCCCAAAATCGCGCACAGACAGCGAGTTTCGCGTCGAGATGCTCACCGAGCCTGCGACCAGGCAAGACGTCGCGAGGGTACTACGGATTTTGTATGGTCCGGACTCGCCTATCCCGAAGCTACCGGATCTCTTTGCCAAGCTGCGCGAGGCGTACGACGGCGTGGAAAACAAGCTCAACGACTCGGATGTGCCCATCGGCGACGGTGGCGTGCCGTCAGAACGGCGCCTGCCGGCGTCGCTGTTTGAGGACTACGCGGAGATCTACGACGTGTTCCGCGCGACGTTCCAGGAGATCTCGGACTTCTACGCTGCGGACGAGGGAAAGAAGCCGCTGGTCGAGCTGGACAAATTCGCGGACAAGATGCTCGACGAGGCAGATGTGATGTACTCCGATGCAGAGTCATCGCAAGGGCAGCCTGAGGACACCATGGAGCCATCGAGGGTGAAGGATGTGGAACAGTCGCCAAAGTCAGGGGATGTCGAAGAGTCACCCGAAGCGGAGGATCCCGAAGCGCCCGCGCAAGAGGGTGAAGCAACGACGAACAAACGCAAAGTGCTCGATGGCTCGACGATCAAAATTCGTCGCCCAAAGCGTGCGCGGAAGTAGCACAGGTGCATTTACCGCAGGCTTTGGTGAGTAGCGTTATGAGACGACGAGGCTCGGACATACGTTCTTGAGAGATTTTTGAAAGTAGCAGTCAGCTCGTTTCACTGGATCCCGTTTTGTATCTTGTCTATAATGACCTGATCGGACATGCCATGCGGTCGACAATTGTTCAGATGCCTGTCCAGAGTGAGCACGCGCCTTCATTTTGAGCGGTGAAAGGACGAGGAATGTGCGGCTCTTCAGCGCCCATTCCGACAAAATATCCTATGAGATGAGAGGCCACATGCACAACACGCACTATGCCACAGACTCGCCATTCTCGCAATCGTAAACCTTGCCAGCGACGTTCGGACAAATCGCATTCGAGATGTCTGCCTGGTCGCCTTCCTTGCTGTCAGTAGGGACGAACACTAGACGATAGTATGCGTTCTCTCGTAAATATCTTCTTGGCGCGTCTTCTTCTTATTGGCGTTGTTGAAGCTGTCTAGTGGGCACATATGTGATAACATGAGCGTTGTGGACAAGCGATCCATGTTGACGAATGTTTGCCAGCAGCGGCGTATCACTTGACTTTCGGAACTTGCCGACGTCCCGGTTCGCCAGCCGCATCTCTCTCTCCCCCACCATGGACAATACTCATACAGCGACACCATCGCTCCCCGCGTTAATATATGGCACACAATATCCCCCTCTCTGAGTTCCTGTTCAATTCGCTCAGACCTTGTCTTCGAATATCGGCGTAATTTCAGATTCAAATATCGCAGTCGATGCGTACCGTCCTCCTCGGTGATGCCGGCCTCGGACATCCCACGACCGCGCGGCACGCGCGAATTGAAATCTCATGAACGTGAATTGCGCCGTCGACTCAGGGACGCGTTGAACTTGTTCCTGACCCTCTAGGACGGAGACTGGGCCACTGTCGTCGTCGGGTATAAACAGCGACGAGGTCACCTCGAGTAGCTCTCCTCCCTCGAGTTTCCCCTGCGCCCCCATCTTCCCTCGTCAACCAGTCAAGGCAGGATGATCAGTGTCGTAGTGGGTGCCCTCCTCGGTGCCGCGGGTTTCGCGCAGGGCTCCCCTGCCACCAAGCGCGCGTCTGGTGGGACGCTCGACATACAGGTGAGTAGACTTTGCCTTGAAGACACGCCTGGGGGGCTAAATCGCCCGCGCACAGGCGCATCGCGGCGGAAGGGGAAACACGGTCGAGAACGTGCTTCCCAGCTTCGCTTGGTGAGCGCGTCGTGTCGATGCGTCCTCGCACGTTCGCCATCGCCGGGAGCGCCTCAGCTAACGCGGAGCTCGCTACTTTAGGGGCCTGATTGACGGCGCGAGCACGCTCGAGCTCGATAATGGCATCACGAAGGTGCGTCCGACGCGCTTGCGCGAACGAAGTTGGGGAGCTGACCCCGCACAGGATGGCCACGTCGTCGTATGGCACGACGAATGGATAGACGCGGGCAAGTGCCTCGACACCGCTCCCGTGGTACGTTCGGCCACCTGACTCTATATGCCTAATTGGACTGCATGCCTTACCTTGATTGCATGCTTGACTTCTGGCTACTGGGAACGACGCACACGCGCCGCCTGCTCAGATCTGTGCTCACCGTGTGCTGCAGGAAGCTGATGACCCGGACTACCCATATGTCGGGAAGCTCATCAAGGACCTGACGCTCGCGCAGCTGAAGACGCTGGACTGCGGGACTTTGTCGCAGGCCGAGTTCCGTGAGTCCCTGAAGTGATGGCAGAAACAGTGTAGTATGAACATGCACGAACCCAGCCGACCAGCGCACGTATCCCGGGACCAAGCTCTCGACGCTCGGTATGCATCGATTACTGCCCCCCTCGATCCTCTTTTAACAAAGATGTGGACCGACAGGCGAGCTCTTCGACTTCGTCTCCTGCGTCGACCCGGCGCGCACCGTCAGCTTCAACATCGAGTCCAAGGTGAACCACACCTTGGTCACCGGCTATAACACGAAGGGCGTCAATGCGTTCGTCACGGCGCAGTATGCGGAGTTCCAGAAAAGCGGGTATCTGGATAGGATCACCGTAGGTCACTCTTCGCTCTGCGCATACAACGTAGCTTGACGAGCATCTTTTGATAGTACCAAAGCTTCGACTGGCGCACATTGATTGAGATGCAAGTGCTGCATCCTGGGGTCCGCACATCCGCGCTCATCAGCAGGCGAGTTGCATCCTTTTCACGCAGATTCTTCCCTGGTCTCACCCGATATTTCACTAGCCTGAACGCCTACATCGGCACGCCCTACCTCCCCATCGACCTAGGCGGCATCCTGGCCGACTCCATCACTGAGGCCGCGATCATTGCCGCCGCCACCCTCGGCATCGACATAGTCAGCCCGAAGATTGACGCCGTCAATGACGGTACGCGCGCGCTCGTCAAGCTCGCGAATGGCTTGGGCAAACCCGTGCTGCCGTGGACGGTCAACGATGTCTCGGTCGCGCAGGATCTGATCGAGCTGGGCGTGCAGGGGATCATCACGGATTATCCGGATAGGGTGAGAGAGCTCGCGGATGATCTGGGCGTGGAGGTGGTGTCGCCGTTGGGGGAGGGGAATGCGGTGAAGTGGCCGCAGGATAAGGTTCTAGCGTGTCTGGATCAACATTTGGCACTGCAGGGATGAGTCCGGCGTTGGCGTGAGCCAATTCAGGTAGGTAAATGACAGGCTACCTCGTATATCTCAAATCCTACGAATTTGCGCGTCGTGAGCATTTGCAAGGGCCAAATATTTGTTCGGTGACGTGCCCGGTCCGAACTGGCCGGGCCGCGTTTAGCGCCGGGCGCCAATGACACCGCTTTTGACTACGACGAGCAGGTTGCACTGCGACCAGCCTTACTGACTGCGAGACGGTGTCTAAAAACAACAAAATTTTGGCCCCTCAGACTCCCTGCATCTTCGCTTTCGCCTTACGCTTTTGTGACTTGGACGCACGCCCCTTCGGCGCCCCAGCCTTGTAGGACAAAGGAGAGGGAGTCACCCAGATACCCCTGTCTCCAACCCCGACTTGAACGCAGCTCGGCAGCTTACGCAGACCTCACCATGGCATCTGCATACTACGAGTTCTACCGGGGCTCTTCGTACGTCGCGCCCCGTGTTGCCTGAACTCGAAGCTCAAGGGGCACGCGCCCAGCCTCGGCATGGCACTCACGGACTCCCTCGACGAGCTCATCACGAGCGGGGCGATCACACCGCAGCTGGCGATGAAGGTGCTCCAGCAGGTGCGTGGGCGGTGCTATGAGGGGAGATACAAGGGTTGATCGACACGCCTTTGTAGTTCGACAAGAGCCTGGCGGATACGATGGCGAACTCGCTGCGGGCGAAGGCGACGCTGAAGGTGCGTATATGCTATCAGACTCCTGGCAGAACATGGCTGAACGCCGCGTCCCATCCCCTCCTTGTCACGGTCTCCCTTCGTTCACGCACGTCCACGCCACCGCCGTCATCCCGATTCCACAACACGCTCGTGCTCCTCCCAGGGTCATCTCAAGACCTACCGTCTCTGCGACGATGTCTGGACATTTGTGGTCAAGCAGCCGGTAGTAAAGCTCGAGAGCTCCGACTTGATCTCCACCGAGAAGATCAAGATTATAGCGTGCAAAAGCGGGGACGCGATAGAAGCTGGGAGGAAGTGATGCTACCACACTAGAGGCCACTAGAGGCTCATGGAGGGATTGCGCGATGAATGGAGTTCTTCATGCAGAGGTTGGCCCCAGGAGGAAACAAATTGCTCACCTACAGTACGCCCACTGAGCTCACGGTTCACGTCCATACTGTACTTCTAGTAATCGTCAAATATACCTTCTTCCTCTCCGTCAAACATCCTTCGCTATGGCTTGACTATGTCGGCTGTTCTTTTCACAACCTCCAGTATCGTTGGCTTTGCTACGTGTCTGGACTCTGAACCGTACTGGGTCGTTGCATGGCTAGGTCTAATAAAAGTTCATCTTATCTCCGAGAGTCTGAGAGTATTTCCATGCTCCTATGATACTCTCTCAATAGATTTACTTGTACACAAGGAGAGCAAGTTCAACTGTCACGAACTTGTCACAGTCATGCCGAGATGCCGCACGCTGCCGATCATGCCGAGAGGCAAAGCGGCGTCAACAATGCACACGATCAAGGCCGTGTGTGCTCCCCGTCGCCCGCATCCTCAAGAACACCCGCCCGCCGCCAAAGTGAGTGTCCTCGCCGTCTGGAATGCTGTCGGAACGCCCTACGGTCCTTCTCTATGTCGAAATGCCCGACGAGAGTGCCCGCGATGCGTCGGATTGGCGTTTGCACGGTCGGATACCGCAAAGATTTCCGATCGGGCGACTTCCCTCAATCGTATCCCGACTTTGCAGCCATACCTACCCAGACCTTCCGACGAAGAGCACTCTTGCTAACGACCGCCTCGTAGAATGTCTTTCGTGGAGTACCAGGTCGTGGGTCGCCACCTGCCCACCGAGCAGGACCCGAACCCCAAAATCTACCGCATGCGCATCTTCGCGCCCAACGAGGTGGTCGCCAAGTCGCGGTTCTGGTACTTCCTTCGGTGCGTCCCCTTCCCATTCCACTACACCTCCCTCGCTAACCCCCTTCCAGCCAGCTCAAGAAGGTCAAGAAGGCCTCCGGCGAGATCATCGGCGTCAACGTCGTTAGTACCCCCTCTCCCCTTTCTACCCACCGTAGATCTCCCGGTAGCCCTCAAGAGGCAAGCCGTATGGGAGTACTGACCTAGGTTCCTCCTCGCCCGCTAGATCCACGAGAAGAAGCCGCTGAAGGTGAAGAACTTCGGTATCTGGCTCCGCTACGACTCGCGCTCCGGCACGCACAACATGTACAAGGAGTTCCGCGAGCTCTCGCGCACGGCCGCGGTCAAGAGCCTCTACCAGGACATGGCGGCGCGCCACCGTGCCCGCTTCCGGTCGATCCACGTATGTGGTGCGATTCCGGTGATCGAGACGGTCGGACTGACGCATACATGCAGATCCTCCGCGTCGTTGAGGTCGAGAAGTCTGAGGACGTCCGCCGCCCGTACATCAAGCAGCTCATGGTTCCGGACCTCAAGTTCCCCCTCCCCCACCGCGTCAACAAGTACAAGTCGACGTTCATCGCCCACCGCCCGGCCACGTTTGCGTAAGCGCGCGTCTGAGGTATGTGCGGTCAGTGCGAGGTCTGTACTGGCCGGTGCTGGCTTTATGGTGGCGTCTTTCCTGGCGGTAGTGTACGATTACATGTCCATGTACGTCCCTAGTTGACGGGGCTCCTATGCTATATGTATGCGCATGCTTGCTATGTCACTCTCATCTGTGTGGAAGTCCGAGTTGAGTTGTGTCAGGATCATGCTTGTTGAGCTATCGATTGCTGAAGATTATCCACTTCGCTGCCTCAACCGCGTCCTTCGCTTGAGATGCGAGATTGGCGAACGCCTTGGGCGGACCAGGTCGCACGTCCTTCGCAGGTCTGCTCGTCTGTTTCAAGCTGCTTGTCGCTGCGGGAGAATCGTCACAAGGCCGCCTTCATGCATCGAATTAGCATCACTGACTACCAGGATTGCTAACCGCCCGCTTCGCGGCCAGCGACCGCTCCATCTCCTCGAACGCATTACGCGAAATATCGATCGGGCGCTCGACCTTCGCCGCCTTCGAGGCTTTCTCCCGTAACCGCTCCGGCCACTGTGACTCGGGGACGCCCATCTGGACGAGACCGGTGCGAATGGAGGTGAGGGAGTCCTTGTAGGCTTGCAACGCTTCTTCGTAGAGGTCGTACACGCAGACGGCGCAGCCGGACATGCAGCACTCTGAGCGGGGGGGTGAGTCAGTGAAGAGAGTCTGGCGGAAGGTAAGAAGACGCACCATCCGCCTCGGGGGGCCGAGGCTCGTCGGGGATGACATAGCCCTTGAACGTCTGCGTTGCGCCCTGCTGCGTCGCCAGTCCCCCGCCGGCTTGCGTAGGGTCCTCCTCTCCGCCGTGCGCGGGGTGGTCCTCGCCGCCTTCCCCCTCCTCAAGGTACTCGTCGAGATCCTGCTGCAGCGCCTGCTTGCTCCGCACGGAGCGCTCCAGCCGGCGGTAGCGATCGGAGAGGTTCTGCCCACCCTGGCTGCGCTTGAGGCGGTCTATGGCGCTTGTGGGGTGCGCACCGCCGGTGTCGTGCTGTGTAGACTGGCCGGAGGTGGTGGACGCATGCCTAGCCGTTGCAACTGAGGAAAGAAGGCCGGTGCTGCATCGCGTGCACGTCGATTGCACGTTCCGACTGAGGGATTTCTTCAAGGCATAATGTCGGCCAACATTGCGCAGCGCTAGGGAGACGAGCATGAACGCATAACTCGAGCTTTGCGGTAGGCTCGGAAGTAGACACGGTGGTAGGAGGCAAGGGTGATGACGGAGGCAATCAATTGTTCCCCATTCGTCATCAAGACAGGGTCACGGAAAGTTCAACCGTGACACGACAGCTTATGCTCTTGAACTTGGTTTCCAGCACCTCAGATCTTGTCATGGTCTGCACGGACAGAGCACACGGGAAGACAGATTGTTTCTGCCGTAATGCGCATTCCCTCAATCTCGGAAATACACATGCGGACCCTTCCCCTTCCCTCTCTTCGACGTACTTGCGCGCGGGTGCTCTTCGCCCACTGCAGACGCCAACGTCCGACTCTCCGCGCCAGACGAGAACGTCGACAGCTGCACTGGCGGCGTTCTCCAGTGATCTCTCCTCAAGTCCTCATTCGCCGCGGCCGTCCACTCCAGGCCAGTGTCGCTTGAGGTCGAGGTTGTCGCTCCGCGTGTGTCCGACGAGTCAGTAGACATCGGATTCGAGCCAAAAGCTAGCTGCGAGGGCGCCGTCGACTCGATCGCGCGACCGTGGTCGGTCTTGATGATGTCCTGCCCGATCATGGAGCGGAGGTGCAGGATGAAGCGCGCGGTGAGCATGCCGGAGAAACTGGGAAACATGATTTGAGTACACAGCTGAAGTCCAGGTGCAGCTAAGTGCCTCACGGAAGGGTCAGTGCGCTCGGTATTCGCCTGATAGGGTGATCCATCTGCCCAGCGAAGCTCAGTAAATGCCTACCACTCCCAGCGCAATACGCCTCACCGGAGCTTTCTGTAGAGAAATTCTGACTTGAGAATAAATAAAAAAACGTCACTGCATACGCACGTAGTTGATCACAGCCGAAGACATGGTGAACAGCGACACGAAGCTGTAGGCTCATTTCAGCTTTGACCGTACCTCGGCCATCGTCCGGCCGTCGTGTATGGGCAGTACTAACTCACCAGTAGTACATGAAGCCCTCCTTCGCCAGGACCAAAAAGACGCTATTGTGTTGCGTTCCCAGCCCGTTTCGTCGGTCTGCTCGAATGACGGGTATACAGCGCCATAATGTCAGGAAGGTGGAGATAAACTCGAAGGCGACGACCAGGATGACGAGTGCGTCGTTGGCTATACAGGAAAATCAGCTTTAGAGGCCCTATTGTTGTACGTCGGACCCCCATACCGCTGTGAGAATGTAGTCAGAACTATGTTCGCCGAAGTTGGTTAGTACGCACGCATGGCTAAATCTCGCGCCTGTACACGCTACACCAGAGGTCTCATACTGAATATTCACGCAGTCAGTCAGAGCGTCTTACGCAGAATTGACGAGCTGCGTACGCTGTCAATTGCGATGACGGTGACCGTCATGCTTCCCAAAAACGCCAAGATATATGGACTACGCTCCCATACTGCCCACGTTCGCGCCGACCAGGTTACTAGACGACACGGTTAGCTGGTGCCAATGCATCCGGAAAAAATCGAGAGCTCACCGAGCACCGCCCCTCGCCCCACGACGCCTAGAGCCGACAGGGACATGTACGTGGAGTCGCAGCTGTATCACTGAATGAGTTCGACAGACGGCCGCATGTCCTCAAGCTCACTGTCGAAGAAGAGGTCAGCGATCCCGACCCTTAGAAAGAACGTGCGCCATCTCTTTCTGCAGCCTCTAGCCGCTCATCCGCTCATCACGGAGGGCCCCACCTCTCAGTGAGCGCCCAACGAACACCACCACGCCACGAGACGCTCGATTACATAGCTTGAAATGAACAGCTTACCTCGTGTATGTGGCCCGAGATAGCAAGCAGATAGAGCACATTTGCAGCGAGCGCGTAGCGGCAGCAGACGTAGAGGATCGTCGTGAGCCCAAAGCGCCTTCGCCAGATGTACTGTACCTCCCGAGAGAATGTGAGGGCGTAATCGTAGTAGAGGACGGCTTGACGGGGAATGGTTTGGTCTTCCGCGCGAACCTACGTGAGGTGAAGACACTCACCTATGCTGGACCACTGGACGCAAAACTGGATGAAGCTGGCGCCACCGCAGCTAAGCCCAACTAGTCAACACGCGAGAGGACCATTTCTACGCACTGCTTATACTCCGGACTCGCAGGCATTGCGCGCAGCGTCCTCACCCGGTGGGCGACAAGGAATCGGGGGCCGTCAAGAACGAGAGAAGGTGGGAGGCTACGCGAAGAAGCTCAAGCACCGGCGATATGTATCACAGCTTGTCAGTCTATCACAGCTAGCACAACGCGTGGCGGAGTCCCGCACAGCCCATGAATGCGTCTGGAAAAGAGCGTGCGTGGGCGCTACGCGCCCCCATCCTTCTCCATGATGCCATCGGGGGACGTAACATTCGAACTCGGGGCAATGTCGATGTCACTTGATGCTGCATCAGCGCCCGCCTTTACCGCCCGCGGTGGCTTGGCATTCGGTGGAGGCGACCACGATGGGCGCCGATAAAAGCTTGTACGATGCATTGATGGCCTGAAGATCAAGGGGAAGTTGATGACTAGCTCATGCTCGAAGGAAAACACTAGCAGTCTTCGTTCGGGAATTGCCGTTCAATCCTCGCGATCATCCGCTGTTCAAGAGTCGAATGTGCACGCTCGTTGCGGGGACTGTCTGGTTTCATAAAGTCAATAAGTTGCATGTAGCGACATCAAGGTCGGAAAAGTCCTCCGGACGGAATGGATTCCGACCGCAAAGTGACCAGAGGGTGCAGACTATATGAAAGTATAACATACCAGCTACAGTAGCTATACGAGAAAATACGAAGGGTATCCAGCGAAGGGAGTTTGAGATTAATACGCTGTCAGTGCACACCCTTGCGACGGTGGGCACGCTTGTGCTGCCGCACCGCGCGATGGTGCAGAAGACCCGGGTCAGAATTGAGATACTCAATTTGCTCTTGACGATACGTGTCGGGGATGCTGCCCAGATTCGTTCCGTCAAGCTGCATGACGACCTGGAATTTGCTCGCTTAGCGACGCAGGTATGACGCTGTGAGAGCAGGACGCTACCTTGTTGTCCGATGACCACTGCGGCCATTCCGCGCGGGCAACGCCCAGCCCATCGTTCGGCGTCAGGCTTGTCGCGAAGGAGAGGTAATAGTCCATAATCTGCGAGCTCAAGGTCCACGACGATTGGGGTGATCCGTCTGGTATGCGGTAGTACATGTAGTCGACGATGGCGCCGTGTGGCACTGTGGTCGTCAGTTTTGACATCGCGCGTCGACAGATGGGAAATGCACATACCACCTACGCGAGGCTCGGCGTCGATTTGAGGATCCGTGAAGAGGTAGCCGTACGACGCGACATCGTCGGCAGCGGTCTGCTGCTGCCACAGACGACGCTGCGACTCGAAGTTGATGTCACCCACTTTGCGATCGCGATATGTCAATCTCGGCGCGTAGAAGGCAAGCACCCCAAACAAAGACTCACTCATGGATGCTAGACGCTTGTACTGGGGACTCAACCCGAAGGTCTCGTTTCCGGTATTGTATGGCGATCCCAAAGACGGGTCATTCGGGTACAAGTCGAGGATCTTGCTGATGTGCTTGTCGAGTTGCACAGAATTGTAACCCTCCAGCGTCGGCGTCTCCGCGGCGTTCAGCACCACGCGCACCTCCGCGTCGTTCTTCACGAAGGTCGGCGTGAAGCGCGTGCCTTAAAGAGGTCAGATACGCTCATGGGAGCGAGAAAACACAAGCCCTACCGTCGTCGAGATGTGTGCCAGCAATGAAAGGCACGTGCGCGTATGCGCCGGAGGCCCAGATCCGTGAGGGCAGGTCCGGGAGTATGTCGCTGTCGAAGTTCGGGAACCAGCCCCGCGAGGTGTCCGGGACGACCTGCCACGTCGCGTTCATAATCGCGCCGGTATCTGCGCTCTGCAAGCAGTCCAGCGCGTTCGCGTATGTCCATCCGCAGCCTGCCGCGTCGACGAAAGACTTCCACTGATCCGGATTGGTGGTCGCCTTGTTCAGCGTACTTGTCGCGGCAAATCCCGACTGGAAGATTGCGGCGCGGATGTAGTTGGTGAAGGAGCTGTGCAGCGACAGAATTTGGATGGTAATTGAGCCTGAGCACGTATGAGCGCCTGCATCCGACGAGGAGCTGTCTAAGCACGTACCTGCGCTGCTACCCACAGCGGTAACCTACACTCAGTCAGCTCGAGAGCAATCGATCCGTTACGCACATACTTTAGCAGGATCACCGCCGAAGGCCGCGATATTACGGTTGATCCATTCGAAGGCGAGCAGGGAATCCTTCAGCCCAACATTCAGCGTTCCTTTGCTTTCCATTTCTCCCCCCTTCGGGAAGCCAAGGGGTCCCAAACGATAGTTGAAGTTGACGTAGACGACAGATGTTCCCTGGTGGTACATGTCAGCGTAAGAGTGCGTCATTCATGCACATGGCTGACTCGAGAGACGCTTTGCGCGACAAGACTAGTCGCGTTGAACAGTCTTGCAGACCCGCCGTGGAAGCCGCCGCCATAGACCCTGCCAAAGCATGAGATACACGGAATGCACGTACTTGACGTTCCGGTATTGTTGAGCGACCTGTACTTACCAGACAAGCTGAGCGAATCATCAACCGATCAGAATGTGACACTCAAGATAGAGCAGCGACATACGACTGGAAGTCCTGCGCTACTGGGCGTATTCGCCGGACGCAAGACGTTGATGGTCAGGCAGTCTTCGGCCTGGTCCTCATACGCCACTCCGAGAACGTCCTATACAAAAAACATCTAGAGTGTTCGATGCGTTAGCAAAGAGCAGACTCACAGGTTGTGGACAGCCGGGTCCATAGGCAGTCGCATCTAGCATTGGCTCAGTAAGGGTCTTTGCGACCGGAGGTCGGAAGCGCAACTGCCCGACAGGCGGCTCGGCGTATGGTATGCCTAAAGGAAGAAGTCAGCAACGCTTGTCCGCCCCAGGTATGCTCGCGTACCAGCAAACCATTCTTGCGCTGCGACTCCAGATGAGATATCGGTCCCAATGAGGGTGGTGCCGTTGAGCTGCACGGACGCGGCGAGCGACAGCGCAGCTGCCTGCAAGGGTATCATAAAAGAGTGTCCGAGCCGCATCGCAAGACTGCAAGGGAGGGGAAGAGACGTGAATGAGGTGGCTCATGGTGCTCCGAGGGTGCCTCCTTATATACAGCGCTGTCTCTGGAAGATGTCGAGTTCTGCACTCGGTGCAATGAGCCCATGTCAGGACATGCTCGGGGCGGAAGATTCCTAGTGCCTGCGAGGCGCGGCAGTCCGATACGTTCAAAGAACGGGATTGGCGAGAGAAGCCAGGATGAGAGCAGCGAGCCGGGCGAAAGCCACGTTTCCTCGTGATAGATGCAGCTCGCTGCTTCCCTTTCGGGCGACCAGCATAACCCTCGCTTCGACGAGCGGCTAAAAAGCAGACTGATGAGCCGGGCCTGCAGACAAGGGATTAGGGATATCGACAGCTGAGATCGGGGATGTACACGGCGTTCGAATCCAGACGCACACACGAGGACATGGAGGGAGGAGCTAACGTGCGGAACATGTGAGCACAGGTTTGGCATTGGCGTTGATCGGCGGCAGCATTCGCGGAAACAGGTCAAGTTGAGGAGTCCATCGTGCGCTATGGAGAAAGTTGATTAGCAGAGGGTTCGTACAGATTCTCTATGCCGACCGCGGATTGTGTAAAGCCAGCTGGACTCAGTAATCGAACCTCTCCGTCGCGCGAATCATGGATTCGGCCTCTGCGCTGCGAGGAATAAACAGGGACTTGAAGGGCTTGGGGAGACTACTCGATGATGAGTGAATGGTTAGCACATGTCAAGCAGGACGTACCTTATCAAGCCGGAGATGTACTCCCTGGATGGTTCGATGACGGATCCATCCGCACGCTTGACCTTCTGGATGTCGTATACGCGAAGTACGGATGCGATAGTGATCCAAGAGGACGCGTATGCGAGCTTGCGCCCGGCGCAGATACGGCGACCGAACTGGGGAGGTCGTCTCAGTAGTCTCAAGTAGTATCGTCCGTCTACCACTTACTCCGAAGATGATGTTGGCGGGGTCGCGCACGTTGCGGTCGATCTTGCCGTTGCCATCGAGGAACCTCTCCGGCCTGAAGGTGTACGAGTCGGGGTAGACAGTCTGAGAGGACGTGTCAGACTGGGTTCAGAAACGATGATTCGAGTACTAGCCTCGTCGTGGACAATCGCCCAGATATTCGGTATGACAACGGAGTTCTTGGGGATCGTGTACTCTTTGTAGATGTCAGGCTCCTCGCCGGAGTAGCAATGCGCGAGGGCCTGGGTTACTACGTTCAGACGAGCTCCTACTCCGACTAGGAGTCACTCACCAAGGGCGTCACTGGCATATACCGCATCGTCTCCTTCACGACAGCGGTCACATATGGCAAGCGCTCCTCGTCGTCAAAGTCGGGCCATTGACCGGGCTTCAAGACTGCGTCGAGTTCATCTTGCGCGCGCTTCATGATCTCGGGGTGGTCGAGCATGGCGAGGACGAAGTTGAGGATGGTGCATACGGTCTAAGGGAGTCGATGAGCTCGCATCAAGGCATAATCACGCAAGGGGAGGAGCGCACCGTATCCGTCCCACCCTGATACATAGTCGCGGCCGCGTCCTTGATAACATCCTCCTCGACCGCCTTCTCCAATGCGAGCGCTGTGAAGGATGTCGGGAAGGGCGAATCGCCAAGCTGGGGCCATGGTCGTCAGACTTGTGTTGACTTCTTACCCACTGATAAGACGCACCTCATCGTTCTTCACCTCCTCAAACGGCTTGTCGACCATATATCGCGCCTCCGCCTTCCACTCGCGAGCCTGGCGCTTGAAGTCCGCGCCTATATCAACGATCATAAACGTCGTTCATCCTTGCGCGAGCGCAAAGCCCTCAAAAAACACCCCATCAAGTGGACTCACCCGGAACCCACTCCGGTACATACTTCAGCGCCGGTACGCTATTCACCAGATACGCGCCCTGATTCGAGGTCAGAGAGAAGCTGTGCATCGCCGCTTCGGCCGTGAGGACGTGCGGGTCGTCCTTCGTGCGGATGTTGAGGCCATAGGTGATGCCGAGGACGATGAAGGCGGCCATGCTGGGTAGATTCCGTGAGGTGAAGTACAAGAAGGGGAGTGGTAGTGGTGCGCACTGTCGAAGCTCCGGCTCGAGGCCATCCTCTCCTGCGTTGAGCATAGCGCGAAGGAAAGCGTGGGTCGCTTGCAGCTCGATAGGGCGGAAGCGCTTAATGGCGGTCTCGTGGAGTGCGCCGTGGATGAGGCGACGGCGGGCGCGCCATTTGTCGCCTGCGATCAAGCCGTCAGATAGAGACCTGGGCTTAGTGAGATGGGGATAACGTGCCGTATGGCTGGAAAGCGACGCTGAAGTCGAAGCCTACGAGCTCGATCGCCATTGTCAGTGTTGGTCTGTTGACGGGAAGATCAGCGCTGCGTCTGCTCGTACCCATTCATGCTACTGACCGGCTCGAATACACCTTGGCGCGCCTTTCAAGCAAGTCGATACAAGCCTCATACGAGCTCAGCACGACAATCGACTGCTCGACCACGTCGAGATGGATGATGTCCGTATCTTACCGATAGTGAGTGCGTCGTCGGCAAGACATCATGATGACGACTCACCCAGCTCCTTCGCCCATTTGGTGTATGTGATCCACTCATAAGTGGATGGCATGTCGAAGAGGTTGCCGACCAGAGGAAGTTTCCTCGGTCCAGGTGGAAGCGGCAGTTGATTCCGGCGACGAGCACATAGGTAAGCAATCCCAAGCGCCGCTGCCACAGCGGCGACAAGGTAGGTCATACTGAAGTCTAGCATGATGATCGGGGCTCAATGTAGAGAGAGAATTGTTCGCTTCGCTTGCGAAAGGGGAACTTCAAGGGGTCCTTGGTCGTATCAGCACTGCGTTTAAGGCGCAGCGGCATAGCTCAATGGCCGTATTGAGCGGCATAGGCTCCACGCAGATCACGCACACCAGAGCGGCGCGCCCGGTGACGAGCACAATGTATCGATTGACAGCTAGGCGGAGTATCAGTATGCAAACATCGGAGAGGACTGAAGTTCGATAACGAGAGCACTCACCTTCTCGAATACGGCGCGACCGGGAGTATATGACATCACCTAGTCAGCATTGACATGTATCCCATGAACGTCGAGTAGAATAGGAAGCCAGAGTGTAGAGCAGTGTCAGGAGGGTCCCGTCGTGCATACAGACACTGGCCCAAGATTCCCATGAAAGCGCGGGTGACGTGGCCAATCATTCATGCTCGACACTGTCATAGCCATCTTGCACGCGGTCTCCATCGTTGAGTCCGCTATCAGAGGCTACAGCGGAGTCAAACATGGTGATTTTGTTGCACATGGTGGTCATGGTCAAGACGCTGGTCTGCAAAGCTTGCGGCCGGGCCCGGCCGAGCGTCCCCACGTGCGCAATTTAGCTGCCGCTCTCTGCCTCCTGCCTTGCTCTTGCCCTCATCTTCTTTTGAAGCACAGCTCGAGGCAGCCTCGCCCACTTTACGGCGCTCAAAGTCTTCAGGAGATGTGCTCTTCTTACTATCTTACTATCAAGGCCCATGTCAGTGATGACTGCTGTCCTCCACAGTTGCGTCGCGCTCGCGTCTCACTAATGGAATCGGACGACGAGGCGCCTTTCTCCTTGCTTACGACTGCCTTTTGAAGTCTCAAAAACATAACGACAGCACCAAGTCCAGCTTGATGCTCTGCGAGGATCATGGCCCTCTAACGCGGAGGCTACTTACGATGACCTGTTCGGAGAGAGCTTTCGCACTCGCACGCCTATCCGGCAAGGGCCGTAACGCCTTTTATGGACTGAATTTTGGGTTTTCCTTGGCACCGAGGTATGCTCCCACGATTTCTTAGTACTGACCTTGAATGACAGTGCCGCTTCTCCTGGGCGCCCAAGTCGGTTTTTCGCACTCCAAGCGTGCCCGATGGTGTCGAGACCCGTATCACAACCGCAGTGCTCGTGATGAGGGAGTTTTTACTGGACCCCTTTGCCAGTAATAACTGGCCCGTGCGCTAGTCATTCTGTGCGGCCGTCGTCGACCCAATTGGGAACAATACGCAAGGCCAACACCGGTTCCCGTCACGAGCGCTTACGTGCTTCCGGGCAGAGGTACTGTGAGCAAAAATACAGGCGCCATTCCTACCACGCCGGGTGGGGATGATGACTTGGGTGGCCCGCACTGACGACCGGCGCCAGGCACTTGAGAAAGCCGCTCCGCCCGGCCCCTACAGGGGAGAGGTGACCACAGCCCTGGACCCGAAGCATTATCGGGACTGCACGACTTTATAGGCAGAGTTTTGGGTTAATTTCGATCCCGAGGGTGGAACGCTGCTCAGGACAGATTTGCTGATATGGAAACAGGCACTGTTGCGATTCCAATGAGAAGCTGAGTGTTACGAGACCTGCTCGAGCTTGCGAGAGCTCTCGTCTTACCTGACCAGGATTCATCACCATCAGACGTCCAAGCGGTACATCAAAATTATCTCCGACAGGATATGTTGGAGTCTTTTGCTAGACTCCCTATGCTTGCATTCCTCCAGTAAAAACTAGGCATGCTTCTTACTGCCCTGGGATTTGTATCCTGAGTTTTCAGGGCAGCTTGGTAGCCGGAAGCTTCGCTGCAGACAAGACCTCAACACGTGCCTATCCGGTCCGAGATTGCCTGCACAGCCTCAATCCTCGACGGGGCCTTTCAAGTCGAGATAGCGACCGTCCTCCGGCACCCAGATTCCCATAGATATCTTGAAGCACTTCTCGTGTACATAGATGTATATATCTACGTGATTGTCCCTCTCTCGCTGCGCTTCGACCTGCTGAGTCGCCTCGGGAGTTGCCGCGCGACCTTCGGGGATCGGTCCGGTACTGATCTTTCCTCTTTGTCAAGTCGTCTTCGTTGACTCTTCGACCATCATCCTCCTTCCCCCTCGCCGTCCTTCAACATCTTACGCCTTCCCCCTTCGAACTTCTTCAGGATGGTATTATTGATTTATATGCTTCTTGGCCCATTTGGCAACACAATCACAGTGACGAGACCGGCGCAAGGAGGGGGGGGAGCGGTGCGTGGTTACACCCTCTCCAGCTACAACGGTCTTTGCTAACATTTGACACGCATCTGAAATGGCGTGCGGGCGCCTACACGGATGAGCCGGCGGCACGCGCAAGGCGTCGGTCGCCTTGCCCCTGCCATATCAGCCCTCAGAAGTTATTCTGAAGGCGAATGGAGATCGCTTGAGGCGCGGACAGCGCCTCAAGCAACTCTTTTCACAATTTGCGGCCAGGCGCGCGGCAGCCCCGCCCTCCCGCGACCCTGTGGCGCGCACCCCTATCCCTACCTCTCATCTCCTCGCGCCGCACGCGCAGACCTCGTCCACTTCTGGCATGAGCGATCCTCTGCCCGTGTCATGCGTAGAGGGTATATGCAGGGTGGGGTGGCGTGATCGTTGCGGTCTGAGCAGTGGCATGCTGAGCGGCATTGGCAAAAGTGCGCCATCTCTCCCTCCCCGCCCTCGACCGCGTCGGGAAACTCGCCCGCCATCGACGACGGCGACGCCGGATACGCTCTTGCCTTCGCGCCTGTCTCTAGCCCGCACCTTTTCCCCTCCCCTTACTCCGCGCGCCACGCCCTACCTCCTCTTTTGCGATCCGACACCTCCACCTTCCACTTCTTCGCTTGCACCCGGGACATGCACTGCGCGCTCCCTCCTTCTCACTGCTCCCTCCCCCCCTCACTTGGCCACCCCAGCGCTTGCTATATAGTACGTACTTGTCTTTCTGCCATCTATCTTTCATCCCCCGCGACGCGTCCGGATGAGTACTCGACGAGCGAGGGGCCGATCGCTCCTGCGCGTGATGCGCGTCCCGCGTGGTCTTCTTACGGCGCCGCCCTACTCACCTCCTTCCCATTCCCTCATCCCTCTCCTACCACTTTCCGCACTTCTATGCGCACGCGACGGATTACGCATCCTTATCGCGCTGAGTCCTCCTCAGCCCCCAATCCAAGCCAACCGTCACTCATGGCACGTGTAAATGCACTCACTACGTTTCGAACTCCTTCCCTGCCCTCTTCCCTCGTTATCTCCTTTACCCTCCTCGCAACCACGGGATATAATACAGGGGCAGCGATAACTCTATACACATTCCTGTAATCCTGTTTACTCTGGATATGTGTACATACTTGTTACATGCTAGTATATATATATGTGTGTAGCTTCAATGCGGAAGCGCCGTCAGACAGCGCCACTTCACGTTGCGCGCACTTGCAGTAATGCGAAGTCAAACAATACAAAGCCTGCGCAGATAATGCATGTGACTGACTTCTTTTGATCCGGGGACTGCCCACTCGCAGGTCTCGTACATGCCGAACGGCCAGTTTACTAGTTGCTTATACGACCTGTTCTCGAGCCTATGCTCATTTTTGGCAGACGCGAAAGGCCTCTATGGACCCTCCAACGTAGGGAACGAGAGTCTTGGGATGAAGTATGTTGCCACGCGCTGTGGTCCGTGCGTACGTCTTCATCACATGTCTCCGCAACCGACCCAAAAGGTGATGGGATCGTACGCTCACGAAAGACGCGAAGTACAGTCTAGCTAGACGATCCACACAACCAAACACCAACAACCACGATAGCAATGAACACGCTAGACTGGAGGCGCTACGAGAGCGGGCGAGTCCGAGTATTTATATTACTAGGGGATAGATTGTGTTGTTTATGCCAGTTCCAGACGAGCTGGACTGAAGCGAGAAGTCGAGTGGGGCAATCGGACGTCTCGGCGTTCTTACGAGCGCTTTCGGGTTTGATTGAAGTTCACAAGGCGGTTTAATGCGCTCGGAAGTTCAGGCTTTTATGATGTGTAAAGTGCGGGTTAACGCGGTTGTGTTTATTTGGTGTGGTGTGTAGGTACTAGGGCTTCTCTGCGCGGGGCGGGAAAAGTCCCCCGAATCGTATGTAGGTCTCGGTATATAACTTGAACGCGTCGTCTCGGCCGTCCAGACCGCGCGGTAACACACAATGCCTATCTCTGAGTCAAAATCCAACTATAACGCCTATCCGCGCGTTCTTCTGTCCGAATAATCGCGCAATGACTGCGGTTCCTGGCGGTAGAGCGGTTGACTGGTCGGGTATCCTCCTGCGCCGCGATGCCGGGCGCGATTCCACACTTGTTGATGTTTACCAAGGCAAGGCCGGCCTGGTTTCCACCCGTTCCCTTGTGCGCGACGCGGCTCAGAGGCCTGCGCGGCGGGGAGCGTACAGTCTGGACTGTCGATACGCGGGGAGCGAAGCCCTTGCCGGGGCGGACAGCGCTTGGCGGCGCCGACGCTCGGTTCGGAGTTCAACTCGGCGATGTCCGAGATCACGAGCTCGGACCCGAAGTTCCGGTCTCGGACCCGAAGTCACGTGTAGTCACGTTGATGGTTCGAGTTCCGCTTGCGCGGTGCTCTGCGTGTCTCCGCATGACGGCGAGCAGCAGGAAGGCTTGTCCGAGCCCCAACAATAATCTAGATTCTCTTGACACAGCAGGGCAAGAGGACTGAAGGCTTGAGGCGCGTATAGCGCGGCTACTTGATTAAGTAGGGCCCGCCAAAGGACTCGCAGGATGTCATCGACGACGCGCAGACTCGTGATCAGGCGCCGAAGAGCTCGCTGCTATCCTTGGTCAGTCATTGCAGATGGATAATGCTGCGGACTAGTTGTATTGAAGGTTAGGAAGCGTGGCGCTCCTGGTTTTCTATGTCATAAAATACCCCCGACGCGCCCGTTGTACAGTCGCGACGTCG